CGGAGACGTCGGGATGTTTGTTTGTGCTGTTTGTGCAGTTCGAATTCGAGTGGATCGGGGAGGGAGGGAGGGAGGGAGAAGTTGCCCTGCCTGCTAGATAGGCTCGGGGGCCGCGGCAGAACCGCAAGCAGCAACTCCTGCCGCCGCCAGCTCGACTAGATGTAGCTCGAAACGAATGATCTCCGTGAAACCCTGAGACAAAACGTCTCACCGTCATCGTCATCGAAATCGTCATCGGATTCGGATTCGTTATCAGCCTTCGAGAATGATGATGGGGCAGATGAAGATGCTCAGCCCTACATAGACGGTGGATACACAGAATAATGTGTAGTGTTTGTACTGATGTATTGCACGTACGTATTCGGGGTGGCTATTATTTATGCTTCCCGCTGTCCGACAGTCCGAGCGTTTGACGGATGGGGGCCGCATGTACAACATATCGATGCGATGGTTTCTATTCGGTCGAAAACGGCGGGTTTGGAAACCAGAGTCACAAACCGTGAGACGTTTGGCGATGGGGGGAAGGAATGGAGGATCGGAGTGCGCCACGCAGTGCCTCGGGCAGTGGACACTGGACACCGGACACTGGACGGATCTATAGATGGACGGATCTATAGAAAGCTGCTCCGTGCCTGTTTCCGTTTCCGTTTCCTCGTCATGGTCCCCGGAAAGTCGAACGGCGAGTCATGTCCGCCGCGTGTCCTGCCGAAGAGTGTTTCCGTTGACGGCACCGGGCCCCCGGTCAAAGTCTTCACGAGAGGCATAGTACAGTAGGGCCGGTACATATATCCTCCCACGCTGCCGCGGCTGTTTGACGATAGGTGCGGTGCAGTGCGGTGTGTGCGTGCTGTCCTGGTACCACCCACTTGGTTACTGCTATGATAGTGGAGTAACCAAGTGCCAGCCACAGCAAGTTTCCCACTTACGACAAACTTAGTAATACACATACAATGCGTGCCGATAGCATGGGCAGCGCACACATGCATCGAGGATACGAAGGCTGTAGTGAAGATTGTAGACGTTTCTTGCATAGTGAACATGTAGGACAGAAGGGAAGCGGTTAGAACACCTTTTTTTCCTTTCTTTTTTTCTTTCTTTTTTTCTTTCTTTTTTTCTTTCTTTTCTCGTTCTTTTTTTTCTTCCCCTTCTTTGCTTTTCCGCTTCTCGATTGAATTTGGCTGGCTTCCCCTCTTCCAGAGTGGTCGCGCGTGAAAGGGAGGTGCAGCAATCCTGAACAAACATGAAACCTTAGCGCCGAAAAACCGGAGACGCACGAGTGGCAAGGCGCATGGCGTTATTCCCCAACTGGCCGCAGACGACTGTCGGGAATTTCGCTGAGTGGTGGGAGGGCCGGACAGGGGTGCGCTGGGCTGCTGCTATTTCGGGCACACCAACAACTGGTGCGGATGAGAGCATTCGCTAGCCACGAGATGGCCGACGCAGAGTACGAGCGCGCAGAGGAGGGGGAGAAGAAGTAGAAGAAGAAGAAGAAGAAGAGGAAGAAGAAAGAGGAGACAGAAGGGGGGAGGAAAGAGGAAAGAGGAAGGAGGAGGGAATTGATGGAGATGAGAGGGGAGGGGAAGAAGGAGGGAGGGAGGGGCGCTGAAGACTCCAAATTGGCGGCGGCGGAGATGAACACCGCAACAGCCGTGGATTCTCAGCACTTTCTTCCCATCGATTCCTCATGGAGACCCGGAGTGCCGATGCCAGCCAGCAGAATTGTCAGTGGAGAGGGAAGGGAGGGGAAGGAGGAGGGACGGAGGGAGGGAGGGGTGCTGAACAGTGAAGACTCCAAATTGGCGGCGGCAGAGATGAACACCGTAGCAGCTGTGGATTCTCAGCACTTCCTTTCCATCGATTCCTCGTAGACTTCGGAGCACCGATGCCAGCCAGAAGGATGGCCAGTGGGGAGGGGAGGACCACAACCGTGCAAACAACTCGCGGACGGACAAAGACCTTCCCTTCGTTCCGCCGTATCAGAGTCCTGCCTCGCCCGCGTAACAGCACTGAATCCGTGAGGGAACCGGTGGAGGAATGGCTCCAATGATGGGACACCGTCATTTTTCTATTATTTTCGGAAGCGTTCATTGATGATCGCCATGTCCTTCAGTGTCTGCGTCACGAACTCCATTCCATGTCCCAGGTGAAAGCACCCGACACTCCTACGAAGCACAGAAGTCCCGTGAACCTCTGGCTCTGAGGGAGGAACCTCCCTGATCCCGGCCACTCTTACGAAGGACAGAAGTCCCATAAACCTTTAAGAAACAAACCTCTCTGACCTCGGCCACTCTTACATACGAAAGACAAAAGTCCCGTGAACCTCTGAGGGAGGATCTTCTCTGATCTCGACCACCCTATGGACTCTGATCGAACCCTGCGCCGCCTCCCCTCTTGCCGCCGAAGGAATTCACCCCTCATCCCCAATCCGCATCAACTCCCCACCACCACCACCTCGACCACCACCTCGACCGCCTCGACCACCACCTCCATACCTCCATACCGTCAACTCCTCATCCTCCTACTCCTCCTACCTCCACAGTTACCACCACGAGAGAGAGAGAGAAAGAGAGAGAGAGAGAGTGTGTGTGTGTGTTTGTGAGAGCCACGAAGGTAAGAGCCAGACAGCAAGAGAGAAAGAGAGAGAGAACCGCACGGCGCCATCCTACATACCAACCACCCCAACTCCGGGCCCACCCCCGGTTCACCCTCTCGCCGCATTCTCCGGTTCACTCTACGCGAGATTCTTCCAATACATACTTCCTTACCTACGCACTTACCCATCCTCCCCGCACCTTCGCCGCCATCTTACTTACCCCCTCCACCCCCCTCCCAGATCAATCTATACACCTTTCCCTTGTCTATCTATTGTCTGTTGGTTTGGCGACAACCACTGCGTGATTGGACACCTATTCTCCGATATTTCAGCGGCTACCACTACCGTCCTGCTACAGTACCTTCGGCTCGAGCATCCAAGCCCTCCTCCTCCTCCTCCTCCTCCTCCTCCTCCTCCTCTTGCGCGTGTGTTAGTGACCCTCCCTCCTCCTCCTCCTGTCTCCTCGGTATCGTATTTTACCTTCCTCCACCAAGTGTCAAATCTCGAGGGCGCTGGCTCTTATGTCATGCTCCTGGGGGGTTACGGGTTTGAGCCGAGTTTCGTCGCTTGCCCCCGACCCTCAAGCGCACAGCGCCGCTTCACTTTTCCCGCGTCGTCTGTGCCGTGATTATGCTGCCCGCATGGAGTGGCTCCGCATGGGGTTCGCATTATTCTGGCATCGATCGTGACTGATTTTAAGATGGGCGTTCAGTGATTCGATAAACCCTTTCTCCGACGTTACTGTGCTCTCGGCCTCTACGGCGCACGTCTGACGTACCTGGAGCGCGCGCGCCCAACCCAGCGACAGGATACGCCTACCCGAGTAGTGCAATCCTAATCCACCGACGGCTCTCAGCACGTACAACTGTGTGAGCGCAGTTTGGAGAAAGACGAACCGAAGGAAAGAAGGAAAGAAATAAGAAGGAAAGAAGGAAAGAAAGAAAGAAGAAGAATAAGAAGAAAAGCCAAGGACGTCGCTCGTGGGGGGGAGGGGCTTGATCATCTCGACTTTCGCGACAACGACCACTTAGGTATTTTTAATTCCAGGCTAGGTACTGGACTTCGAGAGGCCAGAGTTAAGAGCTCTTGTTCGTTCGTTGATCGCAACCGGACAACGAGACCCAGACGCTGGACGTTGTTGCTTTTTTTTTATTGTTTTTTAGGGTGTCAGGAATACACGACGAGGTTTCGAAATAGCAGCACCATTTCCTCCTTTCCGGCCGGTTGGTTGCTTCTCCGAGAATCGTTGAAATCGTATTCGGAAGTCTGTTCTTTTTTGGGTACCGAGACCTTTATCCCCCTCATATAAGCTCAAAGTTCTGTTTCGCGTGGCCAGCTAGGCCAACGCTGAAGGAGAGGGGGGAGCGAACTGGAACATGGACGGTATTGGAGGTGTATTTGAAGCATTTTGACTGACCGACTTACCGGTCTAGATGGTGGCGCTGTAGCATCTGCTCTACTCTATATCCACCCATCCACACCTCGCGCGAAGAGCGAAAGCCGAAAGTCGAAAATCGAAAGTCGAAAATCGAAAATCGAAGAGCGAAAAGCGAAAAGCAGTCCCTTCTTGGATCGGGCTGATTCTTCTAATTATTGCGCACTCCGGATCGATAGCGATAGCGAGGCAGAGGCAGTGGTCACTGGTAGGTGCGACTTTGGTTGTGAGTGGTGGGCTCTATTTTTCGACTCGGTGAGTGTTTACCGCGTACCGCTGCGAAGTCCCTGGTCGGTCCTATTTCGGGACTGACAAGGGTGCCTCAGTTCCAGATTGGAGGCTTATGCTGATGGCGCTCCGCCGCAGACTTCAACCCTTGCGACACGCCCAATAGTCGCTTCGAAGGCGTCTTCATTCGCTCCGTCCGACAACAACCTGCACCGTGTGTGTGGTTCATCGAAAGGCTGTAACGACTAATCTACTCTGCCTGCAAGTTTGTGCCTTCTTCTCCATTGCTCTTGCCGACCCGCACCACGCCGGAGAAGACGACGACAACCCGCACGCATACCGCATACCGCACACCGTGCTTACTTACGTAGGTTGTGGTGGTTGTTCAACTCAAACCCAAACACCCTTCCCAACAACAACAACCATCACCATCGAGGCGGGTGATTCCCGACATACTGCCCACCATCCACTTCCCCCTTTCCGCCTTCTGCCTGTGAGTACGCAAGCTGCCACAGTTCCGTCTCCGCATCGACAGTCATCAATCTGCATATCGCCAAATACACTCCCACACACACCTACCCATCCCCGGACTACTGCTCGATCTTCAACATCGCGCGTGGCGGGCGGATCTCTTCTCAGACAACGCTCCTGCACCGAAGCAACACCTGTGACTTGACCCGCTCACTTTGTTAAAAGAGGATCATCGGTACCACCCCTTTCCTCACCCCCCCAGCTGACCCTTGCTCGGCTTGCGCAACGTCGTGCTCCCTCCCACCATACCTTGCGCGTCCGCCTACCCACCACCCCCAGTCTTATTCCCTTTCAAGACATCTTTCCCTTCTCTCCTCCAACTTCAACTCTCTCTCTCTCCTGTCCCGAGAACACTCACCCGTCGCTATGGCGTCTGTAACAAAGACTGACACTCATTCGCTGAAGAGAACTTACACACTCGTTGCTTCCAGTCCTTCGTCGCCGTCCGACTCACACGACAGAATCCCACCACTCAAGGTCGCTGTTCTTAGCTCGCCTGCGATCGACGCCGACAATCGCATGTCATTATCGCTGAAGCGTCGCTATCCGTTCTGTAAAACGCAAGCGAGCCCGACCGGTCCCGCCAACAAGTCGGCAGTACCAGCTTTTGTTTCCATCTTCGATACCGATATGTCAGGTTGCTCGCCCGTCAACGAAACGAACCAATTCGCTTCATATTCCGAACCAGCTTCTCCCGGTCCGCGATTCTCACTAAAGCACCCTCCCACCCACAAATCACACAGCAGCGTGTCCACATCGGCTTCTTCTTCCAGCAACTCATCCCCAACAACAACTATTTCGACCGACGAATCGACAGCGTCCCTGGACGACAAGACCACACCAGATTCATCCCCAGATTCTCCGGATTGTTTGATGGCTCTGCCGTCATTTAGGTCTGGGAGAGGTCTACCGAACGGCCTTTCGATAATACCCCCCAGTCCCGGATTGGAGGGACCAAGTCCGCTCTCACCGAGCAAGAAACCCCGAAACACAAAAAACCTCTCGCTCAACGTGCCACCTTCGCCCGGCATGTCTCAGATGGGGCATGATGGTCCCTCCAACGCCTCTACACCGAAGTCGATGTCGGCACCACCGTCACCGGCATTCATCGTGCCTCCTCCCCCGCAGAACCCCCGGCGGAGACCTAGCCACCTCGGCCTAACCATCAAGCTCCCGGGAACATTAGATACGAAACCCACCGGACTGCGCCACCACCAATCTTCTCCTTCTCTGTTTTCTCCCAGCACCGGAAGAGGACCCCTGGGTGGAATGGCGGGTGGAATGGCGATCCCGGCATCTCCCAATCCCGCCCAGATGAGTTTCCAGTTCAAACAGCGGGAACGACCCGTATTCAACAACCGGTGGGCATCGGAAACACAAGCTTCTTCCGGATCGTCGTCCGCAACGACGAACTCGCCTCCAAGGTCGCCTGAGGTATTACACGAGATGGAAGAGGAAGACGAGCCTCCCCGATCCGGGGAAGCCAAGTCACCAGCATATCCCCAAGGACCCTCGCTGATCTTCGAGCCGAACATCTATCTTTACTCGGAGCCTAACGCTGAACTCGCTTCGGAATTCGATCTGGTCATCAATGTCGCACGAGAAGTTCTCAACCCGTTCAAGGCGGCAGCTACCCAAAGAGGATCGGCAGACATTCCCGTTCCCGACACCGCATGCACAGAATCCAGCTTCCAGACGGCTTTCGAAGAAGCTATGTTTTCGCCCATCTGCCGCCCGGAGACACCGAAACAAAGGAAGGAACCCGAATACGTGCACATGCCGTGGGACCACAACACCCCCATATTGGCCGATCTTCCGGCTTTGGTGGAGTTGATCAACGAGCGGACGAACCAAGGAAAAAAGGTGCTGGTGCACTGCCAATGTGGTGTCAGTCGGTCAGCTACCCTGCTCATCGCCTACTCCATGTTCAAGAACCCGGAAAAGTCGATGCAGGATGCGTACAGTGCCGTCAAGGCGAAGAGCAAGTGGATCGGACCAAACATGAGTTTGATCTATCAATTGACGGACTGGAAAAAAATGATTTCGAACGAAGGGCCGAAATTGGTAGGTGGATTCGGAGGAAGGAGGGGTCCACAGACGGCAGGATTGCAGGGCCCTGGAAATATGAGTCTGGGACGTGGAAGGGGGATGGAGGACGGCTCTGAGTTTCCGGAGCCACAAACGGCACCTCTGCCACACAGAAGGACATCACCCATGATGTCCCCGGCCGAGTTGTCTCCGGAGGGCCAGCGGCCGCAGGTGGTAAGGACGAGATCGGAGACGGGCGGGTTCGATTCGGGGCCATCTTCGGCCCCCCCAGGCATAGGCAGCGTTCCAGGTTCCACCACATCGTCCCAGAACAGGCAGTCGTGGCCCGATGGCGATGCAAAGCTTTATTGCCCGCCGTCGGTGGAGCCATCACCACGGCTACAGCCCTCGCCGCAGCCCTCACCGCAGCCCTCACCACAGCTTCAACAACACGTTCCTTGGCCGGCAACGAGTGAGTATCCGCCTCCGGAACCCACACGGATGCCGCCACCACCACCACCCCAGGCCTCTCAGCCTCGCCCCAATCCCTCGAGCTCGTACTCGCTCGAAAAATCGACTCTCCGCATGCCAGGGCAGTTTGACAGCGAAATGGATGACAACACAGCTCCTCCATCCCCGCAGTTGACGAGCCCGAGGAACAGCGGTTTCTACGCCACAGTGCCGAACCGCAGGATGTCGCCGTGGGCTGGATTCTTTTCGGATCCCCGGAGTCCCACAGAACGGAGCGGAACGACAACGCCAGTGATCCGGAATATCTTCGATGTCCTATAGCAATTACTGTGGGGGCGGTCAAACGACGAGGCAGCCCAGAATGATAGGCGGAAGCGAGTGTCGTTTCACGAATCGATCCCAACACAGGACAGCCGATGAATGCAGCAAATATATGAGTCTTCGCACTTGCGAGCGTTGGAGTTTAGGGGGGACGGCATCGGACGACAACCGGATGCTTTGGAGCGGCCTTTTTCTTTTTCTTTTTCTTGCGTTTCTTTTGTTGTTTTCCTTTGTTTGGGGAGAGTTCAAAATTTGTTTGTTCATATACTCTCGTTTGGGCTCATAGCGGATTCTCTGGGTTATCATTTGGTGGGGGGAGCGCAGGACGGGATATGATGGTAGGCTTCGGAGGATGGGGAACTGGGGGACACTGGGGGGATCGGAGGAAACTTGGGAATAAGGGGATGGGGGGTTGGGGATGGGGGATGGGGGAATTGCTTGAGGAAACTACTAGGGGGCGTGATAATCGGGGTTTGCTTTTCTTACAGTCGTTTGCACTCATCACCATTGCACGGATGTTTGTCTCATTTTTTCATTTTTTCATTTTTTGCTGATCTTTTCTGCCTCTTGCTGCGCTTTTGTTGCTATTTGGCGTCCTGTCCTGTCCATCCACTACTTTACATCTCCTTATTTGTCTTTCTTTTCTTTCTATTTCTAGGATGGTTTTCGGTTCTGCGCATCATACCCTCCTCCTCTTGCTCTTCATCTTCCTCTTTCCTCTTTCCTCTTCTTCTCCTAGTATCTTCTTGTTTTGAATTCAAGGGTCTGTTTATATATCATCTATCGAAGATCTTCTGTGAAGATCTTTTTTTCACTTCACTTCACTTTTTTCTCATCTTTTTTCTTTTCTGTTCTATCTTTCATTTGTCCCTTTTATTTGAGCATAGGGAGGGAGGGTACAGCTTAGGTAGAAGAGCGGTGCGTATGGCCCGGGAGAGAAGGGGTGGGGTGGGGGTATTTTATCTTTACTTTATTACCTTACCTACTTGTTCATTCGTTTCGGCGGTGATGCGGTGATGCCGAATGAAGTACGGCGTGTGTGTGTGTGTGTGTGTGTTTGTCTTGATGGCTTGATAGTTTGAGCTTTGGACAGTTTGATAGGAGGTAGTTACGGTGGATATGAACGGGTTCCTCTATATTGTCTCGACGCAGGGTTTCTAGGTCACGGGTGATATTAGATGGCTACGAAATCGGTCGGCCGCGGGACGGGGAGGGGGCGGAGTGCTGGTGTCGGTGGAGCTGACTGGATGGCTGTGTAAAGCTCCACATGGTCGTCTCCACAAGGCGGGCGGAAGTTGGATTACGCACGCGCGGCCTGACTATTAGCCTGACTATGATGGTAGCGGCCGGTTCCGCACCGTTCCACAGCCCACAGCTATCGATCTGACGGACGGTCGGACGCGAAGGCTGCGGCAGTGCTGGGCGCGGGGTATTCGTTGTTTGGCGTTCGCTGCGGGTTCGCTGCGGATCGGATGGGGCGCTCACGCCACACGCCTCACTCTGCACGCATGGTCACTCGCTGAGTGATGCCGCGAAGGCGGGTGTGCTGTGCGGCGCGGGTGGAGTATTCTGTGTATGTGTGTGTGGTGGCTTTTCCTCCCGTCCCCCTGCGGTCCTGCTCGAGGCAACTCGAGCTAGCTACCACTCTATTCCTCGGTTCACGTACTTGAGTGCCGTGGTGGGATGGAGGTGGGATGGAGGTGGGATGGAGATGGAGGCGGACATGGCCCGCGATGGTTGGTAACGGTTGGTACACACCGGTACATACGCTTCCCTGGTGGCACCGTGGCGGTCGAGTATTGGAACTGTGGACCGTGGAAGTTGGTGTCTGAGGTCTCGATCTTGACTACTTATACTAGAGAACTGGAGTATACCTCACCCAGCCACGATTACCTCGACGGCTCTTGCTAGTCGCTCAGTCACGGGTGAATATATGAGCCGTGCACGCCTAGTCGTTTATACCTACTGCTGGAGGGGGGGGGGGGGGGGGGGGGTGCTCGGAGGTATGAAGCGGCATGGAAATCTTACGGTGCAGCGATGAGTTTGGGAACTCGAATGATACGAATAGTTATATGGCACACCGAGTGTGATGTGTGATTCTGCACTGTTCCTATTTCCCATCCTTCTTCCGTTCTTGACGACCTGAGGCCCGTATTCATTGCCTCATGCTACTATTCAACACGAGTACACATAACCCCCCCTACTTCTGCTCCGGCACAATCCAGCCCCTCGCCTTCTTCTCCTCCTCCTCCGCCCTAGCCTTATCCTTAATCAACTCCTTGATCTTACTCGGCACAGGGACATCACCGCCCTTCCTAAACGCCTCCCTCTTCTCCAGCGTCTCCTCCCACCTCTTCAGACTCGGGAAATCCTCAATCTCCACACCCGCCCACCCCGCGCTGCGAACCCACCCATACGTAGTGATATCGGCAATAGTGAGCCGGTCGCCAACGAGAAACCCGGACTTGCTGGCTGCGAGCCGCGTCTCGAGGACGCTGTACAGCCGCCGCGTCTCCGCCTGGTAACGTGCAATCCCGTACGGGATCTTTTCCGGCGCGTACCGGAAGAAGTGGTTTGCCTGGCCCTGCATCGGGCCGACGCCGGCGTTCTGGAAAAACCTGTTTTTCCACACATCAGCACCCCCCCTCCCCTTCCCCGCCCCCCGTCCGGGTTAGACTTACAACCACTGCACAACCTCCCAATACTCATCCGTCCCATGCGGATAGCTAATCCTCCTCTCGGTATCATACGTATCAACGAGATACTGCAGTATAGCGCCGCTCTCGAAGACGTTGCGCGCGCCGTCGGTGATCGCCGGGATCCGCCCGTTAGGGTTGATCGCTAGGAACCACGGCTCCTTCTGCGTGTTCGCCGACATGTCGATGGCGACTGTCTTGTACGGCAGCCCGAGCTCCTCCAACAGGATTGAGACCTTGATGCCGTTAGGCGTTTGCGCTGTGTACAGCGTGATGTCGGGGGTGGACATGGCGGCGGTGGTGGAGGGGAAGGGGGTGGGGGTGCGGGTTTGGGTGCTGGTGATGAAAGGGCGGAGGTGCTGCGACAAAAGCGTGAGTCGTGGGAGTCGTGGAAGGGCAGAGGTAATACCGCGGAGTATGGGCATTGAGTTCTGTGGGATGCGGGGGGCGATGGTGGGGATATATAGCCGTTCCCATCCCATCCCGCCTCATCCCGCCCCGAGCTCAAGCAGGGCGGGGGCGGGGCGGGATGGGCACTACTGGGCACGTCATTGGCGTGCGTGCTTGCGCGCTGGACGGATCGTTGGCGTGCTCGACGGATTGCTTGATAATCCGAAATGTCCCAATGTCCCAAAGTAGGAGTGAACAACCCCCAGCGTGGACGATCTCATGTATGTACTCTACATACTCCACATACTCCACATACCTGTTATGGAAATATCTGATTTCCAACCAACGGACGAACGTTGCTACGGACGGCGGATAGCTGGGTAATCATCAAATTATACAATACATGCGAGCACCGCGGAACCGACGGCGGTCGCGCATACATACTTGGTAGAGGCCCGGTCGTGCCGATTGTGCCGGTCGGTCGTGCAACGATATCATAACATCACGACATCACGAGATATAGGTATACCGGTATATATATACCACTACAAAACCACAACCACCGTCGGGATATCACGGTCCACGAGGTGTACTACGATAGCCGTTGCGAAACGATGTACAGGCGGCCCATGTGGTTGAATTAAAGATTGCGGACTGCGGACTGCGGACTGCGGACTGCGGACTGCGGATTGCCAATTGCGGGGTAGAGTACCGTACCGGCACCGGTACGGTAAACCACGCTTGCTTGCGTGCTTGCGGATTTAGATTATTCCGTTGAAGCTCCGTTGCAAAACGGCGCCGCAGGCCACACCTATATATCCGCCGAACATCCGCCGAACAACGTTTATATAGGAATCAAAGACCGAATGACAGCAAACAGCGGGATGGCGGGGAGTCCTTTGCCGTCCCCGCCCTCTGGTTCCTACACAACCGGCCGGCTCGCAGGTCAGGTGCTGTCGATCCCACCTTACCTGCCTTAGGTTCCTACTTCCTCGGCTATCGTCCGCAAGTACCGGTAAGTACGGTAGTCTTCAGACGATCGGTCCGAGCATACATAGGTACATACTGCCGTCATTCGGATCTACACTTGTTGGTACAGCCGTCAAAGATGACGAATGTTCGCTTCCCACCTGAAATCATCATAGAAACGCCCAAAATTCTTTTCGAATAACTAATGCAAAAACATTTATCCCCCCACCACCAGTTTCACCAAAAAAAGGAAATATACGCTCCTATGATACACATACAAATCAATCGTAAGATAGTTAGAAAGGAAAGGAAAAGGAAAGGAAAAACGTAAACCCATCATCCACCACCCTGCTCGTGATGTGCGTCAAGTCAAATCGATCGACAAAAAAAAAGAAGCCAGACACTCGCACACCTGTAACCCACCCCTCCTCCCTCCTCCTCCCCGCCCAATAAATCCCACCCGAACACAAAAAAAAAACGCAGCCAGACCGGACTTCAGACGCAGAAGCAGAATAACTCGTCCAAAGCCAGTGGAGCCAATACTCGCCGCAACGAATAACACCAACAACAGCACGGGATTAAACGCCGAACAAAAACTCCGTGGCTCCCTCCTCCTGCTCCGTCCGTCCTCCGGCCGTGTCCGTGTCCAGAGTATCCATCCCATCCATCCATCCCATATAACTACCCGTAATACTCCAACACTCCAATACTCAATACCGCAATACCGCAATACCACAATACCTCAACACCCACAAACCCCAACCCCACCCCCACCCACCCTCCTCCCGATTCAGATCGCGGCCGGCCCGAAACAACAAACAGGAATACCCCCCACACAGACAGACAGAATCGAACCAAAAATACAAGAAAAACTTTCCTTTTAAAACTCCGTTCAGCAAGAAAAAGGAAACGAAAAAAACAAAAAAACCAACAGCAAGCAAGCGACCCAGAGACCACCCAAAAATACAGTGATTGCGCCATTCCCCAAGTCAAAAAAAAATAGATCAAAAAAAAGATAGGGAAACAAGAAAAAAGAAAGAAAGAAAAAACAAACAAAACAAACCCCTTCTACTCCTCTCATAGCCGTAAGGTAAGGGTCAACCGTGACCGTAATGCATACATGAAGAAAAAAAAATCATCGCCTCAGAAGGCGTTCCGTCGCAGCTTCGGCACGTCGAATGGCAATGGTTCGGTCGATTTCCATGCCGCCCTCGCGCAACGGGCGGGCAGCAAGTCTCCTGTTGCTGGGTGCGCGGTTCAAGGTACCGTTCCTGAACCGGGCGACGGATGACTCGGGATCTTGCGAGTTCATCGCGCTGGCCAGGCGCTCGTTGATGGGGCCACCGGTCATGGTGAATTCCTGGGACCTCGATGCGCTGTCACCCAGGCTCGACAGGAACCGCTTGCTGGACGCGAGCGGCGACGACTGGATGCTGGGTACCATGGAGCTCCTCCGCGGCGCCAGCGTCGACTGCACATCGTTCGTGGTGTATTCTCGGGGCATCGAGTGCCGATTGCTGGGAACACGCTGCAGGCCACCCATCTCCGTACCGGCCCGAGATGGGGCCCTGAAGCGATCGCTTTCCGAGAAACCCTCCTTCAACATCAATGAGCTGCGATGCCTTATACCGGGCGATGGTGCCGGATCACTTCTTGGGCTGTAGCCCGCAGAAACGTTGAGTGAGGCTAGACTGCCTTTGCGTTCGGCAAACCGTCCGATCGTCCGGGATGGAAGGCGTTGGCTAAGCACGCTCTCGCGACCGTCGAACGAATCTCGGTTACGGCCACCATAGACGCTTTCGGCCCCCACGCCACGACTAGCGGGCCTCGTCTGGACGAATTGCGCCTGTATGAATGGAATCTGCGGGGGAGGCGCAATGGTATGCCGGTTTTCCGACAGGGCGAGACACAATTCCGTAAGGCTCCTGCACACGCTATCGGCCTTTCGCCGCACATTCCGATCGACACCGGCGACTGTGGGCGCACCCGAGCCGGGCGCACCAACGGTGTTCGCCATGTCTAGCGCGTCCTTCGCAGCTAGTTCGAGGTGCCTGTAAACGTCAGGCGGCATCACCGCCTTCGACTTCGCCAATGCGGTGTGCAAAAGAGGATGAGAAGTAGTGGTGTTGTTTGTACTGGACGGATTGCTACCACCAAAAGTGGAATTTATGGGAGAGATTCCAGCCGCAGCATTAGTCCGAGGCGACGAAGACACCGTGGTGACTGTTGTAGTCGCCGTTCTGGGGCGGTCGCCCGACGAGTTGGACGCGTTTCCGGCCCCGGATGCGGGCATGCGCCCGGTGACCTCCAGCCGACGGATTCGCGATTTCAGGTCGTCCAATTCGTCCCAGACCGAAGATGCAGCGGTCGTCGAGGCGGTGGACGCCGAGTCGGCGGATCGACCTCCACTACCAACTCCGGCGATGGATGCGGCATATTCGCGCTCGTCCACCTGTGGCGGTGCTAGCTTATCATCGATGAGTGGAGATGCGCCCAGACGAGTTAGCGGCCTGCTGTTGAAGCTTGTCCGAGGGCTCGACTCAACCACCGAAAAGCTTCTCGCATGGCCATGCGAATTGTCGCGACGAAGAACGCTCTGAGGACGAGGCGCATTGAAGGTGGGCCGTGGAGTGATCGAGGGCCGTTCCTCGTGGTCGGAAGTCTGCGACATCCTGCGCGCCCGGTAGTCGCCAGGTGGAGGCGAAGACATGTGTCGTGCGCGTCGCCACACTTCTTCATCGACTTGAGGAGGCGAGGAATTGAAATCGGCGGTTTCGCGACGGTGTGCGGGAGAAGACTGTGTCACATCGGCGGGCATAGAATTACGGTATTGGGAGAGTCGTGCCTGCAAGGAGGGGGATTGTTAGCGAGATGCCAAAAAAAAAAAAAAAAAAAAAAAAAACAACGCGACAATGGCCTTTTTTTTTAAAAAAAAAAGAGACGAAAAAAGAAAATAAAAAGAAGAAGGGAAAAGGTCAATCGTACTCGTCTTCTTTCCAGCCTGTCTGCCGCTCTGCTGCTGGTAGAGTTCGATCGCGCCAATTTTAAAAACACATCCTCAGTATTCTGAACTACGGGCGCATGCGCATCCCGTAAATCCTCCAGACCCCTGATGGTTCTATCCTTCTCGCCGTATTCATCGTCGTCTTCGTCTTCCTCTTCGTCGTCAAAGCTGCTGAAGCTCTGTCTTCGCTTCATCGCGGAGGTAGTTCTCGAGATGTCCCTGTGCCCCTGAGCGGTTCCGGTCCTCGATGGTGTCCGGGCCGATATCGTGTTGCTACTGGCACTGCTGCTGCCCTGGTCCCTATTGTAGGCCCGACTGGGCGTCGAGGGCACAGTGTAGTGGCCTCGGTTGTCCATTGTGAATCGTTTTCTGAAAGCTAAAGATGGCGGAGGTCCAGCGCTGGTCTCTACACCATTACTACTGAAGCGGGCAGGAGCGCGTTTTTTCGGAGGAGTCGGCGAGTGCGATCGAGTGGACGCGAACGAGCTTGAAGGTCGGGAGTTGGGGGTGGTATTGGTGTTGGTATTATTGTTGTGGAAATTGAAGCGATTATCTCTGTGGTTATCGGAGCCGGAGGCAGCGGCAGGTGTGGCAATAGTATTTTTTGGAGTCGGAAGGAGTGATTGGGGTGCAGCAGATTTCGGGGAGGTGATGGGATGTAAGGGTACGGGGGTGGGCTCGGACGGCGGGTGAGTGACGGAAGAAGTAGTAGTGGTAGGAGTGGGAGTGGTGGTGGTGGCAGGCGTTGTGTGACGACTGTTCCGGGATGGTTGTGGTCGATGTGGTTGATGCGGTGGAGGGTGTCGTGCGGGCTTGCTAGAGGTGGCTGCAAGCGCAGAAGAAACGGCGTTGGCGCTGGCGACGGCGTTGGTGGGGGTCAGTCCGGTCGAGGATGTCGGGACGGTGCTATTATTATTACTGCTGCTGTTGTTACCGTTCGCTCTTCCGCTCAAGCGCTTTTCGGTTCTGGTAGCGCCACTGATGCTGTTGCTGTTGCTGGTGGTGGTGGTGGTTGTGGGGATGATGGTATTGCCGATGCTGACTCTGCTGTCTTCCTTGCTATCGACGTGCACGGCAGTCACAATGTTGTGTCGCGAAGGGACAGTGGCCGAGCGATTCAACTGCGGCCGCTGCAACTGGAGTTGGAGCTGGAGAGGGACAGCGACTCGACGCGAGGAGCTACTGGTAACCGACGACGAGGAGGATGTTCTTCGGTGCCGGTACGGAGTGGGCGCGGGCGGGGGACGTGGTACGATACAAATGGAGGCAGGCCGAGCGAGAGGAGTGGAGGGAAGAGGGGGAGGAAGAGGAGTGTGAGGAGGGGGTGCTGCTGACTTTGGAGTGGACGATAGAGTTGCAGCCCGCGATCGCGATGCTGTCGTGGAGGCCGGTATTCCTGTCCTTACAGATGAGCCAGCTCCAGACGTTGCACTGGCTAGTTTCCGGCCCGGATGACCGTGACTATGGAGATGATTGCTCGTGAAATTGGAGTCGGCACTGGACGCAGCGGCGGCGGCAGCAGTGCGAGGTGAAGCCGGAGGGAAGCCGGCGCTGGTGGTTAACGGCGAAGGGTTACCAGTGGCTGATGATGATGATGATGATGATGATAATAATGTCGCAGTTGTTCGTTGGGGCAGATTGGTGCTATTCGTGTTCCCTAGGCCTCCAACTGCTCCAGCTGGCCCACTGCCTCCGCTGGCCACTCTTCCGCGACCCAACAGCTCCTTGACCCGGCTGCTTCTGCTGTCGATGCTGCGAGTGCTGCTACCGCTGCTGGCCAACCTGGTTTCCCTGTTCTCCATCACCCATGCGTTCCCGGTGCGCCGCCGTCCAGAATGTGTTTCTTGCTTTCCCTCCCCCGTTTCTCGCCTTTGCCTTTGCCTTCTGTTGCCTGCTACCTTCGAAGACACACAACCGCACAAACCGAACCCCCGCCTCACTTGGTCCCCACCACGAAGAAAGAAAAAACAAGCCACCACCACCTCCACCACCCCCCGCTGGCAATCCTCCAGAAAAATCAAGAATACCTATCCCCTCCTTCTTCCCCTTCTTCCCCTTCTTCCCCTTCTTCCCCTTCTTCTTCTTCTTCTTCTTCTTCCTTCGCTCCTTCGCTCCTTCCTTTGTTCTCCCGCTCCCCGTCCCAAGCGCTCGTGAGGCAATCCAGCGGTCCCAGTTTTGTTTTGTCTCGTTCGCGGAGTGTTCCTGTCTGTGCCTGCGCCCGTTCGCTCGCACTACTTTACGAGCGCGGTCCCTTCAAAAAAGGAAAAGGGCACGGGCGCGTGTGTGTAATTCGGACCGTTGGCGGCGGTAAGTTCGGCAGCGTCCGTGTTCGAAATGGTAGGTAGTAGTGGTAGTAATAGTAGCAGCAGTAGTCGTCCAGGAGATGAAGGCGGTGATGATGATTATGGCGGAGGAGGACGAGCAGCAGCAGGAGGAAGGAGGGGAAAATGAAAGTGAGAATGAAATGAGCAAAGAATGAGGAGAGAGCTCTAGATTCGACTTCTACCACCACCTCCTACTACTCCTCTCGCTCCGTCCGCGTGCGCCGCCGTGCGGGAAATGGGGTCACAAGGGTTCACCGAAGGGGAGATGTTGGATTCCGACAGTCGGGAAAGTTTTGCAGCACCACACACACCACACGCACAAACGCACACCACTCGCAGGCCGGCAAACAATGATGGATCGGACAGCTGGAGGAGAGCGCGGGCAAAACGGTGCTACTTACGATGTGTGTGCATACATGGAGATCAGCTAGAGTCGAGTCGAGTTTACTTCTTCTTGCTTGCTGATGGCTTCCTTGATTGCTTGCTGATGGCTTACTTGATTGCTGATGGCTCCTCGTTATGATACTTATTGCGTTGGAGGGGAATGATCACCCATCGAATCAAGTCCCTCCGTTCTTCTCCTCATTCTCTCCGGCGCGGGGAACATTTTTGCCCCCCATCTGCCCCCCTCCTTTCCTCCTGCTGCTCCTGCTCCTCTGCGCTCGCCTCGCACCGAACTCGAAACCGAGCGAGTAACGCCATGTGGGGGATAGTTCTGCTAGTTGCTAGTACACAGCAAAGGACAGGCTCCGATTGTGGGATCTGACCTCACCTCACGTTCTCGATGGGACTGTCCCAGGTTCCTGCAGAGCATACATGAGCACATCATCATCCACCCATTCATCCACCCATCCATCCATCCATCTTGGAACTCCCCAATCATGGCCTTGCGCAGTCTCGTCATTCCTTGAGCAGAGCGATCGTCCACATCTGCATCATCACCACTACCATTACCATTCACATCCACATCCGCATCCGCATCTCACAGTATCTACTCCACACACATGCGTTCAGATTCGAAACTCGACCCCCTCAACTCTGGAACCGCCTCGAGTAACTAACTAGCACTAATTCGTCTACTCTACTCTACAAAGATAATCCTTTCTACTATCATCGGCCCATCCAAAATCAGCCATTCCGCGCTTCCACCCACATGTAAACCCCAGACCCCCCTGAACCACATCTCCTTCCCCAATGGAACGAGGCTTAGCCCCGTCCCCGTTCCAGCTCCCGAAGCGAGGTCGTAGCTGTGGATCGAATTTCGTTTCTGAGATGCCCCATGCTTTCCCGGTGCCCGTCGGAGATTACGCTCCTCCACCGTTGCTGTGGCTACCATACAGTAGGGTACTGCCGAATGGCAAGGCGACGGGCGACGACGGACAACAAACAAACACACACGCAAACATGCAAATACAAACAAACAACGGAGGGAGCTGAAGTGATGGGCAGGCAAGGGAAGGGAGGGGGAGGCACAGCGAGGCGAGGGGAAAGGCAAGGCAAGGCGAGGCAAGGGGAGGCGAGGAGAGGTGAGGGGGGGCCTGATTCTCATGCAAGACATGACTTTTTATTCTCCTTCGCCTGCGCAGCGCACGACCTTCAACACTACATACGCTACATGCTCTACTCTGCGTGCTGCGGTGAACACTGGAAGAAGAGGGATTCGCGACAAGGAGTCAAGGACTGCTGAAGCCTGACTTCTGACTTCTGACATGTGTCATTGTGTCATTGTGTCTCCCCCGAGTCCCCTCACCGGCCACTGCACATCGCCCACAGCTGAGTGAGAGCTTTTCCCTCTCACTTTCTTCCCTCTTTCCCTCTCCCTCTTTCCCTCTCCCCCTCTCTTTTTCCCTCTTTTTCCTTTCCCTCTGTCTTTCTCCCCGACACAGGCGGATGCGCGCCGGCAATGCAATATCGAGAAAAGAGTGTAATCTTCCCACATAGATGCCTACTATATTTGGGCTTGGATTTCTTGGAAAGGCCGCGTCGGGACTCGCGACGGCCTACGGGTGCTGCTCACTGCTCACTGCTGCGCCCCCCAAAATCCGATGGGTTTTTTGGCCGGACGCGGAATGAAGTCGTAAGGACTCTACATTGAGTCTAGAGTAAGAGGCATGTAGATAGGGAAGTAGAGTAGGTATGCAGGCGTCTGGAAGCTGGAGGAACTCGGGAAGGTCCTCGTTCGTTTCATTTCACCGCAGCCGCCGCGACACACATTCCCGCATTCTCGCATTCTCGCGTTCTCGCATTCTTGATTGATGGATATCCGCGCGGCTGCCTCGGTGTTCACTGTGAGGTGCGAGATGTTGGCATTCCTTGCGGCAGTTCGCGGAGTCGATCTAGAGTATGGACTCTGGAGGTCTACCTAACTTCCAGGTATGGTAGCTGTCGTGATCCGCAGTGTCGTGGCCACTGTCCGCGCTGTGGTAGGTATGTGGCAGGTATGTGGCTACCCATCGCCACGATCGCAGGTAGCATGGTAGCACGGTGGCATCGGCCGGTGTGTCGATGTCTATGCCATCCCACCTGCACTCCCCATTACGTGCGCAATACCCATCGTGGCGGCGGGGCGGAGGGGGCAGCGTGTTGAGGTTTTTTCTTCACGAGCGGACACTGGACGAACGAGGTGGAGCAAAAAGCCGGATGCGGATTGGCCTCAACTAAGCAGGAAGTTATCGTTGCTTTTGGTACCGAGTCTCAACTATTAGTTAACCGCGCATCGGTGATGATCGCGCTGATCGCTCGCGCATCACGCATCACTGTGCTAGGTAGGAAGTACTCTAGGTGTCAATGAGGGTAGTGGTCCTCCAAAGTCTCCGAAGTCGCGGGAATCACGCTCCCACCTCACACCCATACATGGACATGCCAATGGGAGGGGAGCATGAGGTGGTTGAGAGATGGGTACCTGCATCACCCCCTCCCCCCTCCCCCCCTCCCCCCCTCCCCCCCGGACCCGCGGATCCTGCGTGTTGCGAGACTACAACTCCGACTCGTCAATAGGATGGTATGGGATGTCTCGTCTTGTCCGTGTTCTTGCGGCGGGCCGGCGGGGCTGGGAATACTACTACTACTCTATATCTGCACACGTATGGTATTAGGGAGGCTGGGGAAAAAGTGGTTTGTTTGTTGTTATTGTTGTGATTGTTGTGCTTGTGCGTATTTTGCGTGTTTACGTGTTTGCTGGAACGGGATTGGTCGAGTCGACAAAACGAAACGAATTGTGATTGGTCACTGGTTGCTGGTGTTCCCCGCGAATGCCGCCATGTGTGGGCGACCATCTGCCGTAGGTAAAGCAGGTACTTAGGTGTACACGATCTCACTCGAAAGACAGCAGCCGCCATGTGTACCGGTCTATATCTCGTTACTACATGGAAGGGATTGCGCTCTGCGTTGTGCAGCTTGTTCTGATGCCGTCGTCACTGCCAGTCACTCGGCATGCGAGTGATAAGTTATGTACATTCCCGATGGCGGTGATGTTCCGCTGTGGAGATTCTAGTCGGGCCATTCACCTTTTTCAACGCAACTAAATACGGCACAGACATATGCACTGGGCTCGAAGCCATAAGATAACCCGCAAAGAAAATAGACAGAGCAAGTACTCAGGTGAACAAGAAACAAATCGAACCAGATCTAACGTATCAAACGACTGAGTAGTATCCCCGCGAACTATGCTACGAGCTCACCCTGTGCATATTCCCCACCACTCAGCCCTCAGCCCAGCCCCCAGCCGGTATTTAAGCAAGATCCTTTCCGTACCCATCAGACCTAGCCGGACTAGTGGGCTCGGAAGGCTGATGCTTCGTCTTGCTCCCTCGGCGAGCGCGGTTCTTCTTCTTCTTCTTCTTTTTCTTGTTCTTCTCGGCTGCATCCGAATAGTCGGGGGAGTCTCCGTATAGCGGGGTCGAGGTACCGGTCGCTGAGGATGCCAGGTATTCGTCCGCATACGCCTCGATAGGATCTTCCGCGGGGCCATCTCCGACGTCGGACTTGGGCGTAAGGGCATCCGGGGAAACAGACTGGCTCGGGGGTGGCTCCGGGATATCCTTCGGGTGCTGAGTTCCGACCGAAGCTGCATCGATGGCCTCGGTTCCATCGAACTTGGCCGTGACCTTGCTGGAGATTCTATCGACGAGTTGCTTACCTTTCCGCCCCGCGATGTCGTCCGAAGCCGATTCTTTGCCAGATCCCATCTCGTCGGACTGAGAAGCGCTATTGGCCTCCTTCTTGACGGAACGATCGCCGGTCAACACCTCGATCGTAGAATCGAGCAACGCCGCAAGCATTGATTGCATACGCGGCTTGTCGATCCTCTTCACTGGCTTGGACGAGCCCGAAGCGTCCGCGCCGCCGGTGCTGTCCTTGATGGCTCCGTGAGATTCGGACGTACGGTCATCGACATGGTCGGTAGCGGACTTGTGGATCTGTCAATCTCATTAGTCATCTGATCTTGCACTCTTGTAAACAGGCACAATGAAGCTTACCTCTTTGTTCGAACTCTCCTCTTCGACCTTTGCAGATAACGCGGTGGCCTCCTTCTTTAGTTTAACAGTCGTGTCGGAAGCCGCGTCTGGTTCTGCCGGGCCCTCTTCGTCCGTATCCTCCGCAACCTCAGCCGCCGATACGAAGGATTCGTCACTGCCGGAATCGGAGTCGCTATCCACCAGCTTGAGCCTGAACAGGTCTCCCTCACATTCGGTGACCTGAAGGGTCATGCCCTCTGCGAATCCAATTGAAGTTCCGTTTGCTCCGCTGCTTCCCAGACTGGTGGCATCCGTGGCATGCTGTGTCTTTTGATGCTTCTTCTTGGGCTCTGGCGGAAATACCGAATCATGTTCCGGTTTATCCCGATGCTTCTTCATCTCCTCATTCAGGGCGCGGAGACTCTTCGGCTTCGACTTCTTACCCTTCGAGGCAAGATAACGACGCTTCGAGCCGTTCGGTGACGAAGAACCGGAACTGTGTGGGGATCGGTAGCCATCTTCGGAGGCTGTAGGTGAGTCATCTCCTTTATTCGCGCTGAATACCACTGGCTTGTCGTCTTGAGTTACAGTGCCATCGTCGCCACTGCTGCCACAATCACTCGACGTGTCGGATTTGGAGGTCGCCGGTTTTCCAAAGTTGACATCCCATTTCTCATCGCCTCTCGGGAGTTCGAAGGCTCGCGCGCGATCAGACCTCTCCGCAACCAACTGATCAGCCAGGCCTCCGAAAATAGAAAGGATGTTGCTGAAGCTGTTGCGCGTGTTGTCGCTATGCCACTCCTGGAACTTGCGATTCGTAAACATGGCCTCATCCATCCCCATCCCGCCGCGGTTGAATATTCCCGTGAGCGTCTGCAGGCGCTCCCTCTCTGCGGCAATCGTCTCCGGGCCAACTATGATGTACCGTCCCACCATGCGGTAGTGGAGACCGAGCTTGTTGGAAGCTTCGAGGTTATACTTGAGGATGCCCAGGTGAGCCGATATCTCCTTGTCCGTTCTAGGTCCCGTGGCGGACTTCGACCAAGTGACGAACCGGTCGAGGTTCTTGATGTTCCAATCGATCTCGGCCAGCGCGGGGAGCTTGTGCTGGTTGTAGAATATCAGACCATCGGTGCGGAAGTCTAGCTTGTCCAAATGACCCTTGATGCGCGCGGCCTTAGTTACCAGCGGTTCCAGGACTAGCTGCTCGAGACTGAAGCGGAGCTCGTCCGCATCCATACCGGCATCATAGCCAACTTTGTAGCTTGTGGCGAGATATTTGCTAAAGGTGATGTTTGCTCCCGCAGTTCCCGCTGGCTGGGTGATGGCATTGATATCGCAGACGATACCGAAGTGGTCGTCTACTGTAGCGGCAAGAGTGTCCATGTTGTGCTGGATCAGCTCTTTCTGGTGTTCATCTGGCCCGTTGAACCCGAAAAGACCGCGTTTGGCGAGGTTGTCGTGGAGGTCGTTCTTCACGTTTTCGTCACCGGTTTCCTTGATTAGAGCGCTCTCGTCGTTGGATTTATTCTCCGCCATGGTTTTGGGAATGAATATGTCGCTTGCGATGATGTTTGATTCGAAGTAGGATGGAAGTGGCGAGTGCGAAGGTAATGTGTGGAGGGAGGTTGGAAGGGCGTGAGAAGAGTTTCAGTGCAGATATACGAGAGTTGATTGAGAGGATCGTGGGTAGCAATCGTGGAAAATGTAGTGGTAAAGGTGAGGTGAGAGCGATGGGTATGGAAGAGCGATGGTTATGGAAGAGCGAGTGTTGTGGAAGAGCGAGGGTTGTGGAAGTTGCGAGGAGGGAAAACTGTGCCTTTGGTTGATTGTGGGAAGGAAGGAGTTTTTGGAGCTTCATCCTTTTGAAGCAAATGCATTAGCCGCTTAGGCCCACATAAACATGCATTGGTTGTCACTCGGGGTGGAGTTTTGCTGAATCACGGGTCAAAAAAGAAAAGAAAAACTACTACAATAGGAACAAAGCAGCAGTATCAAAATTAGTAATCACAAGTGAACTCTTATTCCACCGGAGGGGCCTGAATGGAAATTCGAATTAATGATTTAGACATCTCTGGCCCTGTCCGCTGTACCGTGCATACATGTTGCATATTCCATTGTTCTCTCTCCACTCTCCACTCTCCACTCTTCACTCTTCATTCTCTACTCTCTCTACTCTCTCCTCCTACCCCCCCACCCCCCAACCCTACCCCCCACCCCCCGTACAGCCAAGCTCCTCAACCCGTTTTTGTTCGTCTTCCTCCTCTTCATAATAACTCCTTCACCTCGAAAATGCTCAATGCTCAGCAATACAGCCTTTCTTCCTACTTGCATCCGTCGAAAAACGCTTCATCTTCAAAGGCCATCATGGCCACCAGCTCCCATTGCAGCCATGATCCAACCAGCACCAGGCGGAAATCGAGTGCCAATTCTACCCACAGTCTAGCCTCGGCCCATGGACCCAACTTCGTTGCTGGAGATCTTGCCCAATACTACGCAACTTACTCCATCACCAATGCTCACCTTCTTGAATTACCCAAGGGCTATCCTGGTATGCACTTTACGGTTAGGTCTGAGAGCTACTGCTGATACCTGCTACTGGTTCACAGGACTCAAGTACCCCGACATCCTTTACCGTCTGTTCCAGAGGGTTGGCGTCAAACTCCTGTCCATCACTTCCCCCGAATACGATCCAGATACTAGTACCAATAATCATCAAATTAGGGTATGTGCCAAGGACAGCAGAACCTTGCTCGCAGCTATAACCGCACTGAGGGAAATGGGCCTACCGTTTAAGGAGCTGGACGACATCAAGCTGTCCGAAATTCATTCCTTAGAGGATACGATCCATGCTGTCAACGACTCGGGACGTGCGAGACCAGACGATAAGGACAACCGTCAACCGCATAACGGTCAAATGCCCGACCCTGTCGGAGGGTTCCAAGGACTTCATAGCAAGGCCCTGACTAAGTCTCAGCAGGCGGTCTCAGATAATCCCTGGCTCACAGCTGATTACGATGTCTTTACCGGCCGGTCACGTTCTAGGAGCATTCCTGGGCCAAGTTCCTTCATGTCCGCAGAGGTTCGCGAGGAACATGGAATGACAGTACTGTCACGCCTCTTGAAATCTAGTATCAGGTTGAAATCTCCCCAGCAACTGGAACCCGACTCTCAGCAGAGCTGTGTTAGCAGCACCCAGGGCATGGATGACTACCAGGTTCCTCCTCCGACCCCGTCCCCGTCCAAGGCCCTCGGAATTACGGTTCGATCTGTTAGCGATGAATATCCAACTATTGCTAGATACATGAAGATGCACGGCAAGCATCCCACTGACGAAGGCGCCAGTACCACGGCAGTCAGGGGCAACAATGAATGGAATAGGACGGGACACCCGGATAGCACTGCCCAGACCAAAGAGAAATATTGTGTTCCCCAGCGCCGTATGAGTGATCACCGAGGGCGTCCAATGCTTCGAATCGATACGGCTATCGCTACCACGAACGCACAACCCGCCACCGCGCCAGCCAGGCCCACTGAATCTCACGCATCAACAACTTCTCCAGCTGCCACCGTGGTCCAGACGTGGGGGCCTTATTCCGGTGAAAAGGAAGGCTCTATGAATCTGGATAATCTCGACGAGGCTATGTTTCGAGCATTTGGACAGGGCGGAGGATACCACCTTGCTGGAGTTCCCGGCACTGGTGGAGTTTCTAGCACTGGTGGAGGAGGATTTAAGGCAGCTTCTGGTGTTCGCCCCAGCCAGAATTCGACCTACGCTACGGTCCCAGCTGAAAACCCAGTCGGAGCTGGCTCTTCTGCGACTGGTTCAGCTTTCCCAGTTCGTTTCCAACCGGCCAGCCCTGACCACTCAGCTCATCAACGTCAACCCAGCTACCGCTATCCTCCTAACGAACAAGGCATTCCAGTTTATTTGAAGGAGAACTACAACCCTCGCTTCGAAACCACCGCAGATGCCGAACAAGGCTACCGGGGCTATGGATACGGCGGATATCCCACTCAGTCTCCGGCACGTTTCCCGAGGACTGGATACCAGGGAGTTGCGCGCCCACCTGTCTCGAGGGGCCTTCCGGTTGAGACAACGAGCGTTTACACCATTCAGCAGCAACCAGTTCAGACGGAAGTCTACATGAAGGACTTTGGTGCAGAAGGCAGCTACTCATATTATCTCAAGCCCATCCCGTTGACGGGTCCACGTTTTATTAGGTAGCCGGATCCACTCTGATATGACCTGGAGCGGTGCCTAGATCCTGTTTATTTGCTTTTGATGGAGTTTTCCATCAGTGATTGACTATGCGCTGTGTCTTTTCCTTTTCATGACGATTGCTTTCTATGTACACCTACGATTCATGCGTTTGATATTTCATTTGATAGGGGCTCCGGCGTTTGGACTTATGAGCTCGGCGGATTTGCGTTTTCTCTCCTTTTTATTTTTATTTTTACTTGATTTGCGAGGGCTGAAAAGCATTGGGATGGGATTGGGGGGAATAGTGGTGGCGGTGGTGGTGATACGCAGAAGAGAAAGGAGGTATATTTCCAGTGTAATTATTAAGTGCGGGCATATGGTTGTGGAATGAAAACCCTCTGTTGCATGTACTAAAGCGATGGCATTCCCTACCGCTGGTCCCGTAGAGCCACGACGTACGGACAAGCTGCTGTTTGGGACCAGTCGAGGAGGGCTACGTATTGTACATGTTCTCCACCTACCCGCATCCTCGACACACACGCCCGCCCCTCGGACACTCGTGCTCGGACTCGAACTCGGAAGCCTCGCTCTCCCCTTCGGCCACTACATTCATAGAGGGGGCATTTCTACCTATGCACCCACCTACCTACGTCCGTCATCTTCGGGAATTCCAGCACGGCTTCGCTGCAGTGCAGCACTCGACCGCGAATAGTTCAGCCATGTTCCACCACAACCTCTCTCGCCCCGTCTCCCTCCCCACTCGCGCCCATAAAGCCGACTGCTGTGCTTTCTACCGGGTGTGGTAGTTGTCGAAGTGGTGTTCCCAAGTCTGCTCGGCCCGATCACGAGCTTCTCGCCCCTTGCCGTTGCTGATGCGTCGCTTCGGGTGGGCTAGCGATGCTGGTAAAGTCGCGCCGCGTCTCCCGTATCTGTCATTGCAACGCAGCCATTCGCTTCCGTGGACATCGGGTTTATCCGGAGGATGATTTGGCCAGGGCGTACTGTCGGTATGTCCCGGGCTGAGTGAGAGGGTGAGCATCGGTCTATTGCTGCATACGGCCTGTTTACCGCAGACTATGGCGACACGCGTCCGGGTTGGGAGAGAGAGCGATCTTTAGTTTATTTCGCATGCGCGTCCGGGTTGGGGTTGCCGTACACCAGGCGAAAGCCGAACACTCTCGAGTGACGTTTCATGATCGTTATTCGATCTCCACTCGATCAATGGCCATCCACTGGTCGCTTTCCTTCAAACTTTATGAGAAGAATAATGGCAAGTGAATCGGTTTATCCACCGAATTTTATAAGTGAATTTGACGTGCTGGATAGCTTGCATGTGCGACCGTCGGGCTGTAGTTAGTCAAGCTTGTAGGTTGAGGTGTGTGAGCAGTCAGCCAGGCAGGCTGACTCGAAGATCAGGGCCAATCCTAGGTGTCAATCGACTGGCTATGATATATAGCCGTGGGGCGTATCCAATACTCATAATGGATCACTCGGGACTACCGGTAGATTCCGGCACGAACTACATTCTCACCGCCAACCGCGAAGAACACCACACTCTTGCATGCCCTGTCCCCCCGGAATGCAACCGTTGGCTGGCGCATGGTGCGTCACGTAGGCGAATAAATCATCATGCGTGCCCCAAATTCGGCAAATGCCGTCAAGGTGCCGGAATGACTCGTATCCGATACGAGGCTGGTAGTTACCGTGACTCGTAAGGGATGGCGTGCCGGTTAACTAAGGATTGGCCCCTAATTAATTGTATGTACATAACAGGCTCTGTATTCGTGTTCGTACGCCTGCCCTTCTACAATCCACCTCATCCCTCACCAGCTCTCAACAAAATCCGTGATATATCCTGCGAATCACGGCTTCTTCGCACACACATTCATTCCCATCCCTCCCCCTACCCCACGCGGTGGCGACTCAAATAACGAATACGCTGGTGTGACCGACAAGAAAAAATGGCGCCCAGGAGATCCCACAAGAAGTCGCGAACTGGCTGCCAGAAGTGCAAGAGACGCAGAATAAAGGTAAATAGTACCTACATTTGTTTTTAAACCATGGCCGGGTGCGAATACGGGTCAACCACGAGAAACAAAATCCGGCCGAGGAATAACCATCCAACGTAACTCGGGCCGATGGGCAGTGTTAATCCCTATCGCGCGTGTGTTTTTGTATATATATGCTAACTGCTTTTTCTTCCTGTATCATAGTGCGATGAGGTCCATCCTTCGTGCGGTAATTGCCTTAAGCATGCCATCATCTGCGATTTCTCATTGTCGCCCGAAGAGCAACGCGCTGTTTCGCTGGAGTTCCAATCGGCGCCGCGGGCTGCAGCCGGAGGTCAGGCGAAGTCGTCGTCGTCATCGGCCGCTTCACCGCTGCTGCTGCCGCCGCCGCCGCCCCCGCCGCCGCAGCTGCAGCAGCACTCATTGTCTCATCCGTCGCCCGTACATATGATAGTACAACAGTCGTCGAACTTGCCGACACTGGGGCTGATGGTTTCTGGGAATATGCCTTCTCCTGCGCCTTCGCAGGTTTATCACCAACATTCGCCGGGAGCACATGAACATTGCAATATCCCTAGCGGAACATCGGAGGCGCCCTCGGTGTCTCCCATCACGTCTTCTACAATTGGGCCTAGTAGTAGTAGTAGTGGTGGTGGTGGCAATACTACGGATACTTTCCTTCACCAGAATATCCATAGTAAAGAGTCGCCCCATGAAGCGCTGCCATCACCATCGCCATCATCAACACTGTCTTCATCGTCCTTCGCCACCTCGACGAACCAATCCGTAGTGTCTTCCGTCAACTTGCGAATCCCGACAGCGCACCCTCCCACACTCAACGTGCTCGACCTCTCGCTGATGCACCACTGGTCCATCTACACCGTGGATTCGATGAGCAACCGCGACCATATCCAGCAGATATGGCGCCTCAACGTACCCACACTAGCCGTCCACCACCCATTCCTAATGCACGCGCTCCTCGCCATCTCGGCGATGCACCTCCACTACAAAGGTGCCGACCCCTCCGAGAGCAGCCCCTACCTCTCCGTCGCCTCGCACCACCACGAGTGCGCCGTCCGCGGCATGGCCGGCTGCCTCGCGCACATCTCCCGCGACAATTGCGACGCCCTGTTCATCGCGTCCTCGCTGGTAGTGATCTACTCCTTCGTTGCATCGCGCATCGACGAAGTGTGCTCCAGCGGCGGCAGCGGTAGCGCCAGCGCCAGCAGCGGCAGTAGCAGCAACAACAACAACAGCCACAGCCCGACGCAAATCGCCTCCTGGGTCCCTCTCATCCGCGGCGTGCACAGCATCCTGAAGCAAGCGTGGAGCTGGGTCAACAGCGGCCCGCTCTCCCCACTCTTCACGCAATACGACCGCTCGCCGTCCAGCGAAGGCCTCGACCCGGAGACCGAGAGTGTGATCCAGAGCCTGTACCGTCTCTGCACGGACCGCACACTTCCGGGCTCCAACGAGCTCTCGGACATCGCGACGTCAACAGCATACTTCTCCGCGATCGCCGAGCTGCGGCGCACCTTCGCAACAATCTCGGCATGGGGGTCCATAATCGGCAGCATATTCGTATGGCCCGTCACGGCAAACGACAAGTACGTGGAGCTACTCGTTGAACGCCGCCCGCGCGCCCTCGTGATCTTCATGCACTACTGCGCACTGTTCTCACTCGTCGAGGAGTTCTGGTGGTCACAGGGCAGCGCTCTGTTCGAGCTCAGACGGTGCGAACAGTGTTTAGCCGATGAGTGGCTGCCGTGGATCGAGTGGCCACGACTCAGAATTCTAGCGGGAGATCTGTCGGTCGTCGTCGGCGGTGGGGGAATGGGGTCGAAGCGCCTGCCTCTGCCGTCCGCGAGGAGGGCGGCACACGAGCAGTCGCCTAGTATGACGCCCCCGCCACCGCCACCTCCTCCATCAGTGGCACAACCACAACCATCACAACCACAACCACAACCACAACCACAACCACAGACGATGACGCCGACGACGATGGCGAGCCCGGTGGAGCAGGAGGTGAAGTGAGCCGCTACCTATCTCTGCCATCTCTGCTACCCATATCCTTAATCTTTCATATGTGCGCCTGGCGCTTCGGAGTTTGTTCTGTCATATTCTGTCATATTCTGTCATGTTTCCCCATGTTTCCGCAGTGCGGTGCGCGTACTGTAGTAGCTGTAAGTGTAGTAGCTGTAGTAGCTGTAGTAGCTGTAGTAGGTAGCTGTAGTAGTTTGGATACACTGAGTGCTCTAATACCCCCAATACCCTAATGCCCTTCAAAAACATCGAAAGTTCGAAACATCAACTGCACGAATCTCGCATTGCATTGTAATCCTTCCTTCCTCTCTTGAGTCTTCATTCCCGTCTCCATTCCCGTCTAAAAAACCATCACAACACAGCAATGACAACAAAACAGTGACAATTTATCTCTATCGGCCATAACCTTCGGGTTCCATGCTGTATGAACAATCAATCAATCAACAACAGTGACAACACAACAGTGACAACACAACACTCAGACCCATAGAAGAAGAAGAAGATGATGAAAACCACAGGAATACCATTGCCATTGCCATTGCCATTGCCATTGCCCATCGTCGTCGTCCCCACCTTGTCACCTTACCTGCCTAAGTACCTAACCTACCTAGGGAATAATTTTTTCCTAGCCAGAAAAAGAAAGTCGCTAATGTACAGAAAACAAAACACGAAACAAAACACGGCAAAAAAGAAAAAAAAGGGTGAGAAAACGAAGAACACGTGAAAAGAAAGAAAGAAGGGGTGATCCATTCCCTACAGAAGAAGAACATGACAAGACAAAAAAAATCCGCCCCTCGTCCCCCGTCCCCCGTTCCTGTCCCATCCAATCCAATCCAATCCAATCCAATCCAAATGTCTATCCGTATCGTATCGAAATGGGGGGATGGATGCTCGAGTCATGTAATGCTGTTGTAAACAAGGAGAAAAAGAAAAAGCACAAAAGAGTAAACAAACGCATGGAGCTAGCCAGCAACCCATCACCTCAAGAACGAAAGAAAAAAACAGAAAAAAAGAACCGTATGCTAAAACGAAAGGAAAGGAAGAACAGGAAAGAAAGAAAGAAGTGATGTTTAAAAAGGGCCTATACAAGAGAATCGAACAGCGAACAGAAAGAGAGAGGAAAAAAACACGCCCCATCGTTCACTCTACTACTCGCGAAGACTGGCGATGAAGTTGTTGAGATCGTACTCATCAGTGTACTGACTTTCATCCCACAATTCGCCAATATCGTCGAGAGGTCCCTTGGCACCCTTCTGTCTGACTTCACCCGTGGTGGCATCAACCATCTCTTCCTCGTTGCCGGGCTTCGGCGCTGCGATCGTGTCGCCAACGTTGAACAGGTCCAGAATTTGGTCCGTCTCCATGGTTGCGAGACCGGCGTTCTGTTGGTTCACGACCGTCGAGGCTACGTCTAGCTTGAAGCGTTGGAGGCTGCACAACATGTTAGTTTTCATACGACTTGGAGTATAATAGTTGGGGGTGGTGGGGTTACCTCATGATCTTCTCCTCCAACGTCCCCCGAGTGATGAGACGATAGACATTGACCACCTTCTTCTGTCCGATTCGATGGGCGCGGTCCATGGCTTGCATATCCTTCTGAGGGTTCCAATCGTGTTCCACAAAGATCACGGTATCGGCACCAGTCAAGTTAAGGCCTAGACCACCGACATGGGTCGTCAAGAGAAGAACGTCGATCGAAGGGTCTCCATTGAACTTGGTGACGAGGTCCTGGCGCTTCCGGGCATCGGTGCTACCGTCCATCCGCATGTACGTCAACGACGGGAGTAGTTTCCTGAAGACATCGTTCTCGACGATGTCGCACATCTCCTTGAGTTGGCAGAAGATCAATGCTCGGTGCTGACTGATGGCATTGCCGCCTGTGGGTAGTTCTCCAGCCTGAGTGGTGGAGTCAACGCCAATACCGCAATCCACCAGAAGATCTCGGAGGGCGCCCAGTTTCGGTGCATGGACAATATCACGTAACGACGACTTCTCTTTTACTAGTTGACGGGTGACCGATTCGTATTGCGGATGCTTTTCATTGACGACCAGTGAAGGTGAGTTGCAGAGTTTGCGCATGTATTGTAAAGCTTGGAAGATGTGCTGCTTGGCCTGTTTGTCGCCTTCGCCGACGACTTCGCCGATTGTCTTTGCCTGTTTCTTGGCAAAATCGTCGTACAACCTCTTCTGTAACTCGCTGAGATCGCAGTAGTAATTTTGAATAATCTTGGGGGGTAGATCGTCCAGCACCTCTTCCTTCAGCCGTCGTAGAAGGAACGGCAATACCTGTTTGTGAAGGGCTTCGATCGCCAGCGCACCGGCTTCCTGCTCCTTGGAATTGCTTTTGCTGTTACGACTCGCAGCGATAGGCTTAGCGAATCGATCCAGGAAGACCTTCTCGGTGCCGAGGAAACCGGGCATGAGGAAATCAAACAGCGACCAGAGCTCGAGCACATTGTTCTGGATCGGTGTGCCGGACAGGATGAGGCGATGGTTTGCGACAACTCGCTTGACAGCCTGGGTGAGTTTCGCTTTGGAGTTTTTGATGATGTGGCCCTCGTCGAGAACGCAGTAGTTCCAGTTGAGCTTGGCTATCTGCTCAATGTCGTTCCTGCAGATATCGTAAGACGTGATCACGACATCCGTCTGGCCAAGTAGACTCTTCACACGCGCACGCTCGGCTGGATTCCCAACATAGCAGGTGGCCGTCAAGAAGGGAGCGTATTGATTGATCTCCTGCAGCCAATGTCCCGACAAGGTAGGTGGGCATATGATCAACGAAGGCAGCCGGCGGTGCTCTGGGGATCCTGTCTTCTTGAATTCCTCGGCACGCAAGTGGTGATCGCTAGAGACGATGCAGATAGTCTGTAATGTCTTTCCGAGACCCATATCGTCGCAGAGAATACCGTGTAGATGGTATTTGTTGAGGAAAGCCAGCCAGTTGACACCTTCTTGCTGGTAGGAACGGAGATCCGCTTTGATCGTCACGGGGAGCTCGAACGGCTCAACCTTGTGCACATCGAGCATCTGCGCGATGAACTTGCGCTCACGGTCCCTGCCCTTCAGCAGCTCCGCCGAGAGTCCAGGTGGATCGGGGATACCGGCCTCGAGCGGAACCAGCTTGACCAGCGTTGCAAACGTGGTGGTGGCAATTAGTCGAATGTCATTGTCCGAATCGCTCATACGTCCAAGGATCGGCACGATCAAAAATACCACGTAAGGAAGGATATCCTCCTCCATCACGTGGATCAGATGATATACACACTCAACTGCACCCTGGCGGCAGTGCAAATCAACGGCATTTCCAATCATGGGCAGAATGTTCTCGACCAGTGCAGTCATTCCCTCCACCGTGATGACACTGCAAATCGTCGCAAAGCATTTGGCAGCCGCGTATCGAAGGACCGAGAACGTGGACTGAAGGGCACCAATGATCAACGGGAAAAGCTTGATGATGGCCGAGTGCAGATCGCCATGGAACTTTGGCAGCAATGCACGCAGAGTTGAAAGTCCATCCACAACCTCCTGCCCAAGGGAGACGCCTGGATCCGTGATGTTGGCTGGTAGAGCGCCATCGAAAGCAGTGTGCAGCGGATCCTCAATGCAAGCCCGGATTTTGGGTACGCCAGCAAAAAGGTCGGCTCCAAACGTCTTGGCTAATTGCTCGAGAGCCTCTTTCGCTCCGCGTCGCTTGATTCTTGCTTCTCGAGCCTCTTTCTCGAATGCTGCCTGATCCGCGTGCTCTCGGCGGTCCTCTTCCTTCCTCAGCGACAGGATGTTGTCCGTGAAAGTCGAGTTGACATGGAAGATCGGAACTTCGGAAGTGTCGACGCAAAGGAACGAGATGAGATTCTTGGTAACCTTGTCCGACACAATGTTGCGGCCCGTTCCGGAGCATAGACCGACCAGGGATGCAACTGAAAGGGCCGACCGTCTCTGGAGGTCAACATTCTCTTCCATCTTGACGCTCTCGATGACTCCGCGGACGATAGTGTTAAGTTTCTTCGGGAGTTCTCCGGAAGCAATGTAAGCACCAGCCGCCGCCGCAAGAATCCGAGCATCTCGCTGGGCTTTGGCCGATTTGGCTTCCTCGATTGCATGCATCGCATTCGTACGTGCGTCGGTAAGTACCTGTGATGACAGCAGCTTTTGAGCCGACATCATGCCCTTTTTAAGGCGAGTGAAATCGTCGTTGACAATCTTTTCAGCTTTCTCGATGCTGAACGCATCGGGGCCGGCGTCGGGATCTCCTTGCACCACAACTGCTATGTTTGGTATCTTGGATGCCGCCACCTTTCCGTCGGACTTGAAAGAGTTAAGCAACGCTTGGCATTGCGAGCGGACGATCTGCATGTAGGAAACGAGGTCCCAATAGAATGCCGGGCGATCCGCATTGAGAACATCGAGGAGGGCCTCCAGGAAGACGGTCTTGAGCGGACTCGCGGGCTTGCATTCCTTCGCATACTCCTCGACAGTCATGGCAGCAACCAGCTGAGTCGAGGCATATGGCGATTTGAGGTGGTGGGTTATTCTGGGCTTGAACGTATCCAACGCTTCGTCCTCGGGCCACAGACTCATTGCCAGACCCATTGCCGTCGCACCAGCGATCTTTGTCTTGACGATCGTCTCGTAACCGACCAGATCGATGTCTCCCTGAATCATATGACCATCAACGTTGTGTCCAGCTGCCACTGGTTCCTCCTTCTTCTCACTCTTTCGCCGCCGCTTTCGCTCGGGCTCCTGGCCTGGGGGTGCTTGGGTCGGCGAAACGACTCGGGCCGGAACCGCGATGCCGGGAAGCACCAGTATCTGACCCGATGGCCGGATGAAGAGGGAGGGATCGAGGGGATACGGGTGACGAGAAACACCGATAGGAGTGGTCAACAGCTTCAGGAGTGGATCCAGATGAGGTCCAAATTCGTGAGCAAGACGAGCGGGATTGTCTCTGGCAAGCTCCGTGATCAATGCCGCCCAGACCTGCAACGACAGCGACAACACCGCTTCGTTCCTCTCAACAAGCAGATTCTGGAAGACAAGTCGCAAAGCTTTTCCATCCACCCAGCCCTTGGTGCCATCTCCCTGGACGTTCAAGAATGTCAACAGTGCTCGCAGAACTGCCGAACGGACACTGGTGATGGTGTGACGCAGGAACGGGTAGAGTCTGGGAACCAAGAGCGCAAATGATTGCGATGGATCCGTCGAAGCCTTGTGTCTCATGGCTTCCAGCACTTCCGGAAACGAGCAGAGCTTGGCAAGTAAGTCCATAACCGACCCTGTACTCGCACTCAAGTCGTCCTTGAGGTGTGACAAGCACTCCCAGACAACATTGATCAACCCATCGACGGCTTGAGGACGCAAGGAGATGAATTCAGCTGCTATGGGTATCAGAGTAGCAGCACTGACAGCTCTCACATCGTCGTCCAGATCCGCCAAGCCGCGCATGACCGCCTGAACCACGCCGTCCAACAGCTCGGCGTTTTTGGTAAGAATATCCGTCCGGACTGCGCTGAGGTATTTGAGACCAAGCATACCACCGTGGCACACCTGCCAGATGGGCTTCGAGATGCCCAGGTCCTCCTGCATGACCAACCGATACAGGTTACGGTAAACCTTGTGGACGGATCCGGGCGAGAGATGCTTCAAGAGCGCACCCATAGTCTGAGAGGTGGTCTCGCGTATCGGTGCGACCACGTTGTCGGAAACATAGTCGCCGAAACGGTCGAGCATGAAGATGCATGTTAACCGACATGCAAGGTCGTCCAGCCATTTCTCGTTGAGCACATCGTTTTCCTTCCGGTTTCTTCCACGCGCCCTTCCAGCGCCCGCTCCGTGAGCCCTAACAACTTCCCTCAACCCCATAGCAGCACCGTGGCGTATTTCCCAATTAGGATCAAACAGGTCGACCATCAAGATTTCGCACAACCGCTCGAATGGCCAATCCATGTCTTCCCCGGAGGTTTGGATCAGCGGTGATGGGGGCTGTGCTGGTCCCTTGTATTCCACCGCGATCTTTGTATCGTCGGGCAGGGCATCGGAGCCCAACGAGAAGTAATCCTGCGGAGTGACGCCATTCTCGGCCTTCTTCACCGGGTGAGGTGTCGCCTCGTTCACCATTGCGCTGACATCCGAACTCATGCGCCGCGAGCTGCCCAGATCCACCACACGCACCTTATTGGCGTGGTTTTTGGCATTTGCCTTTGCTTTTCGTTTCAAGGCGTTGATCTGCCTCTTGCTGAGTGTCGTGCACTCGTCGGTTGGAGTCTGGGGATGCGCTTCCATTGGTGACATGGGGGTTTTGACGGATGGGGACTGCAATGGCGGCCGAATAAAGTGACCCACCGACGTATCTATCCGAGAAGTCGGCATCGGATTGGACCCGCCTGCAGCAAAGTCCTTCTCGGTGACAATCTCATCATCCATGTATTCCCCGCCCAGGCCCAATCGAGCCGTGACGTTACGTTTCTGTGCCGCCAGCCTCTCGGCAGGGTCCAGGTCCGCCAGAGAGAAATCGTACTCCCTCCCCGAGCTGCCTAGTAAGGTCTTTCCGTACTTGAGCACCGCGGTCAGATCCAGAGTTTCAAAGCTCAGCACGCCGTCGTCCAACCCGTTCCCATTCTCCGTTCCGTCGGCCGTATCCTCCTCCTCATCCTCCTCTTTGATTTCGTTCTTTATTTCGTTCTTAGCGCTGTAGTTGACGTATTCTTCGCCCACGTTAGGGTCCCACCTCTCCGCGTTGTCCACGATCCCCGCGATCGCCTTTGTAGCAGCTACACGGGTCTCCCATGTTTTCGATCTTAGGTGGGGGACGACACGGTTAAGAAGATTGAAGAGTTCGTCAGGGTGGGCCTTCTGGATATCTGCGAGCTGAACGGCGGCCGTATTCCGAACCAGGGCAGTCGATCCGGAATCGAGTAGACTGTACGGAGACCGGATGGCATGTCAGTAAAGCCAAAGGCCACCGAATGACCAGCAGGAGCACCAATCAACGGAATGGGGTCGGAGCGGAAAGCAACGTACGTTACAAGTCGGTCAAGTCTAGAGATGAAAGTTAGCGAAAGGTCTTGAGAATCGACAACACAGCAGTCCGAACAGAACCATGATCCGAGTGTGAGAAAGGGAGGGTGTAGGGGCCGTTGAGGAGGTGACAACAAGCGAGCAGATGAAGTGAAACAAAAGCAGCAGCAGCAAAATCAATCGGCATCAACAGCTGCCAGTGCACGATGTAGCCACCCCAACCATACGGGGCACACATCGCATATCTCATATGGTGACTGTACATGTGGACGGGAATGCAGTTCATCAATTGAGCAACCAATTAACTAGACATTCGACCAAGGGGGATGAGTAGAGAGATGAAGTTCGGGGATGCGAGCAAGGAGGAAGACCGGGGCACAGACGACAGTGACCATTAGCATCTCGATGGAGACGATATCAGGATCGGGCAGGTCAGGGTGCGGCGGAAAACAATAGGATTCCAAGACCAGTGGAAATCTCCATTGCCCCTCTTCATGTCCCTAGCCTCCGTCCGTCTCGGTCCGTATCCCTTGGAAGCAATCACCCGATCTCACTCATCATCATCTCTCCTCCCCAAGCCCACAACCGACGCTCCCTCTTTCGTCCATAGCTTTCTCCGTCCAAACTCGACCCTCACTTGACATCCATCTCATGTAAGAGACCACGTGCTCAGCTCGGCTAATTCGGGGGGAAGGGGGGAGGGGGGGAGGGGGGGATGGGGGGAAGAGAAATGGAAACAGAGCTTTCTTTGGATGAGAAAGGTGTGAATCAAGAAAGGAAAAAGAAACAAGAAAAAGAAAAAAGAAAAGAAGGATAAAACGAGTTTGTCTCTCACCTCGACATGTTTTGCCCATAGTTGAAAGTAACCAACCAGAGTAAAAAAGGTTATCGTTGCCGATGCCGATGCTCGACCACTTTCTCCTTGGCGGTTGTTGAAGGAAGCGGTTGAAAGTGATGTGATGTGACGAGGCGGGAAGGGATGGACGCTAAAGAGGACGAAAGAGGTACTTTCGATTAGTATGGGTGCTTAAGCGGGCAAATTGTGGCGTGTGTTTGAGTAGGAGTGTAGTAGGCGCAGGGACTGAGTGTGGGGTGGATGAAGGTGGGGGAAGGGATTGCGGTTGTGTGTAAGGTATGTGAGGAGGAAGTACTCAAGCAGGTACTCAATGAGCTCAAGAAGGTAGGTGAAGGGATAGGTGAACAGAGGGTATATGTAGTATGGGGTGGAGGGGGGGGGGGGGGGGGGGGGGCTTGAATAAGGTGCAGCGTAAGAGAGCACCGAGTAAGTCGATACTTTATCGAAATAGACAGGATATAAACCTTTTTTTTTGTTTTTTTTTGTTTTTGTTTTCGCCCTTTTTTTCTTCTCTTTCTCTTTCAGTCAGGTAGCAACAGGGGGAGCGGGCTGCAGCAAGCAAGCAAGCACAAGCAGCAGCAACGCAGGTGGTAGCTTAAATAGGAGTTAGGCCGAGTTGGATTGGTTGTCCCACCAAGAGACGCTGACAAGTTTTGGAGAGCAGTTGGGAGAGGCGAGGATGTCCAATCACGAACGTTGGAGGAGAAGGAGTCCTAGGGTTTGGGTTTGTGTATTTTTTCTTTGGGGAGCCAGGGTTTGGGTTGGTGGTGGTAGTAGTAGTGGGGGGGGGGGGAGGGGAGGATAATTGTTCGAGGGGGGACGGGGGACACCAGCAGCTTTTTAATGGGCTCTCGCTTTTTCCGTTTTTTGGAAGGGTGGGATGTGGATGGCGCCGGGGCACGGGTTCGGAGCTAGGGTTCGAGGGTGCGGTTTGGTTGGTTGGTTTTGGTTTTGATCCTGGGCGGTAGGTAAGCTGGGGCGGATGAGGCTAAAAGGTGCTGTGCGGCGCCGCTTGATCGCTTTGGGAGCACGATAAAGTGAGCGAGGGGAAGCAGGGTCACGGCAAGAAGAAAGAAGACGAAGAACTGTGGAGGTGCAACTCTCTCTCTATCTCTATCTCTCGTAGGTGGCAGGCACGCAGGCAGACACGCAGTCAGACAGGCAGGCAGGGTAGCAGCACAGCAGCCGGGGGACAGAACGAGGGCGGGGGCTGGCTGGCTGGCTGCTCGGCTGTGATTGGCCGGTCGCTTCAGCGTCCCCAGCAGGCTGAGTCGTCCGCGCTCGTTTCGCTTCTGCTCCTTGGCGTGGCCAGAAAAGCAAAACGAACAAAGTCAAAGGGACCTTCGAGAAACAGCGAATACACGGGTTTGTGGGGGGAAGATATAAAAGAGGATCGCTGGGGTGCGTAAAGGACCAAATTCGGTAGACTAACAGCCAGTCTTCTTCTTCGTCGTCTTCGTACGCGTCGTCTTCGTCGCCAATCGATCAGGCATCGACCCGTAATGATGATGCCGAACGATATGCGCAGGAATGACGAGGAATCGTTGGGGTGGGGGGGGCTCGCAGGGAAGTCGGAAGTGGAAGCCACAAGCAGCACGCAAGCGTTTCGAGGGATTGTCGCTGTCACCCTTTTTCTCCGTGGTCTCGGGCTCCTTTTATCTGAACGACGCGCGATGGCCAGTGACGCCAAGGCACGCTAGCTACTCCCGTTGCCTAGCGAAAACATCTTCAGCTTCATCGCACTACGGGACACATCTCAACATGCGACCTTTGTCGATTTCTTACCGCAGCATGTAGGTCAGTACACGGACATCAGTGGATGCTCGGCCGATGGGGAGGGGCTCGCGAAAGATATATCGATCCCCCATCGGAAGGGAGATCGCTTCTATCTGTAGCCGTAACGTTCGCTGATCTCGAAGCTGAACACCGACCGGCCATGGTGAGAGGTGTGCACTGACTTGGATATGTAGAGCGAGTCCCAGGTCCGGAAGCGGTGACACTTGACTAGGTAGAGCACTCTAGGGACTTGACAGCAAGCGGATCGATCAGATTAGATTAGATGGTTGCATGATTGGCTGAACACTCTCTCCTTCCTTTTTTTTTTGCTCGACTGCGATTTGGAGTGGATCGGGAAATGTGATGTGGAGTGGAACAGTGGCGGAGGCTTTTCACGAGCCCCCATTCTCACGGTGACCACGGCAGCCCGGCCGGCTGTCCACCCCCTTCCCGAGAGCTGATCCACATCAATTTTGCCCATCGCAGCCCTCAACGCCACGTTCTTTTGTTCTTGGAATCCCGCCGTTTGACGCTCTGCAGCTTGATCGTCGACATCCCGAACAAAGTCTGGGGATGAATCAGTGCGGCTTAAAAGCTTAATTCAAGCTCTTGTCGCGCACTTTCCCCCGCACTCGCACTCGCGCTCGCGCTTCCCGACTAGCCACTATTGTCTAAGATGCCAAACTCCAACGACTTGTGTTCTTTTCTCTCCGTGTTTCACTCCAGCACAATGCCGTAGCTATGATACCTCCCTGACACCCCGCCACTGTCTGCACCCAAACAATGCCGTCAATCGCCCGCTAATCGCGGCGGAGTGTCGATACTCTATAGATAGCACATACCACTCGCCAGTCACCCCGGACAAAACGAAGAAAGTACTATCGCTCCGAACAGTCGAGAAATTGATGAAAGGCAATGATCTCCGCCGGATGGTCTCCGGGGAAGACAAGCTCTCCACGTTCCCCACAAAACCATCGACGAACGCCTAGAGGTCTTGCTTGGGAAGACAATGGAGAATGCTTCGGTATGTACATCCTTTCGACGGTAAGTGTCGCCAGATAGGTAGACTCCAAGAACGAAGAGCACGGGAAAAACTTGTCATACTTACGTCCGACCAGCCGTGTCACGCTGCAGGCTGCAGCGAATCATCGGGAATGATCCGGACGAATATCTAGAGCTTCGATTTGAACTGGAAAGCACAAGAAAAATACTCTCCGGAGCCAGTATGCTCTACCCCAATCGAAAGTCTCCATACGGTTCATGCTGTTTATCTACCTAATTCAACTCCAGTTTTCAGCTGCAAGGAATGAAGCTGTACCCAACTGCCACCTAGAGTCGCAGCGCTCCTCTCCAAGTCAAGCCTCATTGAGTTCTACCAAAGTGTTCGGTTTTTTCATATGGGCCGAATCTCAAAAAGACCGAGTACCTATGATTTCCTTTGATGTCCCACACGACAGACTCGACATCGGACAAACACGACAATCACCACAAACTCAACAAACACAGCAAACACAGCAAACACAACTGTGCCACACCCCGTTTCTGCACGCGGCATCTACCTACCTTACTCTACTCTACATACATATTGCGGAGATGACTTCCTGACTTCCTGACTGACCGACCGACCGCCCGACCTGACTCGCACATGCATAATGCATTATCTACCGTCCCTTGTAAGTTGCCGTTGTTTGACGGTTACTGTGGAACGCGAGATTCGAGAAGTGCCGCGCGCAGCGGCGCAGGCAGAAACGTCAGTACTTGGAGTTGGACAATGAATCTCAAAGCTCGTCTCGCCGCCTATCTGTGTACATATGATATGTAGGTGACGGGCCTGAGCCGGGTCCGGACGTGTCTGTCATACAACCTGCGCTCGGCTGGACTCCAACCCGCCCCGAGACGAGTAGCGAGGGCGAGGGGCGACGGATTCATCCCCACAGTACTACCTGTGATAGAGTAGAGGACCCCCCCCTCCCTCCCCCAACATCGAATGCTCTCTCTCGTAAACCTGGATCTACCCTGTCCGCGCTGACTACCTAGCTATCTCGTCCCGTGATACCTCCACCCCGTGGATCATGGCCCGCTGATGGAACCTGGGCGGTTAACTATGCGAGCATGGGAATTCCAAGTGCTGCAGTCACTGGACGAGGTGGCCCACTAAAAAGATACATACCGCCGTGGCCGACGTCTCTGTCTCTCTGACCTGAATGCTCAGTTCGGTTGGATGACGTAAGCACGAAGAGAGGCGTCATTATTGGCTACGGACCTACGGTATCGTCGCTCCCGCCCGGTCTATGATTCCCACGATGATGGGCCCGGAAGATCCGGGGATGGTATGTATTGTACAATAGGTGGAGCCTGGACAGGCGCGTTGGGGCCGACAAGGGAGGCGATCGTGAGTACAGTCATTCCAATAGACCTCAGCGGCTGTGTCTCAACGCTCGATACCGGTATGTCTATCTTCAGCTGAGGGTTCATTGTCCACCTCCACCTGGAGACGAGATGAGACGAAGCCCAGAACGAGATCACGTGTTGTCTCCTTCTCCCCCAACCGAGAGACAGATGCTTGCCGGCGAATCATAAGTTGTAGATATGCGCTATACGAATAGAGTAGTTGGGTAGAAGGCCAACCGTCCAGATTGGTTCTTCTTTGGTTATCTACCTATGTATCGTTCGCGGGGTGATGATTGTCGATCAGATCAGAACGTGAATGCCGCCACTTCGCCTGCTGGATGTACGTACTAGTACTGTTCTCCAACCGGTGATGATGATTGGGCTTCGCCGGTGAGAGTGTCTCATAGTCATCCACGCGAAAAGACATCAACAGTATCAGCACATCCAGCCAAGAGATGATGACGACTGCGAGGAACTTGTGATCCCCCGTGTCGATAGGTATGAGCAAGTACCGCATGGTGGCCGTGGCCATGGCCAGGGCGTCGAGTGACCACGCGTCGTGAACAGTTCGCCTGGAGAATTAATTCCCATGACATGAAAGACAAGTCAAGTCAAGACAGATTCCGGGCAGCCGCATACATAAATCCCCCCGTTCTCAGTTATACCCTTGCCGGGTTACTGATGCATGATGCGACGAACACACCCTGACACTGACACACAGCCCTTCAACTCCAAGCCCGTTGAATAGAGTAGCACCTAACTGGCCTGCTCTGCGACTAACTACGCTACCATACTACTGCTACCTATTCGGGCCAACGAACATCTTCAACACCTCTGGCCCCCCTCGCACAGCTCACTCAACCATCTTCCGATCCCAACTGCTACCTACCTGCCGGCGAACTCCATCGAACGTGCTAACAGCTGTCTTGACAACTGTTCATCGCCATCTCTCTGCCCTACCCTCTTTCCCACGTCGAACCCCCCGAGTTCCGACAGAGACCCCCCCCTCTCCCCTCCCCCCTTGGACCACCAAACTTCTCCGACATCCTCAACCCCCCTCAAAAGCGATCTCGTCTCGTATCGCGGTTCTTTAGCTTGGAAGCCTGTCACCTTCGCGAAACCGTTCCCTCCGGCATCCAACTCGGGAAAGTCTTCTATGGCGGCCTCAGCGTATGGGCACCAGCTCGCATCACACCTTCCGGGTCACCGTCCCACGGTAGCTCCCGTTCCAAACATCCCGCCAGGCACCTTTCCTCCCGGTACCGCCATCACCGTCGGAGCACACAAATGTGTCATAGAACGATATCTCTCCGAAGGCATGTTGCACACCCCCGCCGCTGCCGACGCCGCCGCCGGCAATGCCGTGAGACAGACGGGTCCCTGTTGCTAACCGCGATCGCGACGTTTAGGCGGCTTCGCACACGTTTACCTGGTGAAATTGTCGCTTCCCGTGCATGGCTCGGACATAGCGGTGCTGAAGCGTGTGGCTGTTCCGGACAAGGAGGCCCTCGCCAGCATGCGGACCGAAGTGGACACAATGGTGCGTGTGTTGAAAGCTCCCTCCTCCGACTCTCTCTCCTGTTGTCACAATTTGCGTCTGACTCCGGTGCACCATCGCAGAAACGGTTAAAAGGACATCGACACATCGTAACCTACATTGATTCGCACGCGTCGCATCTGAAGGGCGGGGGTTATGAGGTCTTTCTGTTGATGGAATATTGTTCAGGTACGGCAACATCCCCGTAACCCCCCCGCGCGGCGTACGGTTCCAGGGCTCATCATCTTACTCATTGTCAGGCGGCGGGTTAATCGACTTCATGAACACTCGACTACAGCACCGGCTTACCGAACCGGAGGTTTTGAAAATATTCAGCGATGTCACCCAAGGAGTTGCTTGCATGCATTACCTGCAACCCCCACTGCTCCACCGTGATTTAAAGGTCGAGAATGTTCTGATAGCTCAGAGTGGAGGTTACAAGGTCTGCGACTTTGGCTCTTGCTCTGCCGTGAAACCGGCACCCCAGTCAGTAGTCGAATGCCGGCTTCTGGAAGAGGATATCCAGAAGCACACGACACTTCAGTATCGGTCACCGGAAATGGTTGACGTGTTCCGCAAGCTGCCTATCGACGAAAAGTCCGACATATGGGCCTTGGGTGTGCTTCTTTACAAGCTTTGCTACTACACGACGCCATTCGAGGAACAGGGACAACTGGCAATCCTCAATGCCTCGTTTTCATTTCCCCCGCATCCCGTATTCTCCGATAGGCTCAAGAATTTGATAGGTTGGTGGCCCGAGTTGCCAGCGCATTCTTTGACTTTTTTTCTTTTCTTCTTCTCCCGCCTCGGAGCACGGCTAATGTAGGCAGCTTCTATGCTTCGCGAACAACCGCACCAAAGGCCGAATATTTATCAAGTTCTTCGGGAAGTTTGCTACCTTCGCGGTAGGGAGGTGCCGATCAAAGACGTGAGTAAATATAGCTGTGCGACACCGCCGCCGCCGACCAATGACGCTGATGAACCGGAAAGATTTATTCCCCGCGATCGACTCCCGTGCCGGCTCAAGTCGAAAAGCATTTGCCTTCGCTCCCGGTTCAATCATCTCCGAGCGTTGTAGCATATCAGGTGCCGGCTCAGGCGGAATCGCTGCCGATTCCGGATATTGTTCCCATGCGTCGAGGTAGACCGACAAAGAGTCAGCCCGCTTCATCTAACCCTCACTCGACCGCAACGTCGAGGACCCGGGTGGGGGTTCCATCGCCTCAAGTCCGACCCACAACAATCGACCCATTTGCAGCGTTGGATAAAAATACGGCGCATCTCTCCCAGGACGAACTCTCGAATAGGTTTCCGAGTGTTGAGCAGTTCTCGTTGCTTCACGACTCTGGCAGTAAATTCCAGTTCATGGATGATAAATCACCCGGTGCAGGTCAAGGCTTCGATGAGAATCTGGCGGAAAGGCTTGCGGAGGATGCGTTCGCCACAGTGTCGTCCCCGAAGGCGGGTCTTCTCAGGAGCACCTCGACAGAACTATTGAGTCAACCCCAGAGCATTTCACGAGGCGCAACAGGCACGAGTAACTACGTCCGACCCGTATTGTATGAACCACAGCCCAAAAGGCCGGTTATGGTTTCGACCGGAACGATGACATCCCCATCCCCGCCCCGATCGCCTCCGCGGCATGAGCCTCTCCCGCAAAGCCAAAAACTGACGACTCCGCCGTCGAGCAGTACCCATGATCGAGTATCGGAGAGCTATATCCGCCAAGAGCAGCCACAGCGACCAGCGCTTCTTGATGTCGGACGCTCGCAGACACATGTTCTCATCTCGTCCACTTCGCAGCCGAGCTCGTCACGACCATCACTCGAAATGTCTCGTGCGCTCTCGTCGACAGACATCGGTGAACCGATCCGGTCCAAGTCGGCGAATGCCAAACCAAGGCCGCACAGCGTGTATGTGGAGTCGAACCTGGAGTTTCTCCGCGACTTGGACTCCCCCAGCTCGCAGGGAACATCGACCGGAGGATTCCCACCTATCGCAGGGCTCCAACTGCAGCACTCGGGACGATCAGTCTCATCCATGCGATCGGAGCACATCGATTCCAACGTTGTCTTCCTGCAAGTCATGGAGGCGGAGGCCGATGCTAACAAGCCCGAAAAACGGAATATCACCAGCAACTTCGTGGGGAAGCACGTCAAGCGAGCAAGCATGCCTAGCATATCCCTGCCGAAAAACAAGCTGGGCGGCAAGTTTGGAGACGCCTTCCGTCGGTTCGAACGTGGGAACGCCGGAAACAACAACGGACCCGAACCCGTCCGGACCCCCAGTCCGGAAAGAAACTCACACAGCAACGGCGCCTCCCCCATCGATGACGAGTGGGAAGTCAGCAGCCAGGACATCCCGCCGGAGGTGAAACGAGAGCTCGAAAAACGCCAGTTGTCGCAGGAGGAGAAACGAGTCGCCGCCGCCGCAGCCGAATACAAACGACAGTTAGCCAGCAGAGCCGAAGGCGAACCAGTGCGGCGAACCCGCGCAAACTCGATTCAGAAACGCGTCCACGCCCTCCTCAACGAGACGAACAAGGAGCCCCCTCCCAAGACCGCCGAGGGATACGGACGCTACACGGCTGAAGCACCAGTGTCGCAACTGCCAAACGGCTCCTCCGCCTCCTCCACGACACCCGCCAACAAACCGGAGTCGTACCGGATCACACAGAGCAGCACCGGCTACCGACCCAGCACACCCGTCTCGGCCGCCAGCGTTGCTGCTGCTGCTGCTGCTGCAAAGGTGGTGCGGAAACCCGTCGGCCCAACTCCCACACCCACGCCTACACCGCCCGCCGCCGCCTCCGCAGCAAGACCACCGCCCCCACCAAAACCTAAAAAGCTTCGGACCGGCGGCGGCAGCAGCAACAGTGCTAGCCCCGTCATGCAGCAGCAGCAGATGCAGCAGCCGGACGAGGACTGGGAGAGGAACTTTGCAAAGCGCTATCCTAGCCTGAGCGGATTGGAGATTTCGGATGATTCCGCCGGTGCTGCTGGTGGTGGCGGTGGGGGCGCGAGGAGGTCGTAGCTTTTTTTTGAGAGAGAGTCGTTTCGATTCCACTTCATTTGACTTCTTTTGACGGATATAGATTTGCATGTTTTTTTTTCTTATTTCTTTTTGGATACCTTTGTGGTGTACGTTACCTTACCTGTCTTTACTTATGATGATGACGATGATGACGGAGACGGAGGTTGTGGTGGTGGGGATTTTGTTATAGTGGGTGACGGGCGACGGGTGACGGGTATGGGTAATGAATTATCTCCTTCCTTTCTTCCTTCCTTTTCTTCTCCCTTCCTGCCTTTTCTTCTCCCCGAACGGAACGGATTTTATGTGATTAGAGTACTAGTAGTAGAGTAATGATGAGATTTTGTGAGATGATTATTGAAGAGATACTGAAGAGAGATACTGAATAGAGATACTGAAGAGATATTGAAGAGAGAGAGCATTGATTTATTTGCACATAGCCTTCAAAAAAACGTTTAATGAGTGGAATTCTGTTGAGTGGTTCGAGTGGTTTGGTTGTTGGGGAAGTCGACGAATCAGATTTTGTGATTTAGACGAGTGATCTTTCATGATAAGACGAGGTACCTGGTACTATACCTAGTGGACAAGAGTGCCTTACAACGGGCCATAATCTCCCAGATTCCAAGTAACAAGCAACCGGAATCATGTCCGGCGATCCCATCCCATCCCACCCCGTGCCCCGTGTCCTGGCGTTCACACCGGCAGACGATCAGCCAACCAGCCGACGGTAGGACGCCTCCGGCTCTGGCTACTCATTCACCCTCCCTCCTCCCGGCCCGGCCCGGCGTATCATCCGCTCCCGTTCAACTCAACGATTAACTCGGTCAACTCAGTGCACACTGCACTTCCTAATCGTCTCTTCAATCGCCGATTCAATCACCCTTCACCCTTCACCCGCCGCTTCACCCGCTCTTCACCCCTCCCACCCTTTCACACCCCCCGCCTGCCTGCCTGCCTGCCTGCCTGCCTGCCTGCCTGCCTGCCTGCCTGCCTGCCTGCCTGCCTGCCTGCCTGCCTGCCTGTTCATCTCACTCATCGTCCTCGTTCACCCGTCACACTCGTCCCTCGTTCATCCCATCATCTCACCATCCGCCCATCCCGCCATCCATCTCGCCCATTCATCCATCTCGTCGCCCTCTCCCTCCCTTCCTCCCTCCCCTTGTCCAGGCACCAGGCACCACGAACTTCACGTCACCCCTCGGAATCCCTTCGGAATCCCCATTCATATCATCCTCCGGAATCCCATTCACGTCACCCTTCAGAATCCCATTCACGTCACCCTTCGACAGCTTCAGCTTCAACTTAAACTTTTTTGCTTTTTTGCTACGACCAGTATTCCTTTAGTAGTAAGTACTTCAGCACCCATCCTTCCTCAATCCTCCCCGTTGCCGAATACTGTCCAGAATACCGCCATAATCACCGCCATAATCACGCCCCACAATCAATCAATCAATCAATCAATCAATCAAAGAAAAAACACCAATGCGCCAAACAAAGTACTCGAAACAAAAAACAAACGCAGATATTGGAGTAGAAACCAATGAAACCAAGGAAATGAACACAAATGAACTGGAAAAAAGATTTAACCCCCCAGATTTCGCGATTCCGCTATCGTATCGTATCGAATGACCCGCTGTCGTATCGATCGTCTCGTACCGTATCGTATGTAGGCTGGAGGAGTGGGTATTTTTCACAGGAAGGAAGGAAGGGAAGAAGGAAGAAAAGAAGCGCTGGTTGGTGGCAACTATGAGGTATGTAGAGTATGTAGCGTAGAATAGGTAAGTCGGTCGCGGTCATCCGATCGGTCATCCGGTCGACGACGAGGAGTAAGTAGGTGGGAGAAACGCCGAAGAAGAAGAAGAAAACGCATAAATCCGAATCGAATGTTGATACACAAGAACACCCCGCCCTGCCCGCTGATCCTTTCCCGTCCCATTTTGATATGAAAAAAAAAGTAAAAAAAAGAATTGAACTGTACACGACAAAACGCCCTACAAGAATAAAACACAGTAGATGAAAAGTAAGAAAAAAAAAACCCTCCCGTCTACACGGTTTTCCCCCAAAATTAGTACGTAAATCGATATGTTGAAGCCACAGGTAGTGTGAGGCTACCTCAAAGTTATGTATATGGAAGAATGTATTTTTTTGCCTCATCGGAGGTTGCTGGTCGCGAAGCCGAACGGCATCTGGCTGTACTGCCGCATCAAGTCGCTTAATCCGGCGTCGTGCTTCGGCGCCTGTTCCGACGCAAACATCGATTCGAAGCCCGAGTCGAATATGCCCACGCCGACGTTGTATTGGCCTGCCGAGGTGGCGGGGGGACCGCTGGGCTGCGCGCTCGTTTCTGGGGGTCGAGTCATCGTGTTGCCCATCGTTAGATCGGAATCGCCGCGGTTGTCCGGAGTAGGCTGCTGGTCAAGGGGACCCGGGACATCGTCGTCGTTGTTCTCGAGAAGCTCGGCATCATATTCCTGTTCTAAATTACACACCGAGTCAATCTAGGATGCACAGTTCTTTCATAAGATATGAAGAAAAATAGAAGGACGGGAAGTACGCGGGGTAGCTTGCCGAGCTCTTCCATGTGAGTTTGGTATGGCGACGGGTAGTAGGAGGAGACGGAAGGGAGTTGCTGGAACTCCTGCTGCTGCTGTGACGGGTTGCCCTGCTGTGGAGGGAGGGAGTATGGCTGGGACGGAGGCGTCGGCATGGTGGCGACGGACGGCGACGAGTTCCGTGAGGTCGGGATTGGCCGCATGTCCGGACTGGCTTTGATGTAAACTGCGTCTTGGGATGGGCTCATCATGGATCGCTTCGGTAGCGGGGCTTGTGGTCGTCGAATGACGGGACGGTGCATCTGCTGCAGCGGAGACATCGCAGCCTGTACAGGCATTGGTTGGTTCTGGGGAGGAGGGGCGGTGGCTTGAGGTATCTGAGGTTGCGGTGGCCGGTCGTCGTACTGTGAAACCGCCCTCAACTCTGCGGTGACGTCGATCCCCTTCTCCATCAAGATGCGTTCCAACAACGAGTTCTTGTAGCGGAGCATCAATACTTCGTCGGCGGCATTGCGGGAAGACTGCTGCAATCCCGACAATTGCTCTTCGTGGTGCTTGATTGTAGCTTCGAGGTGCTTGATGTATTCGGTTCGACGTTCTCGGAAAGCTATTTCGATGTGTCAACCAATGTGTCAAATCAACAGATAGACCACGTTTCGCATGACACATGGTAACTGCAAGATAACAGCTGTGTAAGGTATTGGAAGGGGTGGATGATGCGTAGGTGCGGATTAGAGAAGTATATAAAGTTAACCTACCAGCCTGGGCGGCTCTGTTCCTCATCTTCCGCTCTTCCTGGGTTGCATACACCGGCTTCCTTCCACCCTTCCTCTTCTGCACGGGCTGGTTGATCTGTTCGGCAGCCGTGGCCTCTGGCGAGGACGCCGGAGACGCGGTCGAGCGAGGCGGGGAAGTCTTGACGGCGGCCATAACAAGTTTTGGGGGGGAATGGCGGGTTTAGGTTATGACGAAGGACGAGGACGACTACGATTACTACGGCGACAGCGACGGCGGACGGACGCGGACGCGGACGCGGACAACTGTGGTGACGGCAATGACGGGCGGGGAGCGGCGAGCGGCGGCGGGCGACAATGACGAGGGTGGATACTGGGGGCGGGGGGTGTGTGGGTGTGGCGGGATTTTGTAGGAAGCTACAGAAAGACGGAAGAGGAGGATTTGGCAAGGGCTTATGAGAGAAGAGGTTGGCTCAGGACCGACTGGAGCGGTCACAATTGCATGAACCGAGATGAAAAGTGGACAAGGCCGATTGCAGACGGCGGGGTGGGTGGTCGGGGGGTGTGTGTGGTGGTGGGAGTGGTAGTGGTGGGAGTGGTGGTGGTGGTGTAGACGGATGGATGGTAGGCAAGGCAGGCAGTAGGTGCAGACTTCGATGCAGCAGCAGCCGTCCGCCCTGGATCATTTTTTTTTGTTTTTTTCTTCCCTCCTCGTGGATCCTCCGCGGGGTCCTTAGCGGGCCCTTGTCAGTTGTTCCAGCTTCAACAGGACATTTTGCAGAGATATGGGGGGTATTGACAGGAATGTATATGTGCGTTTTGCCCCTCTTCCCTCTCGTTGCTCCCCTTTTCAACGGCGGTGAATACTACTACGACGACTATACACAGTCCCGCTCCCATTCTGCTCTGCTCTTTGTTTTTGTCTTCTCCTCCTTCTTTTCCTCCTCCCCCTGCTGGTGCTTCTTCTTCTTCCTCTTCGGCTTTCCTCAAGAGGCTGCAGAATAAAAAAGGAAGAGAAAGAAAGGCCTCGGACAGGGAGACACGCAGGAGAGATCCAGGACAGGACAACGGGTTGAAGAAGAGATGCTTTACTTTACTTTAGTTACACTCCACTCTGGTTACTCTAGAGTGGAGTAGTGCAGATGCTCATGGTGGTCCATGCCCAAGCCTGTCCTGGAGCTGTGGCCGTGGCCATGGGGTTGGGCTGGTTGACTGACTTTTTTCCTTTCTGGATGCAGACATGCAACCGGCCACAGCCAGACGAACTCACGAATCGATCGAATCAACGGCTTACTGAGAATCCCGGCGAGCGATGGCCGTCGACCATGGCGGCGGCGGTGGTGATGATGGAGGTGGTGGAGGTGGTGGTGGTGGCAGGCAAGCAAGCAACGCACGTATGCGAGCAGCACGGGGGCGGGCGTTGCAGAGCGAGCGAGAAAGAGGGAAAAAAAGAAAGAAGAAAAAAAACGCGGAGCAGCGAATAAAAGTGCGCTATGCTGGCTGGCCCAACCAACCGATATTTCGGGAACCATCACCCGGACTCGTCGGCGACCATTTCTTTGCGTGCTGGCTGCAACCTGCGCAAACGGTTAACGAAGCCGTCGCCGTGCAGTGTCTCCTCGTCGCCGTGCAGTGTCTCCTCGCCGCCGTGCAGTGTCTCCTCGTCGCCGTGCAGTGTCTCCTCGTCGCCGTGCAGTGTCTCCTCGTCGCCGTGCAGTGTCTCCTCGTCGCCGTGCAGTGTCTCCTCCTCGTCGTCGTCGTCGTCGTCCATGTCCGCTCTCTCCGTCCCACACCGATCCAGCAAATCGTTCCCTCCCTCCCTCATCCCTCCGTGCTCGATGCAGCCACCCATCCACCCATCCACCCCATCCATCAATCAATCCATCCACTCATCCATCCACTCACTCGGATCCGAATCCGCTCGCTCAACACCCGTCTTTGTTCGCTCTCTCTCGCTCGCTCGCTTCGGACTTGCCCCGCGTCACACCTCCTTACTCGTCCCACCCGCCCACCCGCTGGCTAGCTGGCTGGCTGGACTGGCTGGCTGGCTGGGCCTGCTGTTCGAGCAAATCCTCAACGCTCTGTTCTCCGTGCGGCTCGACCAATCCGCCTCGCATCACAAGATCTCTTCTGCGCATGGTGGACGGTCGGCCTCCTCCGTGTCATGCTGTGTGCGGTGTGGATGGGATTGGCTCGTCGAATTCGCCATTCTCCCCTCCCCTCCCCTCACCTCCCTCCCCTCGCTCTCCCCTCGCTCTCCCCTCGCTCTCCCTCCCCCAATCTGCCGTCTCCAGCACCCCGGTCACATTAACGAAATGTCCCAGCTTGCTGGGTTCTTCCACCCATGTCCCCCCCTCCCCTCCCCCCCCCAGCCAGCAACAAGTGCAACTTTATAGCAGAGCCTCCACTCTGCAGAGATGCCCTTCCAATAATTCCCATGTTGGCCGAAACCAAGGACGAGCCCGCAAGGTGTTCTGTATGTACGGACCGCTTCCCGTTCGCTCACAGACGTCGTCGCCGTCGTCGATGTGCCTCTGCTCCTCACAGCTGTCTCCTCCCCCCTAGTAGAAACCGGTAGCCCACGCTCGACCTCTGCTGAGTTGGAAGCCCGCTAAGGACATGGGTCCTGGTTTTGGCGGTCCGCGGAGATGCAGGACCCGTCGAAACGAGCACGGCCATCCTTGCCTGCAGACGCCTCACACGCCATCTCCCCACAACTCGAGGAGTGATCACTGCGACTGAGATCAGAGACTTCCAGGTCGCACAGCGCTAGCCAGCCACAGTCAGGAGGCTACACACACCTGCTCATCCTCCACCACCACCACCGCCACCACCACCAACCACCACCACCACCCAATTACCACCACCACCTCCACCACCTCCACCACCTAACTACCACCACCACTCATACAGCCCACGCAGCCCACACACCCACCACATGAATCAGCGCGCGCGCAGATCGCCGGGGAAATCCCTTCGCACACAACGCGTCTTGTCAGCATCAGCAGCAGCAGCAGCAGCAGGAGCAGCAGCATCACCGCGGCCTACCTCTGATGCTTGGGTACCGAACATGCTACATACCACTCTATGTACTTACTCCTGAGCCCAACCAGGACTCCGGAAGAGGAGGACCCCCGTTGTCGGACTCCAGGGTGCACTGCGAGCCGGCGATCCGGGTTTTGCGCGTGTGGCATCTTCCGTCCGTCCACGTCGGAGCTCGCCTCGAGGATGACGATTGTGTGCGCCGCAGGTCACGGGAAGCTCGGTATTTATACATACTCTACACGGAGCTTGGCGCCGCTGAGTGAGTAACACGGCGTGCCGTCGCGAGCTGATGTAACCACTCGACATGGCCATGTACGTACGGTACTCTACTAGAGTTTACTCTACCTAGTAGTAGGTTTAACCGCTCTCTCCCCCTCCCCCTCTCACCTCCCCCCTCCCGCAAGTTGTGGCCGATATGTAGTCCACGAAATCACGCGAAGGAGGAGGAGGGGAGGTGGTTCGCAGTTCGCCGCTGTGCACCGCACCGCACAGCACCTTGCATACTTTGAGGGAGATTTTCAGCTTGCATAACGGCTCAGCTACATACCTCATACTCTACATAGAGTACACACATACATACAGGAGGAGGAGGAGAGTCGAATAAGCAACGCCCAGCAGGAAAGGACCGGAGATCCTGACCGGCGAGACAAATTGGGGGAGGGGAATAGTAAATAGCTTGTAGTTATAGAGTGCTACGGTATATATAAGGAAGTTGCTTCTGTCATGTTCGATTACCGATAAAATAGGTCGAGTAGGTACGGTAGATCTTCACTGCCTACCTAGCCACCGCACCCAAGCACCCAAGCAGACGAAAAAAAGCCTGCATGAGAAGTTCCCACCCATCCACCCTCCCACCCCACCTATCATGGTACATACTCGTAGTAGGTGGTAGCCATCCGTACGGAGTTCGGAGTTTGGACGAGTTTTGGCGTGGCAACTGGGGAGAAGCGGGATACTGAGATAATCGACGATTTCGAACTGCAGTGAGCATCGAACTGCACACATCGAATGGTCCCGGATTTTCATTCCATGCCCGCATAATTATCTGTTTGTGGCTTGGCGGGTCATCTCCACCTGCTCCTGCTGCTGCTGCTGCTGCTGCTGCTGCTGCTGCTGCTGCTGCTGCGGCGGCGGGTATGCACTCTACCCACTCTACCGTACTCTATGAAAGTACGCATCATGGTCCCCACAACCACCATCATCATCGCGGTTCGCCAGAATCGGTCATCAGCGATCATCGGGAACTGTGGGCGTGGATCGTGGTACGGTACGGTAGGTATGGTACGGTATGGTAGGTATGGTGGGGACCAGTTGCATTGGCTGCGTGCTGCGGAATACGGGAAAGCAGCCGCGCGGGGAAGGTGTGCAGTTGGCACAGACAGACAGAGGGGTTCCTGTCCAAAGCGTAGTTGCGTAGGTACATAAAGTATGTATCCTGCATGTCGGAGGAGTGATATCCTGGAGTCAGTCTTGGAAACTGGAGGAATGGAGGAATGGAGGGGGCTCGGAGTTTGCGGCGGTGGGCTGGGTGGACTGGGGATTTACTGCTTGATGGGGTGGTCCGGGCGGGTGGGGCTCGTTTTTTCTCGGCGGCTAGAGGATCGGGATGAGGGGGGGCGGGGGCGGGGCGATGAGCTCAACCTCCCTCCCTCCCTCCGACCTCCGACCCACCTCCGACCGACCGAGAGCCCAGGCAGAAGCGAGCGTGAGGGCCGGGTGCTCTGGGGCGCGGGAGATCGACGCTTGGCGCATGGCATGCGCGCGGAATCGTCCGTCCGTCAGTCCCTCCCTCGCTTCCCAGGTAGGGGACCGCCGCGATAACGCTGGGAGGCCAGAATGCGTACTGTGCGTTTCGAGATATCTACCTGGAGATAGAGATAACTACTGTAGAGGGCTATCCATTCCTGGTAGATAACCGCCGCCTCTTATCTCTCTGGATACCCATCACTCGCTTGCTCGCGTGCCCGATTCATACTCTAGGTGCCTATTATAAGGAATCCACGCATTGCAGTACTTTACTAGGCCGGCCATCCATCGGTGCTGGAGAGCTGAACGCTGATCGACAGCTGCTGCAGCAGCAGCAATATGAGTAGTATATTCGCACGTAGATAATGTAGAGTATGTACGGCTGAGCAATGCGCCAACGCATCCTATCATATATAACTTACGCCCCGCTCTCTACTCATTCCCGCTCTCTCCTTCTCCTCGCTCCCCCTCCGCGCTCTTCGATCCTACACAGCGTAATACCACACAACACACCGCACACACACACGAAACAACACACGCGATGGCCCTCCACAACAGCCTCAGCGAATACTTCGTGTACACGCGGTTCGTGCTAGCGAAGCGGTCGATGGCTATCGCCGCCCCCGATAGCCGCAGCAGTAGGGACGAGGGCGACAGCGGGGGCGAGGGATACGAGCTCGACGAGTGGACGGTGGAGGCGCGGGCGGGCGGGAAGAGGCGCAGTGGGCGTGAGAGGAGCGCGAGGAGCGGGAGGAGCGTGATGGTGAAGGGGCGGTTGAGGGATTGAGTTGATGGCGATGGCGATGGGGATGATGTGATATGTATGGGCGTGGCGCACACTCTTGCAGATTGGACGTTGCTGATTGGGGTAAACTTACAGGTCGTGGATTGAGATCTTCGGGGGAACACAGTGGGGATATAGCGGGAACACAGCCGGGTGATCTGGGAAATTTAGTTACGGGTTACGGACGGGCGGGGGAGAGGGGGCCGCGGTCCTCTGCTCTGGGAGATCGAGATGGATCATGGGCCGGCCGGCTTCGGGACTGGACAGTGGGTTGTGGACAGTGGGCTGTGAAAAGCGGGGCTGGGCTGTTTGCGGGGGAGAGCATCGATGGCCCGATGGGCGGGAAGTTTTGGCCGCATTCGGACAGCGGGTCGTAAGGTATCCGCAAGCTGCTGCGGATATGACTGGGCGGGTGGCTGGTTGGCTGGATGGCTGGCTGGGCACGATTGAGGATTGGAGGATTGGAGGATTGGAGGGTTCGGTGCGAGGATTGCCTTGCACGAAATGCGCAGATCGTGTTTGGACAAAGGGTATCCGCAGTGCGGCCAATCGTTAACCTTAACCTGTGGCACCAATCAATGGGTTCCCACTTGTGTCAAACGCGGCGTTGCTACTCTAGAGTACCCATAGGATAGGCGCAACCTGCTGTAGCCTGCAGCAGCAGAGTGGAGTTCCGTCGTCCGATAGGTATCAAGGAAGGCCGGTTGCAGCCTTGCAGCAGCCGTGCTGTTACACATGCGGTGACCGGTCCAACATCGTATTTTGCACCCTCCACCGTACTCTACTCTGATGGTTACTCTACATACACTGCTCTCCTCTGCGTGAGCCCTAGTTAGCAGCCACACATAGCACACATAGTACTACTTGTTACTTCTACTACTACTCCCTTCCTCCAGCTCTATCCCAGCTCCCCTCCGAAATGTCTAATTCGTCACCGGAAGTGAGTACCCCTCCCCGTGCGGGCTCCAGTTGCCAGCCAGCCCGAGGATCCCGTCGTATAGGGCTCACGGCTGCCTGCTTGATGTCAAGACGCCGTGATGTCCGATATTGAAACTGTTCGTCACTCTACTATAGCAACGATACTTCATCGCGAAACCCTCGCCGTTATACACGCAACTCGAGAGCCCTGTCGACGACGACGGCGACGCTCCAATTGGCCCCGGGCCCAGTGGCAGCAGCACCGTGGGATATCGGAGTGGTAAGTAGAGGGGTGATCGCTCACGGTGATTGCTCACGGTGGTGGTGGTAGTACAACCCGCTGATCGCAATGTTCCTACAGGTCGGAGGACGAACGCCTCTCAGGCTCCGAGTATGCAACCTCCTCCTCCTCCTCCTCCTCGCCGACATGGGAAAGAGCCCACTGTCTGTCCCACAGAAAAAATAATCTCGGGTACTGACTCGGCCCACGTCGTCAAGCTAATCTAGGAGTCCATGTCGTATCACCGCTCCAGGTCAGTGGTGGTGGTGGTGGTGGTGGTGGTGGTGGTGGTGGTGGTGGTGGTGGTGGTGGTGGCGCTGATGTTTCGAGAACGCCGCGTGGCGCGAGAAACAAACAAGCCCTGCCATCGGAAACAGCTCAGAGAAGGGGTGGGTAATTACATAAACAAACGTGGCTGCTGCGAGCGTGGGTTCCTACTTTTGTGTGTCGCTGATCTGATTGGGGCCCGGGCGGGGGGTTATTTTTCAATATAGACTCCTCTCGTCGCCGACGTATGGATGCTACCGGAGCCGGCCAAAGGCAGTATGAGAGATCGCCGCAACGAGCTCCGAGTCAGAGTCAACATGGTTAGTTACCTAGTGAGCTCAGGCGGATGCGCGTGTAGTACACTGCGAAACTAAGTGCCATCTCATCTCGACAGGGTCCGTACCCCGCGGAGACGAACAGAAATCCCAGGTTGGGACTGGAGGTTCTGCTGGAGGTTTCAGAGCAGCCGGGCTCGGCGACCTGGTCGACACCCCGGACGTCAGCTCGTCGTTCGATCCTGGGGTGTTCGATGCCACGGGGGTGCGCAAGGCTCCACGGAGGCCAAACAGCGAGGTAAGAAGAAAGGCTTCGGGCTCCAGGGGTGGAGATAGGGCAAAGTCTACATCTGGAAGAAACAAGGCTTCGCCCGATGTCGAAAACATTCTGGACCGATCACCGACCCCACCCCTCGATCCCTTTTCGATCCAGAGGAGTCAGCAGGACCAGGGATTCACGCCTAGTCATGTGAGCGCGAGAGAACGGCGACCTGACGGCGGTGAGCGATCGCGCACTGGTGGGACACGGACAAGGAAATCGATCGAGGAAGCGCTCGGCGTCGAGGTCACTGAGCCCGGCCAAGCGATCGCCAAAACATTTGTGCGTCCGGAACCTCCGCTGGACCTCCTCGAATACCCCGTCATCTTCAATCCGCGCGTGTCAATGATGGTATCGATCACGCAGCCGCTGTACATTGGAGGAGGCTGTGTCGATGGACGGCTCAACATCCATATTCGAGGGACCAAACTGGATGATATCCGTCTTGGAAGAGTGAGCATCGATATTGCAGGTGTCGAAGGTATGTACATAGATTCTGCGATCTACGGGCAGGAATGTGCGGATTCTGACATAGTGTGCCCAGAGTTATCGTTCACCCGGAAAACAATGTTTATGAGTCTAGCCAGCGAGCTCATCGACGAAGATCACCCACCTCCGGCAGCCATGCTGGAAACCGTGGAGGAGGACCAGAAACTGTTCTGGAAAGTGAAGCCATCGCGGTCATTCCTGCCATTCAAATTGAAGCTACCCTTGAATGTTGGCCCCCCACCGTTCCACTCGCTGAGAGCAAGAATCAGATATGTTATTCATGGGTAGTTCATTCGTTTCCAGCTTCCCACGGAGTCAAACTAACTCGTATGAACGGTGCAACGTAGTACCATAATGATACTGATCAACGGCAACAAGTCGATCGTACGGAGCTGCAGAGATATCCGAGTCATATCTGCACTCGACCCCGAGACGGCTCTTCTCCCTCTCGAGACCCCACTGCTGTCGACCGAAGAGCACACATTGCGGTATGGCGGACACAACACTTTGAAGGTCACAGCGGGGCTGCACCGTGCGGTGTGGGTTGCTGGAACGGCGGCTTACGTCGATGTCAATATCGTCAACAACACCAATCGCCACGTGAAAAAGATCAAGTGCAAGCTGCGTCGACACATATTGGCATACAAAAATGTTTGCACGCAATCTTGGTATGGGGTTGGCATTTATTGACGACCGTGTAGACAGTGGCGTTGGCCGAGAATCAGAATGCTGGACATCTCAGAGTGCCCAGTTGGATCGAGCGCAAGACACTGTCCCATTCCGAACTCAACATTGGCTCTCGATGGAAAGGCGTCAAGGGAAGCCAACTGGACGTGATCACGTGTGAAATCGAAATACCCCGGAATCAATCAACAGTCAAGATGGGACGGTACTTTGAGGTCAAGTATCTCATTGACATTGGAGTCTGCACCCCTGCCGCGTATGTTGAAACGCCTCTACATTGAGGGTACGACTGGGAAGCTCACGAAACGATGCAGGCGTACTGTAAGGGTCCAACTACCAGTAACAATCGTCCACATGGTTCAGTCCCTGATGCCCATCCTCCGATGAAGACGCGTAGTTAACGGTCTGGCAGAATTCCCTCGACATCGTTCCGAACGACCTTCCAGATGTCACCGTAGCCATAGCGGATCGATATGGCCGAGAGGTAGCCAAGTCGTTCGTTGCCGGCCGGGCCTTTACTGCACCTCGGGAGCACGTTGCGGCCTCGCAGCTGCCCCCAGCACTAGTCCCCAGCCTGCAGCCGCGACAACTGTCGGTGAAGGCGGCAAGCGAGGCCCCGAAGAAGACCGAGCCGGACTTTGACCTTGCTGCCTTTGTGGAAGGTGATATCACGCAGACCACGCAGGAAGAGACTAACGCCAGAGCCCCTACGCCGGCCCGCCGGCCGATGGATTTTTGGGAACAGCAGCAGGAGGAGTACGAGAGGGATAAAGCCCGCGACGAGGCAGCTGCTGCCGCCGCCGCCGCCGAGGAACGGAGAAGGGCAAAGATGAAGGGCAGGATGACCGCGAAAGAGATGTTGAAGCAGTTGGAGCGCTTAAAGCAGGTCGACTGAGCATGCTGACGGAGGACAGTACATGGAGTAACTACCCGATGGGGGGACTATTCGAGAATTGCTTGTACATATAGTACTTGGGCCGCGAGAGTTGGACGGGCGTGTGGGCGGACGGACGTGCGAGCGGGCGGTCTGGCGGGCGGTCCGCCGCACTGCACTGCAGAACTTGAGTTTCGGCGTGAATGATGAAATGTAATCTAGGTACTCTCAACTCTCACGTGCTTCCGGTCTGTCTGCCTGTCTGTCCCAACACTAAACCACCCCCTCCAGCACTCCTCTCCTCTCCTCTCCGCGGAGCATTCATATCCGACTCTCCCCCCTCCCCCTCCCCCTCTCCCCCTGAAATACGATCAACTACCGTACATACAGTACACACCGGTAGCTTCATGTACTCTACACATCCATAAAGCACACCCGCTACATACGGACGTACTCGTATGCATACCTCATACATATATCTGTACCGTATATAAGTACAAGGAGGAAAGTAAGTGTCATACCTGCATTAGCCCGCGCGGAGGGCCGCGTTCCCGCTGGGTAACCATGTATGGCACAGCGGACTTGTGTATGGTATGTAGAGTACCCTATGGAACAGTGGACTTGTACCGGGTAAGCGCGGGTGGGGTCGTTGGGGTCGTTGGGGTTTTGCGAGTTTTGGTTACGTACAAATATACGTATTGGTATAATTGCCGTGCCAGGCATGGGTGGTGCATACGGAGGGAAGACGAGGGGGAGGGGGAAGGGATCGTGATGGAGGGGAGGGAGAGGGTACGGGGAGAGGGATGGGAAGGGGAGAGGGATGGGAAGGGGAGGGGGAGGGGGAAGGAGGAAGGAGGATGGAGGATGGAGGATGGAGGATGGAGGATGGAGGATGGAGGATGGAGGATGGATTATCACTCGCTCCGTGGTGGGTCGGGACTCGGGACTCGGAGACCGAAATGGGGGTGCATATGGAATGGGTACTAGTAGATACGAGTTCGCGGGTGATAGCTTGTGATTGGTGTGATTGATTAGCACGTGATTTTGTATGTGTGTGTGTGGGGAGCTCCAGCCTCCGAGTCGACTGTGCAGTGTGAGCTACAAAGGTAAGTGGTGAGACTGAATAGGTACTTGAGGTATCTGGAAGGTCGCGAGAGGTGACCGCCAACTTTCCATTCCGGTGAATCTGAGTTTCACGAGTGATCACCTGTGACTCCACCGAGCTTGGAACATGAGTGGATCCAAGTCGAGATTCCTCCAAGCGGGTTATGCGCAGACTTCCCCGGATAGGTATGAGCGCACATTGGGCTTGGGCGTAGGATTTCTGAACAGGCGTTCCAAGGGGCCTTTCACCGAGTACAAACGGCCTGTCATACCAACGGTTATCTATCGTTTCCGATCACGTGCTGAACGCTGCCGCCGAGGCCATCCCCCAGCTCCCCCCTCCCCCTCCCCCTCCCATGTCCAGGCCGCAGCGCAGGCCACATACAAGATAGATACGGTAACGAACGACAGCGACGGCCACCTCCCATTCACCCACCCACACACACACACACCGACACATACACCGACACCGAGACGACGAAACATGCGTCCCGTATAGCAGCAATGATCCGGCACCATGCAACCACGACCTCCACCTCCACCTCCCCTCCCACCCCTTCCACCACCGTCGGCCCTTCACCCCCCCCACCAGACGACACCGTCCTAACCGACCTCCGCACCCTGGCGCTAATCCGGCGCGTTCTCTGCACGCACTCGCCTCCGACGCGAGCACTGGACGAGCTCCTCCCCGCGCTGACGAGCAGCGCCGAGACGGACGTGGAGCTGTACGCGCTGGTGGCGATTGTCGCGCGCGACTACGTGTTCTCGTGGTATGCGGCGCTGTCGAACGATAGCGCGTTTGGACTTGAGGTCGTCGCGTTGATTGCACATCTCACCAGGGGCGTCGAGGAGAGGGTTAGGAAGTTGGATTTGGAGGGGTTGTTGCTTGATGAGGTCCCTGCGGTCGTCGAGGCGCATGTGGCAGGTGAGTTATGGTGGCCCCTGGCGGGGATGGGGGTTAATGTGGCGTGAAGATTATAGGAGGGCGGTTGAGCGAAAGGATACGGCTCTGGCGCCGCAGATGGACCTGGCAGAGATCTTTCGGAGTTATCAACCGCATCCGGCGTTCGCGAACGGTGCGGAGAGTGAGCGGCAGTATCTACAGTTGCTTTCGAACGGCTTGCTTGCGGTGCTCCTTCCGAACGAGGACCTGGATAGCGACTGCGAGCGCTCGCTGCTGCGAGAGATACTTGCGTCGCTGGTGTTCGGGGGCATGCTCGATAAGCTCAGCGAGCCATTCATGCTCTACGAAATCATCACTACGCTGGTCCGGAAGCTACAGCCCGACCTCGCGCCGCTCGACCCACCGTCCGTCGTCACGTCCCGCAGAAGCTCCGTCAAGCCCGGAGCCGTGCGCATAGAAACACCCCCGCCAGGCCCACCGTCGCCGCCTCCCGCGCCCCCGGGAGGCCTCGAGCGCACATTCACCATCGTCGCCAGCGCCGTGAGCACCATCTACAGCGTCCTCGCCTCACTACACCACCTCCTACTCAACCCCCTCCCCCCTCGCCCGCCAAAGCGGCGCACCCTAATCCGCAGCGCACTCCCGACGTGTCTCTCTACGCTGCTCAACTTCCGGTCGCTGCAACCGTGGCTGCCCTCTGCCATCCGACTTCTCACCAAGCCCTTCGAGTCGCGCAACACGTTCCTCGGCACGCTCCTCGACGACCTACTGATCAGCAAGCTGACGCCGCACCTCACCTCGCCGCAAATCCTCATCGACATCCTCCGATCCGCGCGGGCCACGCTTTTTCCCGGGAACATGCCCGCACCCCCGAGGAAATACCCCTCCGAGAAGGAGAAGAAGCGCATTCGCACCGTTGCCGAGTATACGCTCCTCGCCGCGTTCCCAGAGGTTGTCACCAAAGTCTGGTGGGGCGCAAGGGAGAAGAAGGATATGGCCAGGCTGGTCGGGAAACACTGGCTCGACCCATTCGCGGATAAGGACGTGAATAAGGTGCTCATCGTGAGACTGCTCGATCTGATCGTTGGACGGCTGCTGCCTGAGTTGCTGGTTAGTGGTGGGGTAAAGCTGAGGGGGGTTAGGTCTGGTGATGGTGATAGTCCCTCCGAAGAGAGCCCCGAGGAGAGCCCCGAGGAGGGCGGGAAGGAGGAGAAGCTGCTGCGGGGGGAGAAGCGGCTCCATGGTGGGAAAGTGCTCGTCGTTAGGGCGTAGTGTTGCTTTGATATGCGTCATCTGCATTGCATACTTGCTTCTAGGTACTGGTGATTTGTCGTGTGGAGTTTGGGCGTTTTCTTTTTCTTTTCTTTTCTTTACCTTCTCGCCCTCTCGCCCTCGAGCCCATGTGTGGGAGCGGGGGGTGGCTATAGTAGATAGCAGTTAACAGGTCATTTGTTCCTTTTTCCCCATCGCGCGCGGCGCGCACTCATGTGTTCCGAGATATCGGGTATGATATGTAGCAGGAAGGATCGTGATCGTGATCACGTCCAGTGCACCTGTCTCGCCTCTTGACTCGAAAGCCACATCCTGCACTTTAGTCCCAAGCTACTCTAGGTACCAGAGGCCAGAGAGCCACTGGTACTGGCACTGAGGGGTGTGGGGGGACAAGCATGTTCTGCTGTTATCCCGAAGCTGCTATTCCATCCCGCTGACGACGATGGCGGTGGTGATAGTGATCATGAAACGTTACATGCCTACTACACCTACCAGCTTACCAGCTTACCTTGTGCTCGGACCGCGAAGGGAGCGGGTCTGTAAGACTGAGAGATGGGAGAGTGCTGAGACGTGGCTGCAGTCGAAGGTCGAGTGGTGGTTGTGTGGAATATTCACCAAGCATATAGAAAGTATGGTAGGTACTCTACTCTACTCGACAGTTTGTTTGGTGCGGGAGAAGACGTTGGCCAGACCGGAACGGTTGCGGAATTCAGGGAGCGAATGAGGCTCACGAGAGAGAGTGCGGGGGGGTGGTTCGAGACAGCTCGAGGCTCACGCGTGAAGACTAGGGAAGCTCTATGTAGGGTACCAGCTCCAGCTCCCAGCTCCAGTTCTAGCTCCAGCTTATCATGAGCCCCCTCCCCCTCCCCCTCCCCTCTCCCCACTTCGAGCTCTCACAGAGCCATAGAGCCACAGCTCTCCGAATATGTAATCTACCCACCTCCCAAAAGCCAAAGCCCCAAAGCCCACCAGAACACCCATAGAAGCAACTCCTTCCCCACCCAACACGCACCCGCATTTCATGTCCGTGAACCGGTAGTGTTCCCCTCGCTCGCTCGCTCGGGGGGAAACGCAATTTGTTTTTTTAAAAAAAACATAAAAAAAAATGTGGGCCGGTGGGCCATGCCATGCAGGGTCCGCTCTGCCCTGTCCTGCCTGCCCCCTCATCCGTACTCCATACCATACGTGACCGAATCAGCCGACGCGCTCGTGTGGGATAGTTGCCAAAGTCGTCTTGTCTTGTCTTGTCTTGTTAGGCGGGGGTAGAGCTCAAGTTCTCCCCTCCTCCTCGTTCTCTTTCCCCCCTCCTGCTTCTCCTGCTTTTTCTCCTTCTCCTTCTCCTCCCTCCTCCTCCTCCTCACACACGGAGTTAGAGAAGAGAGAGAGGGAGGACTATTGCTGCTTCAGCTTCTTTATTTGCCCGACTTCTTCTTCATCGACGGACAGTGAACGGAACGACTGGAGGAAGAGGAAGGTTTAAACCTACATACCATACCTACTACCCATACCAACCGCCTTCCGAAGCTCAGGACGCTCTCTCGCTCTCGCTCCACCCAGCTCAGCTGCAGGGCCCAGACGTACGGCGGCGGCGGCGCAACCAACCAACCAAACCAACCAACTGGCAGCCGCAGGGCCGCCACAGCTCCAAAACGTTGCGTTGCGTGAGGAGAGAGAGGAAAAAGAGAAAGAGAAAGAGGAGAAAGGAGAGAGACTGGCTGTACTTGCCGTGCCAGTCGGTCGGCGCGTACAACTGCCAGCAAGCAGGCAAGATAGCAGGCAAGCAGGCAAGCCACAGATCGTCCATTGAGCGAGCGAGCATTCCTTAAAGCCCGAGGAGCAGTCGCCGGAGGTCCCTTTTCGTTTTGTTCTGTTCTGTTCTGTTGGACGGAGAGAAAGAGAGAAAGAGAGAGCTTGACTGCACGCAAAGAAACAAGCGACAATGCCGATCCTACCGCGCAGAAGCACCTGGGACGCCGTCGCCGACCACCGAGAAGAGGACCGGAAGAGCCGGCGTCGGCGTTTGCTCAACCGCATAACCCGCTTCGCATCGTCGCCGTCCGTGCAGCAGGTGCCGGCCCCCGCTCGGGGGAGCGTCAGCTGCGTCGACTTGCTGAACATTGCCGCCGACTCGGGCTCCGACTCCGGGAGCGAGCTGGAGCTGTTCGTCGATTGCGCCGAGCCCCCCAAACCCGTCGCTACCGCCACGTGGGGTGACCTGCCCGAAGAGGTCAAGATGAATGTCCTCAGCTTTTGTGGGCCTACGCAGCTCGTTAAGCTTTCGGCGGTGAGTACGGAGAGCTCGGGGATTGGGTGTGTGTGTGTCTGTGTGCTGATGGCGGGGTGGTAGGTCAACAAGGAGTTTCACCGGTTGTGCTATGATGGACAGCTGTGGAACACCATCGATGCGTCCGAGTTCTACAATCGTATTCCCGTCGCTCAACTGGCGCAATTGATCGTTTCGGCGGGGAATTTTGTGCGGCATCTGAACCTACGGTTTGGCCCCTCTAGCTACTCGGGGGCTCCTGGCGGGTGCGCTGACATCGCGTCCGTACAGCGGGTGTGTCCAGCTCCAAAAGGATTGGCGAGTCGAAGCGGTCGCGAACGTCTGCAGAAACCTCGTCTCGGCGTCGCTGGAAGGCTGCAAGTTCGAGCGATCGATCGTCCACTTCATCATCATGCGGAATCCGCAGTTGGTGCACGTAAACGTCTCCGGGCTGACGTCGGTGACGAACTCCACCTGCCGCATGCTCGCGCAGAGCTGTCCGCTGGTGCAAAGCTTGAATGTTTCGTTCTGCACCAATGCCGATGCGAGAGGGCTTAAGAGGGTGGTCGAGCACTGTAGGGGTCTGAAGGAGCTTAGAGCCTCGGAATTACACATCAACGATGCCGGGTTGATGCAGGCGCTGTTCAAGAGGAATACGATTGAGAGGCTGCAGCTGGGGGATACCGCCGGCGTCACGGACGAGCACATCCGTCTCCTGGTCGAGGGCGTCGACCCCGAGATCGACCCGTTTACGGACCGTAGCACTGCGCCTGCCCGGAAGCTGGTGCATCTGGATCTTGGCCGGTGTACGCTTCTCACCGATAATACGCTGAGACATCTCACCGGCAATGTCCCGAACCTGCAGCAGCTTGAGCTCGGAGGAGTCCGTTCTCTTACGGACGCGGGGTTCTCGCAGCTGCTGCCCACGCTGCCGAAGCTGACACATCTCGATATCGAGGAGTGTCAGGAGCTCTCGAATACTACGCTGTTCAACATCGCCCGGGGGCCTGCGGCAAAGGTGTTCAAACACCTCCAGGTCAGTTACTGCGATAACATGGGCGACGTCGGGATCGTGGAGCTGTTACGGAAATGCGAGAAACTGTGGAATCTCGAGATGGACAACAGTATGTTTTGTCATCGCCGGTCACCTGTGGATGAAATGCAAAGCTTACGTGGCCCTCTCCAGCCCGAGTGTCAGACCACACCCTCGCCGAAGCAGCCCGCGTCGTCCGTCAGCGCCCCACACCCACCAACAAACCTGCCACCTCGCTCTCGCATGTCGCCCTGCGCCTCGTCGTCTTCGACTGCCCAAACATCACATGGACCGGCGTGCGCGAGGTCCTCAGCCGCAACACGGAACACATGAGTTCCGAGCCCATCAAGCCCGGGCTGATCCTTCTCAAGTGCTACTACGAGTACCAGAAGACGGTGGATGAGCACACGCGACACGTTCTGGGGCGCGACGTGGATAAGGCGAATCTGCTCGAGGATACCTGGGCGAAACATATGATGGCCGCGGAGGAGGCGAGTGCCGCCGTCGGCGGTGCGGGTCATCGTAGAGGCAGGCGGAGGGACAACAATGTTAACGGCGGATGGGACGGCGATAGACGTAGGGGCTCGAGGGGGGGCGTCTGCGCTATCATGTGATCGACGCGGACGGGCGGACGGACGAACCTACCGTATCTTATGTTTTATTGGAACTACGTTGCGATGCTTTGCTTGTTTATATATCGCGCTTGCTTGCGACGGTATCGGATTGGGACTGGTTTGGGCGGATTGGGATTGGGCGGATTGGTTTGATTTGGTCTTGTTGGGAGGGAGGGTGGTGTTTTTGGCTTTGGCTTTACTTGGGGGCTTGAGGGCTTGGGGGGAAGGAAATGACAGAGGAACGGTTTTGGTTCGGCATACATACGGTACATTCTTTTGCTGGTTCTTAAATCGTTGGCTTGGGTGGTCGGTCGGTTTGAAGGTTTGGCGGTTTGGGAGGTTAGCTGTTTGGTCGATTGGTCCGGTTGGTGTTTTGTCTACTCTAGATGGTAGTTACTTCTCTAGTGGCGGTGGCGGTGGCGGTGGCGGTGGCGGTGGCGGTGGTGTTGGTGTTGGTGTTGGTGTTGGTGTTGGTGTTGGTGTTGGTGTTGGTGTTGGTGGTGTCGGTGGTGGTGATACATAGTGAATAGATGTCTTGTATGATCAGTGATCACTGGGTACTGGGTACTAGGCGATACATGTGAAGTCACTCGGACAGAACACTCTTGCCGATTCCACAAAGTGCTCGCTCTCGAAGCCAGAAAGCCCCATTGAAATTGCCACTGTCTGGAATCCAGATAGGTCGCAAGCAACTTGAATCAAAAACCGCCAGGAAGCCTAGACCACACCTTGGCCCGCCACTCCAGCGTGTGTGCGGTCCTAATCCTTCAATAAGCTTCTTCTAGATGGAATCATGCTACCATTCCGCAAAAGCCAACAGCCAAAAGCTAAATCTTCTTTACTTTGACCTCCATCCAACCATCCCACCATCCCACCATCCCACCGTCCCTATATCCCTATATAAACCCCCTCCCCCGCCCCTCCCTCCCCCCATTGCCATTGCCATTACCATGATCTGTGATCCAGCCATATAGCAAGCAACGTAAGTACCTATCTCATACAACGGGAACTGGCCTCCCATCTGGAGGTCTTTTCTTCACCACTTTTCTTCACCACCACCACTTAGTACCACCACTCAGTACCACCACTCAGTACCGCATTTCAACTTTCACCATGGACTCACCTTCCGACGATGGAAATAAAAGCGGGCTAAAATGTGTCTAGGTACTAGTATTGAAGTTCTGGTGAAGCCTATCTATTAGGTATTTGGACTTATGGCTGGGACTTATGGCTGAGTACCTGGTATACTGAGAACTGTCAAACACTCTGTTTTCCTACCTCACGGGTTTTCGGAAACTGAAACTGAAACTGACCAGTAGGTACCTGGTATTCAGTGTCCCGGCGAGGAACTGAATACTTGGTAGGTACCTATGGCTTTAGAACTGGAAGTCTGAGACTGGAAACTGAGGCCATCCATCCATCCAAACGGGGCCCTTAATCATTAAACAAAAAACAAAAACAAAAACAAAAACAAAAAAACCGGCAGGAAGCCAGGAAGCCTGGACAATACTACACTACTCTACAGTATGGCCCGCCCGCCACTCCAGCGTGTGTGCGGTCCTGATCCTTCGATAAGCTTCTTCCAGATGGAATCATGCTACCATTCCTCAAATAAGCAATGGCCAAACCCAAACCTTCTTTACTTTGACCTCCAACCCACCAACCCACCAACCCACCAACCAACTAACCCACCATCCCTCCATCCCACCATCCCACCGTCCATATACCTATATAACCCCCTCCCCCGCCCCGTCCCGCCCCATCCCCGCCCCCAAGCACCAACAAAATGCCCCACGACCGCCCCACCTTCGTCCTTCACAAATGCAGGAACATATACGACACCGCCACGGGCGAGCGCATCGGCGTCGTGCTGGAGTGCGAGCATGTCGTGGATCTAGAGGAGTGGGAGGAGATTGGAGAGGAGAGTGAGGAGGGGGACAGTGAGGAAGAGGATGGTGAGGAGAGTGGGGAGGAGGAGGAGGGTGAGGATGGTGAGGAGTGGGAGGAGTGGGAGGAGTGGGAGGAGTGGGAGGAGTGGGAGGAGTGGGAGGAGTGGGAGGAGAGTAATGGGGAGGAGGGTGAGGAGAGTGGGATGGTGGGTGTGATTGTTGGTGTAGGTGTGATACTCCTGGATGAGGATGAGGACGAGGATGAGGAGGCAGTGCTGGGGGGGAGTGAGGCGGGAGGGTGCGGTGTGCCACCGGATATGGTTCCGACACGGAGACCAGGGCGACGGCCAGGGCGACGGTGCAGGAGAGTGCAGTGCAGCCGGGTGCAGTGCTGGGGACGGGGGAACTGATGGGACAGCCTCCCCGAGATCGGGGGCCGAGTTAAGGCAAGGCAAAGCAAGGGACGAAATGGGGCGGGTGGTCGGGTGAGTTCTTATGATGCGGCCTTTCCGTGGGGTACCTATTGTTTTATGATATATCCTTCTCTGTTGCGGGGAGCCGGGGACGGAGGAGCTCCAATATTCTGCTAAATACATCTCGACTCTTCTATTAGGAAATGGTTTTTTTTACAGTATTACATCGCGAGTTTTTTTCTTTCTCGACTCGATCGTCTGCTTTCTTCCCGTTGCGTCTTTGAATGGGTCCAAAATCCGCACTTAACTACGGTAGTGTGATTCCCGCCCATGCCGCGCCTTATCGTGGCGGTTGACGGGGGATCAACGCGGCATAGCCGTAGTCGTGGTCGTGGCCGTGGTCACGGCGGACGGAGGCAAGGTACATGCGCTAACCGACTGACACACGACTACTACCTATCTGCTACGAGAGCACCTGAGCTCCCCCAGTCCCAACCTCCCTCGCTCCCTCCTGCTTCGACATCACCGAAAGAGAGGCGAAGAGAAAGGACCTCTTTATTACTTTCTACCAATTTCCACATACACGTACGAGACTCGAGACTCGAGGAAACGCAGCAGCCATGCCGCCAAATCTTGTCATTATTGCCCTGGTTACTGGTGTACGTACTGGGAAGAGAGAGAGGGAGATGGAGAGAAAGAGGGAGAGACAGCTAATGAGGATGCGTGCGTGTAGATGCTGGCGACCGGTGTCGCCAATACCCTCTTGACCAAGTACCAGGACATGCAATGTGTCCGCGACTGCGACAACCCCGATCCCGAGAAGCGCCATGTCTTCGAGCAGCCGGTGATGCAGACGTGAGCTTCCCCCTCGCGTCCAACGAGCCCGGTTAGCAGGAGCTAATAGGGTGTATGCAGACTGCAGATGTTTGTCGGCGAGATGGGTACGCGACTTTTTGCTACGGAGTGGCGGGGCTATGGGGTGCGAGCGCGGTGCTGATGTCGTGTGTGCGTAGGATGCTGGTTAATCGTCGGCTGCTTCTCGCTGCGATCGCTGTACCGTCGGAAACGTCGCGAAAACGACGGGTACCAGCCGGTGGGTCCGTCCGAGGACGAAGAGGACAGTGCGCTCACCGCGAGCATGAGCACGGCGCCAAAGGCTGTCTACGACGACGGGCGTATTCCAATCTCCGGGATGAAGGTGTTCCTACTTGCGATCCCGGCCTGCTGCGATATCGCCGGGACTACCCTGATGAACGTCGGATTGCTGTTCGTGGCGGCGAGTATCTACCAGATGACGCGTGGCGCCCTCGTGCTTTTTGTAGGGCTGTTCAGTGTGCTGTTCTTGAAGCGCGTGCTGTACCCGTTCCAGTGGTTCGCGCTGTTCGTGGTCGTCATCGGTGTGGGTGTGGTGGGAATGGCCGGCGCGATATTTAAGGACCCGGCGCCAGAGGACCGGATCAAGGCGAACCAGGGCAAGGGAATGGGGGATCTGTCGCCGGCGGTGAGCACGGTCATCGGGGTGCTCCTGATCGCGTTCGCGCAGATCTTCACGGCGACGCAGTTTGTGGTCGAGGAATGGGTGCTCGAGAAGTACTCGCTCGAGCCGCTCAAGGTCGTCGGCTGGGAGGGAATCTTTGGCTTCGTTGTCACCGTGCTCGGAATGACGATCCTCCACTTTACGGTCGGTGTTACGCCCGAGGGTCAGAATGGCTACTTCGATGCCGTCGAGGGCTGGAGGGAGATCACGTCGTACCCCACTGTGGCTTTCTCGTCGCTCGCCATCATGGTCTCCATCGGCGGCTTCAACTTCTTTGGTATCTCGGTTACTAGGTCTATCTCCGCTACCGCAAGGAGCATCATCGATACCTGCCGCACGCTGTTCATCTGGGTCGTGTCGTTGGCCCTGCACTGGGAGAGCTTCAAGTGGCTGCAGATCTTGGGATTCGCCCTCTTGGTCTACGGCACATTCCTGTTCAATGGTAACTACACGCCTCCCCTGTTCTCCCATCATCACATACTAATCAAAATACAGAACTGGTACAACCCCCGCTCCGCTGCTGCCTCGGAAACCGCAAGGCCGAGGACGAGGACGGCTCCGGCACCGACGAGGCGCGTGCAGGACTGCTGCCGGAAGGGCCCGTCGAGCACGTGTAGTACAGCGCAGCGTAAGGGCAGTAACTGTGGTGGTGGCGGTGGTGACGGTGGCATGACTATGATGTGTGGGGTCGGATTGATCGGGGACTTTTGTGCTTCGCTTTGCTTTGCTTGCTTGGTTTATTGCATTATTGCATCCGTACGTCTGTTTATTGTTTATTGCAAAGCGCGTTTTAAAGCTATCCTGTCCCGTGGGCTTGTTCTCCTTCGAGGGAGAGATCGTGGACCAGTGAAGACGCCGGTGGGATTGGGACTCAGGAGTTGGATGCTTGATACATATATCCTGCGAGGAAGATCGGATGTGACTTGATAGAATTCATCCCAATCCGAACTAATCAATCATACGGCGCATTTGGGGGGTTATAGTAGAATACTGCCTAGGTACCTACCTCTTACCCATACTATCATCTCGGAGATCTGAGACCGGAGAGAAGTATACGGACAGGAGCGGGAGGTGACAAACTGACAGTGCATATCGACAAAGCACAGGCAGTAACAGGCAGTTGCAAGCTTACAGCACGGGGAGGTGAATCCGGCGATTACAGTATTCGACAGGACTGGTAAATCGCCGACGAAAGCTACAAACGCTTTAACCGCATCCCAGCTTAACGCTCAAGCCAGATAGGTAGGTAGACAGTTACCGCCGGTCGTCCAGGCGGCGGAGTCGGATGTGATATGGTTTAACCACGGAGGGGGGCGGGTATGACAATGGGGGACGGCCAGACCTCAGTGGAGTAACTGTCCAGGCGTCAGCGGGTCACTGAGGAGGAGGACAGTGTGTAGCGGAAGTTACGACTCACGAGTGATCACGGTTGCGGCGGTAGTACTGTAGTAACCAACTAAGTGCCTAGCTGTAAACCGCTGGGGGCCGGAGAGAGCAGGAAGGAAGAGTGGAAGGAGCGGGAGAGGAGAGGAGAGGAGCGGCTGGTATGTATGGGAGTCGAGAACTCTCCTCTAATGACCGAGGGAAACGGGGGACGCGGAGGACGGGAGTAGCGGCCCTGGCGGGGGAAGATAATAGGTAATTAGGCCTGGAGAGGGTGGACATTGGCAGCTATAACTAAACGGTGCCGTTGCTGAATCGAAAAGAGGCCACATTCATCCTGTATAGGTATACCTAGTGGAGGGGTGGGGGGGGGGGGGTAAAAATGGTAGTGATATGGTATCAGTACGGTCAAAATACGAGTTTTTAATGCCCTTATACGATATCAATATGCGTCCGGCGGGAAGCAACGTTTTTATTACCCCCCTTGAACAAGGTATACAGTCGGTAGGATATGATACGCAGTGCAGTGGATTCTCATGAATACATCTTACATCCTACAGAATCGAGGGTGGGCGCATTTGAATTTTGAATATGGGGCCCATAATGGAGTCCTCTCTGAATGTGAAACCCAAACCGAACCAGATCCATACACCAGCCTGTTGGCTGTATTTTTAGGTATTGATACTGTACCTATTGCCGTCGACGCGTATCCACGAGCGCGAATGTGAATCCGGTAATGGAAGGGAAGCAACTGAGAGTCCCGGTACAACACCACCATATCCTGCTACAGGGTTGGCATATTCAAAGACTTGCGATACGTTCGGCCAAATTGTGCAATCAGGGGCACTGTGCCCACATGGACTCCAAAATATAGCGGAGTTGGGAAATCTGCTGTGTTTTGGGCGACGGTCTGGATACTGTGACGAGACTACCCTCACTATTTGCCTCCATATGACTTCCGAACACCTCCGCCACGGAATAACGCTGCGCTCTTAATTCCAGTCCCGAAGAGTATTCTGTGCCGCCATCGCCTTCGCCACCCACTAATGCCTTATTTCGAAAGCACGCCGACACTCTTTGCATCACCAGCTTTTCCTCCCTCCGGCATTCCGGGGCCTCCACCGCTGTCGATGCGTCGCATGTAGGCAGCCCGGATGGCTTTCGTCTTCGCGATCTGTTGGCCGTGGGTATCAGTCTCTGGTAGCCGTAGGTAGGTCATTGTGGAGAGAATTGTAATGCTGGTGTTTTGAGGTGGAGGGAGCAGGATGCCATACCTCCTTGTGGTGGTGAAGACATTCGTAGTAATCGTTCTTTTGCGGAGCGCAGCGCCAGCGGTTTTCGTTGCTGGTTTCGCTCGTATTGATGACGTAGCATGCGAGGAAGTCTTGCCAGTATGGGTAGCACTACATTGGAGACCGATCAGCAGTGTAGACGGCGATGGGTGTAGCGGAGGAGAAGGCGGCAGGAGCAGATAGCGGGGGGATAGTCGGCGCGGACGCAGCAGGACGTGACGGAGGAACGGATGGCCTGCGAAACCGGTCGTGCGGGCGAGTGCTGGCTTCCCCCATCAGCGGTTCACGAGGTGGACCATTGGGCGCATTCACTGCCGGATTCACTGCAGTTTCCCCAGGCCATGACCGTCAAGCGTCTCTACTTCCGCCGCTGCCGCCATCCGTCCGCTCCCTCCGCCCAAGCATCCCTTTCCGCTCCCGCGGTTTATTCGACCCCACGAACTGAACTGGACGTACCCTTCCAACACCTGCCGAACCGTCAGTCTACCTATCTCTCTCCCGACCCTCCCGCATACGAAGACGTACCGCCGTTGAGACCGTATCCGGAAGCCATTGTTCGTGATTCGTGGTGGTATGAGACGAGGGATTGGGAGTGGTACGGGAGTGACGATGGTTGCAGTTCGAGGGCTTGGCGGCGGGGGCTGGTTAGTGCTAACTAGCGTGTAAATTCATACTGAGGTATGTACTGGTACACACAAGCACTCCTCCGACTAAACAGCTTTCTCCTTTACCCCGTTCCTACTACTCTCAAAGCCATCACTTTTTCTGATATCGTGGTCGACAATGCTTTGGTTATGGTTGCTATGTACTCTGGCACGATAAGCCTGGTCCGGTTGGACCTTTTGAAGAGAAACAACTGCCATGATTGGAGTCCATCGCACTTCACAATATCACACGAACAGCTCCCCACTCGTTCGACTGCTCAGCCAAGCTCTACCCGTACTTATCTCGATGGCGTCTTGTTGGCAGTCTTCGCCACACGACACATTCTCCGAAGCACGATAGGTATGACTCGTACCGCAGCATGTCCGCATGAAGTTGCATGGAGGCTTAGACGCATAATGATGGTAGGATTGATAGAAATATTACTTGTGCCTATGTACTACTCCACCAGGCAACCAACAGCTGTCCTGGAGGTATCCCGGACTGTTTCGTTGACCACAGCATTTAGGCCGGTTCCAAAAGTACAAAGTCCCGCTGTCACCCACGAGTGGTGCTTTTCAACCGCATACGATCAACTTTTCCACCATAATGTCTATGGACCGTACCTTGTCCTCCGTGTACGATGAAGCTCTTTCTCGATACGAGCAGCTTCATCGGGAAGGGAAAATCAAAGAGGAGCATCTCATACTTATCCGGGAACGAACAAGCCTCGGCGATGTCCTGTCTACGATCAAACAAGCGGGGGTCAAAAATGAGGGAGAGCGAAACGCAATGGACCGGCTATTTCGCAGGGTGTCTCCGGAGATTGTCACCAAGATCGAAAGATTTTCGAGCGTCGTCGACACTGCGGTCTCAGCGAGTGGGTTATATATCACAAGTTACCCTTAAAATTATCACAATTTCTGACTGGAGCTCTAGATCCCGATGTGGCTGCCCTAGTTTGGAGCTCGATCAAGTTTGTCCTAATCGTGCGGCCTCGGTTTTCCTGTGACTGTATTTCGCTGTTCGGGAATCTGACCACCTATGATACGTGCTAGATCATGCGGGATTGTAACGACGCATATGCGACAATATGCCGCTTGGTGGAAGAGGTGCCGTTGTGTCTCGAGAGATACCATGCGTATGTGGAAACGTATGGAGTGACAACGCTTTTACGAGGGAGGTTGGTAAGGTAAGTTGTGCAACTGACATGGCCAACCAATCCAGCAACAGAGTACATACTGACTCCGTCAAGATTCTACGAGGATATCCTGGAATTTAGCATAGAGGTTGCAAAACTTTATGGACGATCCAAGATAAGTGAGTGGCGACCATGAGTTACGCCCCATGCAAGCCCAGGATAAACATTGAGATTTCTCGCAGGGAAAGTCGCTACATCGGTCTGGAAATCGTTGCAGGGACCATTCAACGACATCGAGGAGAAAGTTGGGAAACATTCAAGGGAGATCGACTTAGCTGCACAGGCCGAGCAGATGATGGCGTAGGCTAATCAGACGAGAATGATTTCCGATGGTATGCATAGAAATAAGAGCTTCTTTGGAACAGAGACTGATGGGAGTGCGAATAGGCTTTGACCGGATAGGCAAGTATATGATTTGTCTGATACATGTGCCTGATGGTATCAGCGATGCCACAACCCGTACTGACTGACCATCGGTTCAGGAGGAAGCAATGTTATCCAGCCGCCGGTGGCATCTGGCATCTTCATAGTGCCAGATCTCTTGAGTTACCGCTTTACGGGAAGGTAAGGCTGGAGCATTTTCGGAGATACCATAAACTGGCATTTGGAAAGAAAACATCAACTTCAGAAACTAAGCACAATGACCTCTGCTTCCATATCGGGCTCCAAACGGGCGGCAGTTTATGGGATGCCGGGCGTTGGCAAGAGCCAGATTATACTGGAGTTCGCGCGAGATTATCAGCAAACGCACCCATGCAGTAATGTGTTCCACGTCGACGCCACCGGACGCGAGAGTCTCACACAAGGCTTCCAAGGGATTCATACCATCCTAAAACTCCCACGGGCAACTCAGCATGAAGCTATGACCGAGTCGGTCAAACAGTGGCTCACACGGACGCAACAGTGGCTTCTTTTGGTCGACAATGTGTCCTCAGCGGACGAGGTTCGGCTCTTCCTCCCATCGGGTGGTTCTAGAGTTATTCTCTTCGCAATGAGGGATGAGTGGCTGGCAAGAACACTTGGGTCGTCGGGGATGCTGGAACTGCTGCCAATGGATAATGAAGAAGCGACCGATTTGATACTGAAAGGGACGGGCAAGGATCCAGCAACATCTACTTCCAAAGATCGTCTCGATGCTGCAGAGATTGGACGGCAAGTTGGTAATCTGCCTTTAGCCCTTGAACAAAGCGCCGCTTGTATTTCCTACAGGAAGTGGGGGCTATCCAAATATCTGGATCTCTTGCAGCGGGAAAAGGTGGAGACTCTCGGTCTCGGCCCGGCGCTCGATAATTTCCATTCGCCTTTTCCCCAGACCTTCGCCCTCGCTACTCAGCAACTTTCGTCTACTGTAATGGTCCTGTTGAAATTGAGTGCGCATCTGAACCATTATAATACCCCCATGTCTCTGCTGCAGGCGGGAATTAGGAATACCATCTTGGAGGTCCCTAAAGCGAAGGATAGCGATGCCATCATCTCAGAGGCCTTTGAAATACACTCTCCCACCAAATTGAGCAGCAGAACATCCAAGCTTTTTGGAGGAGCCCACCGTGCTTTCTGCCGGGTAGTTTCTAAGAAAAAGGATTCTGTAGAGCAATCCGATGAAACCAGCAATGCTATCGGTATCGAAAGCGACCGGTCGTACGGTTTTCTCCGGCAGCTTTTCTCGGATTCCGAGCAGTTTGAGCGTGCAGTCTCGGAACTTCATACGGCGGCTCTGATCGGTCGGAAGCAGGAGGGCAATATCTGGATACACGATCTTGTCTCGGAGATGGCGCTGTACGTGATCGGAAAATCCGAACGATATCTTTTTTGCCAATGTCGCCATTCAACTATGCTTTGGGATATTTCCCTACAATCCTGGGGAACCTGCAACTTGGGGTGCATGCGAAGAAGCCTCGACCCATGCCACAGTTGCCCTGCGACACGCTCATGCAGTGCAGATAGTAGGGTCGCAGTCAGTTTATGACCTTCAAAGTCGCCTTGCTCAGTATTATATGGAGAGGGGTAGATACAGTGAGGCAATGCCTCTTTTCAGGGTTGCGGTTGCCGGACTTGAAAGTGTCATTGGGTACAAGGAACGTTCTTGGAGAAGTGCTGCCAACGGATTAATTAGTACGGCGGTTTGCGATCACCAGTATGCGAGAAGCATTGGACGTTATTGAGCGGGTATTACCTATACAAGAGAGAGAGCTTGGGCCGAATCACCAAGTAACTCAGAACACTCTCCACGCCAAGGCTACCATATTCAAAGAGGCTGGACGGTGCGAGGAGGCTCTTGAGCTGTACGATCGAGTTTTGGCCGTGGGAGAGAAGGCACTCGGGCCGGATGACCCAATAACTCTGATCACTCTTGGTAATAAAGCTAGCGTGCTCTGTGTAATGGGACGGTATACTGAAGCTCTGGAGTTGTATGAGAGGATCCTCCCTGTGCAGGAGAGGGTGCTTGGGCTGGATGACCCATCGACTATGGCCACTCTCAACAACATGGCCTTTGTATTGCGCGATATGGGACGATATGACGAGGCTCTAGAGCTGCACAAGCAGAGTTTGACTGCGGAAGAGAAGGTTCTCGGGGCGGATCACCCAATGACACTGGTCACATTCAGTAGTATGGCTATTGTGCTCAGTAAGGCGGGACAGCACAATCAGGCTCTGGAGCTGTATGAGCGAGTTGTTGCTGTGAGAGAGAAGGATCTCGGGTCGGATCACCCTCACACAATCAGCGCTCGGTGGAGTCTTTCTAAATGCAGGGGCATTATCCGGGAACGAGCCAATGACGGACCCGAAACCTAGCCGCGGCTGGCAGCACCAGGAAGCCTCTCGAACCAGCACCGCCCACCGTCCGTATTCCGACCGGCATACTCCACATCTTATTGGCGCGAAGGGGTCGTCCAGCATATCTGAAGATCTCGGAGTAAATCTCGTTAGTTTTCTTTTGAGCCAGGCCAATTATTTGCGTTGTACAGGTTTATTTTATGGCCTTGTCACGAGAAGTCAAGGAAGGCAGAACATGTATTTATTACTCGTGGTCATTGCGAATTATCTGGAACCGGAGAAGGCGTATCATATGGTGTCTTTTTTTTGGCTTTTACACCTCATGTTTCTCCTTTTTTGTACCTTCATTTCTCTTTGCTGTAGCTGTCTTTGCTGTCGTTGTCTCCGCCGTTGTTTCTGTTGGTTTTTGGAGATGCGTCATTTTCGAGGGCGTCTTGGGAAGATTTCGGTTTCAGTGTGTAATTCACTGGAGGAGCGAACTCCCTAATGCTACCTATTCCAGCGACACCGGCTTCAACCTACTGGCGATAGCCAACTGTGGGGGCAGTAATTCGTACTGGGCCTCTGGAGCGGAAGGTCATGTAGTATCATTTGAGAATTTCTGCTGATCGAAATTTTAACTTATGTACCTACATTACACTGTTAAGTAGGTATGTAGGTACATATGTATTAGGTAGAATGTATTGATGATTACACCCACGGACAACGTCTTGTACAATGTATCCATCGCAGACGGGGCGGGCTGCGTGATCTTTCATGAAGATCCCTCCACATCCACACCCTGTGCAATGCAACACCAACAACTCGGCCCTCGGCATCGGCATCGGCGACGCGCACATAGGTATCATTCGCCCAACGCAACGTGCTGCGTAGGTACAGTACTCTTGTCACGGGCGCTTAAGAAGGTGGACGGTGGAATTGCTATGTACTTACTAGTAAACCTATGCACTTATAGTTGATAAGTTGATAACCCTACGGTACGTCAGTACCTGCTGAGATTCGCGGGGCGGCACAGAACAACTACCTATAAGATCGATCATCTAGACGTCGTCACGGCGTTTCTCAATCCCATGATAACTAGACACCGATGTCTACATGCAGCTACCTGACGGTATCGAACGCCCATGCTCGGAGGCAGAATACATTGCCTGTTTCGAACCTCGATGCGACTCGAAAAGCTTAACGGCTATATAGCACAACTGCACAGGGATTTCAGTTGAATTTCATTGGATATATACACATTTACTGGTTTATGTACTGGTTTATTAGTTTGTTGTTTGTACGGACGTTTTCGTTGAGTTGAGTTGGTACTCTTTCCTAGCAGCCTGCAGGTTTCTCCCACTGGGTTTACATACTGCGTAAGTAGGTTTTAACGAGGCTAACGGGGAATCATTGAGTCATCAGACATGTACATATTCCTTTTTTGATTCTTATATGTGCTTGCTGGTTGGTTTTCACGGGGAAATACCGGACGCAGCAAAGGAGGAAGTGTTGTAACATCTCACTCGTTGCTTAGTCGCTTACGCACGCGGTCATGACGGCGGGAAGCACTGGCCGCCTACATACCACCCCTCTTTTCTGTCTTCTCTCGAGGCTTTCAGACTAAAACAATAACTACAATACTTGTTCACACATTCCAAAAGCTCGATGGTGCAACCTGACGAGTGATACAATATGCTACCATCGTGAATAGGTAGTATGTAAGCATCATGTCTGTGAAACGCGAGCGTATAGGTAGAGTAGTAGAGTACTAGTAGTTCGCGACACAACGACGTTACAAGCTCTCCCACACCTATCCTCACCTGCACCCCCACCACCCCGCACAGCGCACCACCCCCACCACCAACCACCCACCAACGTACCCAGCAACCATGGGCAAGGACAACAAGAAAGCCGGCGGTAGCGGCGGCAAAGACAAAAAAGCCGGCTCCGGCTCCGGCTCCAGTTCCAAAGAATCGTCGTCGGGGTCGAAAGACGACAAACTGAAGCCATGCACATCGATCAACGTGCGGCACGTGCTGTGTGCGAAGCACTCGCAGATCACGGCGGCGCTGGAGCGGCTGGGTGCCGGCGAGGCGTTCGACAAGGTTGCGCGCGAGTTGTCGGAGGACAAGGCGCGGCAGGGCGGCAGTCTCGGCTGGCAGATCCGCGGTGCCATGGTCAAGGAGTTTGAGGACGTCGCGTTTAAGCTGCCCGTCTCGAAAACGGATAGGCCGAGTTATAATATGGAGCCCGTCAAGTCGGGGTTTGGGTGAGTGGCTTTCGAACTCTAAGGAGGATGGGGAGGTGGGAAAGTGGGCGGACGCTGGTGCTGATGGTTACGGGTGTATAGGTATCATGTCATCATGGTCGAGGGAAGGAAGTAGGTACTACTACTACTAAAGTAGGTGCCGAGTGCTGCGAATTGGAATATCCTGAGTGTCACGAGCGAGTGAGCTGTGCTGTGTGGGCTGTGCTGTGTGAGCTGTGTGTGCTGTGTGGGCTGTGTGGGCTGTGTGGGCTGTGTGGGCTGTGCCGTCTATAGATCCCCACCGAGGCGAAACACTCCGTGTGTATGTACATACGAACCACCAAAGGTCCAATACTAGTACCTACTCTCCGGCCTCTACCCGCCAGAGGTAGGTAGGCATGATACCTACGTTCGACAGTGTCGGAACAGCCATGTAGAGTAGGTAGGTACATATAAGCATGTCCGGCTGCAAATTGCAATCACAGCAATGTTCTGGATCCATTATGCACATAATGTTCACATAAATGCCTACCTACCTACCTAGAAGTATGAGCATCGATGCCGTCCGTCTGTTCTGTTCTGTTTTGTTTCGCCCAATCGTTGCTCGCCCAGCCAGCCAGCCAGCCTACATACCAGCCTACATACCAGCCTACATACCAGCCTACATACCAGCCTACATACCAGCCTACATACCAGCCTACATACCAGCCTACATACCAGCCTACATACCAGCCTACATACCAGCCTACATACCTACCAAATACCTACAGCTCTATCCATGATCCATCAACTCGCACACCCACCGTGCCGCCTAGGTATCAGATTTTTTTTTGTTTTGTTTTTGTCGGCAACACTGCAGGAAGTGACATGCCATGCCATGCCGTAAACCACATGCCAGGCTCCAAGCTCCAGGCTCCAGGAGGAAGCGGAAGCCTGAAGGAGAAAGACTCAAGAGGGATGATGGGAGGAGACTCAGGAGAGGAGAGGAGAGAGGATGTACGGTACGGTAGGAGGAACCGATTACTTACCTACCTGGGTAGGTGGGTACATTTAGGTACTCCGTTGATGAGAGAACGGTAAGTATGTAGGTATATGGAAGCTAAGTAGGTATGTAGGTATATGGAAGCTAAGTAGGTATGTAGGCAGTGTTCTCCAGCGTCCAGTCCGGACGGCCAAAATTCCGGACGGTCCGAGCCTAGGACGGACGAGTCAGTCCCCGTCCGTCCTCCACCGTCGGACGGCCGTCCAAGTTACGTGAATATGTTCGGCTGATTGAATCCCTCACCGCTCCACAAGGCTCCCCAAGGCTCCCCAAGCTGTAAAAAGCACCTATATAGCAGTATTCCAACTTGGCCGCCTAACTAAGGTGCCGCACGGCGGCGCCCGGCCCCTAACTATGTACCTATCACAGCGCTCTATGTAGGCACCATATCTCACTCGTACACATAAAGGCCACACACAAAATCGCGGTTTTGAGCAGGGCTTGGCGGACGCCGGACGGACGAGACGGCTGTCCGCTGGAAAAGCCTGGGTCGTCACATCCTAGGCTTTTGAGGACGGATGGGAGGCACACTGTCTGAGGCCGAGGCCCAGGATGGACGGACCAAACGATGGAGAACACTGGGTGGTACATATACATAGGCGGCCAGTCCTTCCCGAATCCCGCCGTCATGACCGCGCGCGTATTGTATTGTACATAAGCGCCCAAGCAACAAGTGAGATATCACAACACGATCCGCCGTCTCCACCTACCTACCTATCGTGCTAACAACAACCCCTCACAACCGTTGACAGTTGTCAAGCCGCAAGCCCCAAGGCCACGAGTCCCTGCATAAGTAGTCGTATGCATATCTATCGATCCAGCACGCTCTCCGCCGTCCACTCTCCGCTCTCCTTCGTCCGTCGTCCGCCGTCCGTCGTCCGGACCGAAGAATGCGCGCATCTAGGCAAGGTATATACAGCAACATCCATACATGATATACAAAGTGTAAACACACCGAGACCGAGTACCAGAGGAGAGTAGAGTAGAGAGACCGCTACCGTACCGTACATACCGTACCGTATTGTACATAACTTGGGGAATTTCAAACACCCTCCTAGAGTCTTAACAAGAGAAGAGAAGAGAAGAAGAAGAGAAGAGAAGAAGAGAAGAGAAGAAAGCTAGAACCAAACCAAACCACAAAAACCCATCCATCCAAAAAATAAAAGCCTATAAAAGCAGAGCTGAGCTGTCGAAGCCCCCCCCCCGTATCGAATCGAAAAGTGAAGTGAAGTGAAGAAGAAGGGTCTAAAGAAAAAGAAAAAGGAGACTAAAGAATATGGCCGAAAAAAAGCTGACACAAGATCACGCACCACACCACACAATCCCTCCCCCCTAAACCTACATAGAATCCGAGCCACGGACCACGGGAGAACATCCCTTCTCCTGTCCTTTCCTTCTGTACAAACTACTATACCATACCATACCACCCTCAGAATGCCCCAGACTCCAATACCCATCCAATACCCATCCAATCCAATCCAATCCAGTCCAATCCAACCGTCCCAGAAACCCTGATATATCCCCCCCAGCCCCAACCCCGACCCCGACCCGCAAACCAACCCTATCCTATCCTACCCTACCCTATCCTATCCTATCAATACAGCTCACCATCCATTGATTAACCCCACCGGCAACCATTGCTGTCTGTCGATGAAAACCCCCGCCCATGAACCCTCCCAGAAGGCTCCCCAACAAGAAAATATGTCCCGTTTCCCTCGCCATCTCCGAGAAGAGAAGAAAGAAAGCAAACGCCGGAACCGATAGATATGAAAGAATAAGAAGAAAAGAAGAAGAATAAGAGAAAAAAAAGAAAAACCTCTTTGAGAAATGACGATGCCGTAGGAAAAAAAAAGAAAAGTGGAAATACAGTAGTAGAAGCAGACCCAAAAATGAAGCCCAGGGAGAAGTCCTGGATACGCCATGCAAAAGAAATATGCGAGAGGGTATCATCCGGAGTAGCAAAAAAGACGTCAGGGAATACGCAGGCGAAGCAGTTAAGAAACCCCGAGGTAACCCCCTCTAATAAACGTAAATATCCGGAAAAGGACGAAAAGACAAAAAGAGAAGGATGGCGATGGAGATGGTGTCAAGGGGTGTCCGTGGAGAAGCCGATGCTGGCGGCAACAGCTTCTATCGGACTGCCGCTGCCAACTGGAAGACCGTTCAATCCGAACTTCTCCAGTAACTTGTCAACCATGACATATTCATCCTGCTCGACGTATCCCACGGGCTGCTGTCGGAGGAACGACATGACCACCTCTAATGCCTTCTTGGCGTCGTCCTTACTCGGTGCAACCCCGGATGGTGTCCCTGGACTTCCGCTGCCCGATGGCCCTGTGTGCGATGAAGACGGGGTCATGTGCGGGGAAGCCAATGGGTTGGGAACCTCCGGTATGGGTGATGCAAGCGCTGTCGAGCCCTGGCCAAAGAGCTTCGGAGTCAATGGCTCCGATGAAGGCGGAGGTGAGATGTAACTCCCGTCCATGGGCATGCACGGGAACGTTTGGGACCGCGGCCTCTGGTGTGTACCGGGCATGCGGCCCTGTTGGGAAGGAAATCCCGGGCTCGGCTGGGCAGAGTCCGGAGAGAAGAATGGAGATCGCGGCGAAGTTGGTCCTAGTGAATCCCCTGCATCGGTAAACGTCCCCAACATGAATGGGCCAGGGCTTCCCGAACCTGAGTGCTGGAACGACTTGTACGAGATGTCCATCGGCATGTACGATTCCGGGGAATCGCCGCCATCCTGACTCCTGCAGTGTTTCATGGCCATGGGCGAATCGCCGTCGCCTTCGTGGCAAGCGATCGAACTCACGGTCGAGTCGTTCCTCGAGTGACCCATCCTGCCCCGCGACATGCCACTCACATCGCTCTCGGATCTCCCCCGTCCGTTTGGATGCACGTTGTTTTTATGTTTGAACTTCTCCAGCCAACTGGCGCTGTTGGCTTTGAAGTGGCTGTCGGAGATGCCCAAGCTCGTCGCAAAGAACCTGGCCTTTTCGCGAATCATCACGTCCGTCAACGTGATGCCCTGCTTCCTAGTATTTTTTGCCCACACCGATAATGCGCGCTCTATGTCCGGAAATTTGCCCTTGCTCCGCTTGACTGGCGATCTACTGCCATCATCTGGAAATAGGTATTTTTCTTTTTGTCGGAGGACTTTGGATACGGTGCTGCAATTTTTTTCCCCCGAAAGTTAGCTGGGGTGCTCATTTCGTTTGGTGGTCAAAACCCCCTCCAATCGATTGCAAGGCGGTTGCGTGTGGTTACCTTCGTTCAACGCCAAACATCGCTTTTATCAACGCCGCCATTGAGTCAGCCAATTGAGGGTAAACAAAGCGCCGGCTTCACCGCCGCCGCCACACGTGCACGTCGACGCGCACAAGGGTGAACGGCAATAGCAGCGGCAGGGGCGGCAAGGCAGGGCAGGATGGATCGCATCTTAGCATACCTCCTATCTCGGTCTGCTTCACATTCGGATTCTCCTCGTGGAAAATGCACATTCTCCGGCGGTCAGCATCAGTCAGGGTCCGGCGCGGACTTGAAGTCGACTGCGTGGGATTACTGGCGGAAGCCGTTATGGCCGCGGCAGCTGCGAGCTGCGGAGGAGCAATTGGCTGCTGTTGCTGTGGCATGCCTCCATACTGCGGTTGCTGGCCGGTCTGCATCGATTGTTGTTGTTGTTGTTGGCCCCATTGCTGCGGGAGCCCTAGATAACTGGGAGCTATCGGAATGGAAGGATTCTGTAGTCTGAAGGAGTCTGGCGGCGCGAAGCCGGAGGCCTCGACATAGCCATAGTGAGCTCCATAATCCTGCTGTTGGTGCTGGTGATGCTGCTGCTGCTGCTGCTGCTGCTGCTGCTGTTGGTGTTGGTGGTGCTGCTGGTGATGCGGCGAGAGCGGATGGTGTCCGTGATGGTGATGTTGTTGCTGCTGCTGCTGTTGCTGCTGCTGCGCGTGATGGTGGTGTTGTTGCTGCATATTTCCCAGGTCAACCCATTGCTGGTCGACGTACCCGTCATGTGGGTTCTGCACAGCGTCCATTGCATGCGAGGGAATGTGGGCTATGTAAGGGAGTGACCGGACTGGTATGGCTGGCGTGCAATTGGGGGGTGGGGAGGGGGTGGGTTGAGTTTGTTGGTGGGGACCAGCAGCAGGCAGCAAGCAAGCACACAGCACAAGCACAGCGAGCACAGCAAAGTACAGCAAGCAAGCACAGGCACAGCAAGGAAATGACAAAGAACGACTGGGTACAGATGCTGGCTGACTGACTGGGCTGGCTGGCTGGCTGGCTGAGAGAGAGAGAGTGAGTGAGTGAGAGGGTGAGTGAGTGAGTGAGTGACTGGCAGACTGGACTGGCTGGGCTTTCTGGAGCAGAAGCGGCGGAAAAGGGAGGGTGGGCAGGCTGGCGGGCGGGCAGCAGCGGGAATGGGAGGCGACACGACGAGACGACGGTACGGACGGACGACGGGACGGACGGGCGAGGCGAAGGGAAGCAAGTTCGCTCTCGCCTCTGGGTCAGTCCCTTTGGGGGGGAAGGGGATGGGCTTTGTCCGGGGTTGGATTAGGCTGGGATGAGATGGGTTGGGTTGGGTTTCCGGGGGGTGTTCCAATTTGGCGAGCGAGAGTTTTTTTTTTTTTTTTTTTTTTTTTTTTGTTGTGGTTTGCCGATTTAGAGGGGGGGGTCGCGTTCTAGCCATGGGAGGAGAGAGGAGAGAGGAGAGTCGGCCAGGTTCAATTCATCAAGCCAGCGCGGCCGACGAGTCGTCTGTCTGTCTTGTCTGTCTTGTCTGTCAGTTCCCGATGCTCGGGCAGTCTTTCTGTCTCCTTGTTTGGTGTGTGTTGCGTGAGTGTCTTTCCATCGCATCAAAGCCCTTCCCCCTTTTGTCCCAACCCAACCCAACCAACAGTCCGGTCCCAGATTGAAGCTCGATTCGAGAAGCAGCTCTTCGGGATCCGAACAGCCAGCTGGGAATCAGGAATCAGGAATCAGGAATCAGGAATCAGGAATCAGGATCAGGATCGAATGGAATTTCCTTTTTTCCTTTTTTCCTTTCTAGGGAGTAATTAGCGTACAGCAGAGCACTCTACATAATCCCGCCGAACCCCATTCGGGTGATTTCTTCGCAGCTGTCCGAGCGGGAAATCCAAGGAAAAAACACTCAAGAAACGCCCCGAAAAGAAAACAAAATCCAACAGGCGGGCAGGCAGGCAACAAAAAGGTCTCCAATAATCCACGGCGATTTCGGAGATCCCTTTTTCCGCCTCCTCCCCCAGACCCAGACCCAAACCGGACAGGTGCCCTGTCTGTCGTCTCGCTCTCGCCCGGCTTCCTGTCAGACAAGGGGGCAAGCAAGCAAGCAAAAGGTTCGGCAGCAGCCATAACCGTCACCTTGGGGGGGATGGGGGGGACACCACGGAAGTCGCAGCCATCCAGCAGCCAGAGCTCATCGCAAAGGCAAAGGCGACGGCGAAGACCAACCTGCAAAAAAAGGAAGAAAGCAGCACGAAAAAAAGAAAAGAAAAAAGGGAACCCCCTGGATATAGTATCGATACAGGGATCACTGAAAGTTCTGGAAGTTGTTGTGGATGCCGCCCACCGTAGTTACGCCGCCCACCGATGCGGTAGGTAACGCGATCCATCAAAAACAAAAGGCCGCGCTGTCTCTCTCTCCTCTCCCACGCGCGCGCACTTCTATATGATGATGCCGCCATACATAACATAAGCAAGTATATCCCGTACCCGTGCCTGCCTACATACATCATGTATCTAGGGGGAGGGGGGAGGGTGAGCTGCGTGCAGCGATGTGTCCTTTCTCCCTAGATACCGTCCATATAGTACCGTATGTGAGCATCAACATCAACATCCGCCCTCGGAAGAAGAGCACTCGCTTAAGCTGCAGCACAATGGCGTCTATCCATCTACTCACATCACCAGAACCAACACCCGTGCAACCGAACCAAAACCAACGCCAAGTGAGCACAGCCATGATGTGTGTAGAGTACGGCAGCAGCAGCAAGCAAGCCACTCGGAACATTCTTTGATAGAATTAAGGTACTTTAATATTCCACGGAACACGGCTGAGCGCCAGGTAGCGAGAAAAGGAGGGGGGGAGGGACAATCCAAAAAAAAAAAACAAATCCCGAAAACGAAAAGAAAAAACACCTCATTGCTACCCAGCACAGCCCTGTCTTTAAGAAGAAGAAGGCGGCCAGGGGGGAGGGGAGAAATCAAAGTTGTATGGATGACGTTTGCCCTCTGCTCATCCCGTTCATGCACGGAAGCTGCAGCCTCGCCTTCTCGAACACTTCCACTTGCAATGCAGCCCGCATAACATAAACGCCACAAGCGCTCATGCACACACACAGCTGCTGGCCAAGGCCGGAGTGTAGAGTACGGTACCTGAAAAGCGGCTGGGCCACTGGGGGCCTGCGGGCCTGCGGCAATTTGGAATTTAGACCTCCACAGTCCACTCGACGACGTGCGGCGAGGGCTCAATATCACTATCTAGATGGCCAAAGTAGAGTAGAGTGGAGTACGTTGCCCCCCCAATTCTTGGCCAGACAATCAATCAATCAATTCACTCCCCCCGGTGTATGTAAATTGGGGGCACGTAGAGGACACCAGAAATTAAGACCGAACAGGTTTGTAATCAAGGTCACATGGTGGTGGTGCCGGTGGATGTCACAATATTGCCCGTCTAGGGAGATATATCATATGTAGACCACCATCAGGAGAATAAGTACGCGTAGATTATGGCTAAAGTAGCCGTTCAGATGAAGGTTGCGAGATGTTGTTTTCCATAGAGTACTTAACAGCGCCCAGCGGGTCATTTGCCTGTTTCCTCCCCCCCTCCCCCCGGTTCCCTTCCATATCCTTCCATTTTGAGCGCCGAAAGTGAAACCAAGTATATTGACAAAATTCACAGAAACAAACCGAAATCACTTTTTGACGATAGTAACCTGGTGGCAAGAACGAAGGTTAGTTTATATCCCGGAATCCCCGCGCACCGCCGCCGCCGCTTGGGAGCACTTACGACGTCCTCGTCCTCCAGCACATGTGACAAACCCACTCGCTGGCCCTGATGCTTTACGCTCCGACCGTACACCACAGCACATTTGAAGGTGTCGATGATGGTCTTGTGGATGGATCGGCACTGGATGGATATTCCGTCAGTTTAGGCAATTGCATGTCCAGGGGGGACGCGAATGGAACTAACGAAGTCTTCGACGCTGCAGGCTCCAGATCGCAGGACAACGGGGGATGTGTAGTCGGGTAATTGCCCTGTCCCGCGATTAGCTATCAGGTTGTTCCCGAATATGGAAACCCAGCTCACCCTTTGGCTTGGTGTAGATGCGCTTGAGGTTCAACTTCTCCCACATCATCTCCAGAAGTTCATCGACATTCCAACCCTGTTACGCCATCAGTCAGTCTTTGGATAAATAACACGGCAGAATTAATCCGGATGTACCTTCTCCGACGAGATCGGCACCGAGTTGGGAATTCGGTATAGTAAATCAAGCTCCTCAATTGTGATGGCGTCGATCTTGTTCAGGGCATAGACGACGGGTATATATCTCCGACTCTTCTCTTCAATGACATCGATCAGATCATCGATGGTAGCATCGCACCGGAAGGCGATGTCTGCCGAGATGATCTTGTACTCGCTCATGACGGCACGGATTTCCTATTTGATGGTTAGCTCAGCGATCACTCGACCTCCGAAAAAATAATCTCACGTCATTGTCCAGGTGTGTGAGCGGTACTGTGCTCGTGACGGAAACACCACCCTTATCCTTCTTCCTGAAGACAATATTCGGTGGCTCCTTGTTTATCCGGATACCGAATCCTTCCAGTTCCGCCTCGATGATCTTCTTGTCGGTGAGGGGCTTGTTGACATCCAGCACGATGAAAATCAGGTTGCACTGCTTGGCCACGGAAATGACTTGTCGACCACGTCCTTTTCCGTCCTTTGCTCCCTCGATGATACCGGGAAGATCCAGCATCTGAATCTTCGCTCCATTGAAAACAACACAACCAGGGACGGTAGTAAGCTGTGCCCTTGTTAGTCTGATGCTCACGGTTCTAGGACGCAGAATTTCGACGTACGGTGGTGAACTCGTAGTCGGCGGCCTCCGAGTGAGTTCCGGTGAGCAGATTCAAAAGCGTACTCTTTCCGACGGACGGGAATCCTAGGCGGCTCAGCACTGCGCGACATCCCGAAAATTAGAGTAGAGAGGAATGTACCGATGAAACCACTACCAAGATGTTAGCCTAGACTCCACCAAACAACACCACCACACAACGCCTAAAGGGCGGGAATCACATACACACTCGCCACACCAGTTCTGGCAACATCGAAACCGACTATCCAACGGAATCAGCACCACCATGCGCCCGCAGCGAGTTGAATTTTCCGCATACCTCCAGCACCACCTCCGCCGGCACCCGAAGGCGTGACAAGTTCTTTCCGTAGCTTAGCGAGCTTCGCCTTCAATTGACCCAAATGACTGCAACCGTCGTGTGAGCCCAATCATGAATTGGCGCGTTGGGGAAGAAATATCGGCACTCACTAGGAAGTGGCCTTGTTTTTCTGCGTTTTGGCTGTCGGAGAGTTAACACCACATGCGCTATGCACCAACAATCGGGGGTCGGCGTGTACATACCCATCTCATCCTCAATCTGCTTGATCTTTTCCACTGCATGCTGTTAGAACAGTATCTTGCGTCGACTGTAATGGTGCGCTGTCGCTGCGGGCTTACCGGTGGTCGACATGGTGGCGGTAGGTGATTTTCAAAGTCTTCCGTGACGGGGTGTATGTGATCTTGTCGTAAAGCCGCGTTTCGTTCGACGCAGGCGTGGTTCGTGAATTCGGTAAGCTTCGTTGGTATGGTGGCGTCGCCGTGAATGTGGGGTTCGTGTCAGAAGATTGATGGTTTAGTGGGGCTCAAGAAATGGATGGCCGCTTGCAGGAAAGCAGGGTAATTGCGGCATGGCCTATTGCGGATCTGAATGCCGCTCCGTCGAGCGTCCGGCACCTGCGTCAACCATGTGGCTAGGGCCGGCCTTCCTCTAAAACGTTCGGACCGCTGGCCAAGATCTTTCCGATTGCAGCTGGTGAACGGCAGTTCACTCTGCAGCAGAAAGTACCCGGATGTAGCTATATCCCGTATTGTATGGAGAGTTTATATCAGTTGCGCTGGAGGCACTCGCCTGCAGAACACCTACCTATGTGTGTACGTATTCAGGATATGATAGCAAGCTGAGGCACCTATCTGTCTATGGAGTCTCAGCCGTGTCGTGGCATACCGATAAGGAGCGAGAGAGCGAAAGCCGGCGGCCGTCCTCGTCTTGCGGCGCATATCATCGGCAGGCCCAAAGTCAGACGGACACACTCAAAAGCCATCCATCGACAGCTGACCATGCGCCGCCGCAACGACGCAGTGACCTCCCTCCACCCAAGACCGCTTCTCTCTCTCCAGATGCTCAGTCCGGTTAATCTATGCGTGCCGTTGCTGGTTGTCGGGACTGAGCACAACACCAACCCCCATATATGCGCCAATCGGTTATCAGAGGAACTCCCAAAGATCTTCACCTGCAGCTTCTGGCGCTAATTGGTCACAATAGGGCTCGGGTGTGCATCATCAAGCTCAGCTGTTGAGACAGGTACCTGCCGGTAACTACATTCTCTCTTTTTGAAGGAGGTACGCGAATCTTCACTTCTATATTCAACTTGGATCTACCTACCACTCCAACTGCTAGGCTCTTACGATGGCCAGCTTAAAGATCAACGTCCCTCCTCCGGGAATCATCGCCTCGCCCACCGAAATCCTTCCGAGCTTTTGCCATAGCCCGGAACTCTCCCTTACCTACTTCACCATCAGCAACAATCCCCCAAACCCACGGCCCGCCAACGAAACCGCCAAAAAACAACAGCCACAATGCCGGCCCCGAACCTACGATCGTTTTCCCACGAGCTCACCGATGTCTGCACCCAGCCAATGGGCTCCGCCTGCAAGAAACATAGCCCTCCGCCTGTCCCGGACGCCTTCCACAGCCTCGTCGAGGACATCAACATAATCCTGGGCCCTTCTTCGGGCATCAACAGCTCAGATGTCGACGTGCAAGACCTCATGCGCGCCATGGGCGACTATACATCTGTCGAACGTGACTGGGCGGAGTACGCCCACGCCGACTACAGTCGTAACTACACACGGAACTTTGTCGATCACGGCAACGGGAAGGCGAATCTTCTGATTCTCGTGTGGTCGCCTGGAAAGGGCTCTTTGATCCATGATCATGCTGGTGCTCACTGCATCATGAAGGTTCTTTCTTCTTCCTTCCGCATGCACACTTCTTTATTCTGACGCATATCAACGAAGGTGTTGAAAGGTACTCTGCGGGAGACCCAGTACGAGATGCCATCGGATGCTTCGGGTGCTTCGGGTGCTTCGGGTGCTTCGGGTGCCCAGCCATTGAAGGTTAGGAAAACCTCGCTTTACAACAATGACGCTGTGACCTACATTTCCGACGACGTAAGTGCCCGCAGCACCAACTCTCACTTACGGCTACTAACCACCAGCAGATTGGACTTCACAAGATCCAGAATGAGAGCTCGGACGATGTGGCTGTGTCATTGCACCTCTACACGCCCCCATGGGCGGCAAAACGTACGTACCACCATCCTGTCTTCACCCCTGTTAATGCTCTCGGACTAACAGTATTATAGGCGGCTGCTACTGCTTTGACGAACAGACCAGCAAGAAGACGAAAGTCGAGATGTGCAACTACTACTCCGTCCACGGAGTCGTCAAGCAGCCATTGAAGGTCCGCAGTTGCTAGGGTGGGGGGGGCCGGAGATAGGAATACCATACTAACCTGCGGCTTTTTCTTCATTTTCTCCCTTCATTTTCTTTTCTTCATTTTCTTCATTTTCTTCATTTTTTTGGGTTGGGGGTTTTCTTTTGGGCGCATACTTCATCAGATTGATTCGGAGCTGGTGCGATTTTGGTATTGATGTATTCTTACTAGGTACATGATCTATGTATGACGATTTGATGGCTTCAATATGACTGGATTTTTTGGATCTTCCAAGTTCTGGCTTGTGATCGGCCCCATGTGGGGGTGTCCGGCCGGGAAATGCTGGTAAGGTGGCGGCACAATCGAGAGTCGGAACAGGCTTTGGCTCTCTGTGGTTCTTTGATCGAGTACCTGTATCTTCTGGGTCGAGCAAAGGGCCATAAACTGCTGGTGCGCGGTAGGTGGTGGCAGTAGGGTGCGATAACTGCGGTAATCGGAAGCCTGACTACTCGTGGGATTGCATGTTTTTCCGTGCCGAATTTCTCAAGACCGAGTGAGAAACTGAAGCTCTGCATCAGCCGTCACTTACCGGTGGAAGATCTCCGCAGACCATTTTGGAAGTTCCAGCCTGACTTTGTGGAATTGACTTTGTGGAAATCACGTTTCTTTGACTTCAAGAAGAGCCCGCCCTTTTTTTTTTTAGGTTCAATCATCTTGCATTTGACCATACCTATTAGATCATGACAGTTACGGGCCGGCTCCGCCCCACTGTCTGAAACCGCAGAAGCCTGAAGGGCCCGCGCCCGAGTTCAATGGACCGAGCGGGGCTAATTTGCCGGGTGACATTTCGTGACGTGCCATATGTACCACCAACCGCAACAGACACAATGCAGCCATTGAGGCGCAGCACGCAGATGGCAGCCATCGTCGCCATCGATACCCCATTTCCCGGCACTGGCCCAATATCCGAAAGTCCGACATCCATTTATTTCATCTACATACATTCCGCAGCAGTCATCGGAAAAGTCGTGTGCCGACCCGACCATACCAGACCAGACCACCGCCACGCAATCGTTTCCATACAGACAGGTTTTGGGACTACGGCCGGCGCAGTGCGGCTTCGAGATATCTACCTATGCTCTATTAATATACTCTACCCACGGATGTAAGGGCTTATGGAAGGGCGGAGGGAGATTCATCGATTCGTCAGTGGCTGGATGGCTGACTGGCTGGCGCGGCTGGTTTCACTCGACGGATTTCCTGGCCTTGACAGTAACCCTGGTGGGACGACAGGCCCCCAGCCAATCCTATGATAACTGCCAGGTGCCAGCCTGAGACGCAACCTCTCCTTCCACTTCGTTCAACTCAATCATCCCGTTACCAAGTCGAACGACCACCTTCAACCACCCCTTAAAGTACTTGTCTCTTTCCGGAGGAAAAAAAAAACTTTCTGTTCGATATCCATGATCACAGCGAGTCGACAATAGCACCAGCTCGAGGACATACTCTACATCGTTAGCTCCACACATCACTCCACCCCACACGAGATGTTTCCCAACCTGAACGACCGGCAATCCGCCTTTCTCGAGAACAAGACACAGCGTCTACTGCGAGCCGTGGAGCGTGCGCGCTCCCAATTTCTAGCGAAGTCGCGCTCGCAAAGGTGGGTTCCACGGGTTCCCTCGGCGATGGAAGAGCTACCCCGCTCCCCGCACCGAACACAACCTCGCTCTCCGAAACTGACAGCCTGCAGCAGCGTGTGCGGCGCAACGTCGGGCTCGTATCTCGACCGCCTGCCACTGGAGCTCATCATCAGCATCTTCGGCTATACGGAATGGCGCGACGTGGTGCGATTGCGGATGGTGTGCAGTGCGTTTAAGGGGTTGGTGGACGCCCACGAGCATGTCATCGTAGGCACGATGATCCGGTTCGGAGGCGCGGATATGACGCTGCTCACGCAGCTATTCCTCCCGCCGAAGGCTAGGGACCCGCAGCAGGGTAGGAAGCCGAACCTCATGTACCTCCACTCGCTGGAACGACGGAACAGAACGTGTAGCGACCTGGCGTACAGCCTCGCTTCACGGGCAGTCACCCCGCTTTTCAACCGCCTCAGGGAGAGCGCGGCACTATCGCATAGGAAGGATAAGAAGGATTTCGAGACGCGGAAGGAACAGGCGATTGAACATATCCAGCGCCGACTACTAAGGCAGCTCTACTACGTCGAACACTTCCTGATCAACACCCGGCTGTACCTCAGCTCGAACCTCGTCACCGTCGCCAGGGAGAATACACATGCCGATGGTCCGCCGACGGCCGCGATGCTGACGCAGATCTACCGCGAAGTGCAGGAGTCGATTGTTACGACGTGGTCGGACGGCGCGATTATCAGCACACACCACGCTTTCCACTTCCTCGTCAACACTGTCCGGCTGTCGCTATCCCCCGAGCCGCCGCATAATACCAACGACGACACGGTGTCGGTGATGCTGCGGTGTACGAATCCACTGCAAAGGTGCAGCGAATTCTTTGCTGCCGACTCCCCAGGAAGCCCGAGTCGTCTGCGTAAAAAGTTTATGATGGATATGCAGGATGAGAAGGAGAAGGCTGAGTTGCTAGCAAGTGTGGTTTTTGGTGGGGATAGAAAGGTCGGGAAGAGGAGGGCTAGTGGGATGGTTAAGGATCTACCATGGGCTCCGAGGATGGGAGAGGTTTGGTTCGAGGTGGCGAGGAATGAACTTAGGAAGAGGGGACTCGAACAACATGCCGCTGACGGCTTGTTCAGATTTCCGGAAGTGCAGGGCGAGGTGATGATCGGGTGTCCTGGATGCCAGGTTGTAACGTAGTGATGGATGGAGTCGCTTTTTTGTTGGACCTTGTATTTGTTTTTTTGGGGAGTTAGATACCACGAGCAGTTGTTATTGATAGTATAGGCGCACACAAAAATGATATTCCTGATCACGTAAAGTACAATAGAGTATATAAAATTCTCCAAACTCCTGTAGTAAATGCAAAGCATGATTTTATCGCTCCCATGCCACTAAAACTCGAAGAAATCGTCGTTTTCGATGGTGTCCTTAACAAGCTCAGGGTTTGTCTTTCGTTTTGTCTTGTTGCTGCCGTCTTTCTTCTCCTTCTTCTCCTTCCTCTCTTTCGGCTTCTCTGTAGGTGTTTTTTCCGTAGTCTGCTTCTCCGACTTCTCCGGCTTCGCGGGTTTCAGTGTCTTCGCCTTCTCCGACTTCTTGGGTTTCAGTATCTTCTTCTCGGGCATCGATTCCTCGGACTCCACGGCCTCCTCCTGCTGCTCCTCTACCGCCTCCTCCTCACCACCCGCCTCATCGCCGGTAGTCCACCTGCCCAGAGTCCCCTTCTCCATCCTCCTCTTGATATCGTTCTTGATCTCGTCACGCTTCTCCTTGACACCACCGGCATCGCCCGGGTCCTTGAAGAGCGAGATGTACTTCTCGCCGTCGGGGAAGTACAGCGTGTAATTCAGCTCGACCCTCGCATCCTCCAGGTCCTCGCTCACGTCCCCGCCCGCGGCATGTTCCTTCTCGAGCTTTTTCACGCGGCGCGTCGCTTTTTGCCGTTCTGTTTGCCACTGTTAGCTGGTGGGTCGACCGGCGGTGGTGGGGCGGTGGTGGGGAAAGGGTATGATACCAAAGAAGCGGACCATCTGGTATTTCTTGCGGATCTCATAGTCGCGGCGGCTCTTTGCTGCGACGGAGAGTTCAAGCTCGTAGGCAGCGAGCGCGCGCTCGTGGTCAGCGCGTACGGGCGCGGACAGAGACGGCTGTGTGAGAAGTCGCCGTGTGTCGCGGAGCTTCTTTTTGAGTGTCGAGACGGACTTGGTGCGTGTGTTGTATGAGGTTTTGGGTTTGTAGGTGCCTTTTACGTGACGTTGGGGCGGCATTATTGCGAGTGTGGGGTGGACGGGCGGTGATGGGTGCGTTGGTGGGGAGTGAAGATGAGGTGAACTTTGTGACCCGCGATTTTTTTGGACGGACTAGGTGCATTAGAATTAGTGCCTCATGAAGATTCACTCGCAATCATTGATCGATGACGCTCAGTTTCATATTTCGTAAACTCAACAGAAAGAGCCAACGCCATAACACCCGTCCTATCTCAATCTCTCTACTATGTAGTCTCCTCCCCAGGGATATGGAATCTACCCATCATCAGTATACCGTTCCCGGCCTAATCTCCAGGAAGAAGCCAACCTACATCTTACAGCAACACTTACATTCAGGAACCGGGCAGACCCTGTGTTTGCTGAACCAGTCCTTTGCGTGTCCCGCATGCATTCCGTGATTACAGCTGAGGCAGAAATTGAACCTGCTTTTATTAGTCCCTACCTACGATATTTGAGAGAAATAGGGAAGACTCACCATCTATCATAATCCTTCTCAACATCGGAACTCTTCTCTCCCTCGCGGTAATGAATGGTTCCCAGGGTGAGTAGACACACCGCGCAGCGTGGAAGGCTCTTTTTGCAGTGTGGGCAGACGGTCGGTTTAGCAGTGCTAACGCCGCCGATTATGCTCGGTGTGGTACTAGCGACCTGCTGCCGCTCTCTTACCGTCATCTTCTTCGGATCCTTCTTAGGGCCAGAGATGGAGCGATCGCAGTTTGCACAACGTACATAGACCTGTCGTTGCGGTGGAGTCATTGTCATCGTGCCGTTTCGATCCTTCGAGGCCTGACCTCTCACAACATCAAATCGGGCACGCGCATGGAATAGCCGCCAGGAGTTTAGCAACTGTCTGTAGGACTCGATCCAATATTCTACGCGCGAGTCTTTGAAGTATCGTGGGGAGCCAAAGGTGGCGACAAGTGCGGCGGTCTGTACGTCGCCCGTGCGGTTGATGTGCTCCTGCAATAGCTTGACTGTGTTTTCGGTCACGCCGGTGAGGATTATTCCCTCGAGTTCGCCCGATCGGATTGCGGCGGCGGCGGTAGATTCAAGGTAGTTGGTTAATTCGTCGTCATCGAGCCAGCGGAGGGCGATGCCGATGCGTTCACGTATTGGGACCCCTAGCTCGTCTAGGACTTCGCGCCAGTCGCTGTTGGATATATAGGCGAAGATGGCGCGTTGATAAGGATCACCGAGCTCGTTCGCCATCATGCCGGCGAGTTCCTTCCACGTGCCGTACAGTCCTGAGGCGGGATCACGGATGGTAGCGAAATATCCCGCTACAGCTGTGGACATTAGTTTGAGCGTCCTTCCACCTTGTTGCAGGGCCTTGATGCTGCGTTCGATCTTATCGTGAAACAGTGCCAGTCCGGCGGCTTTGCTGTGCTCCCCATTCCTCTCGAGCCGCTGTAGTTCCCGCTCTAGCTCCTCTGAATCGTAGTTGCAACCAGCGATGGCAAGACACAGCCTCCGCTGCTCAGGAAAGTCTGTCTTTCGATCACTGAACTTCTTCCTGCCATTCCGCTTATTGATCTCATGGCAGGCGGCAGTCCAATCGTCCCTCCGTATCTTGCGGTTCGCATTGATCCTCGACTCCGGAGTCGGCTCCCTCCCTCCATGCCATACTCCAAGAACCCCCAGAAAGCTTAGATTCAGTGTTGCGGTCATCATCCCCTCGTCACGGGCACACTCATGCGCGCCGTCAAGCCACACCCACATGTCCTCCATATAGGGATTGTCGTGCGCGACTAGAGTAGCATTCTTGGCGCAGTTCATGAGGTATCCGGCCTCCACGCGCTTCCGCATCACCACGCAGATGTCGTTCTGCAGAACCTGGCGGGCATCCGGTAGGAAATCCTCTGGCCGTGCAAGACTATTCGCTCGGTTCCGTCGGCCGAAGAACTCTTGACCCTGGCTTCTCTGGTCTGGACTCTCTCCACCAGAGTAGTGGTATCTATCCAGGTCCTCAAGCTCAGAGATACTCTTCCGTCTTGGCCGCAACGTGATCTCCTCTTCTGGCTGCTCAGCCTTGGTAGTAGACATGATCTCGAGGTTATTCTCGCAGGTAATGGCGAATTCGTTCCTGCTGCCCCACGCCATACTTGGTGCTGGGCCGGGACACTTGATAATCTCAAGGCTTCCATCCCCCTTGACCGTGAGGAGCTTCATACTGCCGCTGCGTGGACCACCCGCACCCACACCCTCACACACCCAGTCGAAGAATACAATTCGTTGGCTTGTGTCCCCAGAGCTAGATCTGTCGGTAGATCGGATGTCGCTAATTCGGCTGACGAGCAATGTCTCCCCGCCATCATTCCTGTACACTGGCGTCCGAGAACCAGACGTCGACGTGCCGCCATGCCCACCCCCGCCGCCGCCACCTTTGTCCTCCTTCCCACTACTACCATACGCCCTGGCCTCGAGAAAACTCGCTGCCGAGTCCCTCCAGCCTAAACGTTTATGATTCTCCACAGCGCCATTATCACTTCCCATCATCCCAATGGTTGGCGGGTTCTCGACGTTCAGAACCTTTGCGGTTTCATAGACCCTGAGTCCACCGCCTCCATTGAGCACCGCAAACGCGCCCTCCCTCGCATTGGAATATCTGAGATGCCAGATTCCCAGGCTCCTGCTCTCATCCCCGGCGGCCCGTCCGAACTGCAGCGCGGGCTCCGGTGCTTGTGTCGGGCTCCCCTTCGCAAAACGCCGATCCCACACGGCGACCACACCGTCATCAGAGTGGCCCGCATAGTAGTTCGGATCCAGATCCAACGAGATGTTGTAAACACACCTAGAGTTACAGCTTATTGCGGCGGTGCCACTCGCCGTCTCGCGGAGGTCGAAGATGCGGACCCAGCGGTACGCCACGCCTGCCACCAGTATCTGTGGGTTGTCCCGGGTGAACCGACACGCGACAATTGCTTCACTACTAGGGAGCTGCCGGATTGGTCGGTCCGACCCTGACCCCAGACGCTGGTTGATGTCCCAGATGTGAAGGCACGAATCGTTGCGGACTTTGTCCAGGCCGCTGGCGAGCATGGAACCAGTGCTGTTGAAGCTCACACTGTTGCAGGAACGTTGCTGCTTGACGGCGAGAGGGACCGGCGCTGACGAAGGGTCGGAGAGGCGGAGTAAGAGTGCTTCGCCGGAGGATTGGCCGATAGCTGCGAGGTCTGTTTCGGATCATCTCGTCTTAGCCACTGCAATTATTCCACCGTGGATGATATTTAGACCTTGTTCAACGGGCGACCAATCGAAGCACTACCACCATTCCATCCCATCGTTCAGCCTCACCCCACCATCAACCTCTTCCCCCTCCGGCGCAAGAAGTTACTCACCCGCATATACGGAATCTTCGAATGTCTCTTGTACAGCTCAAACTTCTGCACCACCGGTACCCATCAGCCCTCTCCTCTCTCGCCCCACACTCTGTCGCTTCTCCGCTCCACGAACTTACCGAATCGTAAACATCATAGACCGCTAGCTCCTGGTCTCTTGTATTGATCTTTACGAAGCGCTGTGAATCGGCGGTGGAGTGCGGCGACCACCAGCATTGCCAGGTCGCCATGATTGTTGTGGTGTCCGTGCAGTACGGCGTGTGGGGGGTTGAGGGTGGATGAATCGTTGGAGTTATTTAGGGAGCTGCACGGGACGAACACATGATAGATATCGGGAGGACGAGCGGACGAAGAGATGCGCGTGGTTATCGCCCCCGAAGGTAGAGTAGGTAGAGTAGATATCGAAACGCGACAATACAGTGCTGGATCCCTGACGCTGATGACATAGAGTGGGGGGTTACATAAGAGCGAGGCTATTTATCTTGCGGTAGCGCCAGGAACAGCCCGAGCTTGCAACTCACACGGGATCACAAGAAGGGCACTCGTTCAGATGCAAATCGGGGAATTTATTCCCCGTCTACATATAACGAGAAGCCGAGGAGCTGACATGCATTACCATCACAGTTTCTCACTAGAGTAGGCAGCTCGATTTTGGTTGCATCGGCTGATCCAAAAGTCTACCACATGATAGCCCCGAAGAGAAAGGATATTGCCTTCAGTATTCTCATCAAAATCTCCACAAACTTGAAGGGTACCTCCGTGTATACATATACTACCAAGCAATCCTCATCCGTATCTCGTTCCTCTCGGACCCACCGTCGTCATCCGCCAAGTACATATTCTGCACTATTGTCTCTGTGCTACTTTCCCGCTCTCAGCACTCCACGAACCCGCTGATTAGCCTCAGACTTCGGGGCCCTGTCCCGACTCCCGACCGAAGATCGGATTCGGCTTGTGGTTTCTCGAGGTTAAGACGCATTATTTGTACGCAGTTTCCCGGAGGAGGGTCTCCTAGAGGATGTAGTTTGCGTCTCTGTTCCTGTGCACTCTGAAGGTTCGCTCCCAGTATTATACTCAAAGACACTATCCCAGTACATGGCGGCCCCCTCACTCGTTCTATATTCAGCTCTACTAAACTCTACCCGTGCTATTCTTGATATGGTTTCGCTTTGACGTACTCCACCATACCTATGATAGTTCGGTAGCGTGGTACATATGGCCCCCACCGTGGCAGGTTGCCTGGAGGCATCCCATACCTATGGGGGGCTAAGTAGATACGCAAATGCTCGACCGAGTGCTGTCATGTAAGGGACGACGCCCCTCAAATGGCCAGGCTGCGCCACTAGATCGGATCAATTCAAGAATACAAAGTCCTGCTGTCACTGAGGGAGTGCTTCTCATTCGTACACGATCAACCGCCACAATGTCTATGAATCGTGCATGTCATACGGGCATGCATTTTGCGTAATTTGTCATGATTACAACGGTAAAGAAAACGCTAAACGAGTAAAGTACAGTAGAAAACATCTGAAACTCCCCAGAAAACGCAAGTAAGTCAGTAGAGACCCAAAAGCTATAAAGTACGCGCCAAAGAAACCTCAAATATAGCAAAAGTAAGTATGATTTCGATGGGTAAATCAAGCCTCGACCTTCTCAGCGGTGATGACCTCCACCCCCTCCTTCGTCTTGGTGCCCTCCAACTCCTCGATCCTCTGCCTCAGGGCCAGATTCTCCCTAGTGAGACCCTCGACAACCTTCCTCAATTCCTCAATCTCGCGTCTCCTTCCCTTCTCATCCCTCTCGAGCAGCTTCTGCGCCTCGCGTTTCCGCTTCTCCTCCTCCTTCTGCCGCTTCTCATTGGCCTTCTCGAGAGCACGGCGATACTTGCGCTCCTGCTTTTCGAGGCTCTTCATGTGTTTCTCGGCGATTTTCTTTTCACGTTCGGAGCGGCGGTGGTCTTCACGCTTGAGCTTTTCGTCGAGCTTTTGCTTCTCCTTGAGGAACTGCGCAAGAGCACGTTCTTCCGGGCTTTGGCTATCGTGGGTGGCAGATGCCGCTGTCATAGTGGAAGTGACGGACGCAGGCCGTGAGGGAAGCTCCGGAACGTCGGGTCGCGAGGAATCAGCAGTTGCGAAGGTCTTGATAGAGGCCGTTTCGGAGGCGCTGTCGTCAAGCTCTTCGTTTGGTGAAGACGCCCGGGAAACAGTGGAAGACGGGGTGTTATCGTCGGATGGCGATGTAGGTGGCGGGGTAGGGTTGTACGAGGAACTACTGTATATGGCGGACTGGGCGAGTGAGGACATTCCAGCCGCCACAGTGCCCAGTGCACCAGCGAAAAGGCCGCCTCCGCCTCCACTACCTGCAGCACTGCCGTTTTGTCTCTCAGACTGCTTAGGGGCCGGCGATATCTCGGCTTGAGCGTGGTCCGATGAGAGGACTGCTCCTGCTGGAGCGCCGCGCTCGGCAAGGTGTCGCTTGGTGTGCGTCTTCACGCCTTCGTCTTTGCTCAGTTTCTCGCCGTGTTCCATCTCCTTAGTGATAGAATCGAGTGATGCTTCGGGTATGTCATCGAGGAATGTGGCCTGGCGACACCACTTCAGGAATTTATCCGCATCCTTGACGATGCCTCCTGGTGTTCCCCTCTCGACCATCCACTTCGGCACGCCTATCCAAGTCAGTACGAGAGTTTTCCCTCCACGAAAACGGGGAATACTCACTGCCACCAGGATCCGAACGAGTAATCATGATCCAATCGACCGCACAATTCCACCTAGCCTGTGCCGCCTCCTCAGGGGTCATACCCACAGTCTTTCCGCGAGGACGGTTAGGGGAGGTGGGTTCAGCCGAGGGAACATCTGATGTGCTCTGGGACCTAGCCAGGGCATTCTGGATGGAAGGGATCTCCCGGATGAATTCCACAGACTCGTAAGTCCCGCGTACGTATCCTGACCTCTCGTCACCCTGCGGATGATTCAGAACTGGTTTCGATATGAGCGTAAACTGTTTCGGTCTGTCTTCGGCGCTGCTCTCCGGTTGATCCCCCGGATCCGTCGACGAGGGAGGACGACCCCTCTCGCTGGCCGCAGCAGATATGTCCTCCGGATGGGCCGAACTCGATAGGCAACCTTCCACGAAGTCCCGCGGAGCAGAGGGACCGGGGAACTGTGCTGATAACTGGAAGATCTCCACCTTGCCGAGCTCGCAGGTTTCGTGGTGGATCCGAAGGTCCTTACCGATTCCGCGCACCGGGCCCTGTACCACACCCTCTTCCACAACTTCTTTTGGGGGTTGCTGGAACTCTTGCTGGAGCCCTGCCTTGAATCGGCGGAAAGGAATATCGGTGTGGATGGAACGTCGTGCGAACCAAGTACCCTTCCCGTCCTTTGCCGAGAGCTTGAAGACGCTGATACCCACAGGGTTTTCTTTGGCGGATAGCTTGACAGGCTTCCATTCTTTCTGGAGGGCTGCTATGTCTGGATCTGACGGTTCGGGAAGTGTTACTGATTCGGGGATGATCGTCGGCGGCGGAAGAGAGGATATCAGGATATGGGCATCCGCAAGGGACGTAGCTAGGTGAAGGTTGAGCGATGATGGATCCGAAGGAAATTCGGAATGTTCGGTTGGCGACAGAGTCTTGAGAGCTGCATGGACGTCCGTCATGTTTGGTGAGGCTCAAGGTGTTGGGTTGACGTTGATATTGGGTTGGTATGTTGGTCGCAAGTCGGTGTGATCGGCTCGGAGAGTACTAAGAACAAGAGGGACCCTTGGAAAAGAGTACTGGAAAGAAGGAGAGCTTATGTACTTGAGAGAGGGAAGCGTAGAGAGAATCCCGGGATGAAATTCCACGATTATTCCTGTTTGGAAGCTGTAACCAGGGACGGGCCAGGATAGCGGATGACGTTTGCCCTACGCCACTACCACCGGACGAAAGCCACTATGTACCGGTAGTAACTACACACGGTTAAATTCGCTGCTGCACAGGAGATCCGCCGAGTGACGATGATGCGTGAAGCGGGAGCAGCGTGTTGGCAGCACATGTGTGTATGTGATTCTTAATTCTGGCTTGGATTGGTAGCGACCATGAGGCGAGCGCATGGATTCCGATTGCCGGTGAAGAACAAACAGCCCGAAGAATAAAGCCACATTGAGTCCAGCATAGGTATATTTGGAAGCCAAAGTTCAAACATGAGCTTCGTTTTCCGTGGAAAAGAGCAAGAAATAAACATAAGAGGAAAGTATTAATTACTCCCCGGTAGCCAATAGTTAATCGATAATGAAACCATTAAATGCATTCTGGCGGTAGTGGAGTGCCTGCTGATCAAGTCCGAAGGAATTTGAAGAATACATTGAGCTTGCCTACAGCTCCCCATAGCTTGGAGTGGCTTGGCTGCTGACTGAATTACCCGGAAACCCCGGCCGGCGCTGGCAGCGCGTCTTACCTGCCGGCTATGTACTCTACTCAGATCCTATTCTCTCTCGTCTGGGACTCTAGCTCGCGACACCCTCGCCCTACCTTTCTCAGCCCCTCCGGTCACGTCCTCCCTCGTCACCCCTCCATTCTCACACTCTTGTTTGAGCATCACCCCTTCATTCTTCTTTCGCGACTGCAACATTTGATACAGCCAGGTTTCCCGAGTTCAGGCAGCACCGAATACGCTCGCAGGAAGCAGCCATGTCAAACGGCAAGAACTACGCGGCGCCCATAGACCCGCCCACTACCAATGGGGCGCAGAACAAGAGAGTTGCATATGTGAGTGGCCTCCTTCCCGCATCCTGCATTCACTGCTCTGGGAGCGTTCCCAGTTGAAGAGGGGAGCTCTGACATTGGACAGTTCTACGATTGTGAGTTACAACGGCCTCGCAGAATACCCGTCATCAGTGGTTCATGAAGGGTGATTCCTTCGCGTTTGATGGTGGGCTATTACTGACCTGATTCTTTTCCCTTCGAACCAGCCGATGTCGGGTATTGCTCCTCTTGCCACCACTCGCGACTTCGGTGTACTGACAGACGCAATGTAGAAACTACTCCTACGTCGCCGGCCATCCGATGAAGCCCCACAGAATACGAATGACCCATAGCCTCATCATGAACTACGGTCTTTACAAGAAAATGGAAATCTACGTAGGTGGTGCACCGTACAACTCTATCCTCGACTTGCTCACAGCCTTTACAGAGAGCGAAACCTGCGACGAAAGCCGAGATGTGTCAATTCCACACCGATGAATACATCGAGTTCCTCTCCAAGGTTACGCCGGACAACATGGAAAATTTCGCCAAAGAGCAAGGCAAATACAACGTCGGCGACGACTGCCCCGTCTTCGACGGTCTTTTCGAATTTTGCGGTATCTCTGGTGGCGGCAGTATGGAGGGTGCTGCGCGTTTGAACCGTGGCAAGTGCGACATTGCGATCAATTGGGCTGGTGGTCTCCATCATGCCAAGAAAAGCGAAGCTTCTGGATTTTGTTACTTGAACGGTACGGCGTTTGTGTCTTCCGTGGTCGTGAGGCTCAGCTGACCGGTGTGATTAGATATCGTACTTGGCATCATCGAACTACTTCGGTACAAGCAGCGTGTGCTGTATATCGATATCGATGTTCATCATGGTGACGGTGTCGAGGAGGCCTTTTACACCACAGACAGAGTCATGACCTGTTCCTTCCACAAATATGGAGAGTACTTTCCTGGTACTGGAGAGCTTAGGGATATCGGTGTCGGTGCTGGCAAGTACTATGCCGTGAATTTCCCTCTTAGAGATGGTATCACGGACGAGACCTACAAGTCGGTTTTTGAACCTGTCATCAACCATGTCATGGAATTCTACCGCCCAGAGGCTGTCGTGCTCCAATGCGGTGCCGACTCGTTATCTGGCGACAGGCTAGGATGTTTCAACCTGAGTATGAAGGGACATGCCAACTGTGTCGAATTCGTCAAGAAGTTCGGTCTTCCCACATTAGTCCTCGGTGGAGGCGGTTACACCATGCGAAACGTTAGCAGAGCTTGGTGCTACGAGACTGGTGTCCTGGTCGGCCAAAAAGTGGGCCCTGATTTGCCTTACAGCGACTTCTACGAATACTTCGGTCCCGATTACGAGTTGGATGTCCGACCTTCGAACATGGAGAACCTCAACTCCCGAGAGTATCTTGAAAAGATCAAGACGCAGGTTCTCTCCAATCTGGAACGCACACGCCACGCTCCATCGGTCCAGATGTCGGACGTCGGCAGGGGAACAACCGAGCACCAAGAGGAGCAAGACGCTATCCTGGACGATCTTGACGCAGACACCACTGGAATGGATCAACGCCAGACGCAACGTCAATGGGAGAGAAGGATCGACAAAGATAATGAGCTTTCAGATTCCGAGGACGAGGGCATGGGCGACGCCATCGGCGTCCGGCGAGAAAACAACGGAAAGAAGCGACGAAGGAACGAGCGTAACTACAAAGAGACCAACGCCAGTGGCACCGGGTCTGGAGTCGCTACACCACAACTTGGGGCCAGCGCATCCACCAGTGATGCCGGTGCCCCTGTGGTAACGAAAATCCCAGGTTATAATGGCGAGGACGATGAAGAACTCGAAGCGTTGGCACGTCAGCAGGACGGAGATATCGACATGGACGATGAGCCTACTCACCCCGAGAAGCGGTTAAAGGCCAAATCCGACGACGAGGATATGATGGACGTCGAGCCGACTAGCAAGCCCGGTGACAAATCACAGAAGCCCGGAGCCGCTGACGATGCCGTGGCAACCACTCCTGCGGTGGGTTCGGAGCCAAGCGCGGTGGCAGTGGCAACACCTGCACCAAGCCTACTAGATGCTCCGGAAAAGCCCACAAGCCCCAACATTGCTCCAGCAGGTGTTAAAACAGGCGAAGGAGCGACGGAGAAACCAGAGGGAAAGCCGTAATGTGGAGCACTTGATGTTTTCTTTGATTTTTTTTTCTTTTTATGCAGAGTGGTTAGGCAATTTCATGTTTCATTGCCATGTTTCCGTTGTTTCGGTTCCATTTTCCCTTCCACCTTGCTTCGCGTTGCCACTTTATGTATATTCCATCCCAATTAACCGTTATGCCGTGTGATTTATCTACATATATCCGAGGGACGATGGGAGTTGTTCAGCTCAAGGGCAACAGTACGATCTGAATTTGGACTGCGAGTTTATTGAGAATTGAAGCGTCTTTTTGTATCTTCATCTAGAAATGCTTACTAGTGAATCAGATGGCGATGAGGCTGAATTTCCCGATGATACCTAGCTCGGGGAGAGAGAATCAATGTGTTGTCGCATATGGCCTTAATAGACCAATTTCTTCCTGGGAAGAGAGAGAGAACATCAATTTATTGTTGCATGAGGACTTTACTAGACTATGGCGACCACCAACTTCTCGACCTTTCCTGCATTTTGTTCCTGGGGAGCATGAGGGCTTGGACCAGCAAGTTGGGTAAATGAGTGCTGAGACATGTCGCAAGTCGTCATTGATCCATGCTGCTGGGTAGAGGAAGGGATAGACTTGGCTTGGCACACTTTCAATGTCGCATTCTTTTTGTCTGACGTCCCATCTCTCACACCTCCTTCTTGGACCCAACCACAACCACGCCCTGCTCTCTTTTCTGTTCAACTACCCACACAACAGAACAGACAACAACACTAACGACTACAATAACACCGTGTCCTTTCAAGATTAACGAACTCCCTCTTTGCGCAACCCTACCAAACCACAGCACGACACCAACTACTACAGCGACGACTCTACGCGAAAGATTCTACATCAGGTGCGACGACAACACGTCCCCGGTCGCGTCATTCGGAGCTTCGACTGACTGCGGAAACCGTGTCCAGGGAGATTGCTGTGTGCTGTTGACTATTTGCTGTTGGTGGCGCACGTGCGCGGAAAGAAAATTCGCGGAAGAAAAAAGTTAATATTACTACTGAGAGAGGGAAGAGAATTGTTGCTGTGTGAGGGACAGAGAGAAGGAGAGAGAAGAAATTGAACCTCAATCGTGTTCTGGCTCCTCTGTGACTCGTTACATTCCTTTCCCTCCAACGACCAGGATCCGGAATTTTGTGCACGATGGCAGACGAAGACGAGATCCCCGTGTCTGAGGCGGAGCAGGCATTCCTTGATGCGATGAAGGCGGTGCAGGATGTACAAGACGAGGAGCAACAGCAGGAAGAGATCGGTACCCGGGTAGAGGACGATGACGACGACCATGATCCCGCGACCATCATGACGTCTACGGAGGATTCACCAGTCTCGAATGGACACGCAGGAAGCGATCGTGATGGACCCGCTTCGATGGAGGAGCAAGCCACTGAAGAGGTGGAGGTGGAGGTGAAAGAAGAAGTCATGTCGGCTACCCCGTCTGCTCGGAATTCCGTCGCGCCTTCTGCGACTGCGTCAGCGACCACCACGCCTGCAGCGGCTGCTGCGCCTGCTACCACTGCCATTCCTGATGCTTCCAGTGCCACTCCCGTGCCCGTTACCGCTCCCAAGGCTGAAGTTGCGGAAAGCGCTCATGCTCCGTCTGCGCCGACCACCCCGGTGATTCTGCAACCATCCGAGTTTGGCGCGCCAATGCATGCTGCTCAAGCCCAGCAGCCCGCTCAAGCCCACAAGGCCGTGCACAGCGGAAAGCGAAAACGCCTGCCGCAGGATTTGGTCGGGCAGCTGGAAGATAGAATCGCCGAAGATCCTCGAGGCGATCTGGACGCGTGGTTGTCACTGATTTCGGAGCACAAGCGTAAGGGGAAGTTTGACGATGCGAGAAATGCGTACGAGCGATTCTTTGTGCTATTCCCACAAGCAGTAAGTTCACTATTCCTCTCCTCTCGTGCGGAGATGCGCGGCTGATCATTCGTCCATAGGCCGAACAATGGATCAGTTTTGTGAGGATGGAGCTGGACAACAACGAATTCCAACGTGTGGAACAAGTATTTTCGCGGTCTCTACTCACCGTGCCCAATGTTGAGTTGTGGAGCTTATACCTAGATTACATCCGCCGGCGCAACAACCTTACCAACGATCCGTCTGGTACTGCCAGGAGGACGATCAGTCAGGCTTATGACTTTGTTTTAAATAACATTGGCTGTGACAAGGAGGCCGGGCGGATCTGGCAGGATCAGATTGCATTCGTAAAGAGTGGTCCTGGAATTGTTGGCGGTAGTAACTGGATGGATCAGCAGAAGATGGATAGTCTGAGAAAGATCTATCAGAAGGCAGTCACGCAACCAGTTATTGGAGTAGAAGCGATGTGGCGGGAGTATGATGGGTTTGAACATGGGCTCAATAAGATAACCGTACGTGATTCATTGCATGCTCAACGATCATTCGTCCGTACATGCTCGGGAGCTGATACCGTGAATTAGGCCAAGAAGTTCCTTCAAGAGCGGTCGCCTGCTTTCATGACGGCCCGTGCCTGCCTCGTTGAGCTTACGAATCTCACCCGAGGATTGAGACGCGAGACGTTGCCGCGATTACCGCCTTCACAGGGGTACGAAGGTGACGACGATTGGAATTACCAGGTCGCACTGTGGAAGAAGTGGATCAAGTGGGAGACCGACGACCCCGTGGTTCTGGCCAAGGAGGATCCGGCAGCCTTCCGCAACCGTATCATCTACGCCTACAAGCAAGCTCTGATGGCGCTCCGGTTCTGGCCCGAGATGTGGTTCGAGGCGGCGGACTACTGCCTCGAGAACGGTATGGACGCCCAGGGCATCGAGTTTTTGAGACAGGGCCTACAGGCTAATCCCGAGAGCACGCTGCTTACGTTTACGTATGCCGAGCGATTGGAGGCCATCACACCTGCTGAGGACGGAGAGGCGGCCGCTGTAAGGAAGGGTCAAATTGTGAGAAAACCTTACGACGATTTACTCAACACTCTGTACGGCCACTACGCCAAGATGCAGGCCCGTGAGAAGGAGGAGATTGAGAAACTGGGAGAAGAAGCTCCGGCGTATCCGGACAGCCCCGGCCGGGACGACGATGACGACGATGAGGAGCGGCAGGCCCCCGAGCAGAGCTTCAGGGAGCGGAGAATAAATGAAGTCAAGGATCGAAGTAAAGCGGATATGTTGAAGCTGAGTAAAGTCATTTCGGCTGTCTGGATCAACTTGATGCGGGCGATGAGACGGATCCAGGGCCATGGAAGGGTCAATGAGCCTCTTGGTGGTAGTCGACAGATCTTTGCCGATGCCAGGAAGAGGGGAAAGATCACCAGTGATGTATATGTTGCATCTGCGTTGATCGAGTATCATTGCTACCGGGATCCTGCCGCTCTGAAAATCTTTGAGCGGGGAATGAAACTTTTCCCCGAGGACGAAGATTTTGCTTTGGAGTACTTGAAGCATCTCGTCAATATCAATGATATTACTAGTAAGCGACATGCCCCCGCCATCAATATACCACATACTGACGGAAACCAGATGCTAGGGCGATGTTTGAGACATTCGTGTCGAAGGTTCCAGCAGAGAAGGCTCAGCGGGTATACCGATTCTTCTACGAATACGAAGCCCACTACGGTGATCTCGCGCAGGTCTACAAGCTGGAGAAGAGAATGGCCGAACTGTACCCCACGGACCAGAAACTCGAACAGTTCTCCAACCGATACGCCTACCATGCCGTGGATCCATGCAAATATCTTCCCGTCATCTCGGCCACCCAACAGGCGAAACAAAAGCCTCTTATGCCTCTTCCCCCGGAGGCCGTCGCCGCCGCCGCTGCCGGCCTTCCCATTCCCCCGCCTCCGATCACCCAACCCATCCCAGGCTCCAACTACCACCCCCCGCCGCCGCTACCCATGCCGCCACGCACCAGCTCCCCCAAGCGCGCCGCCAACGACGACGACGGCGACTACTCGTCGCGCGCACGCAAGCTCCCGCGCTCGGACTCGCCCGTGCCCACTCTCAAGGGAGCCGCCGGCCGCCGTCTAAACCAGATCAAGCAGCAGCAGGCCGCGGCTGCCGCAGCGGCAGCCGCAAACCAGTCCCAATTAAAGGACAACAACACCGGTGGTGGCGGCGGAGGCGGAAGAAGGGAATATGCCAACGCGCCGGTCCGCCGCGATAACAATATCAACAGCAACAACAACAATCCCCCACCACTTCCAGAGGCCATCTGGTATCTCCTGAGTATCCTCCCCGGTGCGGATAAATACCAGTCTGCGCGGTTCAGGCCAGAGGCGATGGTCGCACTGTTGGCGGGCGTGCAGTTGCCAAGACCGGAGGATTTGGCCAGGGGTGGTGGTGGCGGTGGTGGTGGTGGGTACTATGGTGGCAACTAGGGAACGTTTTGCGAAACGGTTGCCATTTGATAGGGTATTTCGATTCCGATTCCGTTCTGTTATGTGTAGAGTACCGATAGGGATACGATACGATATGATACGAGACGGACTGAGTGTTTTTACTGTCTACGTGTACTACCGGTATAGGCTAGGCTTGAGGGATGAGTTTGAACTTTGTTGTGTAGTGCATTTTTTTCATTCGACGGTGATGGTCGGGTCGTGGTCGTGGTTCGGGTCTTGTTGTTGTGAATAATAATGCAGATGCTCATGCTCATGTCCCCGCTATCTACATGTACTGTTACTGTGACCCGGTTATTGATGCGAATGCGAATGTCCTTGCTATACGTACTATGTATAAACCCGTGCTCCATAACTACTGGCAACTACCAGTAACTACTGGTACTACAGGCAGTGGAAGCAAGCCGTCGAGACTCGAGACTCGAAGGTACGTAATCTGTATTATACCGCAGGTAGCATACTGGTGAAATCTAGTTAGCCGTCCACAAGTCATCCTCCGTCACGGGACGGCACGTACCGCACCGCACCGGCACTTTTTCTTCTTTTTTCTTCTTTTTTCGCGCTGGGAATCTCACATCGGGGATTCGGTGCTCCAAAACAAAACAGAGGAATCACAACTTCTCACTCCGCCTGCTCCCCCCGCCCCGCTCCTAACCCAGACAAAAACAGGAGGCCCTCGCAGGCGGCACAGGTGGGCCAGGCGGCCCTCTATCGAAGGATCGAAGGGACAGGCTGGCGCAGAGGGCAGGCAAAGCCACATGGGGCCACCTAATGAAAGTCGGGTTTCGGGTTTGGACAGTGGCGTCACGGGCGTGGAACCGGACTGCGGAGTGTGTATAGATTTAGAACTACATAGGTATCTATATCTATAGATGCCAGGACTCGGGAGTTGGGAGTGGACGCTTAGAATGTAGGTAGATATTCTACTCAAGACTCAAGACTCAAGTGTGTACTCCAACTACCTACCATAGTCGTGCTTCGTGCACGGGAGCCTTCCGCTTTCGTCCTGCTCCTCCTGCTCCTCCTGCTCCTCCTGCTCCTTCTCATCCTCATGCTTCTATGTACCCCCCCCCCCCCCCCCCCCCCCCTCCCACCCCTCCCCCGCCACTACCACTACCGCTGGGAAACAAACCAAAAAGATACAGAGAGGAATAGCCCCCCCTCAGCAATGACTAACGACGAACTGGACAAAGTATGAACGAAACGATACCGAGTTCGAGTATATACTTCTTTCTTCCTAGTGCGGGTATCCAGCCAAATGCACGAGCCGGAGCAGCAGAGACCACCGTCCACGAATCCACGGCCCAACAAAGAAGCCCACAAGAAATCAAAGAACCACAATTTAATTCAACAAACAAACCTCAATAATCACAAACCAACAATCAAGCCAATAATCAATTCAATTCTCAAAAACACTACACAACCCCTACAAAACCCCAACCCATCGATCAACCAAACAACCAATCAAAACCCCCCCTGTATGTAAGATGTAGATCATAGAATGTATAACAGTAGCTCCAGAACTCTCAATACTCCATATGCTAAGAATAAGAAATCCTAAATGACAGATGAAGAAGAAAGAAAACATCCAGTACCTATTTGAAACGAAAAAAACGTAGCGGGAGGAATCATCGCCCCCGGTCTCGGAGGAGAAAAGAAACGGCCGAGGAGAAAAGAACCCGTCTCGGAAGAGAAAAGGAAAATGAAACGGAAAAGGAAAAGGAAACGAAAGGAAACGATTTGACCTCGGAAAAAAAAAGCATGATAAAAGTTCACAAAGCAAAGATCCGACCCGTCGAAGAAAGCAAAAAGTAAAACCCAGCCAAAACCATGCGCAGAGAGAGAGGAAAGAAAAGAAAGGGGAAATTTCGAAAAAGAAAAAGCGATATCGGCAATTGAAGACCAGTTTTTCCAAAAAAAAAAAAAGAAAAAAAAAAACCGAAAAAAAAGAGGAGCCCTTATTAAACCATCCGTGAAGCGTGCGCAGATCGTCATTGCGGTGGTCATGAAACCTGAAAAAAATCCAAAAAAAATCCAAAAAAAATCCAAGCATCTAACATCTCAGCCTAGAGCTATCCTAAAGATCAAGATTCCCCTCCGATCCGTAGAGTAAAAGTAAACATGGAACGTAAAGAGATATATACGCGAAAAAAACTCAAAAATAAAAATCATCAAGGCCCGCAGCACTATGGTCGATACATGCTATCCAAGACCATCTTCACAAATCCCCCCATCTCTCCCCCTTCTCGCAATAGATCCACGAATCCGTCCAGATTTCGCACAGCATGAAACATCTTGGCGACGTATGACGTTATGCTCTCCCTCAGCATGTTCGTCTCGTTATCCCTCCCGTAAATTCCAGCATACTCGTCCCTGGCAGTCGATGTCTGCGATACCCGGCTCAGAGACCGTCGTTCGGTGGTCATGGCCACGCCCACATCACTGCCTTCCGAATTGTGTCCGAATGCCGATGCAGTGCCCTCGCGGTTCTCCAAATCGTTGAAGGGGAAGCCATTCATGCCGGCCGAACTATAGCCGAACGGATGGCTGGGGGAGGGGCCACGCTCGGAAATCGAGTTGGAGAGGCTGTTGCCGACACCGCTGTCACGACCGCTGGATCGAGTCGGCGTTCTCGTCAATGCCGTTTCCGGGAGCTCCTCGAAAGCGAATCGTATCAACCGTATCAACCGCTGTCCGGGCTGCAGGTTGTTGGAAGTGTCCAACAGGTCATTCGTCAGGTGCAGGCGAATCAGAGTCTTGAGCTGCGTTACACCATACTTATCCGCCATGAGGAACAGCTGGAACTTCTGATCGTCCAGCTCCTCGTCTTCATCCGGCTCGCGCTCGTATGTATTCGTATAAGTGAACGGCGCGTCTTCCGTCGAGCTGGACGCCGAGGTGAAGGGACTGGGCGTTGAGCTAAAAGGACTGGGCGTTGAGCTAAAAGGGCTGGGCGCTTCGGCGAAGGGACTGGGCGATTCGGTGAACGAGCTCGGCGGTTCGGAGAACGCGCTGCTGCTGCTAGCGGAGGAGCTGGAATCCTCGATGACTCGGGGCGGGATCGTCGGCGGCGAGCGCGGTGAGAAATGTATCGGTGTCTGGGGCTTAGCGGCTTGCACCATCCGTGACCCTGTCCCTGTCCCTGTCCCTGTCCCCATCCCCATCCCCGTCCGGACGTTATTCTCGAGGCTCGAGAGAGGATATTCTCCGGTGTACAGGAATTCCAGAAGCGCCTCAAATATTTTGGGATCGTCCTCGAGAACTGTGATCCTCCCTTCCCTAGCTTCCCTGAATGCGGGGCGCAGAGCACTACGAAACCACTCGCTCCGCGCGGCAAGAATTGCCTTGTGCGCATAGAGAACCTTCTGTTCCGGCCCCACGACGATTTCCAAGTCCGAGAATTCGCGGCTGTTCAATAGCTTCTTCAAGTGCTTTCCAACCAGGTCCACGACCGTATGGGGTGCCTTTTGTTGATCCCAGTAGCTCGCCGGGTTCGGAGCCGTGCGCGATGTCGAGTGCCCGTTGCCTATTATCGAGTTGCTGAGTAAGCTGGCGGGTATCGTCGGGCTCATGGGCCGTCGCAGCTTCTCCTGATTCGGGTGATATCTCAGACGGCAAACGATGTCGATGGTCCGTCTGCTGTTCACCACCGGATCCCTCAGCAATATGCTGTTGTCGAGCAATCCTGGAAATCCCCACGAGAGCTGGTTTTCCCTGTACAGTGCGACCGTGGTCTTGTCCTTAAGCTGTCGGCCTTCCGAGTTGAGGATGCAAAACTGCAGATATCGGATATCTCGAGTCCACGTGCGCTCTTGTAGTTCGTTGTCGGTCATGACAACGTAGAGAAAGATCCCGTAGACGCGGTTCCCTGCCGCATCCACGTTCTGCTGAAATAGCATGCGCCATACCCACCCGTCCGGATGCCCGAAATTCGGCGAGTAACTGCAGGAGTAATGCGTCAGTGGATTTGTAACCACGCGCGCGGCCGAGTCGAGGAGGGAGGGAGGGTACATACGTTTCGAAATCTGCAGACAAGTCGACATTTTTCCATCTATACTAGACGTCGGAAACAAAGTTAGCCACATAGCCACACACACACACACACACACACACACACACACACACACACACACACACACACACACACGAAGCTGCGGGAGGGAGCGCGGAAGATGACATACAGTCCAAGTCACGTATTCCGACGACACCGCATTGATCTCCAGCGTCATCGGCGCCAAAGGTATGTGAACGACCGAAGCTGCCATGTTTGCGTCCGGATGCCTGTAGAGCCCACTAGTCATACGCGAGCGACGAGCTATTCCCCGATTCTCGATTGCGATAGGCCGATAAGGTGGGGGTCCGAGGTTTCTATATGGTGGCTGTAGTGGGTCGGGCCTGTGTATTCGGAAGAGGTGTAGTTGTTGTGGTTGTGGTTGTTATTGTTGTTGCGGTTGTACTGATCGTCGACGAGTCGGAGGTGATAGTGGGGAGGGTTTCTATGGCGCCGCGGGGGGAGGGAGGGGCGTACAAAAGGCGATGGCTTTTTTTTTTCGAACTTTCTTTCTTGCTTTCGTGTCAAGGTTACTCTATTTATCGATTTTTATATCAGATCAATTCTTAAAAGCATTCCAGATCCAGGGGAAGCCACCAGAAATGAGGGGAGGATAGGAGCAATATATAAATACCGGTTGTGAGGACAGGGGAATGCAGTAGCTGTTCGGATGCCAATTGGCGGGCGGGTGGAGGGGCGGAGGGGGGGAGGGGGGAGTGCGCGGGGGTTATGGGTGGGAACGCGGCTCTAAATATCCCAACCACGTCGTAGTAGTAATAGTAGTAGTGGTAGAGTAGTAGTCGTCGTTGATGTGGCCTCGATGTTTCGAATAGCTATCCCGGGGGCCAGCAGATAAACACACCCACCCACACACGCACACACGCACACAGACAATTGCAGTTGGCGGCTGGTTCGTTGCGGGATGCGGTCGGTCGTACTCGGTTCGGGGGACTTTTTTGGAGGTAAACGAAACGGGAACGCTGGCAGGAGGCAGGCAGGAGACAGTCCTGGAACGATAACGCTGGCAAGTAGGCTGTCTAGCTGTCTGTCTGGCTGGCTGGTCGGCGCGGGGTGGCAAGGTAACTTGGCTGTCACGCGCGAGGATAGAGGGATGAGATGGATGAGGACGAGGGCGAGGAGGAAGACAAGGAGCAGCAGCAGCAGCAGCAGCAGAAGGTTGGCTGGCTGGCTGGATCGATGGGGATATCTGGCCGAGTATATTCCACCACGTTATTTCCTATTTGTTTTTTTTCTTTTTCTTTTCTTGATTCCCAGCGTCTGTGGTTCTTCCCTCTCCCCTCTTCGGCCTAAGAAGATGTGGGGTGTGTATATGGACGTTGATTGCGGATAGCTGAGTAGGTTTCACGCCAAGGCGACAAAAGCGCGGGAACTAATCCGATTCTGAAAACGGCCACTTACGGGGGGGCGAAGAGGAGTAGAAGGTAGACGGTGATGGCTGATGGCTGATGACGATGGATGATGATGATGACGATGCAGAGGGGGAGGGGAGATTGTGAGAAATAATCGAAACGGTGGCGCGGCCGGGCGGGGCAGGGCGGAGAGAGGGGGGAGGGGGGAGGGGAGGGGCAAGAAGGCAGGAAGGCAGGCGTGGGCTGGCGATTAAGGCAGAGGGGAGGAGGAGGAGGTAGGAGGAGGAGGAGGGAGGGGGGGATGGGGAGGGCGGAGGCACAAGTGACGGCTCGGTCGTCACGGTTGGTGAAGACACAAGTGAGCTACTACGGTGCTCGATTACTTTGGAATTCACGCACCCACCGTGCGGTTTAGTGGTATGTACATAGCGGTGGGTAACGATGGAGGTGGAGGCCGGGCCCATGATGGTTGAGAGTGGTCGAGTATGAGATATGTAGTGTACGTTTTGGATGGGAGGGGATAGACTCTAGAGTACTCTACAGGCGTAGCAGAAAATAGATCGTCGGCCACGTCGAACCTGTGCTAAACGCTGCGCCGCTGCTGCTTCTGCTTCTGCTGCTTCTGCTTCTGCTGCTGCTAGACAAGGAATCTCCGCATGCTGCCTCCTGCCTGCTTGCTTGCCTGCCTGCCCCCCCTACCGACCCTTAACCCACCAAAGGACGGTACACGCCCATGCAGGTCGCAGTCATAGGCAGTTACTCTACATGCTGGTAGTCTGGACATGCACGGCCACAGATCTCTGACTGGCAGATAGCCACGGTGAAAGAAGAAAAAAAACTGCCTTGGAGCTGTAGACAATCGACAATTGGCTACGCGCGTCGAGGGTTGGTTAGTTCCCCAGTGAGTTGAGGGTATTGTTTTAATCGGAGGAGGGGAACATTCCCCTCCTCCGGAGACAGCGCGTGGGAGAGAAAGAAAGAAAGAGAGCGGTGATCGGGATCCCAGCGCACGGCGGCACGGTTGGGGAATGGTTAGCGGGAGGACGGGATTTCTGGGGCGGAAACGACGGTGGCCAATGCGAATCGCCACAGCATTGCGTTGCTGCGTTCGTTCGCTACAAGCGCAGAAGCACAGAATAATCAATCGAGCTGCATATGTGGATGTGGGTTGGGTGGTTAGGGTAGGTAGGGTAGGGAAGAGAACATCATGTATGTGAGTGCGAGAGCAAGTTGGGAAGAAGATGGATGGATGGGGCTCGGCAGTGGGGTGGGTAGGAGGGAGAAGGCCAGGCGTGAATTCGAGGGCATGGCCGTGGCACGGGTCCGCCGTGGTGGAGGAGGAGAGGAGGAGAGGAGGAAGAGGAGGAGGTGATGGTGATAGTAGTGGTGGTGGTGGGCCATGGGTTTTGGTGATGGTGGTGGTGGGTAGGCCATGGGTGGTCTTGGTGCATGGCCATGTATGTAGGTGAGATGTGAGAGCGGTGTGCGGTGGTTGGTGGTTGATGGTCGGCGGTTGGCGGTTGCTGGTTGGTGGTTGGGCGCACATACGGGGTCTCAGTCGGAAATTGTCATGTCCGCCGCACAGAGAAAGAAATTCGGTGTGTGTTGAGAATGCGAACAACAACCTTACCTCTGAGTTGTCCCTTCTCTTCCCCGCCCCACCCCACCCACCCCACCCACCCACCCCCTCCATCCATCCCTCCATCCATCCAGTCCAGTTCGCTCCGTGGAGTGGCGTGCGTAGGTTTGCGCTACTTTCCGGTCTCGGTCCAACCGCATCCGCAGCGACAACTTCGCCTAGACCGTGTTTGGATCGTCGACGCACCCACGTCCAGGCTCTCTCCTCCTCCGAGCGAGCTCACGACATGAGTGCGTATGTAGCGAAGAAGAAGCAGAATCAGAAGAACCTGGCAAGGCGGAGTGAGGAGACCGGAGCGGATATCGAGTCGGTAGGTGGGCAGGTAAGTATCCAGGTGGGCGGGCCCGAGACGGACGCACGTCGGCCAACGCGCCTCAAATATCGTCAGCCTCGTGTAGGTATGGATATGAATGTACGGGTGAAGTACCGAGTACTCTATCCGTTCGACTCCAGTCATCAATGGCGGATGAGGCCATTCCGGACCGACGTGAGCAGATAATGCCCACCAGCCTCACTTCTGACGGATGAGACCACTCTGGAGCAATAGCCAGATAACGTCCACAAGCCTCACTTCCGATGGATGCCAAGGGCCGATAGCAGGGTTGCTGACAGCGGCGGCCGTGGTGGCTTGCACCGATAGCCTTCTCGTCAGTTAGGCCCATCACCGCCGTTACCGACGGCCAGCGCCCACTGCCTCTCTGTGCACGGCCCCCATCCGCCCGCGCCCATCGTGGATCGACCATGACGAACCGCGATAGCCGAGTCGGTAGTCACCACCATCATCATGGCTGGGTTTACGATTCGGACTTGTATGTATATACAAGTTTGTACGGCTTCGAGATCGCAGTGGCCGTCCATCCGGATCGACCCACGAGGCTGAGCGGGCCTGAAGTAAGGCTTTCGGCGTATAGTACATATGTAAGCAACTACCCACGGGCATCTCTGCCCCGCATTGACGGGTATTGGCGGCGATGGTACATACATAGAGCTGAGATGCTGGCGTCCATGTGGCCGCAGCATGTTTCGGGGCCCCCGTCCTCGGGATATCACCGCTATGGGGCTCGATGGAAAACCTACATAGGTATTCTTTTGCCGGCGATGGGACTGACCGAAGGCGATGATGACGCTAAACTTATGCCTTTGACGCAAATATTAGGCCTGCAGTCACCAGTGCCACAGTGTGCTTTCTCTCATCTCCCACACAGCGTCTCCGATTCGCTGGAGGTCGTGTGGAGAACTCGGATGTCTAAGCGGCACCAGCAGATTGGACAGCCCCCTCCCCTCGACGTTAGATATACTTGCCTACTTCTGATACATACATATCCGTCAACATCCGCTCATCACCACCGTGCTGTCCACTGTAGTTAACCCCCCTCTTTCCACACCTCGGATTCGACGAGCGCCATCGCCCCCCGCCAGATCGGTATCATCGGTAAGACCCCGCGGCGTCGACCGCCGATCGCCCAGTGCACCGTTCCGCACGAGTGAGCGAGGGGGCTGATTTACGTGATCACAGACAGTCCAGTTTTCCAGAAGCCCCGTTTAGTTATGTACGGGGGGTGAGGAATTGAAGCACTGCATCGGCCGTTTCATGCCGGTCATCGTCATCGTCACCGCCGCCTCCTTGATCCCCGCGGAAAACCGTCTTCCTGTCCGAAACCCCCCTCCCCTCCCCCTCCCCTCAGGGGGATTCCTGGATGGTAAGGTTCGTTCGTTCGCTCGTTCGTGCGTTCGAACCGGGTGGATACTGGAAGAGTGCCTTGAGGCGATGATGTGATGTGATGCATCCATCTCAGTGCGCAGATCTCCCGCGATCTGCCCCAGCATGGCCTAAATCCGAGGCGTGTATGTAGAGTGTACTGTACTGTACAGAGTATGTGTAACACCGCTGCAATATACGGCAGGGCGCCTCGCTCGGAGTACTCCCTTCGTCTCTCTCCCCTCATCCCGTGGTGAGAATTGGATTCCGGCGAGAGTCTACCGTAGTAGGTAGTACTTACAGGCTACAGAAGCTCTCGCGATGGAGGTTCCCTCTTGGTCTTTCCCTCTTGGTCTCTCCACTTTCTGTCATCATCACCACCGCCACCACTCAATGCCTCATCCTCCTAGCTCTCTTTCCAAAAACAATGTTTCTCCGCCCATATGTATCTCTGTATCTCTGTGCCTTACTCCGACATGTGAATATCCCAGGGCCATACCCCCCGCGCGGCCCCGTTCACGAATGTCCGCATGCAACAGCACCGATTGACCCACGAGCCCACAAGCCCATCTGCACCTCCGCCCAACAGAAACTCGGGATGGGGCGAACGGGCGTATGTATTTAGACATGTATCTATGTACAAAACGAATGGCAGCACTCGCACTCGGAGGTGGCAACGTCTCGTCTTGTTGGGAATCAACTTGAGAGCTTGGGAGCTTGGGATGCCTCCCCATGTCCAATAACACCTAATGCCCATGTCAATGCACCGGCCACCAGGATTACCTATCTGTCGCACCCTTACATTTACATTTACATACTCTGCACCTTGACTGCCTTCACCTTCTCATAGTTACACCCAAGTACCAAAGTAACTCACCCCGCGGTGGCCGGTGGCCGGTGGCAGCTGGGTGGGCGGCACGCTGAGCCCCCCGGGCCCCCTCCCCTCCAAAAAAAACCAAAAAAAAATGTCTCTCCCTCCCCCGGCCAAACCCCCCTCAGGCTTCAGGCTTCAAGCTTCAGGCTTCAGCTGCTCCCGAACCAAGACGTACTCTTACATACATTCGCCTACACCGGAACAGGCTTGGCCAGGCTATCTATCTATTCCCCCTTCACTCCCCCAATCCAGCTTCAGCGGCAGCGGTAGCAAGAAAGTTTCAGTTTGTTTTTTTTTCTCTTTCCCAGCCAGCCCAGCCAGCCAATCGTTCATGCGCATTGACACAACACAACACGAAACAACACGATCGCTCAACGCTCGGATCATGGATGGATCTTCACGAGACCGTTTAAATGGTTTAAATGGAGATCACCGCGGGCCTGGAGGACTCTGGAGCGATGCGTTGTCCTCCCCTCCTGGCCCCTGGGCATGGATGAGTATGGTATGGGCATGGCACGGCATGGGTATGGGTATGGGTATGGGTATGGGTGTGGGCATGGGATTGGGCTTGGTGGGCGGGTGCTCCCGATGGTTGTTTGTCACCTGACCCGGGGCGGGTTTCAATGCGTGGCACTGATTGGCACTGATTGCGCCCTTTTGGCTGGGTAGGTGGTGTTGTGATACACATGGGAAACGAACGGCGCCTGAGAGAACACCCCGTCTTCGCGGTGGTTACGGGAAAGGTGTAGCCGGATATTTCGAGAGGAAGCAATTGGACAATTGCAAATCCCCACTCGCCTCGACTCTACCTTACCTACTAGCTACCGGTATACCTATACCTAGAGCAACATTTTGATATCCGGGTCTTCTCTCCTCCACCATCTACTTTAGTCTGGCTGGAAGCCTGGAATCCGACCATCATATGTACCTCTCGATCAGGCTCCTAGGTACTGCTACGGTAGCTGAACAATCGGCGTGAGCCAATGATCAATCTAAACCCTGCAAACTCCCCAAAGTGTGTATTGTACATCACTACTATGTATTTGGAACCACTTTACCGTTCAGTTCAGATCGGCCTTCAGCTAACAGTAGGTAGCCAGCAGCAGAAACCTCCAAATCAATCGGAAGGCTCCCTTGGGCCTTGGCCGGATTCTGTGTAGGAATTGGGGAACTCAGTGCCTAGTCCTCCCTCCCGAGCCCCCCAAGTCCTGGTCAGCGGAACCGTTGACTGGGATGGTTATACGTTTCTTGGAATTTCAAGGTCTTGTGACCATCGGCCACATGAAAGATTGCACTTTGCTCACTATTAACTATGGCCTCGTGGATAGTACTGGATGCGGCGTCAGCGGGATCGAGATTCGATGGCAACCCGTCGATCAGATATAGTACATACATTATGTACATACATGCCTCGACAACGGGGCGAGGCGATATTACCTACGGCACTGTCTTCGGCTCCTCGATACTAGGTATCATACGTCCGCTCTGTCGCGCGGCCAGGCGGTCGAAGGGGATATGATGGACCATGGGTTTCTGCGTGCTGTTGGAACTTGAAAGGTACCAGCACAGCACAGCAACAGAATACCTACCTGTGCCGCAGCTCGAGCAACTCGAGGAATGCAGGAAACTTGAAAGACGCAAATATTACCAGTCCGCAGTCCGTATCCTCAACCGTATCAGCCCCCTTGGACCGTGGAATCGATTTTGACATCTCTTGATGCCCAGTCACGATTCGATGGAACCCACTCGGGCCGGTGGGTTTATGGTTTTATACCTACTCTAGGCATCTGCTGAGCTATCTGTTGGCGTATCAGTATTTATCAATAAGTACCTATCATTTCGTGTGCTTGAGAGAATCATTTTCCGCAGTTGTGTCGTGTGATTCACTACTCGCCATTCGATCGTCCGCCATGCCTGCTCGCAGCTCGGCCGGCCATTGTGCGGACTTACCAAGTTCCCAGCACTGGATCGGGCTAACTACCAGCCAATGACATATCCAATCGGAGCCGACGTTTTCCTTGGTCCACTCCGTTTAGACGGTTCTACACGGCAACAGTACTAATTCTCGCCTCCGGACCCGAGTAATCGGAGAAACCAAAATCCGGGTGACAGTCGTAGCTTCCCTCCCGCACCACCACCACCACCACCACCACCACCACCACCACTACTATGTAACTACTACCACCACTAACATTTCTAAATCTCTAGATCTCTTCTTAGGTGTTGCAGGCGAACCATTACGACAGCTTGCATGAGATCTAGATGTCGAAAAAGCGGCACGCACGACGACACAGTTGGTTGGGTTAGGTGGGTTGAGTGGGTTGGGTGGGTGGCGTATGTATGTAGGTGGATAGATAGATAAACTACTCTTGATGCTAGACGATGCCGATTTGACAGAGAAGAGGAAGCAGCAGCAGAAGAAGGCGAAGAAGAAGAAGTACATACATAGAAGAGGAAGAAGAAGGTCTTTGCGATCCAATCCGCAGGCTCGTTGGAGCCCAAGCCTTAAGAGACTACTCCGGAACCATGCTAGCGCTTGCGAAACAGTGCTCTGTTTCCTCCTGCTTCACTTTTTTTCTTTTCTTTTTTTTTTCCTCACTTCGAACTTCGAACTTCGAAGTGCCAGTGCCAGTGGTTCGGTGGTTCTGATGTCATATCACGCGTTCCAGTTAGCTACAGCTCCGTTCTCTGGGTCTGGGAACAGAGCAGAGCAGAGGGCCTGGCCTGGTCAATGGCCAGTCAAAACACCCCTCTCCCCCCCCAACATGCCCCCCAACTGCCAACGCATACCTACATGCCTACATCTGAACATTCAGCATCGATCCCCGCCGCGCCCCGCCCCGCCCTGCCCCACCGACCGACCGACTGACTACGGTAGGTATCATGCAAAACACGGACAGATCTAAAGAAAGAAGAAAATAAATAACGGAACGGTTCAGCTGAACCTGGACGTTCGGCGAGAGGCAAATATATTGCAGGTCCCTTGATCTGACTTGACTTGATCGTCGGAGAGGAGTGGTCGGAGTGGTCGGGAGAATCAGGGTGGCCTTGTAGGGAGATGGATGACTCAGCAAAAGTACCCTTTGAGGCTTTGACGTCTAGCAGGGCTGCGGGGGGCGGTGAGACGGCAAAGACTCAAGACTTGAGCACATGTCTTGTATGTGTAATTCGCTTTCCGCTCTAGTTACATAGTAGTTGGGACTCTCGTTTACGATACGAAACAGAACAGAACAAAACAGAGCCGAAACCCTGTCTTCGTGTGTCTCTACTTTGGTGTTGCCATGGGTGATGGTGAATCATCAGCTATGACTCGCTCGGATATTTCCCCCCAAACTCGGATGAGCCGAACCGGCTGTGCAGAATGGACCATTGGCCGCTGGCGATTAGCGATTGGTCCGCCGGTCAGCGGGTATCACTCGTCCGCATATATAGCCAATCCCAATCACTGGGTTACTGGGTTACTGGGTAGCTCTTCCTCCTTCAGACTTCCTTCTTTAGACTTCCTCCTTTAGACTTCCTTCTCATCTGCCCACCACCCGGGTGAGTGGTGGGTGGTAGGTAGACGGGGAGGGGAGGGGAGCTGGAGGGGAGCCTGGAGGCGAGGCGAGGGTTTATCGCTCACCTTTCCAGCTTCCAGTTTCCACCTTCCGTCTTCTACCTTCCGTCCACCTTCCACCTTCCACCTTCCACCTTCCGTCCATCTTGCCGGAGCATGCGCATAGAAAGCTCCCTCACATTTCCTTCCGCCTTCCGCCCGAGCTCGAGTTCGCTTCCTGGGTAGGTAGTATTATCCTTCGCACATCGTAGGTTAAGTATGTGTTAGGTGGTAGGAGCACAAAGGCATTCCATGTCCACACTCCTCACTCGTCCGTCGTCCGTCGTCCGTCAACGTGAGAGGAAGATAGGTAGATAAGATCGCAATCGATATCCCCCGCTCCTGCGACCCACTCGGATCCGCTCGGACTTGGATCCGATCCTGGGTCCCTCCCTTAAGCTTTCGCTTTGCTTTGTTTTACTTTGCTGCGTGGACGTTTGCAGACCTTCCAGACCCCAGACCTTCCAGAGCACAGTTTGGCGCAGGAGGAGTTATCCTGTTCGAGTGAGCCGTAGAATACCTACCATGCTACTAGGTAGTAGAATATCATTGCTCGGGGAAGGGGAAGCACCCCTTCGATGCCTTCGTTCCTTCCCCGTATGTAGTGTACACATATCTCAATACTGATACCAATACCAATACCTACCCAGTGATCCCCACCCCCACAGTCCCATCCGGACAGCAAACCACTCTCACTCCGAGTACTTAGCTATTGAAAATACGTCGAATCCCACATCCTCGATTCCTATCGCCCGATCCTACGCATCCGATAGGTACCCGCACTCCCCAGTCGCCGCTCCCCGCCCCCACAAACCCCTCACAAACCCCCCGCAAACTTCGCTGCGTACATACTTAGGTAGGTATCTCGCCCTGTTCCCCGCGTTCTCGCATTGGTACGGCATTGGCATGGCATGGGCACGTATCTACGTTTGCAGGTAGGTAAGTAGGTAACTAGGTGAGTACCGTACCCGCTATATGTGCGGTGTGCGGTGTGTGGTGCGGTGTGAGGGATGGTGAGTGGGTGAATAGCAGCCTGTGAGAGCCTTTTGTTTTTTGGTTCGATAGCATTCGACCTTAGTAGATTGACTCACCGCCGCCTGCGAGTGAGCCGTGGGGGATCCGTGGGTGGGCCGAGTGTGAGCCGTAGGTGGGGAAGGGAGGGGATGAGAGCCGAGTAGTGATTACTCCGACCTCCGATCTTCCTCAGACCTTCCTCCGACCTTCCTCCGACCTTCCTCCGACCTTCCTCCGACCTTCCTCCGACCTTCCTCCGTCCGCTTCACCGTCCGTCCCTCCGTTCGTTCAATCGCCGCCGCCGCCGCTATAGTACACACTACACGGCCATAGCTACGGCCACGGATACGGCCACGGCCATAGCTATGGCCACAGTGCCGAAAAGATAACTAAAATTTTGAACAAATATTCCTGGAATTGCACTCGCTCTTGTCGGACTGGACTGGACTGGCCTACTACACTAATACACTACTACATATGGTTGACCGTTAGGGACGTTGGGGGACCATGTGTACATGTATTTGCACCCGCACCCGCACCCGCACCCCTACCCGCCAGCCAGGCCAGCCGTCCAATCCTGAGGCAGAAATCTCCAATTGCCCTGTGCTATAGAGTACAAGAAGTAGACCAAGAAGAAGAAGAAGGAATACATGCGCTACTACTAGTGTTATTATTGTCCAGCAACTACATTTTAACTCAGTACTTCCATACACGACGAAAATCCCCGAACTCCGTCCCGCAATAGTTACCTACGGCCCCGCAGCACCATCCCCACTCCAACTGCAGGATCCGCGTAATAAGAAAAGAAAAGAAAAAGAAAAAGCAATAGCGAAGACATCCAGACGTGTAAATACTATCATAGTATAGAGCGCAAAGCCCGGAGCCTGGAACGGCGGGAGAAGCACCATTACCAGCACCATTACCAGCACCAGTAGCACCCACCAGCACCAACACCCACCCGCATGTGAACTGCCATCATTACTACTACATAGAGCACCTATATCGTCGTTGGCTTCCAGAAATACACCCCCATATACAGCATGCGGGGACGTTCTGGAGCTACATACAGAAGCATTGCGTGTGCAGCAGCAGCAGCAGCAGCAGCAGCAGGTGCTAGCTTCGTCACTCTACCCCGCTGCTGATCAGCTCCTAGTGACGATGATGATATCATGTGTCCAGCGTCGGTACAATGTAGGATAGAAGGTGTTATGTATGAGAACCGCCTACTTGGAGTACAGTAGATGGCAGCAAAAAAAAGAACCAAAAAAGATACAAGAACGCCTATGGCTCCAAAAGAACAGTTCAAGAAAAAGAAAAAGAAAAAATCACCAACAAAGGAGAGAGAAAACACAAGTGGTCATGACGAAGGAAGCAACGAGCTGATAGTGCAACAGGTGGTCAAGCCCAGACCGAGGCCCAGACCGCCCCTCTTATCAAACCTCCACCTTCTGTTTCCCAGCCTGCCACCACCACCACCACCACCACCACCACCACCATCCTTCCTTACTCCTCCATCCGTCCAAAAACCCCATCGTCCTCCTCCTCGCTCCGCCCCCTCTTACTCCACCCATACCCTTCCCCGTCCCCACGTATCCTCGGATCCTCCATCCGTACGTCCTCATCCTCGTCCTCGTCCTCATCCTCCTCGTCGCGGTCCTCTTCATCTTCGTCCTCTTCCTTCTTCATCTCGACCACGTCGTTCAGCGGACCCATATATGCCCTACCGCCCGCTGGCGGCGATCCGATATCGGACAATCCCAATCCGAATCCTCTCGGAACACTACCGACAGGCATGGACGGCGACATTATCGGAGTGTTGAACGAACAACTCAGCAGCTCCACTGCGGCCGCCAACGCATCATCCTCGCTCATCGACGGTCGCAGAGACGGCGAAGGCGCAACCGAGCCCCGTACACCGGAAACGGAACTGCCTGCTCTCGGCCTGGGTAAGGGCCTTTGTGGTAGATGGTTGGGGAACGATAGACCCGTCGAGGGCGCGCTACCGGCAAGGAACCCGCTGCTCCCGTTGTACGACCGTGAGTAGGACCCCGACGAGTATCGTTTGCCGGGTTTCCCGGAGCCATTCCGGATGCCGCGTGGTGTCGGTACGGGACTGGACAAGCTCATACCCGAAGGCGGCGGGGTAGTCTCATCGGAGGACGAACTGTCCGAGTTGCCTTCGTTATTCGACGCACCGGATGAAGAATCCGGAGGTGTTGGGTTCATGGACACCAGGATCGAGGCAGCCTCCAGGAGCTGTACTTGCTGATGTTTGGAGATCAAGAGCTTGGATGTGTACGACCATTCTGGCGTATGTTCCCATCTGCATCGATATCCCACGGTAAGTTAAAGTGGTCTCCCCAAGAACTCGGACGTGGGACTTTTTTTCCGAGTGATAATTTGGGAGGTTAGGTGTATGTGAGTGTGCGATAAGGCTGTCGGGTAGGGATGGAGATTCGACGGTATTTGTAATCCATCGTGGGCTCCGCACGAATGGGGGGATAATAAGGGCATTCCGCATATGCGAGGGTAAATTTGAGGATGATAAACTGTGAATGAAGGGGGAGATGCAGGTGGAGAGGTATCATGCGATTCTGTGCGGCTCCATGGCTCGCACGCAATGGATCCCAAGTGTGGGTGGGAGTGATTGAGAAGTAGTTCTTATCCGTACGAAACCAAGCCTTGAAAAACATGGAAGGGGAGGGAGGGGGAAGACAAACAAATGTTTCGTTAAACAGGAACTATGCTTATATCCCTTCCCACACTTTTCACATTTCAGCTCGCTGCCGCTCCTCATCCGTCCTATTTTGCCCACACCGCCCAATGCACCGGCTCCGTCGCTTGCCCGCCGGTTGCGGGATCCCCGATTAACCTCCGGAGCATGGCCCTCGGCGATTGCACTACCGCTGAGAAGTGTAGTCCCACCGGCCTTGACGAGTTGATGGATGCCGTGGTCGTGCGTTGCGATGGTGGCATTACTAAGAGGGCCAGGGTTAGGCAAGCTGCTGGGCGGGCTAGGGTAGCCTCCCGGACCAACTCCATCGCCGGTGCCCGCTTGAAGCTTCCCTAGCCCGGAAATCCCAGGAGGTGGTACCACCACCGCCGTCGGCGCCGGTACCGGTACCGTCCCAGGCGATAACCTAGCCTCGGCTGCCTCCTTCATCGCCTGAGCTACAGCGGCGATATTTGCAGAGTTGGATGACATGCTCTTCCGCCGGGTGACACGATGCGACGCGTTGAGGGAACCGACGGAGTGATTGCGGTGATGGTTCCTAGTGGTCGGGATCGCGGTGGATGTGGACGACGAAGGAGCGGGAATGCGGATAACGGGAATCGACTCCTGATGAATGGACGACTGCCGTTAGCGATGAGCTTCAACCGCCGCCACGACCACCACCACCATCATCACCACCACCACTACCACCGCCGTCACCACGGTCACCAACACCAACAGCAGTACGAGTAACACCACCGGGCAACACCACAACCACCACCGCCCAACCACCACCACCACCACTTTGACTCATCACCGCCAGTAAAGCAATCGAGGAGGGTGAGGATGTACTGTTTTCACGGATGAAGCCATGGCGATCCCAGCCTGCCACGCTTCGTGTCCAAGTGTAGCTTCGAGCCGAATGTGCTTTGTCTTGTTTTCTTCCTTTCTTCTTTCCGATTCCGTTTCGATCGAGGAGAAGGCTTCAACGATCTTGAAGCGTTTCGAGCCGAGGCGGAGCCGTAGTAATACCGGTCGAAACTATGTGACTCTCGCGCGTATGTGTTTCCTTGCGGATGACGGAGGGACAGGAAAAGGGACGGTTTGGAATCGTAACGTGGAGGAACGTGAGAAGCAGTAGGTAGCAGTTGGAGGTGAAGCGGATACGACGGACGAACTATACGGAAGGGCCAAAGTGCTCTGACCTTGCTGACGCAGTTGATAACTTGGAGATGAGGACCGATACCGAGGGAAAAAAAATAAAGGACTGGAACTGGAGCTCAGGAGGTGATTTTGGTCTTAAGGAATAAGGATGCTAGGTAGGTAGGTAGGCACCAAAAAAAGAATGTTGCTGCGGGCCCAAAGCGGAAAGCTTCAGATCTGGCACGAGTAGTTTGACTGGGGTGGGCAGTTCCGGAGACGGTGGGGGTTGATTTATAGTGGGTTAGCGGGGGGATGGGGGGGCTTTGGTTTTCTTGAGGGGGATTGTGCCTGTGCTGGGAGCCGGTGTCTCAACGAAAGCTATGGCTGGCCAAGTAAATTTTGGGATAGTTATCGACAGGTGAGCTTGGAGATGCGAAAGGGCAGGATGAGATAGATGCACGCGGGAAGAGGATCAGTTTGGAGAGACGTCAGGAAGCGAAGAAAAAAAGATTTGGGGTGGGGAGAGGACTGGGCGGACAGAAAGGCAGGTCGGGACAGCGGGAAAATAACGGGGATGGGGAAATAGTGTGGTGGAGGTGGTGGGCCATGAAGGACCTTGGGGAGGAGGTGGTAGTTTGTGGTGGTGGTGGTGGAGGTGGTGTGTGGTTGTTCCACGTTCTCACATCTATTTTTTTTCTTTCTCACTTTTAGAGTGTTCTGCGCCCACTGCCGTCCGTTCTTTCCGTTCTGTTTCTCTGTCTCTCCGTCTGTCTGACTCTCTTCCTCCGTCTCTGTCCAAACCAAAGCCAGCTGCTCGTTGGGGCCACTCACGCATCCACATCACTCTAGAGTAGAGGCGGGTAGAATAATGGTGAGTAAGTAGAGTAGAGTGGAATACATCCATGGCCAGCCTCAAGGCGGAATTCAGAGTGACTGCTTGCCTGCTTGCCTTCCTGCCTGCTTGCCTTCCTGCCTGCTTGCCTTCCTGCCTGCTTGCCTGGATTTCCGCCAGCAGCGCGAGTGAGAGAAATTCCAATGCCGGTGAGAGAAATTCTAATGCCGGTGCAGTGCGGTGCGGAGCGGTGCAGTGTAAACTTCTTATAGCCCTCGTCATTTCCGACGAGCAAACGGGAAACCAGCGAACGGGATGGCCTCTGGCAACGGACGCCCCTCCCTCTTTCTTGTCTGTGGCGCGCAGTGGTCAGGGACAATGCCAGAGACCTGCATATGGGGAATCGGCCGGTGCGACGGACAAGAGACTCCCACGGATCAGCACCGAGCAGGCTGACACCGACAATCGACAGGCAGCTCTTCTCTGCTCGCGAGATGATGTCGACATGTTCCGGAGAGAAATGGCCATGTCTGATTTCGACATATCGGTATTCCTCAGAGAAATGTCCATGCCACTCACTGCGACCTGCTCGGCTCACGAAACGGATGCAGAGTCCAGACGACGGACCAGCATCCAGCTGTGAGTAGAGACGGAGTCCGCATGGCAGCACCGTCGACATGTTCCCCCTTCCCCTTCCACTTCCCCTTCCAAGGCCAGTGTCCTCTCACCCCCGTCCCCCGCTCCGTCAGATGACCCCCCTTGACAGGAAAGGTCGGGTTTGCGGTCGCCATAGCCCAGTAGTTATGGCTGTATGCGACAATTAATTGATGTTCTCTGTCTCTCTCGCTCTCGAGGAACGAATTCCAGCAAGGCCGTAGTTATGCGACAATAGATTGATGTTCTCCCTCTCCCATGAAGAGAATTCTAGCAGAGCCATATGCGACAACGAATTGAAGTTGTCTCTCTCTCCAAAGGTATGCGACAATTAATTGACGTTCTCTCTCTCAGATGACCCCCCTACCCTGCTGCAGCTCCCTTTCGAGCTCTTTTAGCTGCCCGTTGAAACTTGAGCCCGCAACTGCCAGCTAAAAAGTCCAAAGACAGGCAATTACCAGCAACAGCCAGCTACACAAAACGTCCCAACACAGGCAATTAACTACGGTACCCACAACTGCCAGACACAGACAATTACCTCCCCTCCCCTCCCCCCAGGCCCACCAAGTCCCACCGGCCTACCTCGCTCGAATCTACATGGAGGCGTCCAATAATCCAACCGGAAAGAAAAAAAAAGTCGTGCGGCATGGGTTCCCCGCCATATGTGCCCCTTCCCCTTCACTCACTCCTTCCTTCCCTCGCACCCGCCGCCCCCTCGCACCAACCCATACCCATCCAGCCCTCCCACCATCCAACGCACCCACGCACCCCTCATCCTCACACCAACCCACCCACCAACCAGCCCTCCCTCCAATCCAACAGCCCGTACCGATACCGATACCGGTACCAGTATGTCGTATGTAAAACTCCGACGTGCTTAAGCTGCTACATACATACCGTACATACATTGTGCCGTGCACTGCGCAGCACAGCGTTGACGTCTGATGTGCTAGTAACCACTTACTTACATATTTCCTTTCTTCCTTACCTAACACCGTATACAACTATATTCCGTACACACCGCGATCCTGGACGGATAACGACAAATAAATCCCACATCGTCGCCAGGGCCGGGAGAAAGACGGTATCGCTGATCGCCCACCGTACTCGGAGCTATCAGATTAGCGACTGACAATCACTACACCATGTCCTTCCGGGCGTGAGTGAGTGCGAAGTGCGGTCCAGTCGAGTCTAGAGCAGAGAAGAACAGAGGAGGGGCGGCGATCACGGAGTGATCCTCTCGACAAGCGTCCACAGGATTTTCACGCCGGCGATGGTGCTCGTTACCATAGTGCTGCGGTATTATAGTAGTACCTAGCCAGCCAGCCATCTGGGCGTGTATATCTAGTACCATATGTATTGTACATACGTTTACCGTAGTAGAGCAGTAGGTAAGGTAAGGAAAAGTTCTCGGCCGGCCGGCCATGGCATCAACTCCTTTCCTCTCGGCCAGCCTGAAGAGGCACATACGGTACACAGGTGTATATAGCAGCATAGCAGCCACCGATCACAGCACGAGGGGTTTGTAGATAACTTTTGAAGCATAATCTGCATAGGAAACGTAGCCGAGCCCCAGTATGAGTTTCACTATATAGAGAGTACTACCGCATACTAGTAAATAGTAGTAAATCGTAAGTACCTTCGCTTTCGGCCCGGTATGTAGGGTTCTCTAGAGTGAAGTGCGGGGAAGGCCCCCCTCACTGTCGGAAAAGAAAAAAACACAGTTGCTCATCCACGGTCCGGCGATAGAGGTATCCAAGTACCCAAGAAAGTGCCCAAGTACCCAAGTGCCCAAGTACCCAAGTAATTACTCTGCCAAATTCCAGTGTGCTGTAACCAAGTACTTTACTGTTCAGTACCAATGTCAGTCAGACCAGACCAAGCCTTGAGGAGGCCTCAAGGCGGAGGAGAAGAACAGAACGAGGCGTGCACGCAATTTAGAATAGTAGATTCCATCGCGCGATTCTGCTTTGTCACGCTGTCACGCATCGGCGCCGGCGGAGAGCTTTCGTTCCTCGTTGTCGTCGATCCATCGAATCGAATCGAGCAAACGAAACGAAACGAAACGGGGGCCTTTTATGATCGATCATCGTAGAGCTATAGTTGCTAGGTATTCCTCTCCAGAATAGAATCATAATCACAATTAGAATAGTCAGTCAATTAGTAGCATTGAGCATCGAGCATCGATTTGTCTCTCCGTCTCCGCCGCCGCACCTTGCGCGCACGCACACACGCAACGCACACACTTCCTCCCCACCACCCCCCCTCCTTCAGAGTCCTCCATCTCCTCCTCCGCGTTTGACGTGCTGCTCCATCTCTCCCAAGTTCCACCAACTTTTTTTTTCTCGTTTTGTTTCCTTTTGTTTTCCTTGCTCTACCTTTTTTGTTTCCTCCCAACCTTCCCCTCCGAGCTCCAAGAGTTGCAGGCAGCTCCCATCATCGGATTTCTTACACGGATCGACCATCACCCACCATCACCACCACCCAGTACCCACCACCACCAGCACCACCAGCACCACCATCCAGCACCGCCCTACGGAGCGCGGGAACGAGCAAGGATCGCCCCAATCCATCCCATCCATCCAATCAACCCAGGAACCGAGCTGGGGGTGGGTGGGTGTGGCCGCGGGGTGTGGACCAGCGGGGTGTGGAGGCGCGAAATATTTTTTTCGAGCAGCAGAGCACTGAGCAGAGACATCGAGTTACTAGAGTATATAGAGTTCCGGAATAGCGGCGATGGACAGAGGATCGTCTGGGAAAAAAGCGCAAAACTACTGGGCTTTTGTTTTGTTTTTTGGCGGGTTTTGTTTTTGATGTTGGTTTCTGTACCAGTAGTCTATATACCTGTATACTACCGGTACCAAGTAGTACTATTCTGCCCTAAGAAGTATGGAGCCGGAGCTCAGAGCTCAGAGCTTTCGGCAACTACTACTTCTTACTAGTAGTTACTACCGTAGTTACTAGTTATCCAAGTACTAGTATATGGGGATCGCAGATCTCGAGGAAAAGCAAGAAGCAAGAAGCAAAAGTAAAAAGTAAAAAGTAAAAAGTAAAAAGTAAAAAGTAAAAAGTAAAAAGCCAAAAGCCAAAAGTATAAAGCCAAAAGTAATAAGTAAAAAGCCAAAAGCTAAAGCTAAGTAAATCGAAAGGAAAAACAAAAAGAAAGGAAAACAAAACAAAACTAAGAAGGAAAGAAAGACGAGAAAAAAAAGAAGCGGATGCGGTTTTGTGAGCTGTTGTGGCGAGATTTCTCCCGCTATATGCCACCTCTGGAACGACGATGTTAACTTGGTACTATTAGTTACCAGTGGTTGTATATAATCGAGTACATATCCGTATTAACACGGATATATACCAACGTAGATCTTACCGTCTCCGAGACGACGATCCGGATGGCGACCATGGCGACTGAGATTGTGACAGTGCCGATATCCGGCTGCTAACTAACTGCTCTACCGACCATTTGCTCTACTCTACCTACAATACCTACAGTACAGTGCAGTGCAGTACAGTACAGCACAGTGTTCTCTCCACGTATGTACTGTACATATACTACATGCTTACTTGACCTACGTACGTACGTAGGAAGGTAGCCTGGTAGGTAGAATACATAGGCAGGTATCGTAGATATGATAGGTAGACAGGTGCCATGAGCAGCCATGGTACGCTACCTATGTGCAGTGACATCTGCGGTGACATCTGCGGTAGCATCTGCGGTAGCATCTGTGGCGGTACCGGCGGCACACACAGCACACAGCACACAACTACAACTACAACTACAAACACACAGCACACAGCTGCGTATAACTCCAAGTACAAGTATGCATAAAAGTATATCGGAGCCCAATAGGAGTGAACACCGCGAATCCGGGATAATTTTCTGCACCGAGTTGGGAGTGGGGGCCGATGTCGGTGCCCGATCCCCAATGCCTAATGACCGATGCCCGACGTCTGTGCCCGGTGTCTTTGCCCGATGTCCTTGACCGATGCCGCGCATTCCCTGCATAGCATCTCCGAGAAATGCCCGCGGTACGGAGGAAATTGACTGGACGGCAGAACGGACTCGCAGCTCTCCCCGAAATCGTGGCAGCGTACATGGTGTATCACTCGCTTTTTGGGGGGTCTGGACCGAAATTCGGAGTTCTTTGAGACAGCACCCGGCGCATGTCGACCGCCCGCCTGTGAGAACCTGCAGGTCCGATTGATATCCCGCTGGCCCAGCTGAGAAGCGAAGCTGCATGACGGCCAGATCCCGAGTTCCCAACCAGCAGCAATCCCATTTATTATTCGTATTCTAGTTCATCCTACATACTCGATCAAAACATCGCCCTCTGCTGATCACCCGTAACCTGTCCCTGTCCCATGTTCTTAATCTTCTCACTGGGCCTAACCCACGCATCGCTGGCGTCGAGCACCTCTCCGTCGCCAAACCGCTTCCTACAGAACTCAAGCACAGCATTCAGCTCCCTGCCGCCCTCCTCCACCAGCGCCACATCCTCCCGCTCCTCCCGCCCCTCTCTCTTCGACCTCTCCACGGCGTCTATAAACCCGCTCCACCCACCTCCCCCTTCGCCGCCCCCTTTACCGCCCTCTTTACCGCCAACCCACGCAACCCCCAGCACCTCCGCCCCCGCCTGATCGACGTCGCTATACCACGCGCGGGCATTATCGTAGTCGCCCTCGATGCGGTGCAGTATGCCGTGCAGCAGCATGCCTTCGACGGCGGGCGGAGACTGCATGTGCCGCACGAGGAAGTGGGCGGACGGCAGGTCGCCGTTGAGAAGGTGCAGTGCTGCCTCCAGCGTTGGGTGCAGTGAGGCCGAGGAGATCGTCGCGGTTAGGGAGGCGGAGCGCGGGTGGCGCGGGTTGTGCAAGGGGGGGGAACGGGAGAGGTGCCGCAGAAGGTGAGTGAGCGTCGGGCGGGGGGTGGGGGACATGTTGGTGGTAGTGGTGGGAGGTGGGAGGAAGGTGGGGGGTGAGGATTGGTTTTCTGGAGGGAAGGAGAGAGTCGTGAAGTGTTTATATGTCATGTCGTCCGTGACATCAATTGCCTGGCGGGATGATGACGATATTACATACCTCACATATCCATCCACCGCACTGACCACCTCCCAGACTCCCGCGGAGAGCAAAACGGCACCGCTAATTACATCATGTCCTTCCAGGCTTCCAGGCTTCCACGACGGTAGGTATACCTATATAAAATCAGGTTTGAGCCTGTTGTATGTATGCAACCAGCCGTGCGATTTTGTTTTGGGTCTGTTTGGTGTTTGCAAACGGTGTAACTCTGGTGGAGTGTGTCGTAGTCCATCAACCACGGGGGGCTTCATCGGTTTTTGGAATGGGAATGGGCCGCTGGCTGGCTGGCTGGTTATTCATCTCCTTCACGGTGGGTGGCCAGCGGAGGGCTCAGCGCTCGCGAGAACGGATTCCTCCGGTCGGCGGTTGATCATGAAGGCTGATAGGTAACGGCGTTTCGTCAATCACGACCGATTGGACGTCGACGTCGACTCGACTGTCTGCCAAGCTGACGGCGGACGATACCCACAGTGCACACATGGCCGGATGCTCGTCTAAGGCCAAGGGACGAATACTGAAGAAGAGAGCGACGCCGCCATATATCAGCCCAGCCCGCCCAGCCAGCCCTACATATCGAAGTTAACCTCCAACCAAGGGCCAAGGGCCAAGGCCCTTATCGCGGCCGCCATCTGTGGTCCAGTGGATGACGTATTTAGCGTAAGGCTGAGCCTCCCGAGTCCTACCTACATACCACGCAGTGAGCAGTGGGCACCCTCCCGTTAAAAAGACGAGGACGAGGACGAAATCTTGGGACCTTCATCATCGACATCGACTCGCAGCAAAAGAAAACAGCCATGTACGTAGCCTGTGTACCGGCGCAAGGGTTTTGCGCCCATGGGCCACGGGTGACAGTGGTAACAGAAGTGGGGCCCGGGGGACATCATGCTTTTAGCGGGACGGGTCCGATAAGGAGCTCGCTTGGTACTCTATGTTCAACCGCCGTTGCTACTGCGCTACCTACCGATCAGCGAATCAACTCCAACGGGCTCTAGAAAACGTCTTTCGAAGAAAAAAGAAAACGCCCAGCATCGGCGACCAAAACTGTCTCTAGCTGTCGTCATACCAAGTATGTAGAAAGAAACCGAGGGTGTAGTTAGCAGGAAACATGATTCCAGAAGCCGGAATGGAATGGAAAAAGCCACTGTTGTGGTGGGGACGGTGGGAGGAGATACTCTATATAGTATGAGGTATGTGTGTAGGCGGCGCCTCTCCGTTACCTTACGTTACGTTGCACTGTTAGTTATACATAACCACATAAAGCAGCTCATCCCATCGCATCGCATCGCATCCCGAGGTCCTCCGTAACCAGACTCTAGACTCTACAGCACTGCCATTGCGTACAGCTCCGATTTACCCACAACCACAAACACTCCACAAACACTCCACAGCAAACCTCACAGCAAAACAAACAACCAACCGCCCCTCCCTCTCCAATGACAACCTACGTGCGCATGGGCCGCGGCGGCGCAGGGAACCACATTCCGAAGGAGGAGCTTCAGAAGCAGGCACCTTCCCCCCACCTAGTCCCTGAGCTTTTACCCCGCTGACGGTCATGTGTGTCCTCCCCCAGGCCGAAGAAGTCACCGCGCAAACCTCCGCCTCCAAGCGCCTATCCAGCGCGAACCAGCTGGCGCAGGAAGAAGTCGCCTCGCCGCCGCCGGGCGAGTACAAGCACATGTATGTCCGCTTCTTCCCCTCCCATTCCCCCTCCCTTCCCCGCTGATCCTGTGGTGATATAGGGGCCGCGGCGGCGCGGGCAACTGGTTTACTCCCTCCGACCTCGTGCAACGAGGAACAACCTCCACTCCCACAGCCGACGACGACACGACCGAGGTACCCGCGGCGCAGGCGGGGAGTACGCGGCAGTGGGCGGGGCGCGGGGGGGCGGGGAATTTTGCCGGTGCGGGTGCACAGGCGCAACACATTGATGCGCCACGGAAGGAGGTGGAGGAGATTGAGCTCCAGGATAGAGAGAGGGAGCGCATGCAGGAGGATGTTAGGAGGGATGTTGATTTGAAGCTGGTCAGGCCGGAGGGGGTGCATTTGGGGCCGTAGTGGGATGAATGGGGTGGGGTTGGTTGGTTGGTTGGAGAGAGGGAGAGCGAGAGGGAGCTCGAGGCGGGACAGGTTATTGATCAATGAACGTCTGGATGTTGGATTCGATTGTCGGAGTCATGTCATGTCATGAAGCAGGCAGGTAAGCAGGCGGAACATAATTCCCGGTGATGCAGCAAGTCTCCGTTTGAAACAAGTCTCCCATTTAGCCACAACACATCTTCAATACCAATATCACTGGGAAAATTGCCCGCTCACTGAGCACCAGAGTCCGGATTTAGTGAAAACGCCTATAGTAATGGACGAGCTGCATTCATTCATTCATATCATATATAGTATATAGAGATGTAACTGCAATGCTAGGTACATCGAAACCCCAATCCAGCAGCTAAGTAGGTAGGTAAGTACCTAACCAGTGAAAGGAAATAGAGTACGAGAGGAAATGGGCGTGAGTTCTAAGACAAAGAGAAGCAGCCATGTTGATGGTTGATGGTTAATGGTGGAAGATAGTGTAATGATACGCTTTGTAACGAGAAGCAAGAACAAGAAAGAAAAGGACAACATTTATCGCAGAAGAAACGAAAAAGACAATGAAACCCCATGGAAAGAACAGAAAAGAAAAAGAAAAATCAAAGAAAAGAAAAATCAAAGAAAAATCATAATCGTAACCGTATCCCAGACAAAAGAGACCTTAAGGAAAAAAACAAGAAGAAAAGTTATACTCGCACCAGAACAACATTGTTTTACCCAAAGCAAGCAAGTAAGTTATCATTTCGTTCCTACTCCGTTTAGTTATCCTCAACAGTCGAGCACGCGGACCCTCCCAGTGCGGAGTCAATACTGCGAGCGCGGGGAGTTTTCAATGCGTCCGAGTCGTCGAAACCGCCAAGCTCCGTCGCCGTCGCCTCGCGGAACCTCATCGAGGCCTTTGGCGTGACGGACTGTATCAACGTGGTACGGTTAGGGTTCCAGCCGTGGTTATTAGAGGCGCCCAAGTCATAGAAGTCCCCATCTGCGCACTGAGTCCCGACATCGACCATGGTAGTGGTTGACAGCGGCTCACACTGTGTAGATGCGTTTCTATAATTTGGGTTCCTCGGGTGGTAGTGGAAGGAGGGTACCTTTGTTCTCCCGCGGTCTTCATCATCAGCGTCTTGCTGCTGCTGCTGCTGCTGCATCGTCGAGATGAGCTGGCTCAGCAAGCTGGGGGGGAGACGTCGCAGCTCCTCCAGCTTCTTCTCTGGGTCCTACAGCAACACACGTGGCCAGTCAGCGCTGCCATTCCGCGCTGCCGTTCCGCGCCCGAGAGGAAGTACTCACCCATTCCGGCTCCTCCGGGGCTTCATGTTCTTCCTCAACTTGTGCCTGTGCGGGAGCCGCTCGCCGGAGCGGGGAGGGTACTTCCCCTCGGGCGGCGACGACAAGGGGGGGTGGTGGTGGTGGCGCCTCACCGATAGCCTGGTGCTGGCGCTTGCGCAGGCCCAGCACGTAGTCGCGGATCGCGGGGTCCGTGTCCCACCTGTTCTCGCGCGATACAAACCTCCTCCACTCGTTGCCCTCAGTCGAGACGACGGAGCTGCCGTCGTCGTCGTACTCAAATGTTTCCTCATGGTGGCTGTTGGTGCTCTCGTCGTCGGCAAACACGCGCGTTACGGTGCGCGGCTTCTGCTCCCAGGGGAAGAGCGGCTTCAGCGGGGGTTCAGTGGCCGCCGGGACGTGTTCGGGCTCGGGCGCGGTCCACTCGGGCGCGGGTGGTGTCCACTCTTGCTGGCTGCCCTCGGGGGAGTCGACGTGCGACGACTGGGGGTCGTCCATGAATACACGGGTGACTTTGTGGCGCGGCTTCTCCTCCCACGGGAACACCGTCTTGGAGGCCTGCGGCTGCTTGGACGTCTCCGGGATGTCGTACCAGAGGTGGTGTCGCGGTGGCGGAGCAAATGTCGTCGCGACGAACGGCGCCGAGGCCGTGGTGTCCCAGGCGTTGGTGTATGGCTCGATGGTGAGCTTGTTGCCCTCGGGCGCACTGTTCTGCGGCGGCGCGGACTTGGTCGGGTCCCAGTGGGTCTGGGGGGCATGGAACAATTGGCCAGGTCCAGCGGCCTGGTCGTGCGTGACAGGCCTGGCGTGCTTCTTGACGAGATACGTGTTGGCACCGGTCTGGAAGTACTCGTCCTGGGCCACCCGTCCATGCTTGGTTATCACGTATTCGCCGAGACTGCCCTGAGTCTTGAAGTGCTCGTAATGGTGGTGGGTGGTGAAGTTCTCGAGGTAGCGGCTCGGCTTGTCGATAGAGCGGATGGGCACGAATTTCGGCTCGTTGCCGGCTTGCTCGGGCTCCACATCAGACTCCTCCTCGGCCTCCGAATCGACTGTGTTCTCCGACCGGATCTCTGGCTGGACTTCCGGCTCGACCTCTGGCTCGGTTCCTGCCTGGACTTCCCGTCGCACTTCTGGCCGTACCTCTGGCCGTACCTCTGGCCGTACTTCTGGCTGTTCCTCGGTCTGGACCTCCATGTCGACCTCTAGCCGCGACTCCGTCTGAACCTCAGCCTCAACCTCCGGTCGAGACTCTGTCTGGACTTCAGCCTCGACCTCGCGAGTCTCGTAGTGGTGGTGGTGGTGGTGTTCATGGTGGACCTCGTGGTGGACCTCGTGGTGTTGGGGCTCATGGTAGGTCTCTTTGTGGGCCTCATGCCTTGTCTCGGGGTGATGATGGGTGTGCGTTTGGTACTGTTCTACCTGGGCACCCGAGTACGTCTCCCCTCTCTGCTCAGACCCCGCATTCTGTACGAGGCGCGTTAGTCAAGCAAAGCAAAGAATCCGTGAAGCAAGGTGAATGATTTCATGAATAGAGTGAATAATGGAGTCTAGTACATCACATTTTTTTTGATACATTGAGGTTGAGGTATAGTTCGTTACATTATGCCAGAAGAATACAAGAACACGAAAATCCCGAAAAGAAAGAAGCAAAGGATGTAAAGGGAAAAATAAATCTATACCTCAGTGCCCGTCGGTCGTGAGTAGGTCGGTGTCTGTGCGCTCTCTCCCTTTGCTGCCTGCTTGGTAGAATACCCCTCATGCTTGTTGAAGACAGACCACCAGTGGCCCGAGAGCTTCTCGTATGGGTCGCCCGAGCCGGTGTTGGTGGACTGGCCTCGGTCCCAGGGCTTGGTTCCGCCAATGAAGTGCACCAGAGACACGTTGGATCCGTAGTGCTTGAAAGCAGGCGCATACCTGTGCCGCAGAGGTAAGTATCAACGACGCCTGAAGCTGTCTCGTTGGAGGACTCACTGGTAACCCATGCTGGCACCGATGGTGCAGTTGTAGACGAAAGACAGACGGTGCCAGTCGCTGAAGTGCTGGTTCAAAAGACCCTGGTCCGCGCCTTTACACGGGGTCAGCAAACACTCAGGCATAAAGTCTTGCACACGGGAATATTCACCATCGAAGCTCTGTCCTTGGCTCGCAAGGCTGATGAGCTCCTCGTAGGTCTTCTGGTCGGGCTTGACGACCATCAATCCGCTGTTGAAGCAATCGGGCCAGCCGACATCGGGAGCGGCAGCGAAGACGGCGTCGATGTCGAAGAGCTCATCGGGGGCCCTCAGGGCAACCATGTCGGCGTCGACGTAGACGATCTTGCGGAATTGGGTCTGGTTCCACAGGTTGATCTTGGTCATCGCGGCATGGAGGTCGAGACGGCGCATGAGGTTCAGGTTCGCGGCCGATGTGCTGTAGATGGGCTCTACTGGGATAACGTAGTCGAAGATTTTCTGTGTATTGCCCAGCATCAGCTCGTGGTTCAAGATCGATAGATGCGCCACGAGGCGAGGGGGTACGAACCTTCAGCTCCGTCACAGTGTTCTCGGTGACACCGGCCAGCGTCACCATTACGGCGAGGCGGTACTTGGTGCCAGAGTCGCGGAGAGAGTGGGCGATAACCCGGGCTCCTGTTCATCATCAACAATTCCATTCTCCACTTATTCGTCTTTCTCCTCGACGGCGCTGGGAGGAGGAGGAAGAGCGTATAGGGCTTATCGTAGCCGCGGGGATGGGAATCGTACCAGGGAGGTAGGCATCGTTCAGCAGCAGCTAGGCGCGAAGAGTCAGCATGAACTGTCGTCATAGCGCTGCAGCATTCCGCGACGTCGAGAGAAGATAGAGACAACATACTGTGCAGTAGACATCCTCCGGAGCGGGTGCCATCGTGTGAAGACTGGTCGCTCAGTGGCTGGAAGAGGTAGTTTGCTAGAGTGAAGAGCTAGAAGGTGAGCGGTGGGTTGTGTGTTGTTGGTAGGAGGAATCCAGTGACGCGCTTAGGCCGTTCTTATACCAGGGCTGGGAAAGGGTCCTTGGTTGATGGCTTGCTGGTGCAGGTGAACTGGATGTTTTTCTGGCACGGACTTGGATGAGGATGTTCTTGCAACAACACCGAAGGGACGGGCGACTTTTTGAAGTGTTTTGGGAGGATCACGGGTTTGAAGGAGGGGGGAGGGGGGCGTAAACAAAAACAAGGACTCGGCAAGGCAAATATCCTCAAAGCAGAACGAGACATTTCTCTGGCTAGCACATCTGCCAGTTCACGCCCCCCCCCCTCCGGATCTCTCTCACGAGGGGTCGTTCAATGACCCCGCGGCGGGTCCGCTTTGCGCAGTTTGGGTTGGTGGAGGGGCAGTGAGCTGCAGCACCAGAGTAGCCAGCATATCATAGAGCAGGATCGCATAGCATAGCTCGCAGCCATACTCTACACAGCAGTATCATAGATACTAGGCGGACAAGAAGCAAAGAGCTAGCTAGGAAGTTCGGATTTCTTTTCGCTCGACGTTTTCAATCTCGCTATCGTGGTTGCAACAGCGCTCAGCGCCCACTCAGCGCTGCCGGCGCGGTTTCTCTTCGTGCTTCCCCTCTTCCCCGCTGCGGAGTGGTCGTCAAATCAATCAACTGAAGCACAGCAATCAAGAAGCCCAATCAACCGACGGCACCGTCAGCTTCCTCCTCTCAGCAACGCCGGTGGTGGTGATGGAGGATGTGGTAGTGGGGGGTGGCAACAACGTCGTCGACAGCTACACGTTAGTTACAGGCCATCGCGCAAAAAACCCGCCCTGGATGAGGGCGGGGTGGCGGTGGACCCAGGCAAAGAAGTCGCTCGATCATCGCGAACGCGGCAACGGTATTGGCTGGCGGCGTGGGCGGAGCGACAATTGATTGACATCAGTGATAACGGATCTGTCGTCCCTCGCCGTCGCCGTAGAGTAGAGTAGTTTACTCTACATGCTGTGGAGCACTGTATCTATGATATCGATTCTATTCCACTCCAACCCATCATACCTACTCGACTCTGGTATTGTGCTCTCTCCCTCGCCCTCCATTTCTCCCTCTCTCTGTCTATCCCCTCTCCATCCCTCTCCATCCCTCTCTCTCCGTCCCTCCTCTCCTCACTTCTCCCCTTCTTGCTTGCAGGCTTCATCACAACCACTCTAAGCCAGCATGATAGCATCCCATCCCGGTCCGGGAGGGAAGAACAGAGCGTTGGCCGCGCATTAGTGGCAATAACCTGCCTGCTGTGATGATGCCGACCAGCCAGCCAGCCCATCGAGAAGAAGAAGAGGGAAGAAGGGCGAAATGGCAACCCGGAAGGGGAGAGGAGGTAGGTGGTGAGGTCGCCACATCGAGATGATGCAGAATGTTTCTTTCGGTGATATGTTACATGTATTGTCAAGGAAACCTCGTCTTTGGGCTCTGTGCTCTGTGGGAGTTTGAGCGCCGACGACGAGGGGGGGGAAAGAGGCGCGACGGTGACGGTGACGGTGATGATGATGGTGATGATAATGATGATGATGATGATGATGATGCTACATATGGTAGCACTGCATCGTGGACGCAATGCACCTTAGAGTAGGGCTCTCTTCTCTCCTGCCGACTATTGTGAACCACACACACACACATTCGCGCATAGTTACCCACCCTGCATGGGCCGAGCCTTCCTTCCTCTACATCGCTACTCTAGATACGCCGGAGAAACAGACGCAGAAAGAAGAAACAGAAGGAGAAGCGGAAGAAGAAGAAGCTGGTGGCATCAAGTCGAAGCAAAGGCAGGCAATCATTCCGCATGCGCAGCCTATCGTATCTCTCCGCATGTGATTTCTGCAGGCAATTGATTGATTGATTGAGCGCGGAACTGGAAGGGAAGGGAAAGGACGGAGGGAAGGGAAAACGTGAGAAGCGTCGAATATGTCTGCAGAGATGTTTGGACACGTCGGTTTCGCTAGAGTGCTCTACCTAGGTGAGAATTTACGGTAGCTGGTGAAAAGATTGTTCGGGATCCTGGTCTCTGGCCGTTGGAGGTGATAGGCGCGAGGAGAAGAGAAGACAAGCAAGAGAGAGGCAAGAGGCGAGAAGCAGCCCGCTTGGACAGACAGAGCTGAGGTCCTTTGCCTTTGCCCCGCCGCCCCGCCGCCCGGACAAAACAACGTCGCTTTGCCTTTGCCCCCCGCTCGGATAATTCCGGCTCGAAGGAACACTAAAAGAGTTCCACCTGCGAACCTTATCTGGCATCCATCCACATCCAGCACCCGGATGATGTATTGGTTGGGGCTCAAATAAAAATGAAAGAAAGAAGAAAAAAAATGCAGGGGCAGAGTGACTGCAAGTGGTGGTGGGCCGAGCTGAGCTTCAGTCGAGTCTGTCGTCCCACTCGTTGTGTCCAGCGACCCCGTTGCTGGTGCAACCAACCTACCAGCTGCCAACCAGCTACCTCGTACCAACCAGGCAGATATACTCCACCAACCATCACCTGCAAAAGATCTCAATCCCTCCACTCTGATTCCTCCTCCTCCTCCTCCTCATCCACCCCGTCCTCCTCCCCGCTCCTGCTCCCACTATCACCATATCACATCAATGTCGCCACGTTCACATCCACATTGCATCCGCGGTCCTATATTCTGCATGAGCATCAGTGCAAATGAATGAAGCCAACGCGGCCCTCCACCACCATCATCACACTCGCTGCCGGCGCGGACAGTCTCTGCTCCCCGGACGAACGAATGAATGAACGGGCGATAGCGCAGCCCTCCCACCCGCAGCACACCCGCAGCTAAAACAGAAGCAGGAGCAGAGCACGAGCAAAGAGCCATCCAGCAATCGGATCATCAACACCTACCCTCTCACATCCTGTCCTATCCCCTCCGCGAAACATCGATGAGATGAACCGCACCCTCTCCGCCCACCCACCGCTCTGTACATGTTCTGCGAAGGTCTGTAAAGGGAGAAGACGTCCGCCGCGTGTGCGCGCCCTGACTAAACTAGCCCACCAGCTAACTATCGGCCGCGATAGATAGGCAGACAGACAGATGCAAACTAATCGATGGCAGCGCAAAGGGTTCGTTTCAACTGGTTTCCGGAGAGTAGAGAAGGCAGAAGAGCGGAGAAGAGGAGAAGAGGAGAAGAGCGGAGAAGAGAAGAGAAGAGAAGAGCGCTGAGGTACCTATCTCTGCGGAGATGAATAGCATCCCGACTTGATGGCAGGAAGGGATGAACGATGAACGATGGATGGATGGAGGGAGGGAATGCGTCGGCCCGGTCCCCGGCGGATAGGTAGTAGGTACCTGTGGCCGCAGCTTCGTCGGGCAGTCGTCGAGCAGCCGTAGAGCAGCCGTAGAGTGCCAGTGCCAGCAGGGCTGACCTGATCCGAGCGGTGCTATCTATCAACCATCCTATCCCATCCTATCAGTGCTGGCTGGCTGGTCCCAAAGTGTGGAACTGCATAGGTACATTATATAATGTACCTATTATCGGGCACCGAGACAGACAGACACACGACCACACGGCCAGCCACGCCTGAGTGCATTATGGTATCAGCTATCTCGCTCAGTCATGGTAGTCATGGTGGAGAAGAAGAGGGGTACTTACCTTACAATGTTCCGCTCTCTCGCATCGAACAAGACACTGGAGCCGGAGCCGACGCCGGTTGGAAATCGAACTGTATTGGGTACCTATTGGGTATTACATAAGTGCTTACTCACTTACTTACAGACGAGAAGTCGGCTCGTTCGGAGTCGTCACTCGTGGAGTCGTAGGCGAGGGAGTTAAATGAAACACGTACCGTATGTAAATAGATCGGGTGGATGTCCGGCATGTCTTGCGATACGGATAGCTTGTAGGCCCGTCCGGGCCCGGCCCCGGCACAATTGATATAGACTCTATGATATATCAGCGCCGGGTCCTAGGCAAAGAAACATACTTAGATAGGATGGTTGAGCTCTTTCATGATCAGTGGGAACCATTCGGGCCCGACTACGGTGCCAACAAAGCTCTCGTTTCTTCTTCTTCTATTTCCTCATCATCATTGTCAACATCATCATAGCTATGATAGAAACTATCCTTTGCCCGACCATGCTACGGCGCCAGCGAAGCTATGGTTTCTTCTTCCTCATCATCATGAGAAGTCGGCTCGTGGGTCGTCACTTGTGCGCGAGGGAGTTAAATAAAGCACGAATAGGTATCGGGTGGATGTCCGGTATGTCTTGCGATACCGGTAGCTTCTATGCCCCTTCCCGGCCCGGCTGATATACCTATACTCGACATATATCAGCGCCGGATCCTGAGAGCGCAAAGAAACATAGATAGGTGGGTAGGGCCGTTGAGCTCTTTCATGATCAATGGAAACCATCCTTAGCTCAACTACAGTGCCAGCGAAGCTATTGTTTCTTCTTCTATTTCCTCATCATCACCATAGCTATCATAGAAACCATCCGTGGCCCGACTACGGTGCCAGCGAAGTGCTGGTTTCTTCTTCTTCCATTTCCTCATCATCACCATCATCGTCACCACTATCATCACCATCATCATCGCTACTCTACATACTAGTAGAGTTAGAAGCCGCCCTACCCGCGCTATCACTCGTTTTTTCGATCACGCTCTCTGTCATGCTCCATCTCGTCTCGTCCGGTGACTCCAGGCTCCAGCGCGTACATAGTTTGCGTGCACGGGGTGGGGGATGGGAGATGGCATTGCAAATACAGATCTCTCATTAGATTCACATAGCTTCTCACTTGCGTGGAAACTTAATTCTTATGTTCATACATACGGTGTGTTGCTGGACTGGCCCGTTGTAGGGCTGCCACGACAGTCGACAGTTGGAACTTGGGCCAGCTATCCCTGCACATGGAGAATTAAGCTCGAGACTCGAGTGCCGAGAACGAGATTCTCGAGAATTTCGTGATTCTTTGTAACGCGCCTTCCGCACCGCGTCGCCGAGTCGCCGAGTCACTGACCCTCCGACCTCGTGATAATATGTAACAACGAACCACGGAAGAACAAAAAATGGTTAAACAAACAAACATATCATAGGTACGAGCTCGATGCCGAAAAGAGATGTATATCGAGAGACCCAAGATCGAGTATCATGTATGTCCCTATGAGATCTATAAACCGTGATTCAATTGCAAAAGATGTCTATATACGAACTTTTGGGAATACCCATCTATTGTTAAAACGACTTGTGGAAGTAATCACTAGAACGCTCGAGATGGAGAACCCCACCACCGGTCCTCCGAACGGCTAGTTAGTGGACTGCATACTCCACTCACAGGAACACACTCGTTATCGGTAATGTCTGTAAATCGAATAAATTCAAGATCTCTCTCTCTCTCTCTCTCTCTCTCTGATGTGTTAAACAAGAGACGCACCGGACCGACAAAGCAAGACAAGACAAGACGAACAGTTTCACAGCAACAACAGAAAAGCAACAACAAAACACAATTTCAACGATCAACGATCAACAACCAACCGCGTTGGCACATACTGGTACATGGTAGGTCGCTCGATAACTGCCGGCACCGAGACCCTGCGCTCCGTTAATGTTCTGCCGAATCACACGATCAAAGTGCCGATGTAGGTAGCGAGTTGGAATGTATGAAGTATGTATGTAAAGTAATGCCGTGCCGTTTAATGGATCCGAGGAGGTGACGGGATGTCGATAACTTTGTACCTACCGGTATCCCTGGTATCTGGACCCTGAAGAAGAGCTTCCGATACCAGGCGCTCTACTAGTAATTCCGTATTTGCGTTGCATCATAGCATAGCACTGGCACTGGCAGTGTGCCGTTATTCGCGTATGGATACAACGGCAGTCATTGTTAACTACAGTCATGTCATATCACGTAGGTATTGTCACGTAGGTAATGTCACGTAGGTAATGTCACGTAATGTGACTGAACAGCAAAAGCCATGACGGTTTAGCACCGGTAATGGTATTGCCAAGCATGGCTGGTAAGCGGTGGTGTCACGTGTGGCACTGTGGCTGGCGACCGTCGGGCCCGTTCATTCTTCAGTCTTCACATTTCCTTACTCCCCCCTTAGTTATTTTAAGGCGCCTCCTCCTCCTCCTTCTCCTCCTCCTCCTCCTCCTCCTCCCGCCCGGCACATATATATCAGCCCCATCGGCAGTATCCGTATCACGTAGATGGCGTGTTTCACTGCACTGCACTGCACTGCACAGTAGGTATCATGATTCATGACGGCCAAGAGTTTACAAGTTTACATAACAATTGACCGTCAGACCTAAGGCTTGACATGCATTTAGGTACGGTAATTCGACATCCCTAATTCTAAGAACAGGAGCTCTAATTCCACCTATCTGCGTGGCACTGGCATGGCACTGGCATGGTGACGTTGTCCGTGTCATGAATCGTGTCGTAAGTAATTCAGTCTGCAAAAAAAATACTTGTGCATTTCTTTCGGCGGCGGCGGCCAAACTCGTACACTTTCACTGGTGACTATACAATACACTGTGGAGAACAGCACTTTCCAATCCCGAGGGTCCCGGAGACGGCTGACGGCTGAAGTGAAGAGGTGAAAAGCGGTAAAAAGAGGTAAAAAAGAGGACATAATGTAAGGGCGGAACATGAATGATGATATTGGGCGGGTGCCTGGGTGCCTGGGTGCCTGACTCTGAGTGCGACTTCATGAGTCATGACGACGACTCACACTCCCTCGAGGGAGAGGGAGTCTCCTTCCGTCAGTGGGTAGGTGGGTATGTAGGTGGGCAAGTAGGTAGGTGGATACTTGATTCTGTTTGTCCGTCCGTCACCGTATGTACCGTGTGTACTTGTGTAGAGGATGTAGAGGATGTAGTGGATGTAGAGGATGTAGAGGATGTGGAGTAAAAGTAACGCCGCCGCCACTCCACCTGTGTAGGTAAGTAAGAGGTGGGTAGAGTACATACTTGATTCTGTCTGCCCGTCCTTCTCCCCCTTAGGTGCTAACGTACCGGTAGAGTATGTAAAAGTATTGCCGCCGCCGACGTTGACGCCGCAATCCTGTTCTTCCTGCTCACAGCTCGTAGCTCGCAGCCCGCCTCGAGGTGCTGATCGTCCGTCCAATGTCCAGTGCCCAGTGCCCAGTGTCCAGTGTCCACTGTCCACTGGGCGGTGGGCGGTGGGCGGTGAGCGGAGGTTTCCATCATTCATGTTGGGAACGCGCGCGCGCAACACGTAACTTATATGCGGTTTTTTTTTTGCTTCTTTCCTCTCCTCGCTCCTCGCTCCTCCACACTCCTCCACACACCTCTCCTCACCTCTCACCTCTCACCTTTGAGGTCAGTGGAGTGGATACTATTGAGTAAGTACCGTATATAGAATAGGTATGGTGCGTACCGGATAGCTACCGAGATGAAACCGGATGGCTGGCCGGTGGGCTGGGCAGTGGGCACTGGGCGGTGGGACGGATGCGAGGCGAGCAACACAGCACGACGGAAGCAAGTACGGAACAAATAACGTGAGAGAAAAGAAAAGAAAAAACGCCTCGTTCGCGGAGACGCAGCGCGGTGTACAGCGCCAAACCAAACAAGCACAGGCCGCCCACTCTCACGGAGCATGTATCAATGTATCATACTCTAAGTTACTCTATATACAGTAAGTACTCTGCTTATCGAGAGGTTGACACGCATCCGGATTCCGGCCAGGCCCTGCCCAGGCCGCCAGCCATGTTTACATCACGAAGTTTGGATGCTGACCGAGGATGATCAAGGCTCATGAAAGTGCGGAGAGATGTGGAGTGACCCCCTGTGATTTTGCGGGGTTCGGCTCCCACTCGCCGACGCCGACGCCAAATCCAAGGGAGAGACGCATCCTGACAACGGCGGGGAAGGGGAAGGGGGAAAACAGTGGGCGCCGGTGTGTGCGCCGGACAGGGGGCCGGGGAGAAGGTTTGCTGTTAGCGGGCTTGGCTACAGTGGGCTAGGGGGCTATACCTGGTATCTTCGGTTGACCGTTCGATTCGCCCCCCGCACCAAGGGCCCCTACCCCCCACAGTGAAGGGAAGATAGGTACATAGAATACTACTTGTGGTTGGTACATTCTGTGAGTGGGTAAGGCAAGTACGGTAGTTAGTACTGGTAGAGTAACTGGAGTACCTAGGTGTCGGTATCCTCCAGACACCGACACCGACCGATTGACCGCTCCTCTGAAGACTCCTGTGATGCCATTCCTGTCCCATCCAGTGCAGCAACGGCAGACTCTCGTCTCATGTTTTACTTACCGACAGGCCAGTCAGCCAGAGTCCACCGACTCCCATACATAGCAATCCGAAAGCAGCTCCGCGCAGCAGCACTCGAGCTTGGCGCTCACGTTGCAAGCAGGTAAGCCAGTATGCGTATGCATTGGTTAGCTCACCCGGTGCATGCAACTTCCACGCGGTTGCGTCACAAAAAAAGCCCCCGAAATGCGCGGAAAAGCCGATGGATCGTGGGAATGGCCGTTTGTACTCACTTATGCACCCACGTACGCACCGCATAACGGCCGGAAGTCCGTGCAGATGGCTGGCTGACTGGCTGGCTGGTGGGAGAAAAAAAGAGAGAGTCGTACTACCAACGGTACTTAGACCACAGCTTAGTTACGCCGCTTCGTCGACAACGGTCCGGCATCGGGCTCGGAGTGGGTTCGCTGGGACTGTGGACTCCCTCTACTTCGTGGAATAATTAAGACCCGTCCCGGTTGCCCACCCGGCGGCCCCACCACAATCTGGATGCGTTACCGCAAGCGGGATGGATTGAGGCATCCTCCGCCCATTGATGGGGTGTTTCCAGTAGCTATGTGAACCGTGGGTCCCCGTAACCTTAACGTTGGGTTCCCTGCCCTTCCCACAGCCATTTGGCGGTGCATAGTGGACTTTGAAGGAGGGGGGGAGGGTTGGGGGGGAGAATTGGCGAGCGAGAACTGGCGAGCGAGAATGATGACGATCCTCCAAGGTATGTAGAGAGCACTCTACTTTCCCACGGATCCATCCCAGCCTCCTTCCACGTTCTGCTGTGCATGTAACCCCACCACCACGACGAACCCACATGGTTCATGTACCCCACAAGCGGAGAGGTCGATAACCCACGACAGCCCCCGCGACCCCCCCCTCCCCCCGGATTTCTTACCTCCGGTGATCTTTCTCCGTGTTGAGCAATTCATCCGTGCGGCGCCGGACCAAGAATGGAGATGTAACATACACTGTTCCTTGCTCGTTGGCTCGGACAATGTTGCGGAGGGCAGCACGCTGCGTGCAGGCGTCGTCGTGACGGGTGGAATTTTGTAGAATCCGATTTGGCCTCATGCGCCTCCCTCCTGTCGTGCTCGTGTTGCTCTGGCTACATGCGGATCGAGGCATGGAGGCATGGAGGCATGGAGGCATGGAGGAAGGGAGGCAGGGAGGGAGGGCGCGAGGCGGGGCCTGGATCGAAGGGTTCGAAACCTGAATTCTTTCCGAATACCGAACCAACCCCTCCTCTTCGTGCTCCTCTAGGGCGGTCTCAGTATCGTCTCCCTCCCTCGTGGTGTGTGTGCGTATAAGTATATGGTTATAGCCCCCCCTCGGTTTTCTCTTCAGCAGTTCTTCGCTCAACATCCACTCGGTCGATCACACTCACCCTTCACGATGATTCACAACCTTCTGGTAGTCGCCCTCTTCGCCGGAGCGGCATTCGGTCAGGACTTGTCTTACAGCGAGCCCTACTATCCTTCGCCTCGCACGGATGGCTCTGGAGACTGGGCTGCGGCCTACGTCAAGGCCCGCGAGTTCGTCGGTGCCCTCACCCTGCCCGAGAAGGTCAATCTCACCACCGGTACTGGATGGTCTATGGATGCCTGCGTTGGCAATGTTGGTTAGTTCTATTCCTATGCCCATTGAACTGCTGGCGGTGAAAGAGGAGTTTTGATATTAACCTCATCCTTCCAGGAACAATCCCCCGCATTGGCTTTGCTTCGATATGTCTCCAGGACTCTCCCCTCGGAATCCGATTCGGCACCTATTCCTCCGCTTTCCCCGCGGGAATGAACGCCGCCATGACTTGGGACCGCAAGCTCATGTACGAGCGCGGATACGCCATGGGTGAGGAGTTCAAAGGAAAGGGTATCAACGTTGCTCTGGGCCCTGTGGTAAGATCCATTCCCCCTTCCCCGCCCATGTTGTGGTACGGTCAGAAGCTAAGACAGTGTAGGCGGGACCTCTTGGACGTCACCCCGAAGGTGGACGTAACTGGGAGGGATTCTCTTCGGACCCGGTCTTGACCGGTGTTGGCATGATGGAGACCATCAAGGGAATGCAGGATGCGGGTGTTGTGGCCACAGCCAAGCACTTCATCGGCAACGAGCAGGAACATTTCAGACAGCGTGGAGAGTGGAACCAGTGGGGCTTCGACATCGATCAGGCCATCTCCGCCAATGTCGACGACAGAGCTATGCATGAGCTCTACGGATGGCCGTTCGCCGACGCTGTTCGTGCCAATGTTGGAGGTAAGCGTTCCCCCCCCTCGACGACAGAGTTGAGTCGAATTCGTGCTGACCCAGCATGTAGCCATCATGTGCTCGTACCAGCAGGTCAACAACAGCTACGGTTGCCAGAACAGCAAATTGCTCAATGGACTCCTGAAGGACGAGATGGACTTCCAGGGTTTCGTCATGTCTGATTGGCAGGCTCAGCACGCCGGTGTCGATGCTGTAAGTTCTTCTGGTGAAAGTGTCCGGTGAACTTCGTAGCTGACCCCATCAATAGGCTCTTGCAGGTCTCGACATGAGCATGCCTGGAGACACCGTCTTCAACTCTGGTGTATCTTACTGGGGTGGCAACCTCACTCGTGCCGTGCTCAACGGAACCGTCCCTGAATGGAGGCTCGACGACATGGCTACCCGTATCATGGCAGCCTACTTCCTCGTTGGCCAGGACCCCGAGACTTACCCCGAGACCAACTTCAACTCTTGGACCACCGACGAGTACGGTTACAAGGCCTTCGCCCCCAAGGCAAACTACGGACTCGTCAACCAGGATGTCGATGTCCGTGGCGACCACTACAAGAACATCCGCGAAGTTGCTGCCAAGTCCAATGTTCTCCTCAAGAACGTCGACGGTGCCCTTCCCCTCCGCAAGCTCAAGCAGATCGGTATCTTCGGATCCGACGCCGGCGAGGCCCAGTACGGCCCCAACGGTTGCAACGACCGTGGCTGCCACAACGGAACCCTCGCCATGGGCTGGGGATCCGGAACCGCCAGCTTCCCCTACCTCATCACTCCCCTCGAGGCCATCAAGCGCCGGGCCATCAAGCAGGGCACCGTCGTTCAGTCCGTTCTCAATGACTACGCATACGCTCAGATCAATGCCACCGCCAAGGTCGCCTCGGCGTGCTTGGTCTTTGTCGCTGCAGACGCCGGAGAGGGCTACCTCGAGCAGGACGGAAACCTCGGTGACAGGAAGAACCTTACCCTCTGGAACGCCGGAGATGCTCTGATCAACACTGTTGCGTCCAACTGCAACAACACCATCGTTGTCGTCCATGCCGTCGGTGTTGTTCTCTACGAGGAGTTCATCGACCACCCCAACGTTACCGCTGTCATTTTCGCTGGTCTTCCCGGCCAAGAGTCCGGTGATGCCATCGTCGATGTTCTCTACGGTGATGTGAACCCCTCCGGAAAGCTCCCTTTTACTGTCGGCAAGAAGTCTGAGGACTACGGCGTCGAGCCCATGTACAAGCCCACCACTCGCACCCCCCAGCAGGACTTCTCCGAGGGTCTCTTCATCGACTACCGTCACTTCGACAAGAACGACATCGAGCCCCGCTTCGAGTTCGGTTTCGGTATGAGCTACACCACCTTCAACTACTCTCGCCTCAGCATCAAGAAGGTCGGCGAAGTCTCCGCCTACACTCCCATGACCGGCAAAACCGACGCTGTGACCAAGCCCGCCACCGACTTTGTCGTCGAGGACTACCTTCCCCCGGCGGACTTTGAGTCCTACCGTCTTGAGAAGTTCATCTACCCCTACATCAACTCGACCGCCGACGTCATCGTCAACAGCACCTACGACATGCCCGAGGGCGCCTACGACATCACCCCGCAGCCGATCCCGGCCGCCGGTGGTGCGCCCGGTGGTAACCCCTCGCTGTACGAGACCGTGTACAAGGTCTCGGTTGTCATCACCAACACCGGTAGCTGTGCCGGTGAGGAGGTCGCCCAGCTGTACCTCGAGACCGGTCTTGCAGACGACCCCATCCGCGTCCTGCGTGGATTCGAGAAGGTCGCCCTCAAGAAGGGAGAGAGCAAGACTGTCACCATGACCCTCGCCCGGAGGGACGTCATGAGGTGGGACGTCGTCAGCCAGGACTGGGTCGTCACCGAGGGCGTCAAGACTGTCAAGGTCGGCGCTAGCTCCAGGAACCTTCCCTTGTCTGGTACCCTCCAGTAGATGTCTGGACTCTGAAGGTGTGGGCATGATTGCCTGTTGTGCATATGTTTTTTTTTCCTTTGTTTTTCTTCTATGTTTTTCTTTATCTTTTTCTTTCGATTCGGTGCGATTTGTCGATATGATGATGATGATGATGGCCTGTATAGCTGTATATACTTTACGTGAACTGTGGATTACTGGGGATGGTATTTGCGGTAGAAAATGCATATGATCGAGAATGAAGGGATTCAACGGCCGTTACATACAATACTTGCTTGCTTGGTGATGACTTGAGCTGGTGTGACTGTGGCTGGGAATATCTACTTTGAAGGCGGCATCGTTGAGGATGAATGGCAGAGTCTCTCTCAAGCCATACACCGGCTACCAACCGTGGGAGGAGCGGTTCCTCAGCCTTGGCTGACATCATGACTCGGAAGAAGACGAAGCATCGGAGTTCTTTGCCTGTGGTGTTTATACCTTGTAGCCGAGTGGAAGGGGGCTTTGCCTTACTCAGTAACCCAGCGCCATCTCCGACGCCGACATTACACAGCCTAAGTAGCCCAGCGGCGCCGAACCACGAAATACCACCCGCGATGACCCGTGATGGCTCGCTGGCCCGCTGGCGGGAAGATCAGTGGTGATTAACCGCAGCGATTGACCGCAGTGAATTAATGTAAGATGTAATTGCCAGATGCAATGCAATGAGAATAGCGAGCTATCTCTCTGCCTGTAAATTGATGATCTCTCTCTCCCTCTCTCCCCCTTTCTCTACGAAACGACCTTATGATAAACGAAGAGATCACTTTTTTGGTTTCCATTGTTCACTGTTTTGGTTTCTACTGTTCAGTGTTCAGTGTTCAGTGTTCAGTGCTCAGTGTTCAGTGTCCAGCTCAGCTCAACACAACCAGAATCACGCGATCAGATCATAGATATTGCTTCCCCTGTCCCACCGCCCACCGCCTTGGCCTATTCCAGCGATATCTAAAGCAGTGTATGTTCATAGATCGCACCTGGGAATGACACCGGGAGGATATAGATCGATGCTCCCCCTCTCTCTATGCAATGAGCATAACCGAAGAAATCACTTTCTTTTTGTTTTTGTTTTTTGTTTTTTGGTTGTTTGGCCTGGCCTCGAGTGATGACCCGTGAACCCTGGAAGTGTCGTGTGCTCTGTCCCCCCCTGCCCCTCGTCCCTGGTCCATCACGTGAAGATTACAGGATTACCAGCCTGTGAAAAAAATTACGTACTCCACACCAAAGTCCACAGTGCACACAAGATTTGTCTCTGACATCTTGACATCGTGTCTCTTTCATAAATACCAGCTTCACATGGAAACGTGAAAAGTTAAAGCGAGATGTCATCTATTTTGCACCGGCAACCCAACAAAACCGAAAACAGCGCTCTCGAAGAATCCCCAAAAGCCGAATGAACGAAGAAACCCGACAGGCAAAAGACGGAGTACTACCGGAAGAAAAAAAAATAGTAACTGGAGTGAATGAAGGCTATGGGTGGGTTGTCATGGAAGAGGAAACCTTTTTCTACAAAAGCACACACACTATGCGTGACAGACAACACAACCCTTTGACTCCATCCCTAATATAGTAGATGATTCCCACTCCCCTTCCCCCTATGAAAAGACCTGCCCCGCATAAAGTACAACAGTAAATTGTCGAAACAAACCCCATCCCATTTTTGAAAGCTCTCCCAAAGCATTATCTACGTCCCCAAGCAACACGGCACCCGAACACCCACCACCGACTCAACCTTCACCTTTGGCGATCCGCTTATTTGAAAGCCTTTCCGAAGAGGATGAGCTGGACCTGGTCGTACAGGGACAACACACCGGCACCAGCAACACCACGGAGGATGTTGGCACCAGCACCCTTGAAGAGCGACTTAACACCCTCGGCCTTGACGATCGAGGAGAAAGCGTGCATGGAGGAGTTGTACTTGACGGCCTCACCGGAAGTCTGTGGAGATGTATCAGTGACTGTCTTCATCGAATAGTTGATATAGAGGGGGATAGCTTACCATCATCATGCGACGACGAACGGTGTCGAGAGGGTAGGAGGCGATTCCAGCACCAGTGGTGACACACCATCCAAGAGCGAACGAGGCCAAGAAGTTGCCCTCAAGCTTGCCGGTAAGGACGACAGGCTTGATGGAGTCGTACATACCGAAGTACAGACCACGGTAGACGATGATACCGAGGACGGAAGGACCGAAACCACGGTAAAGACCGGCAACACCGTCAGAGGCGAGAGTCTTCTTGTAGACGTCGACGAGTCCGTTGTACTGACGGGCACCACCGGTCTTGGCCGACTTGTTGTCGTTGGCCAGACGGGTACGGGCGTAGTCCAACGAGTAGACGAAGAGGAGCGAGGTGGCACCAGCAGCTCCTCCGGAAGCCAAGTTACCGGCCATCCACTTGCCGTAACCATCACGGTCCTTCTTGTAACCGAACATGGCCTTGAACTTGTCACGGAAAGCGAAGTTCAGAGCCTGGGTAGGGAAGTAACGGATGACGTTGGCGGTGTTTCCACGCCACAGGGCAACGAGACCCTCGTCGGCCATGGTGCGCTTGAAGCAGTCCGAGATACCGTTGTACTTGCGGTCGAGACGTCCCTGCTTGATCATCTCATCCTATACGAGCAACCGGCAATTAGACTTTGCCGTTGACGGGTTGGCACAGATAAGGATAGTGTGTACGAACCTGGTTCTGGATGAGGAGCTTGACACGCTCAATGGGGGCAGCGGCGGTCTTGGAGACCGCAGCGGAGATACCGCCCATCATGAAATCAATCATGAAGTTCTGTATGTGGAAACAGCGTTAGTACACACGATCAACCAGATGCCACCCGACCCTCCAATGTTGCACCCTCGGCCATCGAGAGAACCCATCTAAGCAAAACAGCCCAACGAGACCAGACGGAGACAGCAGATCTGCGATTGAAAGCATCAATCCGCCAGATCCCCCTCGCCGGAAGTCTTATCGGAGCTGTTGGTTGCGAGCTATGATGGATTCCCCGTTGTGACCGGCATTACGGAAAATTTTTTCTTCGGTACGCTCCGGGTATTGGGGGGGAGAAGTTAGGTGGTAGTAGCAGATCGATAGACTTACGGATTGCTTCTTCTCAGACATGTTGGCGGTGTTTTTTGATTCGGACTGGTGATGTGAGGAGGGGTAAAGAGCGGATCAACGACTCTTGTGGGGTGGGATGAGGAGGGGAGAGAGGAGAGTGAGGAAGGGAACTTCTGGGTTGGGGGGGGAAAGGAGGAAGTCAACGACGGCAGCAGCAACAGGGCTTAAAAGCGAAGGTCTGCCAGAAAACCACAGGCTTGGCGAAAGTTTTTGTGGCGGCTTAGCGCCGTCGGAGAGGAACGGAGCCTAATCAGGGCAAAGGGCCCAAATTCTGGCGGGGCAGGATTAACTACATCCCTTTTCTCCACTCGTGCCCGCCGCCAGCTGCCAGCCATGCTGCTACGGGTACCGTAGAGGATACCGGCAGTGCGTAGATACAGCGGGCATTTTCCTCCTTGGCCTCACTCTGCTCCCGACGCTATGTGTGTAGAGTACATACATAGATGATGGCAGCGGCCAACGGATGTGCTTCCCCTGCCGTTACGATTGCTCGCAGGACTTTGGATGTCTGTGACTGTGGTATACGGTAGCAACGAGCCGCTGTTCTGTTTGAACTGTACTGAGTGTTCGATCAACCTCCTCTATTTGCCGCGGCGTAAATGCTTCGGAGCTATCTACTCTATACTGTAGTATAGGAATGTAGTAGGATTGAGCATTCCATGCTTCATACCAGCAGCCGGCCATTAGGTATTGCGAATATGAGCTTCGAGGAGGCCGACGGACCGACGACCAGTCGGTTTGCAGACACAGTAAGCTGTACTCTAGAATTCTAGAATAGGTAGCAGGTAGAGTGTCTATCCGGAGCAGCAAGCAAGCAAAGCAGGTATCTCTTCAGGAGCTTCCTTTCTTTTTTCTTTCCTTTTTCTCTCGCAGTATCCGGATCGCATTGCATCACACACCTGCTTTTCTGCCACCACCGGCCAACCGGATTCTTGATCGTGCTTCGAAGAGCCAAAAGGCAAAGTGGGCGTCTTCCAATTCGACGTCTGGGCCATGGGCTGGCTGGCTGGCGGAGCTTGGGAAAGCAACCTGTCCGACCAACCAAGAAGCAGCGGAAGGTTGGTTGGTTGGCTTTTTTTTTTTCTTTCCCTCTCTCCCGCTCCCTGCACCCGAGGGACATCCTTCCATCCTGCCTGTGATTCTGATTCTTGGAGCAAGCGGCCAGCGGATCAAATCAGCCTCAAATCAGCCTCAAATCAGAGCTTCCAATTGCCAACCGAAAGAAAAAAAAAAGAAAGGAAAAAAAAAGAAAAGGAAAAGACGACACGGGAAAAAAAAGATTTTTTCCTTTTTCCCTTTCCTTTCTTTCCCTCTGGCCCTTGGGAAGAGCGGCAATCGGAGAGCGAGCCTGGAGCAAGTCCCAGCTGCACGCACGCTTCTGAAAAGTCCGCAGTGCGCAGTCCGGCTGCAAGATTATCGTGGTCCAGTCAAAATATCTCAATATCGCCCCGGATCAACGGTTCTTCGGCATGGTTTCGGGCAGTTCTCGATCCGACCTGGACTTGGACTCCCTCCTCCACTCCAACTTTCTGTGGCACGCAGCAACAACAATAACAACAGGAAAGAGAAGTAAGGTGCTTTTCTAGGTACTTACCGCTCCAGGCAACCCGACGATAGAGTAGACAGATATGGGGTACGTGTGTCTTTGCCATATGTAAAACGTAAAACATAAACCATAAACCATGCGAAACAATCCCCGCCGATGATGAGATAGAGTGGAATGCGCAGTACTATGTCCAGAAAAAGTGTGTACGATAGGTATGAGTACCTGGATCTTTGCGATTGTGCAACGGAAGCGTCGGGCCTGCATGGAAGCATCAACCACTGGCCGTGGGTGTAGAGTACCAATGCAGCAATACGTTCGGACGATTCTTCGCGGGGCTCCTAGCTGGATGCAAAGGAATACTGGTGGTAGTAGATGAATAGCATTTGTGTGCGAGTGAACGAGGACATGGAATCCAACCCGCAATGAAACGAGCAACGCCCAGTCATATATACAAAAACTTAACAGATTCCATCATGCGATGTCACCCCATCCAGAGTGGTCTTCATTACTCTTTCTATCGCAGTGTCGCGTGAGCTCCGGAAGGGCCCGCCGCCTGCTGCTGCTGCTCACCTGAGACGGCATACACCGGTACAGTACGAGTACATGCTAGTACTTGCGTATATAAAAACACAAACTTTTGAAAAACCACCCAGTAAGAAATACGCAAAATAAGAAAAAAGATCCCATCGTGTACATAAACCATCCATTACGCCTTGCCGTCCTTGTTCTTCTTCCGTCTCTTCTTCTTCCTCTCGCCATCTCCGCCTTCCCGGATATCAACCTTGCCAGCAACGGCCGCCTCGGGCTTTTTCGTTATTTCGCCCGTCGGTTTCCAGTCGGCCGGCATCTGTATTCCGTTCGCGTCGCCGAACGTCTCCTTCCTCCACTGCTTGAGCAGCTTCTTCTTGGCGTACCGCTTCTTGTCCTTCTTCTTCTTCTCTTCGTCTCTGAAAGTAGCAAACTTCTTGAGTCCGGCGTATGCGTTGAGATCGGCGTCGTCTGCGGCCAGAATATCTAGTGTGCCGAGTCCGAACGTTTCTGGTGTGGTCTCACGGTAGCGGAACCCAGAAACTTTGGAACCACCGGCGAGCTAGGACGAGTGTTAGTACATGGCGGGGGTGGCACGGCTTCGAGGTGCAGGGCGGGGTGGGGCCATACCTCGCTCTCAAAGTCGAAGTTCTCTTCAACAAGGCGCTCGATTTTGCGGTGCGTAGATCGTTCTTTGGCCTTCTTTGCCTGCTTATCCCTGATGCGATCCTTCTTTGACTTCTTTTTGGCGGGCTCTCCCTCCTCAGCGTCGTCGTCGACATCGTTCATCTCTTCGTCTCCATATGCAGCTTCGCCGGCTGCTTCTTGACCCTCGTCATCGTCTGATGTCTCATCCTCCTTGAAGTCCGGAACTATATCACCGATATCGATGTCGTCGTCAAACTTGGGCTTCTTGGGCTTGCCATCCGTCTCGTAATATTTGTTGCCGAATCGCTCCTGCATCCACTTATCCCACTCTTCATCGCTGAAGTCACCTTCCAACAATTTGGCCAGAACAGCAGCTTCAGTCTCTTCGTCTCCCTCATCGAGATCGGCAGCCTCCTTGATCAGTTTAAATTTCTCCAATAGCTCTTCTGTCTTGAGCTTCTTCAGCCTCCCTTTCTCGATCTCCCGCTGCTCCTCTTCCTCTTCCTTCTTCCGCCGCTTCTCCTCTCTAGCCTTCTTTCTCCGACTCTTCTCCTCTCGGCGCACCGTGTTCGCGCTGATGGCATCTCTGCCGTATGACACAAGCTTTGCGCGGGCAGCGGCATCGGGGTCCTCGAATCTCAAGTTGTAATTGACCTCGTACTCCTCCGCCATGGCATCCTCTTCCGAGTCATCGGACTCGATCGGCACATAAGCCTTGGCCGAGGTCTTCGCCCAAGCGCGGGAGGCGAGGAACTTCTGGAGAAACTCGTCGGGATCCTTATCAGCGAGCGATGGATCAGGGAGATCTGATTCCCGCTCGCTCTTCTCCTTCTTCTCGCTGGGCTTACGGACTAAGAACCCGTCGTCGTCATCGCCATCGCCACCGTCATCCACCTCCGCAGCCTCGTGCATTTCCTTCACAACCGTACGTTTGAGATTCTCCTGCTCCTGCACAAAGGTCCTCGGCTCCTCCTCCTCCTCAATGTCTCCTCCGGCGTCACCGGCAAGGATGTTCTCACGGTGGTAGTCGCGCAGGAACATTGGCTTTCCCTTCTTCACCTCGGCGGCGTCGGTGGTCTCCGCCGCCGCATCCATCGGTGTGTAGAACGACGTCGTGCCATCGTAGACTCTGGGGTCCTTATTCTTTATGGCCGCAAGTGTCGCAAAGATTTCCTTGTCCAGGGTTTCCGTAGCAAGAACACCAACGTCGTCCTCGTCGTCGCTCGACGACTCCGAGTCGCTCTCGTCCTCGCGACCACGCTTCGCCGAGTTGGGACCGTATTTTTCCTCCACTGTAGTCCCCGTCAGCCTTCCTGGCTTCCCTGCCCATGAGTGAGTGCGCATACGTACGTCGTGACAACTCCTCGCGCTTCTTGTTGTACTCAAACCTGCGAGCGTACTCCTCGTTGACCTTGAACACCCCGCCGACTATGGAAGGCGACTGCACGGCGGAGTGGAACTCCTCCTCGGAGTCGGAGTCGCCGATCAGGACTCGCGAGGTGGCCGGCGTCTTTGGTTTTTCGGCAAGCAGCTGGGCCGAGGGTGTGTCAGGAGCCGTTAAGGCGGCGACTTGCTTGTTCTTCTTGGGACGAGGCATGATGGTAAGGATTGGATTGTGGAAACGTAACGTTGGTGGGGCTCGTGTTCCCAACGGTGAAAAGTCGTGGAAGGAAAAACGAACGGCATGAGCCGCACTAAGGTACTGTACTTTACTTTACGCTAAGGTTCACACGTTCACACGCGATGAGCATGCTGGGGCTAGGTCCCTAACAACCTTCAGGGTGTCGGCAACAACACGTCCATGCGGTAAACAACGCTCTCGATCTTCGCCCCGTGCCTTCACCGTCACAGCTACTGGAACTACCACAACTCTACAATTCCCACGATCCCCACAACCACCATAATACCGCCGTCGCTACATTTCTCCGATAAGCTCTGTGGACATCTTCTCGACCGGGGGCTGTCCACGCCCAACTCCGATTGCAATCTCAGTGTATTATAATCGAATCGGCTCAGCAGTACGATCGCAGCCATGATGGGACCTGGGGGCCCTCACACGCGGCGAGAAAACAACCAAGACTGGTCCACCGCGCGGTGCCACCGGTTGATCCGCCCGCTCACCTCCAAACTCCACCGACTCAAGACCCTTCTTGCGCATCCATCAGTCGCAGCTGCCGTCAGCCCTCCGAAGGGGATCAAGAAAAGCGCGGATGAGCTACCGTACGTCCCTCCGAAATTCATCGGCGCCGCCGCAAAGAGGAGGAAGAACCGCGGCGAAGATGTCGGCGCAATGTTCACCGGGGAAACGAAACGCTCAGTTCGGGCGCTGAACACGTACACGTCCGGCAAAAGAACGCTCGCTCTACATCCACAGGTGTTGCCTCAATATGAGCCTATGACGAGAGAAGTGTTGGACATGGCCTTCCCGATTCCCTTATTGGGGTACGAAAGCCGGACTGCGACGCGGCCATTCCGTCGCAAGGGCGTAGATCTTTTTCGGGAACATTCAGATCCACTGCACCCGCCGACACTGCTGCAGTCCCTCAAAGCAATTGTCAGGCCCGAGGTGTTTCAAATGTACACTGGGATCTATGCCGCGCTCGAGAACATTCTCGTATCGACAGCGTTTCCGTTGCCGGCCGGTGACGCCCCGTCGCTAAGGGTTCTTGCGGCGCGGAGAATCGCCGTGTGCATCCTCGCAACCGACCAGGAGCTGGAGTCCGACGACGTGTGGTACGATTCCGTCGGCGATATCGGCGTGGCCGGCGAGTACAGGAGAGACATTGTGCGCTGGCATGCGATTGAGCTGGTGCGGGATGCAGTGTGCTCGGGGTTGCTGCCATCGCAGCAAAAGAACGGGTTGGGACTCGCTGGGGTGCTGGTGGGATTGTGTCGAGGCCTCAAGGCGAACGCAGAGGCCGAAAGCCTCCTCAAGACGTTGACGGAGGTGTACCCGCTGTCAGAGAACGTCACCAATCCGGCACTGGTCACACTGACTTCGTTTTGGCGCCACGAGGATAAAGAACTATTCCGACTTCTTGGGGACGCCCTCGTCGACGAGGGGAATCCCGCCCTGCTCGGGAATATCACCGTCAACCGCATGTTGAAGCGCGCGATGTTCACCGTGGCAGACTGCGAGGTGTCGCGCAACCTCGTGACGAAAGCGCTTGAGGTCGCCTTCGGGATATGGGGCAAGGGCCACGTCCTCGCTGCGGCAAAGAAACGCAAGCAACTCGCTCGGCGGAAGGGCGGGCATCGGTCCAGTAAAACTGCCACCAGCCATAACGATGCGGCCCGTCAGAAACCCCGTGGCGGCAAACCCGTTTCCGTGCGCATCGGCGAGAGGGCCGAGGAAATAGTATTTCATCTCACCGAGAAACTGGTCGCCGCGAGCCACAACCCCGCGGACACCAACGCGCTGGATGTCATCAACCATCTGACCCGAGGGTTTCTCCTGCAAGACGAGGCTATACGCACTTCGGTCGAGGACGTGTGGTCGGAGTGGTATCCTGTCGCCGCGAAGGTAGCTATTCTCCTCCAGAGCCTGGGACGGGACCCGGAGGATGATGCACTCATCGTTGGAGAGCTAGTTCGGTGTCTTGACGACCTTAGAGAGGACGGGATTAGAGAGGACGGCCTCAAGTCTCTGGGCGAATACGTGGCGGCATGCTACGGGAACCTCTACACGGCCACTGGAAAATCCATCACTAGCGGCGATGAGGTTGTTTCTCTTGTGCGAGATCTGATAACCTACGCCACGACGGGGACATATCCGCCAAAAACCAGCTACGCGGAGCAAGAGGAATCTACTACAGCCGCCGAACCGACCACGCCCTTCAAGCCCAAGTACGGAGCCATAATGTTCACCCCGGGGAAGAAGCCCGTCGATTACCAGCAGGAAAAGGCGCGCTATTACATCACGAGGCTAGCGCTCAACGTGGCAAACGGATTCTCGTCGCTCGATAGTACCAAGCATAGTGAGAGGTGGGCCGGCTGGCAGCGAAGCGTGGTGCACCAGATCATCGGGTTGAAGGTCCGCACGCCAGCTAAGTTTGTGACTAAAACTGCTCCCGAGAACGGCAAGAAGGAGAGGAAGGGGTGGAGATTCGAGGAGGGGATTTCTGAGTGGGTCGAAGTGGGCGGTACTCCGGGTGGTGCCCTGGCGAAGGCTAGGAAGGAGAAGAGGGCTATGCTCAAGAATCCTGACAAGAACAAGGCTGCGCGCAAGAATTCTGAGAAGAAAAAGGCTACGCTTGATCATATCGAGATGCAAATACCTTTCTACTTAAAGCAGAACCCAAACTGGAGGGACGAACACGAGATCTTTTCTGATGTCGATATGGATGGAGAAGAGAGTGATAACGAGGAGGAGGAGGAGGCGTCGGAGTCGGAGGAGAACACCGAGTCCACCAAAAAGCCGCAGCAGCAGCCCGCCTCAGTCCGCTCCTCCATCTCACGACCCGAGTCGGAATCGGACTACCCGAACACCTCGTTCTCGCGGCTCTTCGACAACGACTCCGAGAGTTCCGTTAGTTCCGCGGACTCGGCGTCCGAATACGAAGAAGGTGAAGAGAAAGATGAGGACGTCAAGTACTATGCGGCGACCCCCGTCTGCCCAATGTCCAGCATCCGCCGCTCACCGAGGAATACGGAGCGCATCAAGCGTAGTCTCGACTCGCTGTCTGCTATGCTGCCCAGCTCGTCGCCAATGACGTTTGGTCGCGCGTTTACCCCCCTAAGGGATTACGGAAAGAAACGGAGACAGCCAGTGGTTACTTTCTCGTCGCCATCTCCCATGAGTGAGGTGGAAGAAGAGGTTGGGGGCGCGGACGAGGAGGAGAGTGCGGACGAGGAGGAGAGCGCGAACGAGGAGGACAAGGAGGAGGATGAGGACATCACCGTCAACCCGCCACAGCGCTCTCGGTCCACCACCCGGCCCACCACCCGGCCCACCACCCGGCCCACCACGCGCCCGCTCTCGGCAGTCCCCCACAACCTCCGTCCCAGCCAGCCTCCCAAGCGTAAGCATGCGGGCTCCGATGACCTGTACGTGGAGGATGCAGGCGGCGAGGAGGAGGAAGACGAACTCAGTACTGCTCGCAACAACACTACGCACTCCGTCTTCTCGGGACGCAGCAGGAAGCGCAGATCATTGCTGTGTGTTAAGCCCGCGCAGAAACAGCGAGGGAACCACGGTCGTGGAAGAAAGCTTGTGGCCGCGGCTCAGAGTGACGATGAGGATGAGCTGACGATGATGTGATACGCCGGAAAAGCGAACAACAACCTGAGTACCAAATCGTTGGGAAATAGAGGTAGTTTGGGAGGTAGGAGATGTGTGATTTTCTTGTTTCCAATTCTGTATTGATGGTTGTACTTATTAGGTATATGTACATTGTTTTGTCCGTTCTGTTGGTGTCATTGTTTGTCCGTTCTGTTGGTGTTTCTGTCTGTTGGTGTTTGGAGTCTGCTGCTGTTGTGCTGTACTACTACTATACCTCGGGCGTTTTTGGGTTGGTAGAATTGATTTGCTTCACTGGCCGCATCAGCATCACTCGAATCTCGGGCTTCCATTCAGGTTCAGCTATCATTAAACTGTGTCCACTTTATTTTCCATTCCTCCCCACACACACAAGCACGTAGCACACACACGCACAGCACAACACGTAACATGAACAAACATCCAAATCAAACATTTAAACAATAACGCAAAGTCAAGTCAAGGAAAGGAAAGGTAGAGCAACCGCAATACAATATCCACTACAGCCCATCCCGCCGAACACACACACCTATGAATTTCCCACCTTGTCCCTCAGCGCCGCCAAAAAGGTCGGTAGTCCGACCCCCATATCGGCACGATCCTCGATGAGCATGGTCTGGGCCCACAGCCTCAAACTGGGCTCACCATCCTGGCGAACAATGTAGAGATGGGGCACAGTGATGCAGCCCACCTTCTTGCTCTTGTGATCGCGTGACTTTTCCACAACTGCGCGGATCCGCTCGTTGAACTCGCCGTCCTCGACCATGGGAAGAGTGGTCTTGCCGACTTTGACGTGCTCGATTGATGGCAGGCCGAAGACGTCCTGGATCAGCTGCGGAACGGCCTGCGAGCCTACCCAGAGGAACTGCGTCTGCCCGTCGTCGAGGAGGTACAGCCCGTACGGGTGTAGGCGCTCGGAGGAGAGGTTCATTGGTGTAGGCATGATGATTTCGCCGGTTTCCGCATGCATGGTGCCGCAAGTGTCGGGCATGTCGTGGAGGGAGTAAAGGCGCGGGTAGATATATTGCATTAGGAGGGGAGCAGGGAGGGTAGAAAGGAGGGCCAGCGCGGCGGAACGGAGGTCGGTGGGAATTTGTGTGGATTTGCGGAGACCGACGTGCTTCATCAGTGCTAGGAACAGGACGACGAGCCCACGGAGGTTGCCGGCGAAGGAGAGAGGACTGGAGGCGCCCATGTGCGAGGCCGTGCATTCCTTTTTGTAGGTGACCAGAAGCTCGGTGATCTTCTGTTGGAGGGCATCACGGGCGGCGTCGAGGCCATTGCTGAGCGTCTTCTCGACAGCCTTATGAGCAAAGTACGTGGTGATGGCTACTTGGTCGGCGGAGGCATAGACGTCCGCGACGTTTTGGGTGGTAGGAAGTGCCAGTGTCATCACACGGATACGTCTCTCACCGTTGCAGGTGGTGTGGAGAACAGCAGTCTGCATGCAGACGAACTTCTGACCGAGAGTCTCGTCGATGGCCACCTCAACAACGTATCCTTGGTCCCTGGGGAACGCCGGGAAAGCGCACAGATCCGAGGACCGGTTGAAGAAGTTTCCGTAGAACGTCTGCATCCGGAGGCCAGTAGTGGCACGAACTCGCATGACCGCCTCGAGAGCAATCTCGGCGGACAGATGGTCTGAAAATTCTCTCGCAAACTTGATCGCATCCTCGCTCCTGGTGGCGTTCCATCCAGGGTAATGCCATGTCTGCCCACCAGTGTACCTTGGAAGGTTGCTGAGCGAAGCCACGTCCTGGTAACCATTGGCAAAGAGAAACATGTCCACCGAAACTTGGTTCTTAGAGCATTCGACAGCGAACGACTTGTAAAAGCTGTTGCCAGTCTGCAGAAGTGAGCTCTCCTTACCAGTTCCTAGCAGCTTCTTGTCTTCTCTCATCTCCAGTTTGCCGGCACCCATATTCGGTAGAGTGGCCGTAAGAACCACCATCTTTCCACCGATAGCAGCGATGAGCTTGTGGCCTGCCTGAAGGGCGCTGCCCATACAGCTGGAAGGGTTCGTAGTGTACTGGAACATATCCTGCATTTTTGCAAGAAGATTCTCCACACCCTCGCGGCAGTCGGCCAAGGGTACCAGGAGATCTCCCGGAATGGGCAGGAAAGGCTCATCCAGGTCCGAAACTACCAGCATACTGGGCTCCGTGCAATCCCGTGGGATCGAGAAGTAGTGCAGAGAGCTATCTACGCATACGAAACCTAACCTCGTTCGCCTGTCCGCATTCGGGATTCGGTCCAAGCTCTCGAGGATGGTCCGCGCAGCGGTAGCAAGCAGACCGCACTGAACCGCCTGATAACTGACGTCCAGGAGGAAAAGGTACACCAAGGGTTGCGGCGGGCGAACCATATACTCCTGGGGCGCAATAAACTCCACAACGCTGTAGTTCAGCTCCGCTCGCTGCCATCTATCCACGTTCTGTTGCTGTGCCTGGTCCCAATCGAAAGCCTGAGGAACATCGTTTGTGAGATTGCACATGTTGCAGCGCCAGCGGTGGCCGTGGTCTAGGAAGGCGGCATATGGGTTAATATAAGAACGGCAACGGCGACAACGCGAGATAACGGTATCGGAGATGAGCGGCACGGGGTCTTCGGCATCGTGGAGGGAGGTGTAGGGTTGGATGATCAGCGCAAACGGCAGTTTCGACTTCTTGAGCAGGTGGTTCGTGGCCGGTACCGCGTTTATCGTGGATCTCATGTACTGCGGAGGACAATTTGCGTTCGGACTAGGAGTCAAAGCGGCCTGCAAGTGGGGTATTCATCATCAGCTCCAGAGCCCACGCGCAATAGCAATAGTAGTAGTACAAACGTACATTCGGCGGCAACATGATTTCCGGCGGCGGAAGATCCAACTCGGCGGCATTGAACGGCTGCTGCATCAGATCGACAGTAAACAGCTGGTTCAAGCCCTGAGCTTTCTGCACTCCCATCGGCTGCGGCATCACCTGCGGTGCCGTCGCCGGCATCGGTGCAGCCCCACCCATTCCCATCTGGCCAAACTGTTGCGTCACACCCCCGACAGGATCGTACCCACCGCCAACAGCACCAGGATAGCCAGACTGCTGCATCCCCATCGGCTGAACGAACTGCGACTGCTGCTGTGCCGAATCCGCGTATCCCGGTTGAGCTCCCGGGTATCCTTGGGCCCCGCCCTGATACATTCCCCCGGCGCCCGTCGAGCCCGGCGTCAACGCGGCATTGGCGCCCTGACCGAACTCAAACTGCTGCTCGGCGTAGCCCCGTCTCTTCCCCCGGCCTGCACCAGCGGCAGCACCGGTAGGAGGTGGACCTTGTGCTTGTGGCGTTGGGAAGCCAGGCTGTTGAGGAGGATAGCCGGGTTGCGGGCCTTGACCATACTGTGCGGGGGGTTGCTGCTGTGCGTATAGATCGGGCTGACCGAACTGCTGGTATTGCTGTTGGTTGGGGTCCGCGTATGGGGCACCCGGTGGAGGAGGAGATGCCATGATGCTGTAGTGTGAATGTTCCGTTCGTTACTTTGTTTGGGTGGTGGGTAGGTAGGTAGCGGGGGGCGACGGGTTCGTGGGTGATGGATGGGAGAGAAGTTGTGGATGATGTGGTTTAATGGAGTCGATGCCGACCAGTATGTTTCAGTTCAGAGCCCAGATCTTAGCTGGTGAGGAGTTCAAGTGTACAAGAGATGGAGGGTAAGTAAAATGGGAGTGATCCAAGGGCTGGGGAGAAAGATAGAATGAGAGCTTTATTTTTTTGGAATGGTTCTTGCGTATGATGTTGATGTAGCAAGAAACAAGCATCCCGCAGCCCACCACCACCGCCACTACTTTGGTAACAATAATCTTCGGTAGAGGACAGAGTTGTGTGATGCGTCGCTCGATGCTCTTTGCCGCAGCTCGGATGGGGATTAGCGGGATTCGCTTGGCATTAGTTAGTCAGAGGTACATGGAGATCGGATCAGATAGAGACTGATGTGATCTGATAAGTGGTGATTAGATCAGCAGAAAGATAACAAGATAAGCAGATATCTTTTCGGCAAAGAGAAGAAGAGTCGGGCGAAGAGGGCGAGAGACTCGGAGGGAGAGGTCGAACGGAAGAACTGCCAACGAAGAGAAAGCCTGTGACGTGAGTTGCCAACTGCTGTTATTGCTGCTTCCGCCTCGGCTTGTCCCCCGCCCATCGCATCCATCCCAACCTACGTACCAACCACAGCCAACCTAGAGTACAAACATCTTCACACTCGCGGCAGGCAACCTTCAAATAATACACACCCCCGCCACATTATTCAAATTCTTCGTCCCTCCAACCCACCAACCACCACCCCCACCCACTCAACTCCACGCTTACTTCCACCACCACCGCAGTAGCAATGGTAGAAACTTCCAAAGTCGTCCTCTATGGCGTAGCCGCGGCATTCGCATTGACAAGTGGTACGCCTCACAACCCGCACGCAAGTTCCCACCACTAACTGTTTATCCACAGCATGTACGTCACCTCATCTCCAACCACCACCACCCACCCACCCCCCGCTCCCGCCCAACTCACTGACCTCGTAGACGCCGCATACTTTGACTACAAGCGCCGCAACGATGTTAATTTCCGCAAGTCCCTGAAGAGAGAAAAGCGCCAGCACGCGAAGGCGCAGCGGGCACAGCAGAACGCAGCGAATGAGTCCCAACGGGAACAGCTGCGTCTGGCGGTGCGTCAAGCACAGGCCGAGGGATTCCCTACCGATGTGGAGGAGAAGGAGGCGTACTTCATGAGCGAGGTCGCGAAGGGAGAGACGCTGTGTGCTGAGGGTATATTCTGCCCAAGGGAATGAAGGGAAGGGGGAGAACTGATGGTCTGGTGAATAGGCCCCGACAGTGCCATCGAGGCTGCGCTGTGCTTCTACAGGGCTTTGAAGGTCTACCCCCAGCCACAGGACCTGATTTCGATCTACGATAAGACCGTGCCCAAGGTATTACCTTCTCTCTTGTCATTCCGACCACATTGCTAACCCGCGCTTCAGCACGTCCTGGACCTGCTCGCAGAGATGTTGGCCGTCGACCGTAGTATCATCACTGACGTCGATGGCCCACTTCTTGACGAGTAGACGTCTACCCATTCCCACCATAGCCATAGATCCACCGTGGCCGAAGACCCTGCTCGCTTGATAAGTTTGGATTTCGTGGGGAAGCTGGCATTGGCAGAAAAAGTTTAATGAAAGGGTTGCCTTCAATCTCTCCCCAGGATCTTTGTCACTCTCCTTGGGGTTTTGCTCTTGTTCTTTTTCCTTGTCGTTTTCCCTTCTCTCGATTTCTTAACGTGGTGTGCATTGTACGATTTTGTGGTTGTGCTTGAAGAAAACCGGCGTGCATCGGTAGCAGTGAAGGAGGATAGAGCGTGGATGGATGGATGGATGGGTTGCTGGTGGGTAGGAGAAGGTTCCCTTTGCCTCTGTCTGTATCCTACGATGTTGTACATAGAAACAGTTCTCCTACGTACTGTCTCTGTCTACCTGTGTGAAACACCAAAACTCCCTATCGCCATATGTAGTTTACACGCAAAGAATCCCATTTCCTCAAGTATGTTGCCCGCTTTGACTATAGTACCTACTATTGTCCTTTCCCTTTGCCCTCGCCTTCGGCCATTTCTCTGATGAAGACTTTGATCGTGTCGGGCGGACACTCTCCGTCATTCCTGCCATCCTCGAACCCACCACTACTTCCTATCGCCAGGTATTTTCCATCCTTGTTGAACGACAACCCGGCAATGCTGGCTCCGAACTTCTGGTACTGTCTCAACCTCCGCTTCGCCATTCCATCCCACAGACTCACGACACCGTCACCACCACCAGAAGCAAACGTTCCATACACCGGGTGGAACGCCAACGCATTGACGGGGTAGACCACATCGACGCCATTCTCAACCTGCCTATGGCACTTGAATGCATATTTCCTCGCCTGGACCTCATCGCTGGAATCAAAGAACTCGACCGCCACCCGTCCCTCGATCGACGACGATGCGTACCCGAGGCCGTTGGGCATGCATGCAACGGTGCGTGTCATGAACTTGAGACTGGATTCGCGCACCTGCGACGGCTCCGACATGTTGCGGAGGTCGTAGAGGTGGAAGGCGCGCGCCGCCATGGCTATTACCAACGTGTGCCCGCTCGTGGAGAGAGAGTAAATCTTGTGGAGTTGCTCGTGTTTGCTGGTCAGTGGGGTCGAGGACCGCGGGTCGTAAAGGTGCACGTGGTTGTCCCAACCGCCGGATATTAGGGATTCTGATTGGTGGTTAGCGGCAGAGCGGGGGAGGGGGAAGCAGGGGAAGACTACTGATTTCGGTGTTGTAGCAAATAGACTTAACGCTTTGCTCGTGAGTTCCCAGCAGCTTAACCTTTCCCGTCTCCGGATCCAGCCTGTCATTACACTCTCAATCAGCTCCTGCCATCACTCTCGCCTACTCGCACACACACCACCCAACAGAGGAGCTGCATACTGATTTACGGTCCAGTCCAACCCTCCAGAAAACACGTCACCGTCACCCTCGCCGAAGCAGCAGTCCAGCACAGGCGCTGCATGTGCAAATCGCGTCAGTTCCGACCCGGCCTGATCAACGCCACTATGCGTGTCGTAAAGATGCACGTACTTGTCCCACGAGGAGACGAGGAGCCGCGTCGGCGTTTGGGGGGAAAATGTGAGAGAGGAGATGGCGTCCGACGGCGGTGAGGGGAGCTCGCGCTGGTTTGATGCTGTTGCTGGAAACATGTGTTAGTCAGACAATTGATGGGTTGTGGAGAGAGAGCGGAGAGAGATACCCGAGGCCATGGTTTGCTGTGTGATGGGTGAGTCGTTGGTGGTCGTTGTCGGTTCGATGTTTGGAATGTCTGGCTGGCTGGCTGGCGGGCTGGCGGCGGCGCGGCAAGTGAATGCGTCGTGTGGTGACTGACGCGAAGGATAAGAAGTCGAACGTGAAGAAACGCTATTTACCCGGCGATCTCCTCGCTTACCACCCACCTCTAGACCGTTTTTCGGGTGCATTCGCTACCACAGAGGGACACAATTGTAGAGTGCAGTCGAAATTGCGGTGAGGAGGTGGTGGGGAAGAAGTCAGACTCGATCAATACTGCTGAATCAAAGCGTGGACTTGTTGTTCGTTGGATCCTCAATTCAGCGCTTTGTTGCCAATTTGAGGTTCATTTATTTCGATTTATTTATGGCGGACACGCAGCGAGTACTGATCACGTGGAGGGACATTTATTGGGGTTCGTCACAAGACATTTCACTACCGACAGTTTCAAATACAATTGACTGTTGTAACGGTCACACCGCCGAGGATAATCGTCCTCGCTTTGCAGAAGTAGGAAAAGACAGGTGGGAGAGAACAGAACATATTGGGGCTTCGCCTTGAAAGACGCTTCTACCCGCTTGTGAAGACGATTGAGTGTCTGCACTTCTATCGGGCAGATCTTCAACCCTAAAACTCTCCAGCAAGCCGGCTGTCTTCCTTTCCAATATCTGCTTCGCAGCTTCGCACTCGCTGGCCTTTCTTCTTCTCTGGCCTTTCATTTCCGGGTTTCACCCTCCCTATCCTCGCCTCGGTGGTCGGTCGTCACCCCCGTCGTTGCTAGCATCACCATCGATCAAATCAATCAATAGTAGATCGCTCGCTCGCCCTCTTGACGCGCTTCTACACCTCCGCTCGTCATCCATACCACCTATCACGCCCACCCCACACACCCCTTCTCCATGCTAGTATCGCTACTTCCTCTACGACGACCCTCATCGCCATGAATTCGATCAACATCCTTGCTCCTCGCCAAAGGGACGAACTGTCAGTCCTCCTCTTCTCTTCTGTTCGCCTCATTGTTCTTCCCCGCGCACACACGGGTTTTTTTTAGCTAACGTGCCGCTTCACTCTCCGCCTGCACCCAAACACCAGACACAAAGCTATACTTGCATACCTCAACTCTAATGGGCTACCGAATACGTGCGCCGCGATGCGGGAAGAGCTCGGCGTCGGTGACGAGTTCCTGGACGACGGAAAGATGAAGAAGTACGAGGGGCTACTGGAGAAGAAGTGGACCTCGGTCGTGCGTCTACAGAAGAAGGTGCGCCTCCAACTCCAACTACTGCGATCGCCACCACCGGCGGTACAGCGTAGAAGGGGTTCGGGAAGCTGATATGGCGTTGTACCTGTTAGATCATGGAGCTAGAATCCCGGACATCATCCTTACAAAGCGAGCTCGACTCGACCACACCGACATCTCTGGCGCGCAAGAACGTGGACCCGACCGCGTGGCTCCCCCGAGCACCTCCGCGGCATAGTCTCGACGGTCACCGCAACCCAGTCACATCTGTAGCCTTCCATCCAGTGTTCTCGGTACTGGCGTCTGGCGCCGAAGACTCGACCATTAAGATCTGGGATTGGGAGATGGGGGAACTGGAAAGAACAGTGAAGGGCCACACCAAGGCTGTTTTGGATGTTGACTTTGGGGGCCCTAAAGCTGGGGTGCTGCTGGCATCGTGCTCGAGCGATCTGACCATCAAACTGTGGGATCCAGCCAACGAGTATAAGAATATCCGCACGCTCACCGGTCACGACCACAGTGTATCGGCGGTGCGGTTCATCCCTAGTGCGGCCGGAGAGTATCTGGTGTCTGCATCGAGGGATAAGACCCTGCGGATATGGGGCGTAACCACGGGATACTGCGTAAAGACCATTCAAGGCCACGCCGACTGGGTTCGGGATGTCTCGCCGTCGTTTGATGGCCGGTGGTTGGTCTCCGTTGGAAACGATCAAAGCGCCAGATTATGGGATGCATCGACAGCGGAGCACAAGGCTACATTCATGGGCCACGAGCATGTGGTAGAATGCGGCGTGTTTGCGCCCCCAGCCGCATATCCCTACCTCGCCCAAATCGCCGGTCTAAAGAAACCTCCCCCAGCCACATCGTCGTCGGAATTCGTCGCCACAGGGTCGAGAGACAAGACAATCAGGCTATGGGATTCGCGGGGTACACTACTCAAAACTCTCACTGGTCACGACAACTGGGTTCGAGCACTAGTTTTCCATCCCGGCGGAAAGTATCTACTTTCGGTGAGCGACGATAAGACGATACGGTGCTGGGATCTGACGCAGGACGGGCGATGCGTAAAGACGGTCACCGATGCTCACAACCACTTCATCAGTTGCATACGATGGGCACCGGCACCGGCAAAGGAACCGCCACAGGCCGCCAACGGCGGGACAAGGATCAATGGTACGCTGGGCAAAGACGCGGCGGCGAAGGTGAACGTTAGATGTGTGATTGCGACGGGAAGTGTGGATATGAGCGTTAGGGTATTTGCATCATGATAAAGTTGCTGTTCATGCACTCTCTCCGCTCTACTCATCTGTACTGGGGCTCTCTTTCTGGGTCTTGTCTGTTTTCGTGGACGTTGGAGCTGGATTTCTTCATTCAATCTTGTTTCGTGTCGGTGTAGTCGTAGGTCTTCATTTCCCCCCCCCCCTTTTTACTCTTTGCTTGTCTCCGTCTTGCTTGTCCATCCCGTGCTTTTGCTTTGCGTCCTACTCTGTGTTTTGCCGTTTCTTGCTTTCCATCACCTATAATCCTTATTCACAAAATTCTTCTACCTCCTTCGTTCGAGGGTTCGATCAAAGCTTCGTTCCCACTTCTTTCTTTCTTTTGTCTTGCTTCGGGAGTTTTCTGTTGGGGGTTCATTGGTTCGTTCTGCTTTTGTTTTGGATAGGATGGATGGAATGGAATGGATGGAACTGCTCGGCCGTGCTCATGTTATGGGAATGGAAATGGAAAGGGAAATAGATTATGATGGGTTTTTTGTCTTGTTTTGCTGGTGGCTGTTGTTGGATGTTTACACTATCAATCGATTCTCATGGCACATACGGATGGACAGACGCGTGCGGATATGTTGGATATGGGGGTATTCGTTCATAGTAGATATAGCGGAAGCAAGAAGCAGGAAACATATGCAATAGCAATTACAGTCAAGTTGTGCACATCCGCCATCTCATCTAGCAGCAAGAGTAAAGAAAAAGCAACGCGCAACCAAACCAAGGAAACAGCTCCCATCATCCAGCATACACCTCTCTCTCTCTCTCCCCTCTCTCCCCCCTCCATGCGTCTACCCACTAGTCTTCGTATTCAAAATCAACCCGACGATCAGGCCATAGAGACCCAGCACCTCAGCAAAAATAAGGATCAGGACCATGCCGACGAACACCTTCGGCTGCAGCAGGAACGCGCGACTGCCCGCATTCCCCACCACGCCAATAGCGTATCCAGCGGCGAGGCCCGCCAGTCCGACGCTGAGCCCCGCAGCCAGGTGTACCACCCCCGAGAACAAGCTGTAGCTGTTGTTGGGCCCCAGGTCTCCGGCGATGAGAACGGCAATGACGAGTCCGTACACTGCGATGATACCCGACATGATGACGGAGATCAGCGACTTCATGATCAGTTCGGGTGCGAACGTGCCGATTCCTGCGATGGCGATGCCGGCCTTGGCCGTCCCGTACGCGGCCCCGAACGAGGAGAAGATCATTGCGGCGGCCCTGATGGTTGGTGGTGTTAGTACGGGTGAAACGGAAGGGGGTGGGTGATAATTACACGCCCGCGAGGCCAAAGAATGGCGCGTGGATTGGGTTCAGCTCTGTTATGTCTGACATCTTAGCAGTGGCGATGGTGGTGGTGGTGATTGAGGTGAGGCGCGTTGAGGTGGTGAGAGGTATTGTGAGGTTGGGAGGTGACGTTGTACATGGACTAGGCTGAGGCTGGTGGCTTGGCGGTATGGCGGGTGAGATATTGTGATTGGGTTGGCCGGATCACTTCATTTCTCACGACGATCGATTTGTTCAGAACACTGGTTCCGTTTCATCCGGCAATACAGGTGGTTCGGTTCTATTATCGCCACCAACTGACAGACAGTCTTTACTTTAGATCAAGTACGCAACATGTTCCAAATCTAAAACTCATCCTCTCCACTGCCCGATATGATTACGTTGTTGACCTTCAACACCATTCTACACAGCTGCGTAGCGAGTAGCAGCTGTTGACGCTTTCCGATCAGCGGGTCGATGACGAACGCTTCTCTCATGTCGTTCTGCCCAGTGCCCATGCAGTCCACTCCCAACCGGGTGTTCTTTTCCCGTACTTGGCGAGACTTGATGTATGCTAGCGTCTCAATAGGCGAAAGACCAGAGTTCTCGGCGAGGGCCATGGGGATGTTGTCAAGAGCGGTGGAGAATGCCCGCATGGCGTATTGCTCGATACCGGGGGTCTAAATGCGAGGTTAGCATGTCAACCCTTCTCCAGAAGGTGAACGTGTATAGAACTGACCTTGTCAGCGGCGTCGGAGACGGCAACGGAGCAAGCAATCTCGGCAGCTCCTCCACCGTATACGACACGGTTGTCCTTGACGAGGTTTCGTACGACGCAGAGAGCATCGTGGAGAGCTCGCTTCGCCTCATCGACAATCATCTTGTTGGATCCGCGGACAAACGCGGTCACGGCTCTGGTGTTGGCACACTCCTCGATCACCAACATGCGGTCTCTTGTGGTTCCGAAAGACAGCTCCCTCACGAGACCAGCATGACCGAGCTTCTCGGCGGACAGATCCTCGAACCGGGGAACAATTCTTCCGTTGGTAGCGATAGCGATCAGCTCGATCTCAGGACCTCCGACCCACCGCACGGCAGGAAGCTTGTTCGTCAACAAAAGATGGTTCGCTTCGTCATCGAAACCCCACTGACAGATAACCAGGTTGGCACCGGTATCTTTGATCTGCTTGATCATCTCCTCGAATTTACCCTTCTCGTAGTTCTGGAGACGCTTGAACTCTTCAACGCTGGTGATGTCCAGCTTGTGTTTGGTCTTGGGCTTCGGGGGCTCAAACGCACATGTGAGGATAGCGATCTTTGCGTCCCGGACAATACGCGGCATCTGGGGGTGCGACATGTCCTTGTCGATGATGACACCCTTGACAAGCAGCGAGTCCTCCAGCGAACCTCCGACCTTTCCGTCAACCTTGATGAGCTCGAAATCGACATCTTTTCGCTCGAGGTCGGCAACTGACAGGACGGCGTCGACAGCGATTTGGGTGAACTTGTCATGGGCCTTCGAGACACTGCGGGATAGACTATCAGCAACTAAACTAGCCACCTTGCTTCTGGAGGTGTAATGTGGCTCACATTTTGCTTCCGAGGGAAGTCTTTGCGCACTTCAGCAGATTCTCGGTGTTGTCCTTCGTAAATTCTATTGTCTCGGCAATCGCATCCAGTGTCTCCACCGCAACCTCGCAAGCAGCGTCGAAACCGTCCGCAATTCTGATGGGATGGATTCCCTTATCGATCAGGTCGCTCGCAGCCTCCAGAAGGGCACCCGCCAAAACAACAACACCGGTAGTTCCATCTCCGATCTCATCATCCTGGGAGGTTGAGAGCTCGACCAACAGTTTGGCGACGTGGTGCTCGATTTCCATCTAATATTGTCCCAAAATCAACATCCGCGTGTGTGGGAGAGCTTCGAGGTAAATTGACAAATCCGTACCTGACTCAAGATGGTTGCTCCATCGTTCGTCACCGTAATGTCGCCATCGGGAGAGATGAGGATTTTGTCGAGGCCACGGGGTCCCTTGAGAGATAGATGTCAGCATAATCCCGAGCCCCTCATCCATCCCACCCCCCACCACCCCCGGAGCTGAAGCATACCAGTGATGATTTGACGATGTTCGCAACGGTCTTTGCTGCCAGGATATGCGACTTGATGGCTTCGGTACCGTGTTGCCGTTTCTTCTTGCCCTGACTGCAGTTACAATGCTTGTATTAGCTAGTCGTCACCTTTGAAGTTTGATGCCCAAAGCAGCTACTTACTCTTTCACAATGATGAATGGCCGTCCATTCTCATCCCGGACCATCTGAGCATTGCTCATATCAAGCTGCATAGACATGGCGAAAGGAGACTTATGTAAAGATCCCTCCTAGAAAATGGTGGTGGGGGGTTTGGTGGGAAAAGTGGGAGAGTCGAGATAGACTGATGGAATGCACCAAACTGACTGACGCCTCCAAAATAATGGAGGGAAGCGGGCAAGCAACTCTTTCGAAAATTAGAATAATGTCTTGGCGCCACTTAATCGGGATAAAGTATTGGAGACCAGAGCAGAGGTGTCGCGTTGCTTTTCCAACTTCACACAACGCGCCGCGCCACACTTCAACCCCGAACCTGACCCCAATCAACCCACAGGCAACAGGCCCACCAAAAACAGTACATACGGAAAGCAGGCATCATGGCAGGAGATTACGAAAACTTCGAGGGTATCTATATGGATCTCTCACGACAGCCCGGAAGGTGTCGTTTCAACGCCAGCGGGATGGGATGGAGACCTGTCGACGGCGAGATGCGGATGCTCGTCAACTCAGAGATTGCTTCTGCACAGTGGTCACGAGCAGCGAAAGGCTACGAAGTGAAGATCATCACCCGGACCATGGGAATTGTGCAGTTGGACGGTTTTGAGCAGGATGTGTGTATTACGTTACTTCGCCGGCCGGGCGTGGTCGATTGCCATGTTGATTACTGATGATTGCTTCCGTGAAATACAGGATTTCGACCGCGTTAAGGCCGCTCTCAAATCTTACTACAAGGTCAATCTCGAGCACCGCGAGCACGCTCTAAAGGGATGGAACTGGGGAAAGGCCGAGTTCTCTAAGCAAGAACTTCACTTCAACGTCGCCAACAAGCCCGCGTTCGAGATTCCGTTCTCGGAGGTCTCCAACTCTAACCTTGCTGGTAAGAACGAGATTGCGGTCGAGTTCGCCACAACTGAGAATTTGGTGGGCGGTCGCACGAAGAAGAACACTGCTGCTGTGGACCAGCTCGTTGAGATGCGATTCTACGTTCCCGGCACTGCCAAGAGGGGTGAGGGTGAAGACGGTGCTAGTGACGCTGAAGGAGAGGATATGAGTGCTGCTACGCTGTTCTACGATACCCTCAAGGAGAAGGCGGATATTGGAGAGATTGCTGGAGATACCTTTGCAACATTCTTGGATATTCTCTTCCTTACGCCGAGGTATTTTCTGTTCATTCTGTTTTGTCTAGGAGCTGGGACTAAACAATGCTTTCAGAGGTCGCTACGATATCGACATGTACGAGTCATCCTTCCGTCTGCGTGGTAAGACGTATGACTACAAGATTCAATTCGAGAACGTCAAGAAATTTTTCTTGCTTCAGAAGCCCGACGAAGTCCACAGCTTGATCGTGATCGGACTCGAACCGCCGTTGAGACAGGGCCAGACCAAGTACCCGTTCTTGGTGATGCAGTTCAAGAAGGAAGAGGATATGGACTTCGACCTGAACATAGCTCCAGAAACCCTGAAAGAGAAGTACGGCGACCGGCTACAGATGCACTACGAGAACCCCGCGTACCGAGTCGTCTCAGATATCTTCAAGGGCCTGACCGGCAAGAGGATTACGATTCCTTCCAAGGACTTCGTTAGCCATCATCAGCAATCGGGGGTTAAGTGCTCCCTCAAAGCCAATGAAGGGCACCTCTTCTTCCTGGACAAGGCGTTCTTGTTTGTCCCGAAGCCAGCTAAATTTGTGCCTTTCGAGCGTGTCTCGCACGTTACTCTCTCGCGGTAGGGACCTCTATTATTCCACCACTTTTGTAATTTGCTAGCTAACATCACGGCAGTGTCGGTGGATCAGTGTCGGCTAGTAGGACATTTGATGTAACCGTCACCATGAAGGGTGGTGAAGGAGAGTACCAGTTTAACAACATCAATCGGTGATTCCAACAACTATTACCAATCCTAAGGCCACCAGCTAATATGTTCACAGCGAGGAGCAACCATCGCTTGAGGAGTTTTTCAAAATCAAGAACCTGAAAATCAAAAACGATTTGGTCGACGATGCTAGTGCCCTCCTCGCCTCTGCCCTCGACGATGACGATATGGACGATGAAGACGTTGCTGCGGCTCGGGCTGATCGTGGATCCGCGGACGAAGATGAGGAATCCGTCGATGAGGATTTCCAGGCCGATTCAGAATCCGATGTGGCCGAGGAATATGATTCTGCCCACGAGAGCAGTGGATCAGACGGTAGTGAGGCGGGCGGCGACGCTGGCGGCAATGACGACGACGATGAGGACATGCAAGACGCACCTGTTGTCACAGAGCAGCCGGCGAAGAAGAAGGTCAAGACGAAGAAATGAATCTAGGTGTATGTCACTGACGACGTAATGATCTTGTCTCGGCTGAGAGCTTTGCATTTGCTTTTTTGAAAACGGGGTACCTGCTGTTACCTTGGCGCTGTTTTGTACACTACACATCGGATTTGTCGCTGTGAAAAGGATGAATGTCTAATGAGCTTGGATTTGTGGGTTTACGTTCAAACTTGTGACTCTGTAGTGCACACAGCAGATCTGATTGATGTTCACTGTAACGGTATTCAGCCAGCCAAGTACCGAGATTCCCACCACCACGATGCCGATTCTCTTCTACCGACCTACACAGTGCAATCGACCGCCGCAAATTGACTGCAGTTTTCATTATCTTCATATCCCCGCCACGCTGAATCTACAGGTAAATGCGGCATGAATATCATTGATACAGCTCGCACAAATCGACGCAAGGTATTCTGGACGATAACTTTGCGGCATATAGTAACGTTACGGTTACATGCTACATGTAACATGACCGCCCAGCACTTGTGTCCATGTATTGCGCCGTCTTTGAAGGCAATTCAGCTGTGTTGGTTTAGTGCAGCCTTGGGAACCAACGGACGGTGTCGGGAACAGAAAGCCTATGATGGACGGTGGGGAGGGTCGTTGCTAGATGAAGCTGAATGGAAAGTCAGACATGTGTGCGAGGTTGTTTCGATTCCCCGGATTCCAACAACCACTGTCACTCAATCGCTCGCTCGCAACGAGGGACAAATCCAACTACATAGTTAGGCGTGGTAACGCCCGCTCGATCGGTACTCGGGAGCGGTATATCCTCAAACTATGTTGATCTGCCGCTCCGTTTGTCCTGTTGTGCGAGACACAATAAATACCGACATTGGAGCGCCTATAAACCGGTGCGGGATGAAGCAGTATGCGCAGGCACGGCTTTGTTAGAGTGAGACCCGACAATGGGTTTTGCAAGGTAAACCACTGTACGACTTCCTCCACCTAGAGTAGTCTTATACTCGATATCACGGACCGGCGTAGCTCCCATTTTTCGGACGTTGGGCCTGTCTTCTCCCCAGATATGCTGCCACCCGCGGGTTGACAGGGTTAGCTAAATCAAAAGCCAACATCACAACTGTGTTGGTCCGAAATTGCCCAGAGAATTGTATATCAGGTGTCCAAGAGTTCAGCTCCGCGATGGAGGTTGTGGAAGTGCGGTAGGTACTGTAAACGAGTGATGCTCTGGCGAAGCCGGTCATCTAATGCGGAATGATACACAACGATGGAAACCGATTAAGCCGTTTACGTACGCCAAATCGACTTCCGGCCGCTCGGGACCCTGCATGAACAGTACACCTGCGGGTCTGACTGGCTAAAGCCGTGTGAGCTGAATTGCCAACGGATGGCGCAGGCTGGTGATATCGCCGCCCGCGTTGGGCTTCTCGTTGACCGAGGCAGAAAATTCGAGCAGAACTCGAGTCTCAACGTTCCCAAGAGGAATTGCCAGCTTCTCGTTTCTAGAGGGCTTCAGTGCTCAGGAAATTGTATATAATGGGGGCTTTCCGGAGGGTTTTCATGCTCATAATCCAGCAAGATCTCACCGAACATCCTCTTCCACCACAAACAGCAACAAATTCGCTTTACCGTGCTCTCTTCTTCTTATTCCACAATGCTCGTGTTCACTATCCTATTCTCCGTGCTCCCCGCGGTCCTTGCCATGACTCAGGTTGAGGCCGACAAGTGGTGCCAGGACCAGAGGGGCGCCGGCTTCAAGGCCGAGCTTGATGCTGCTGGAAACCCCGTCAAATGCGTGACTTCGAGCGCCTCGTGCTTCGGAAACGAGTATAAGGATCCAGTGGACAACCAGACGAAGTGCTGTCCTGTCTTCCCCGTCAATTCGGCCTACTCCTTTGACGCTGTCAGCAAGGTTCGAGACAATACCTTGCCTTTTTGCTTTCGATGGTGGGCTAACTGATTGGTTATAGACCGGTGCTTGCTGCCCCAGTGATACGAAGTGGTCCTACGACACCGTCTCGAAGGTTTGTGGCAATCCACTCTTCTACTCGCCATTCGGAAGCTGATAGATGTTTCCCCAGACCGGAGGCTGCTGCGCAACTATCGGGCACTCGTGGAAGGTCGATCCCGCCTCCGGAAAAGGAAGCTGCTGCACCGATGACAAGATCTTCAATGGATCCCAGTGCGTTGTTCCCAAGGGGCCCGATCCTCTGCCCGGGCCATGCCCCTCCCACTGCGGTACCTCTGGTGGTCCAAAGGTTGCTTTCTGTCACGGAAAGGTTGCATGTCCCACCGAGACCGATCTCGGCATCGAATTCGGGAAGTGTTACGTCCTCTCCTTCCCCGATGGAAAGCAACTCGGCCGTCAACTCAACCGTGCCTACGAGAAGAACGGCCGTTACCAGGACATTCCCTTCAAGGTTTGTAGCTCGAAATTCGACTGCAAGGTTACCGGTCCCGTCAAGTTTGCGGACGACTTCTCGCTCCAAGATCAGCTCGGTATCCCGGAGGATGCCACTGGCGCGAAGGGTTGGATCAACAACTATGCCGGTGGGAACCACAAGATTTACACTGCAGACAAGGCTACCGCGGCTACTTTCAGGGGTTAGTCATCGAGTCCACTGCTTCCCCCCTCTGATATATAGTATTGACTCCTCGAAGGTCGTCCTGGCTGCATCGGAGATGGCTGCTCCATCTGTATCAACACCGACCCGAAGGGACTTGCGATTGCTTGCCCCGACACCGTTCCCGGCCTGACCTCGATTGGTAATCCCAACTACTGCCAGAGGCTCATCTTCGAGCAGGTTGCTTGTCTCGACTGAGAATCTCTCAGCAGTGGACACGTGTGGACGGTGTGAATCTCAAGCTGCCTGTAGCCTATGGGTATATTTTATTTGTCATGTTTTTGCTTTCTATTACTGCACGCTCCTTTCGTTGAAAGTTTGTACCAGGAAACATCTGTTTGTATTGAATTGGAAAAGTAGGCATTGGGCCGGGCATATCTTTGTCCAACACCAAGTGACCGCTGTGATTGAAGCTGTGCGTTCGTCCGACCACGATCAAGATACCATTAAGCGAGACACCCCTCTGGATCGATCTTCCGTCGATAAATATAAAGGCGATTCCCCCACCATCTACATCATACAGTAGAGTACCTCCCGGCTATATCAACGTCAGGTAAGGAAGTACTCGTACATAGACCAAGCCACATACGAAGGTTGCCGCTGGCTGCTGTTGACGCGCCGAATTGAAAAAAGCCGTGGCTGGTCGTCGCTGTGGATACCGCCTGTTGACGCCCACTCACCAATCACAACCCATACCGCCCCCCTCTGAGCTGTCCAATAAACCGACGTAACACTACATCTAGTCAAGGTGCTGCGCGGCATCACACCTTTTTTGAGAAGGCGGCGGAGAATTGCAGAGGTTGGAGACAAAAGTCCAGGCAAAGACACACAAGTGAGGTGTTCTGACTACCAGCCTCTCCACCACTCACCAAAACAAACCCCTGCCAGACCCCCCCATATCCCACCTTCGCCCTCCTCTGCTTCCTTTTCCTCCTGTTCATACTCTTGTTTCGTCCAAACCCCCTCGACCCCCCTTCCCCCATTGCGTCGAATTCCCGGCTCGGTCATTCGGCATTCGAAGCCAGGGCAGCGAACGAACGAACGGAAGCTATCGTGCAGTTCCCATCGAGCTATCCGCGCGCTCGGACAGCATCACAACAAAAACAAAACCACTGTCCGTCACTCGCGACACTTCCTCTGCGAGGAAGCGGTTCGGGACAAGCTTCTCTTCATCGCGCCAATTGGTGAAGAGCAAGAGCAACAACTGTCGTCACAATGTCTGGTTCACCAACAATACTGGCACCGTACGCGGGCCACACCGATGCGGCCGGGAGATACCTTCTCGCGCCGTTACAGGGTCTTCCGTTCGATGAGATGGTCAGGAATGGTATGCGCCCCGCCATCCGCGACAGCCTCAATTACAGCGGGACTAACCGTGACATGTGCACTCCGCAGGCGAAGGAGCGCGGCATCAGGGCGAGCCAGAATACTACCGTTTAATCCTCCTTCATGCGCTGTTCGCATCGTTCGCGTTCCTTGTGTTTACGCCCGCCGCTATAATATGCGCTAGGTTTCTCATCCACGGTCCCAGACCGCGACTCGCTATGGGGGGCCACATCGGTTTCCAGGTTGCGAGCGTCATATGTTTGACGGTTACGTTTATTACCGGCTATTTCGCGGTCGACAAGGGCGACTGGGGGAATAATCCACATCATGTAAGCTTGTCTGGTATCTGGATTGTCAGTGGAGGGCACGAGTTAACATATTGGTAGATTATTGGCGCTACGATATATGCCATCATGCTTTTCCAGATCTTTTTTGGCGCATTCGTTCGATGGAGGGACCCACAGAAGATTAGAGAAGCGCCCCCGCTCTACAAGATGGTAGCTACCCCTCATAATGGTATTCAATTCCTGTTTGCTGATTGGCTTGTCGGGCAGATCCATCAATGGCTCGGACGCGCGGTCTTCATGCTCGGTCTGGCGCAGATTCCCCTCGGACTATATGTCTATGGATCGCCGAAGACCTTGTTCATCCTATACGCCATATGCACCTTCCTCTTCTTGACCGCCTGGTTCGTACTAGAATACCTCAAGAACCGCAAGTGGTTTGAGCACAGATACGGAAGTGTCCGCGGCATTCCGACACCCATCCCAGAGATGTCGGAACATCAACCCAGTGAACACCGCCGCACACCAGATGTTGAGAACGGCTACACACCTGTCGGCATGGATGAGACGCCATTGCAAACGCCCAAGAGATCCCGCTTTAGCAAGCTGTCGTGGTTCGGTAATCGCCGCAGTTCCGGAAGGCAGACCCACGATACCATCGGGATTCCATACCAGTATGACACTGCCACGATGGATAGCAGTCGTGTGCCGAGCGCCCAGAGTCCTGCTATCGGAGGGTTGGCACCTGGGCCAGGTAGAAAGCAAGAAATCATTCCCCCGGTTCCAGCCCTACCTACACACTACGAACAGCATCACAGTTCCGGCAGTCTTCCAAGCGAGGAGTTCAGGCAGAGATATGGAAACCCCTCTGCGTTGAAAGACACGGTTTTGAGAGACAGCACAACACTCGGTCCACCGAGGGGAGGAGGACAGCCGCAGCAGCAACAGGAAATTATCAATATGCCGGAACCACGCATTCCCCAGTCTCCTGCCGAGTATGGACAGATAGCACCGATGTTCGGAGCCACGCCACGTTCCTCGGGGCATAGCCACAACACCCACCAGTCGTACCAGAACTCGCCTGGAAATTTCGACCAGATGCCCGTCAGCCCTCTTTTGGGAGATGGTTATATAGAGGCAGACAACGGATTCGTTCCCACGCCGGCCGACGACTCTCCGAGACGTCCACTCCCGCTTCCCCCACACCGCCGAGAACGATCCAACGACAGTAGTGTTAACCGATTGCCCATCGTCGATTCCCCAGGAGCTTCCAGCGCCGGTGAAGGCCAGACGATCATGGTCGGCGGAGAAACGAATGCTGGCGGCCAACAGCCCCAAGTTGCGGTCCAGGTCAAACTCAACCCTGACGGTAAATCCGTTACGGTTCGCCGGCTCCGCCCCGAAGAAGCAGAGGCAGAACGCCGGGAACGCTCGCGAGCCAGGCAAGACCGCGCACTGCAACGAGAGCTAGAATTGGAACGCGAACGACAGTTCCGGCGATCCCAGAGCAATGAGCGCAGGAGCGGTGACCGTCGACGGTCTCGACAGCCGGAGAACATTGAGCGCCAGGAACAGCGGGTGCAGCGGGTGCAGCTCCTCGACGACGGCATCCGCACTCCAGGCAGTGGCAGTTACACGCCCAGCATTGGCGGGCAGAGTTCAACGATCGCCGGCGCATCCGGCGGACTCCTCGGACGAGTACCGGAGCCGCAAACTCCGTCGAACGAACAGACGCCGCTCAACGCCATGAGTCCGCTTGTCGGCATGCATCCCGTCACTCGCTCACCAGCGCCTCCTAATGGGCTTTCCCAAAGCCAGCGCGCCAGCGTCACCAGTGGCGGAACCACCGCGGAGAACTCGGAGATCGAGCAGGAAATTGTGAAGGAGCAGCGACGAAAGAAGCGGCGGGAAGAGAGGGCGGGGACCGCGAGCCAGTTGGGCGGCGGCGATGGAGGGTACTATGGTCCGCAGGGGCCTGAGTCGCAGTGGACTTAACCCATCCGATTCCGGCTCCGAATCCGACTCGAAAAACCGATTATGAAAAATGACATGACATGCTATGTGAAATGATAGATACCGATACCCTTTCTTTCTTCCTTATATAGTTTGTATTATTTGGCGTGCATTTCGGCGTGGGCTTGGCTGGGCTGGGGCAGACGGCAGACGGCGGGGTGGGGTGGGCTGGGGGATACACGGCATGGGATGGGCTGAAATGTGTATTTTTTTTCTTTTCTTTCGTCTTTCGTGGTTCGGGAGTTTGTTTGCTTCAAAGTTCAATGTTCCTCTGGTTTTGTTTCATTTTTTATGGCTGTGGTTTTTTTTTTTGGGACGGCGGCGGTTTTGTTATCATGCTGAGGAACGAGCGGGCGAGTGAGCGAGAGAGGGAGGGGTAGACATGTGTAGTGAACTGTGAGTGGTGCGGGATGTTGTGTATGTAGTTTTATGAACTGGCGCGGGAGGTTGGTACGATACGATAACGAACGCGGGATGAATGGGGGCGTTGAGAAGCATAGATGATGGATCCGTCGACGGTGAGAGTGAGAGTGAATGGTGAGAGTGAATGATGGGTGTGAATGGTGATTTGAGGTTGCTACGATGGATCACGGGCTACCGGATATGTGGAATGGCTAGGTAGGCTAAGTCTGAATATATCCATTCAACCAAACCAAACTAAGCCGGTTGACGGTTGACCAGGCATAATCTTTTGACATTCCAAGATCCATCCATCACACCAGTATGAATTGTGACTTGAGGTTGAAAGATCACGGGCTAAGTCTGAACATATCCATTCAACCAATCCAATCCAAGCCGGTTGACCGGGCATGATGTTCTGATATTCCAAGATCCTATCACATCGCTATAAGTACACACAACCTGCAACAATGAAAACTCAAGATTCAATACGATCTCCTGACAACTATATCCACATATCCACATAGTAGGTATCCCGTAACACGATAAGTATCAATAGATGATATTCCCAGAATCATTGAATCGCACACGGTCCCTGACATCAACATGAAGACCCGCTAGTAGTTAGCTAGTGCCGATCATTGATATGTAGCATCCCGGGTATGTTATTAATAAGGAACCCGTATGTAGAGTATCGAGTTCGCGGCCAGCAGTCGGTGACTCGGTGATAGTGACAGCGGGGTGGGGACGGGTAGTTACATGTATATCTGCCATAATCTATGGTACTAGGTGGTAGGAAGGTCGAATGCAATGATGATTCAACCAAAAAATTCAATAGCATCCCGAGGAAGCACAAAGAGACATTTTCTTGGGGGGTAGGGCGGGTCATAACCTGAGCCGATAAAGCTCGGGCTATGGACGTTTATCAGACCGCCTTCGTCGATGGAAACACGGCCACCAGGCCGCACGGGGCCACAAGACCGAGGAAAAAGCCGGCGGCGAGGGAAGACAAGAGGAGGAGGTGAAGCCTTCGTGTAGGCCCATAGGTACCGGCCTTTACCGTACCAAAGCGGGATGGCAGACGAGGACGTCGGGAGATCTACTATAGAGAATCAAAGGTCGGTGGTGGAGTGTGGGAGTGATGATTCATGAGTCCCTCCACGGACTCGACGGTCCACGCCGGCATTTCGTATTCTGCTTTCTCGGATCCGTGGATGTACGGCGACGATGGCAGAGGGTGCGGGACTGTCTGTCTGCCGGCCCGTTGGCCGGTGAGGCAGCACTTACCCTCACACCCGAGTACATATCTGCTTACATACCCGCTTACATAATCTAGATACCGGAAGTTTGAATTTCCGTTTGCTGGATGCTGACTGCCGAGTTCCGAACATGATCGCCCGTGCGGCGAATTTGAAAAAGAAGGAGAGACTTCTTTTCGGGCATTGCCGAGCTGCAAGCTGCAGATTTGTGGATGTGTGGAGTCGGTTTCTGACTTTTGTGGCTGCTATCGAAATCAGTAGGATTGTAAGGTGGTAAATAACATGTATGTGGGACATCGACAGAGAATGATCTGATCTGCTCGTACGGTGCAAGTTAGAGTAGATAGAGTAAATAGAGTACGTGAGGAGGAGGACAGAGGGCCGAGCTCAAGGGTGAATAGCCAGGGTAAGAGCTACCCAGATGTACCAGTACGATACTACGATGCGCGTAGCCACGGCATCGACCTATTCCCCAAGCTCAATTGCGAACCAGTATGACCTACCCAAGTACCCAAGGAAGTAGCTACCCGATTCACGACCACGGCCCTATGGTTATTATTACCTAGTCGGTCCCGATGCTGCCCTGTTTCGGAGTCTTGGACCTGTCAGGCTGTCACAAGTTACAACGCCCAGCTCACGGTTAGTCTGTCACCCACTGTCGCGTCGCGGCGAGAGATCACGAGGCTGCATTGCGACTGGTCACCAGGCTGACGGTGACAAATCGTGATGGATGGACTCTTCGAGTCCCGACTCTATGATTTGAAGGGCAACCGCAACTGTTTTCTCAGTGCTGCCGGCGCCCCACATCCGCATTGCGGGGGATAGTTGCTACAGTCTGTCATAGGTACATTGTATACTGGTATTGGCTCCGAAGGTCGGCGTACTGAGTGCTACAGATACCAACCAGCAGTTTCGGTCTTTTTCACTGAGCCCATATGTACCCATAGATCGGATAGATCGGATAGAATGAATGGGAGGGGTGTCGACTTCGACTTCCTATGTGTGGTGATATAAACGAGCTCGCTACCAGGCAGCACTTAGCCTACTCCAGAGCCCTCCGGGCGGCTACCAAAGTGACACCACCTGATCTCCACAGTTGTCGGAGGATGCCAGGCGGTGACGAAATGATATCCTCATGAGTAGACCTCAGGTTCCGGCCGGCATCCGCCATGGCTGTGGATCCAAAGCAGAAGTTCGTCCGTCCGTTGCGCGGATTACTACGGTATTGAGTGGCATAGCATTGCTTCCAATCCAACATAGGTAGGGAGGCATGTTACCATGTAGAGTACATGCCGGTATTGACCTTCTCACGCGGGGGAGATGATGCTACCACCCTCTTTGTGGGCTCTGGGAACGCCTGCCCTATTCCATTCCACGGATACTTGTATCTCCCCATCCCCCCTCCAGCGACCTATAGGTGGGAAAGTCTTCCTTCCACACAGAGACATACCACTTCTACTACCTACTCCGCTTCCACTGCACTCTACACACACAACCTACCTACGGCAGATACCTACATCACAAACGGAAGCACCCCATACCTACATCCAACTACCTAGAGAACCTAGCTTCACTCTATTCTTCACCTACGCGCTGTCCTACATACAAACTACACACTCTACTGGTAAACGGCCCTGCACTCCTCTGCCGGGAACAAGATCACGACGGGCTGCTCCAGCGAACGACTGCTTGTTTACTGCGGCCAAGGTGTCTCGATATTCTCATAGCAATGGATGTTAACTGTATGTATGTCAATAGCAGCTCGATGCATTTTTCGCACGACATACGGCACATCGGCCACCACAGTCAGAGCCAGGAAAAACAAGGTGAGCAGAATTATCGATCGAGAGGTTGTGTGCACTGTGCATGTCTGGATATTATTTCCCCGCCACCACTGTCTACCTACCACCACCTCCACCCCCATCTCCCATTTCTGTACTCCACTCCATTCGCTCGCTCTCGCCTCCTCCTTCCCCGCGCCTTCCGGCAGTCTTTAGCCTGGCACTGTGTCGGGTTGCACACACATATTCTTCTTGTGTGCTGCTTACTATTCACTCTCTTCAAATAGTGAAGGGGGGGAAGGAGGCGAAGGTGGAGAAGGAGGCGAAGGGGGAGGAGGAGCAAGAAGAAGATGGACGAGGAGGTGGTGGAGAGGGAGGGATGTGTGTTCTGTGATCACCAAGGAGTCTTGATGTACTCTCGTACTACCTGTAGTTACTCGAAGCACTCGACTACCTCCCGTCCTGCATCGTTGCCTTGATACCTACCCAACTGCGAATGCTACATTCTGACTTCAACCACACACTACTACCACCCACTACATCCTACCTCTTCCTCCACCACCACTACTAACCACCAAACCCAATCCACCACACAACATAATCACATACTTGCTGATTCATATAATAACGGTCGCGTAATGCTAGAGTCTGCACGACCACACCATCCTCCAAGTTCGAGTTCGAGTCCAACTGCGGCGCCAACTAATGGTTCCCCGCGACCCGTCGAGAACGGTCGTCACCGCAAGAGCGTAATAACCCTCGACACCCAGAACCTCACCAAGTCACCCATGTCCCCACGGCCATCCTCAGCGCACTCCATGACGAGCAGCAGCGGCACCGGCAGCGCACACCCCACACACGAGACCCCCACTTCGCCGAGCAGCGGCGGCGGCAACCATGCCCCCTCGCGGCGGCCCTCGTGGCTGACCAGTTTCTCGTCGAAATTCTCGTCGACGTCCAGCGTCGAAGTGCAAGCGGCGTCGGGAAGTAGTACGTCCGCGACCACTTCGCCCACGGCAACCCCCGAGCCACCGAAGCCCCACAATACCCCGCCAGGGTTCCTGCTCTCGACGCTGCGCCGGCTGTCCTCATCGACCGCTCGCGAAACGTTCGGCAGGAGAGCCTCGGTGCCCTCCGTGGGACTGTGCGACCGGGTGATTCTCAACAGGGATCAGCATCGCGAACGTTCTGAAATCCCCGAACTGGACGGCGGCAAGCTGCGGAAGGTCTCGTTTTGCGTCGATGTCGAGGTTGCGCCGTGCCACGAGGATGTCGAGGCTCGCAAGGAGGCCCGCAGGAGAAGGAAGGAGGCAAAGGAGAAGGAGAAGGAGAAGGAGAAGGAGAGGTTGAAACAACTGATGGAAGATGGTTCTCCCGAGATCGCCAATTGCGATGGCGCTGGTACCGATGGTGCGCCGCTCGTCGCCAGCACCACCACTGGAGATGCGGAGAAGAAAGGGCGCGGGGGTGAGATGACGAATGGATCTGTAGACCCAGCATCAGGGAACGGGGCTGCCAATGGCACTAGTAGAGATCGGCCACAAGACTCCACCGCCGCCGAGGATAACCCGTCGGCAAATCCAGACTTGGCGCCGGCGTCTGGGTCGGCGACAGACAAAGTGCCCAAGGTCCGTCGGCGAATCCACCCAAAGCCCACAACCGATCCGCTCAAGATATATACCCAATGCTGCCAGCTGCGGGAAACAAAGGTCTTGCCCGAGGTCAAGGAGCAGCTCGTCAAGGAAAACTACCCCACTGTGTTGCGGGTCATGGATCTCACCGGGCATAAATTCCAGGTTGCAGATGCGGTTACATTTGCCGACTTTTTGGCTCTGGTGCCCATCAAACGGCTGATATTGGACGACTGCGATCTCACGGATGAGATACTTCGGATGGTGCTCTCGGCGCTCTCGGCAGTCCGGCCAATTGTGGCCACCACCACCTCGGAAGAGAGTGAGGGTGAGGCAAAAGGCAAGCCGAACGGGAAAGATGAGAAGCACCACAGGGGCGTCGTTGAGCGACTGTCCCTGAAGAAGAACCCAAAGATTGGAAGGGAGGGATGGAGACACATCAGCTGCTTCGTGCATATGTCGCATTCACTGAAAGCACTCGATCTGTCCAGAATTGTTCTGCCACGGCCCATGCCTGTTCACCATACCACCCTGGGGCGGATAGTTCAATCAAAGGACCTGCCTTCCAATGATGCTACGGCGATATTCTCGAGGGCGTTGGCGGAACGGCTTTGCGGCCATGGGCTCGAAGAGCTGGTGATGGGACATTGCAGTCTGAGTTCGGACCAGCTGAAACTCGTGATGAAGGGCGTCGTTGCCGGCGGGACGAAGCGGTTGGGACTCGAGGGTAATTCGCTCACCGACGATGGCCTGGCTATGGTTGGACAGTGGATGAAGGGCGCCGGTACTGGTGGGGCTTCCATCTGTGAGGCTCTCGATTTGTCCCACAATGATGTTCAGGTAATTTTGAAATTTGGTCCCATCTATTCCCCGCAAGAGTTAACATCAGTACAGGACCATATTGACATCCTGTCGGCATCGATCAATGAACTGTCCCCCCTATGTGCATTGAGCTTATCCAACTGCAACCTCACTCCCGCATCGCTGTCGAGCCTTCTTCCAGCACTCGCGACTCTCCCTCATTTCCGATGGCTCGATCTGTCGCGCAACCCGCGGTTGTTCTCGGAGCAGCCGGACAGTCTCACGCTTCTTCGGAGATTCTTGCCGAAGATGAAGGCGCTGCGGAAGATTGATCTGGCGGGTACATCGATGACATCGGATCATGCCATCGCACTCTGCGAGATCCTGCCGGAAGTCAAGCAGTTGTCATTCTTCAAGATTACCGAGAATCCGTTGATTCAGTCCGGTCACGCTGGGATGGACGAGGGATCTATGGAGGAGGGCGCAGCTGTGTATACGGCACTGGTGGCCGCCGTCAAGGTCTCGAAGACAATCGTCAGGGTCGACATCGACGAAGCCGGCTCGTCCGCGGGAGAAGTCATCCACGCACTGTCCAAACGACTGCTCGCGTATTGCCTGCGTAACATCGAGTCTGGAGCTACCGAGGAGGACTGGACGGTTGACACGGCAGCCGTCTCACGGGATGGCTCGGAGATGAAGCATGCCTCGCCGGACGTCTGCGTCAATGTTGGCGATCTCGAAGAGGAAGACCGCGGTGCCAACTATGAATACGATGGGGATGGGGTGTGGCAGGACGAAGAAAACTACGTTGTCGGCGGCACCGGTGTGGTTAAAGCACTCGGAGTGTGTCTCGGCAACAAGCCGCACCATGGTGCCCGTGCCAATTCTCTCAGTGGCTTCCCGAGTCTGCAGAAAGTGGAAAGTGCCAGTTCGATCGGCTCGTTCGGCGAGGACGAAGCGGGCCAGGAGAAGGCGAACGAGATGACCAAAGCCCTCCTGACCCGCGCTCGAAACATCAAGGCGCGCATCCAGCCGGCACTGCGGAAGGGCTACACTGGGGATATCGAGGAGTTGTCCTACAGAAGACTGCTCTTCCTGGACGAGACCCTCTACCGCGTCATCCACCGCTTTGAGGAGGAATATCCCGAATGCCGCCAGCCACTGCCATCCATCGCCGAGCCGCCGAGCAAGGCGTCGTCGTCAACGTCGGGCGCCCCTCTCCACAGGATAACTACCCGCATCACACGCGACGACCACGAGTTCGAACACGACGACTCGCCGCTCTCTCCCACCACCACACACCACACACACATCCTCAAGCCGTCATCGCGCCGCGGCTCCGAGGTCTCGCTGCACTCGAAATACCTGCAGAACGAGGAGGGCCAGATGCACAAGCTCGGGCACTACATGGCGCACGAGATCTTCTCTGACTCGCCGACGCCCAGCAGCAGCAGCCGCCAGTCGGAGGAGCCCGAAGCCGACGCCGAGGAGATGGCTGCCAGGAAGGCCCACCGCGAGAGCGTGCTGCTGGCTGTAGAGGGTTACTCTGGCGAGGAGCTGAAGCGCCGCATCATGGAACAGGAGGGCGGCGTCGATGGGTACATCTCGAAGATTGAGGGCGAGAAGGCCGCGAGGAAGTTGAGTAGAGGCCCTAGTCCTCTGCCGCCGACGGAGAGGTCCAGGGAGAGGCGGTGAGAGGCGCAGTGCTGCTACTGGGGGCACGGGGCGTGGGGCGTATTTGTTGTTTTTACTCTTTGAAATGACATTGTTGCTGTTGCTGTGGTGTTGATGCTGCTTTTTCTAAGAGTATACCTTATCTTGTCTTCGTTTGTCGGTTGTCGGTTGTTTTTCTTTTCGGTGGGTTGGTTGGTTGGTTGGCTGGCGTATACGTAGGTTATGGGGTTTGGGAATCGTTTCGTTCCGTTTCGTTTGGTGGCAATGAGTTTCTTATTTTTCTTTTCCTTTTCTTTTTCTTCGAGTAAAGTAAGAATTTGTTGTTCTTCTTGAATCTTGATAGTCTGTCTGGATGAATGGACTGGGCTAGGCTGGGCTGGGCTAGGCTCGGTCGAGTTGGTGTTGGTTGATGAATGATATGACCGTGATGATGGTTTGGTTTGGTATGATACCAACGCTACAGGGAGGGATGAGGAGGGGTGGGAATGGAATATACCGCTGTGTTTTTTCACTTGCCGTTGTGCAGTGGCTGGATGTGATGTTTGTGGTGACCTTCAGTTGTTGGGTCTGTTGCTTGTGTTGCTGGCTATGCTGGCTATGCTGTTATGCCATGCTGTGGTAGGTATGCTATGCTATGATGCTACTGTATGCTGTGCTATGGACGCTATGGAAGCTATCTAATCCGTATCCCAATATCCTCCCTCCTCCCATCATTCCCCTCCATCCCATTCCATTTGCCATATACGCCGTGAACACCACCCTCTTTCCCTTACAGCCCCATATATCCCGTCACCATCTCCACGCTCCACGCTCCCACGTCCTTCATCCATGGCACGAACAAAGTCAAGCCCACCCCGCACCCCGCACCCCACACCCCACCCCACAAAAACCCAGCTCACTCACTCATTAACAAACAACCCCCAATCCCTTACTTCCAACGATCCCAGTAGCAAATCCCTCAGCTCAAATGCCCTGGCCATAGTCTCGCCCACCGCCCCCGGCCCCTCCGCCCTCGCCTCCTCCGCCGAAACGGGCACGTTAACCGTAACGACCAGATCCGTTGCGACGTTGTGCAGGCGCACGACGGTGGCCAGGATAGCCGTGTACCCTTCTCCCTCCGCGCCCTCGCCCTCGCCAACAGTCCCGCAAATACACCACGCCCTATTCCGTGTGCGCCCTTCACGCAGCTGTGACTGTGCACCAGGCATCTGCGCGCCGGGCACATCCACAGCCTGCACCCTCACCACGCGCGACGCCCGCGGGGACACGATATCGTCCCAGTGGATCTTCAGCGCCTCGTTGTCCCTACCCCCATCGCTGTCCCTACCCCCATCCCCACTTCCATCCCCGCCCCTGCCCCCGCTTCCGTCCGTGTCTGTGTCCCCGCCGACAGCCGGAATCGGCAAAGGCGGCTCAAGGATATCGAAGATGATCGACGTGTCTGTGCTAGTGGACTGCGGCACGAAGACTTCTTGCGTACTGGGCACTTCGCGGATGAGTGAGGCGTCGAGGTATCCTGGTGGCAGGAGGACGTGCAGGGCGCCGCCGAAGAGGGCCGTGGGGACAGGGGTTGTGGGGGTGCTCGTGGCGGTGGGCATGGCTGATTTAAGGGTGGGGGGTTTTCGGACTGGTGGGAAGGACAAGAAGGACCGTGTTGTGGTGGTGATATGGTTGTGGTTATGTGATGTTGTAGAGGGGATTCTTCGATGGCGGCGGGGCTTGCGTTTTGCGGATGGAGGGGGGTTTTTCTATGGTGGGGCAAGGAGACGCGATGGCACGTGATCTTCCCATCCATTGACTCACACACGCGATTTTGTAGGGCGGACGAGCTTCAACGAGGTGTCACCGCTGAGTCACCGAGAATTCACGATACAAGGCGGACATGACAGCACCTCATTTTTTTACTCTACCATCCAATCATCCAATCATCCACTATCCTGCCTGTCGTACCGCATAAGGACATACATAAAGGAAGATGAAAAAAAGAACAAGCCATGCAAGAAATACAAAGGGAACTGAAATTAATTATTTTTCCCTTATGCGAGGTAGGTGCTGGCCGAAACGTTTCCTCCCCTTCCGGTCCAGTTGATGTGGATGTTCTCACCAGCAGGCAGCGACTCAGAGGCGTTCTCGGGCTTCACGTGGAAAGTGTGGGCACCTGTAGTCGTATATTAGCATCACACTCTAAACAACGAAGTGGGCAGAGCATACCAAAGTAATCACGCTGGGCCTGGAGCAGGTTGGCGGGCAGGTTCTTGGTCCTGTAACCGTCGTAGAACGACAAGGCGGTCGAGAACGCCGGCGTCGGGATACCGAACTCAACACCCTTGCTGACGGCACGCCTCCATCCGGCCTGGGCGTTGTGGATGGCAGTCTTGAAAAAGTCGTTGAACAGCAGGTTCTCAAGATCGGGCTCGGCACGGTAAGCCTTGGTGATGTCGGCAAGGAAGACCGAGCGGATGATGCATCCACCGCGCCACATGAGGGCGATGGCGGGGTTGTTGAGCTTCCACTTGTACTCCTTGGCAGCCTATCGGATAATTGTCGCATTAGTAAACACTCGTTTTAACCGCCGTCCAGGCCCCACACACGTGGGGGACCTCCGGCGGGGGAAGAAGTGGGGCATCGTCTTACCTCACGAATCAGCATAAAGCCCTGAGCGTACGAAATGATCTTGGAAGCGTAGAGAGCCTGGATCGCGGATATTAGCCTAAGTCTTCCGGAAGAGAGCTGAGCGATTTTGCGAGAGCGGGTGTTGCCCCCCGCTCCCTCTCAACATCACCGAAACCTCTATCACCGACTCCGCTGACGGAATGGAAACTAACCTGTTCGAGGTCGGCAATGGCAGCCTCCCTGTCACCAGTGAATGCGGGAATTTCAGGTCCCTCCAAGATGCTGGAAGCCCTGACACGCTCCTCCTTGATGGAGGACAGGCATCGGGCGAAGACAGCCTCTCCGATCAGAGTGACGGGCATACCCAGGTCCAGAGCGTTGATGGCAGTCCACTTTCCGGTTCCCTTCTGGCCAGCGCTGTCGAGGATCTTCTCAACGAGGGGAGCGCCATCAGCGGGGTCGTTGTACTTCATGATGTCACGAGTGATCTCGATCAGGAACGAGTCGAGAACACCGGTGTTCCACTTGGTGAAGACATCACCGATGTCAGAGTTGCTCATGCCGTATCCGCGCTTCATGATGTCGTAGGCCTAAACCAATAGGGTCAGTCGTATGCACTCGAGGGAACGGCCAAATGTTCAACGCACCTCGCAGATCAACTGCATATCACCGTACTCAATACCGTTGTGGACCATCTTGACGAAGTGACCAGCACCCTCGTCTCCAACCCAGTCGCAGCAGGGCTCGCCGTCGGATTTGGCGGCAATGCTCTGGAAGATGTCCTTGATGTGGGGCCATGCCTCCTCGTTACCGCCGGGCATGAGCGAAGGGCCGTAGCGGGCACCCTCCTCACCACCAGACACACCGGCGCCGACGAACCGGATACCCTTGGCGGCGAGCTCCCTGGTGCGACGGTTGCTGTCGGGGAAGTGAGAGTTACCACCGTCGATGATGATATCGCCCTGGTCGAGGAAGGGGAGGAGAGCGGCAATGAAGTCATCAACGGCCGAACCAGCCTTGACGAGGAGCATGATTCTTCGGGGAGACTTCAGCTTCTCGCACAGGTCCTGGAGCGACTTGGCTCCGACGATGGACTTGCCTGGAGCGCTTTCATCAGCACACGTCGGACTCGACGCGGGAATCGTGCGGGGCCAAACATACCCTTGGCCTCGTTCTCGAGGAAGTGGTCAACCTTGGACACAGTCCGGTTGAAAGCAACAACGGTGTAACCTGCGCGGCTTTGTCAGTACACATAGTTCATGATCGCAGGCGATGCAGGTGTAGGATGCGAGGCGTACCATGGTCGGCAGCGTTAAGGATCAAGTTCTGTCCCATAGAGTACCTGCATTAGCCCTCTGCACACGTTACCCCCCCTCTGGTTGAACGTCCCGGGATTGGACATCACCACGAGCGGTTGGGGAATATTTTTTTCTTCAGATTTTTTTCTTTTTTCTGGTTTTTCTTTTGACTTACCTGACCCATGACAGCCAGGCCGATAAGACCGAAATCTTCGGGCACATAGCGTCAGTAAATGGCGATGTCAAAAACAACGTCAACAAGCGCGCGGAGAATTTCTCCGTGCAAACGCCCAAGAGACATCGATTTCTCCGCGGCGTGCGACTTCGTGGGGGGTGTATGGTCGTCATCGTATCGAGAACAAGAGTTACTAACCTCCACTGGGTTGCGAATGCGCAAGACCGCCAGTGATGGCAGCCAGTCGCGCCCTACAGTCAGCCTCGAGTTCAATATACACTCATAAAGTTCCACCAAAAGCCATTGACTGGAGAACGTAAGAGCCCATGAATAGAGCCACCGTTGGCACCAAACACAGGCCCTCTCGTCGTTCTTCGCATCACGGAGCGGGCGTGCGAATGCAGGGGGTTGATTGAGCCGCCGCCGTCCACAGCACCAGAGGAGGGCAGAAGAAACTGGTGGGGCATCGGCACGATGACGACATGGCCACAAGCTGATGAGAGGAAGACGGAGCAACGAGCAACGAGCAACGAGCAGCGTGAAACGAGAAACGAGAAACAAGCAAAACGCACAGGATACTCACACTGCCTTAGTATCAGCCATTTTGACGTTTTGAGATGTTCGGTGTGGGGTGGGTATGGGATTTCGGGTTGGATGGAGATGAGTAGAGGGAGGATAGGGAGGTTGCGGAGTTTCTAGTGGGAGGGAGGGGTTGATGGAGGGGGAGGGGTTCGCAGAGTTAAGTACGCGTTTACTGATTACTGTTCATGTAAGCCAGCCAGCCCCACGCAATGGCTTGGGAGGGGGGGAGGGGGGGGGGGTGCACGGAGTGAGGGAGGGAAGCCCGGTCCGCGGAGGACGAGGAGGGGTAAGTTGGTGGGTAAGTCAGTTGGTTACCGTTGAGTAACGCGATGTTTGGACCGACGCATAAATTAGAAGTCGGGAGAAGAAGAAAAGAAGCACCCCGGAAAAAGAGCGTGCATGGAGGATGGGTGTGCAGGTCGCAGCAAGGCAGCAGAAAGCAGCCTGAAGACATCTCCACTCTGCGTGCACTCCTCCCTGCGTATACTCGCTCGAGCTCTGGGCTCTAGGCTCTAGGTTCTGGAGCATACCCATGATGCGAGTGAGGCTTTTACCCACCACCTCCAGCACCACCACCAACAACACCAACACCACCACTACTTCTTCCAGCTGGCTAGCGAAACGCTTCAACGTCTCAGACCTGCAACGACCGGCAAGTACGAATAGCGGCGATGTTCGATGCATTCGGGCGTCAAACTATTGACTAAACACACCGTGAAGGTTGCGGTTACGCTGTTCATGCCCACGGTGTTCATGGGCTATGCGTGCATTCATCCCAGGACCGGCGAAACCCTATGTGAGCCGACGGTCTCAGCAGTGGCCAGTGAGACGGACACAGAGCGGATGGCCAGTCTCGATAGTGGTGGTGGTGATGGTGATGGTTGGCCCAGGATGGTGGGACACCCTGTCGAATTGAACCCTCCTCCAGCTCACGGGAATCATGCCCTCGGTTCTTACTGGAGGAGAGTGGACCATGTGGAGGTGGAGACGGCGATGGATGGGTTGGAATACCTACATGCATTTGAGACTGTGGTGCCCGTGGTAAGTACTTACGTAGGCACTTGCACACATAGAGTGCTATCCAGAGACATCCCGCGCTTTCGCTGTCACCGCTGGCGACTGTGCCGCCGAACCCGAGGGCGAGGGTTGTTTGTCCTCGGAGGCCCGAAAAGGCGCAGCCAGACGGCGGCCAGAGATTGCGATCGGAGACCGAACGTGGGATCGGAGAGGGGGTGCAGTTTGGGTGACAAACTCACCGCAGACCCCAAACCGGCCTTCGTTGCCGGAAGCCGCCGAGCAACAGAAAGTTTGAACCCAGGGAATCCTAGCCATGCCTGCAGAAGCCAAAAATTACCACCCGTCGGCGTCCATCCGGCCAACCAACTATCCACTTCCCCCTCCTAGCCCAACCAACCCCCAAACCCGACCCGCGACGACTTTGACGACCACAAAATAATCAGAATCGAGCAGGGATAGAAGTAACCCTCTCGTTTGTTCTGTCACGCTGCTCGCCTGCACTACCGGCGTCATCCACAAACACACGACCACCCACTCCCCACTCACTCCTCCACCCTCGCTCGCATCCCCAACACCCACCCCGCCACCTTCCACCCTACAACCAAAAACAGCCCTCACACCCCCCTTCATAGCTTCAGAAATGGCGGCCGCGATCAAAGCACTCAATGCTAAAATCCGTAGCAACAAGTACACCGACTACTTCTGTTCGACCCGTACGCTACCCTGTTCTACCACTACCCCCACCACCATCACCACCAATGCCCCTCCAAGACATGAGACGAACCGTGTCTCGCGTTGTTCGCACGCAGAATGCTGATACGGCGTGACGGATTCAGACTTCTGGGGCCCAGCTTCCAACTTCGGTATCCCCGTCGCCGCAGTGATGGACATTGTTGGCAAGGACCCTGAAGTGTATGCGACATCCCCGGAACTTGAAACGGCGGCAGCGAGAAAAGACAGCTGCGGAGACTGACGAAACTCTTGTCCGATACAGTATCTCGGGAAAGATGACTTCAGCGCTTGTGGTCTACTCCGCGGTTTTCATGCGTTACTCGATGGCTGTGACTCCTGCGAACTACTTGTTGTTCGGTCCGTACCACCTTATACCCGGCCAGCTTCTTCCCTTACCTCCGAAACTCCGACGTAGCAGAGGACAGTTATCTGACAACGAACGAAACACAGGTTGCCATTTCGTCAACGAGATCTCGCAGTTGACTCAAGGCTACCGCTACCTCCAGTACTGGCAGTACGTTCTTCTCCTCCCACTCTGCTCCCACCTACCATCACCGTCCTCTCCACATGCGCCCCAACACCCTTCCCCCGCACTCTCTCGCTTGGTTGCCCGCTCGCCTGCTCGACGTCTGTCCTGCATTGCATGAGAACTATGACCACACATTATACAAACACTCTGTCTGCCCCAGTGTCGTCCACGCTCTCCCCACCTGGCGCAGATCTCCCGCGCGTTCACCTGCATATATGCCGTCGTGCTGTTTCCCCGCAATCATGCTTCCCCGCACTTCACCGTCTTTCCCTTGCACCCTTCGCGTCTACACATACCTCCCTCCCTCATGCTCGATATTCCGCACCCACACACTTTATTGTTGCTAACAACACCTTCTCTTCCTCCACAGCAACGGAGGTCGCGAAAAGCACCTGGCGGAACAGGGAACCCCAAGTGCCATCAAGGACGCCGTGAACACCGCGGCCGACAAGGTCAACAAGGTCACGAAATAGTCCACATTCAAGCAGCTTCGATAGCATAGTCCTTTGTCCTTCCAGTTTTATTGGGTTGGGTACCATACTACGCTAGGACTTCAAACCTCTTTGTCTTCTTTGTTGTTGTGCTGGTGCTATAGAGGCGGGGCGGCGATAGAATACCACTGCGTTACGATGGATAGTGGTGGTAGTGGTAGTGGTGGTGGTGGTGGTGGTGGTGGTAGAGGAGAGGATCGATGATCTACAACTGATGATGATGATGGCCGATGGGGTGTGCGCGCAATCACGAAATATCATTGATTCGTGTCGTGTCATAGAGAAACATCCCACTGCTCAAGTATTCGTTCCCTTCCCCTCCAAGAAACATCGTTATCGTCAAGCAAGCAAAGCAAAGCAAACGCGGACAAGTGCAAAACAAAGACGGCACAATAACAAGCCTCAACAACCAAACCAAACCAAACCAGAACTAAACCAAGAAATGCTATGCTAGCAGGAGGTATAAATACAACATTCCAGTACATGTATGACCCGACCACCAAGCACCAAGCACCAAGCACCAAGCACCAAGTAGCGGGATAAATAAGCATATGTAGATACAGATCTCTCCGCGCGTTCGTTTATCCTGCCCGCTCCCCTTCCCCCGCCCGCCGGTCCCCTCCGCATCCCTTACTTGCCCACGCCCTTAACCGCCAGCTTCCGTCCGATATTTCCAAAACAGACGCAAGCACAGAACAGGACGCTAGCGATCCAGGTGCCGACCGCGATTGATCCCACTGACACGAGCCCGCCAACAACGAGCTCGTCGTGCAGCGCGCCGACCGGCGCCTGTATCATCTCGGGACTGATTTGCAGCAGGAATGCGGTGCCGGCGACGCCGACGAGCGACGCGAACCAGAAACCGGAGCGCGTGCGGTCCACGAGGAACCACAGGAACGGGTTTACGAGCGCAAGTGCGAGCGAGACTTGCAGGTTCGATTGCCATGGGAGGCGGCGCTGGGGGGTGTTAGCATCCGGATCTGGGGGTGAGAGGGGGGAGGGGAGGGGGGGGGGAAGTACAATTGCATAAGCGATCCCGACGAACGCGCCAATGCTTCTAACAACGGGGATCCACTCGGTCCTTCCGGCACCCTCATTGACCTCCTCGTCGTCGGTATCCTTCCCGTCGAGCCACGGCAGGACGCTCCCCAGGCCGACACCCGCCAGGCCCCAGAACGCGAGGTACCTTGTCGACCAGCGGTCAACGTCGACGCGCAGCGCGGCGCCCGCGCCGCCCTCGTGCAGGTGCGTGATAATCACGCCGTACGCGACGCCGAACACGAACAGGCTTGCCACTTTCAGCGCCAGGCCCGTCGCCGTCTCCTTCGATCGGTGCAGCGCCGCGTCCATGGCGGAGGAGCGCGCGGCCAGGCTGGGTTTGCGAGGGGCGAAGCCGTTGGACGGCGTGAGCGGCGTGAGCCCGTTGGTGTTAAAGTCCGCCATAGAGTTGTTGCGAGTTAGCTGCGAGGGAGTGGAGGACTCGTCGGTGTTATAGGTGCGGCCGTAGATTCCGAAGAGAGTGCTGGCGGTCAGAGAGACGGCCGACCGGTTGCGCCGAGGGGGGGCGTCCCGGTCCGCGTCTGAGGAGTAGGGGTCGAGGTGCTCCGAGTCGCCTGGGAGGTCGAAGGGGCGGCGAGGAACCGGGCGGTGCAGGAGGGGGCTTGTTGCGTCCGTCATGTTGTGCTGGTTGTTTGTTTTGTGATGGGGAACGGTGGGGATGGGAAGATGGGGGGAGGTGGTGGTGGTGGTGGTGGTGATGGCGTATGTGTGTGTGCGCTGTGTGTGAGGAGAGGACGCTGTGTGTGTGTGCGTGTGTGTGAGGAGAAAGGTGGTGGATTTATGTACGTGGTAGCGGTGCGGACGGTGGACGGTGGACGGTGGACGGTGGACGGTGGTGGGTGTCTCGGTTGTTGTCGTTCGTTCGTCGCTCACTGGTGAGGTGAGGATAGAATAGGATGGGATGGGATGGAGCGAAGGTCAGGTCACGCACGGTTTTTTTTACCGGTCAATACGGTAGTTTATGTAGCTGGATACATAGACCAATTTTGAACGTGAGATTTAGCATACGCAATTCGTGCCGAATCCTCTCCCCGCCCCCCGCCCCCTTCAAAGAAAAAATGCCATTGTCATCGTTACCGATGAAGCGTAATAACTGCCGCATTATTTTTTTATCCTCAGCCTTCAGTAGAGTATCCGGGGATGGATGCAGACATCGACAGAAGCTTGTGATCCCGCTGCTGTCCTCTCCGCAGCCCATCACAGAATAGAGTACACTTCGCTACGCACGTAACGTTTCCGGACCGCACATACCGTAGGTAATTGACCGTCACCTGCGCATTTCCTACCGTACCGTCCTCGACGGAAATCCAGCGGACCTACGTACTCTACCTATCCGCCCGCTGTCGCTCGAACTTCTCGCACATTCCCTTTCCTTTCCTTTCCTCCCCGTCACCCCTTCCCCCGCCGCCGCAAAGTGAAGCCGCTTCGCAAAGTGAAGTGTTGAGGATCCACACCCACGTCGACGTCGACATCCCTGCCGATATTTTCACATGTCAACCTCTACCTACTCCGCTTCCAGGGTTTTCGGTGGGATCGACACGGGTCCCGGTGCTGGGGGAAGGATCGGCGGGTTCTGAGAGGGGGGAGGGGGGCAGGTTGGTTTGACATATGGGTGCTAGGTGGGGAAGGGATTGGTATCTGGAAAGAAAGATGATACGGAAATGAAAGCGAAAGACGCCTCGGGGAATGGAAAATTGCAGCTGGGTGGGCGGTGAGGGGAAGATTGGACTTGTTCTCGTTCTCGTTCTCGTATGTGCCATTGATCTACGCGGGGGAGTGGCCAAGTTCCAACAGCCTGTCAATCCGATCCGATCCATCACGACGGTACCGGTACATCTGCGAGTGAGAGTTGGTGGTGCCACGGTGCCACGGCGATAACGATGTGTGTGTGGGGGGAGGGGGGGATTGAGTTCCGATTACCGGATTGACGGGCAGGCAGGTATCGAAGCAGGTATATAGCAGCCAAGTGTTTAAGGAGTACAATACACCGGTCGTCTTACATCAAACGCAGTATGACAACGGCTGCAGGGCAACATCAATGCGAGCTGCGAATAGCCAGGAGTGATACCCCGAGTAGATACCCCCATCTCGTGGAACTGGTTGGGCTTGATTTGCACAGTCAGCTACAGGTATATATTGTACGGCTGTGGGTTTGTAGCACCCAACGTACTCGGGTGGATATCCTGCTCTCTATATCTCCACTTCTCCACCTTTTCTTCTTTCTTCCCCTCCTCTCCCATCCATCTCATCCACCTTCGCTGCTCGAGTCATTCAAAGTCCACTCCCCTATGAAACGTGGGTTGAAGCAAGCAAGTCTGTGGAAATCTTCTATATCGAGCAACTTCAATGTCTTGCAGCGTCGGTACCTATCTGTCGCCGGCACGACCATCGTACATACCGACTGTGACCGTGACCGAGCGTTGGGCGTTGGACCTCTCGATACCTACCCAGACACGTCGGGAATCGAGAACCGGGAATCATACAGCTCGGTTGGACCTGTCCAAAAGGCGCGGACCGGTCAGTCGGTCTCCTCGGTATCTACATATCTACAAGCTTGATGTAGCCGACATTGAATCAAAACATATGTCCAGGGCTGGGCTGGATAGACATATACCGTCCGACGTGGAGACGAAGCTTCAAGGCCCCCAGGGAGACACATTTAACCAACGAGCTCCGTTGAACTCCTTCAGACGCGGTATCTAGGAGATTTGGCCGTTGCCCGGTCCCTACACTTCCCCCCACTCATCTTTCAGAATCCAGATCTGAGGCAGGCAGAATCAAATAGGTAGCAATCGTCATACATTTATAGCATCTACATCTAGGACAGTACCGTAGGACTTCAAAGTTCAAAGGGCGGAAAGCAGAGAACCCCAAACCAAACACCAACCTGCCACCCCCCAAAAAGGATATCCCAACATCTTTCATATACGAAAAGAAAGACAAAAAACATGTGGAAAGAACATGTGGAAAGAACAAACAAACGCAAAACGTGAAAAGAAATCCCCATACAATGCCGAGAACATAAAAACAATAGGTACAACAACAAGGGAGGCATGTGTCATGTGGCGTGTGGCGTTCTGCCTAGATCCCAAGGTACAGCTTGCACCGTTCGTAGACGAAGAAGCTGGTTCTATTGGCCGAGAGAGAGAAGTCAGTATGAGCGTCAAGACTCGAGAAGGACTTGGGATGGGATGGGACGAGAAGGGATTACTCACGCAACCATGGGAATGACTTTAACGTAGCCGATCGACAGTCCAACAAAGAACCCTCTGATCCCCCTCTCCCTAAAAATCTTCACCGCCGTCTCCGCAATACTGGGGAACCTCGCATCGCCCATGGCACCACCAACCTGCATCCGCCTCCGTATTACCTCCAACGGATAACTCGCCGTCTGTCCCGCCATGCCCGCGAACCCACCAGCCGCCAACTCCGCCCACGCTTTGAGCACCGGCTTCTTCGCCTTGCCGCCGGGAGTTACATACGGCGGGGAGTGTCTTGCCACCGGCAGAGAGCGCAGCCAGTCGCCAGCAATATCGTGCGTCAGGAAGGAAACGCCTGCGTACGGCAGCATGCCGAGCATTGTCGGCGAGAACCCGCGGTAAAAGTTACTGAACCCCCGGAGGACCGGGTACGACGCATGTTTTTCGCGGTAGATATTCCTGCACAGCGCGCGCAACCCGACCCTCTCCTTCCTTGTGTCGAAGGCGGAGCGCACACGCACGACTTCCAGCGGGTAGGTGAAGAACACCGATGTGACGCCCGCGAGCGACCCCGACGCGAACCGCCGCCACGACTTCTCCTGCTGCGGGTTGCGGATCAGAACACTGCGGATCTGCTCGTACGCTACGAACTTGATCGCCGCGTATGGGAAGATCCGTAGCAGTGTTGCCGAGTGCCCGCGGAACAGCCCGAGCAGCCCGTCGTGCCGTCGGATCTCTTGTACCGCGTGGAAGACCCCCGACCAGCTGCCTGAGTACTTGAGGAATTTCGGGTTCGAGGCTTGGAAGAGGATCTTGACACGGTCTAGCGGCGCGATGAGGGTTTTTGCCTGGAAGATGTGAGTTTGTGGGCCGAGGGTAGAGGGAGTGAGCGTGGCTTACGGCGCATCCGGCGGCACCTCCGGCGAGTCCACTGCGCAGCATGTAGTCGAGGGACTGTTTATGAATCTTGTCGTTGCGCGAGGAAGGCCCCCGCGTCGTCGACGTTACCGTAGCAGCAGCATTTTCGGCGGTCTTTGATACTTGGGCGGCGACGAGGGACTGGTCGTGGCCCTTGAAAGTCAAGGCTTCTGGCATTCCCAACCGTAGAAAACGTGCCGCTGATCGGAGAAGATGATGGTAGTGCGATGTTGGGCTACGGCGGGACGGAGATTATCTCTAGAGTCAGTAGATTCGGAATCGATCTCGACTCCACTCTATGTCGCGTGTTTAGTGTTGGACGTCGACGTGGAAGGGACGGGTTGTGGGGAAGAAGGTGACGGTAGGTATCCGAGGCTAAGGGCTTGTATGACGTCTGCTCCGTGAATACCCATTGGCCCGCACAAAAAGCAAGCAACGGAGATGAGATGATACGTGAGGCAGAATTTCTATTCGTCTTTAGTTAAATACCCGAAGACCTCTCTTTCGTCTGCACTCGAGACGTTCATGCTCTGGAACCTAAAGCTTGTGATCCTTTTTCGCACAAAAGTCCTCCGTGATTAGTTCCTCTGTGGCCACCCGGCTGCCTTCGGTTCTCTCCACTCCGAGCTTTCCACCTATAGAATTCAGACATCGTCTACATACACATTCTCGCCGACAGGCCGAGCCAGCCACAGAGTACGGTATGTAGATATGCTCCGCGGGGGATCACTCCGAGACGATGGACGACCGGGGAGGCAACCGCCGTTTTGAAGACATGGGACTGTCACATGCCGCGAAGTCGGTGGGAACTTGAACTACGTATTTGTCAGCACCGCATATCGAATGTATCCATGAATGTCGGTGAATCGGAGGAAGTTCCATGCCGAACAATTTGTGCACTGAAGTATATAGTATGGTTAAACCTTTGAATTTAGCTATTGCTGAGCCTTCCGTTCTGCCTGAAAGATGCATCGTCCAGAATGCATTGGGTGATGTATCATACGAGTTGAAATCCTTTGCTACTATTGTGAGAATTTATTCAATGAGGTACTTAGGGACATTCCTTAGACCAGCGCAAGCTTCGCACTGGTGGTGGTATTCGTTGTTCTTGAACTTTGGGACGGCATCAAGTTCTCTGGTCCCTCGGGGGTCCCGAATCCGAACCAGCAGACATCGCGCTCTCGGGGCTCGTGCAAGAAACCTACCGACTTGGGGGACTGAGGTGGTTTATCAAGCCAGTTCTGTAGGCAGCGAAGAGTTGCAGTATCAGCACGGCAGAGAATGCGAATAGATTCTGCAAACAACGAGTGATTGTGAAGGTATAAAGAGTGTGCAAGCCAACCCAACAGAAATCGAAATTAAAAAACGCCGTGGTCCATCCCAGCTATCCCTCCGTAAATTTATTTACAAGTCTCAATCATCTTCCCCACCAGCCCCATCAATGTCTCATTCTCCAGAGCACTCATGACCCGCTCCTTATCCGCAAGCTGTTTGTTTAACTGCTTATCGGTCGTATGAGTTCCCTCCTTGCACCTAACATCGATGCGGAACCTTGGGGGCAAGGCCTGCTGCAACCGCACTACTAGACCCAGACCTATCACCGTCGCGAGGTGGCAGTGGGTAATGGTGGGTGTAAACTCGAGGGTGACGTTTGCGGTCAGCTCGTCAGTGTTATCGCGAACCGAGATGTGCTCCAGGTTGACCACGGCGAGCTCGCCCAGGGTGATTGGGTGTTCGGGATCGCACATTGTTGCTACGAGGTCTGTTTTCTTGCGTCAGCTAGTTGGCCCAACATAATGTGGATACGGGAAATAAGAGTATACCGTAGATCTCCTGTGCATCGATACCATCAGCCTCATCATCATCCTCACTCTCGTCCGTGCCCTCGTCGGCCACCAGGTCGGAGGTGGCGGCGAACGGGTCGGCCGCGTACGTCGGCGGAAGAAACGCATGCGCTCGCTTTGGCCGTGCGGAAGCCGCGGGCTTCCGTGTGGGAAGGTCGGCGATGCTGAGGATCGTGGGGTTGGCATTTTGCATCTCCATCTTTGCTGCCGAGGTGAGGTGTGGTGATGTCAAGAGTGGATATAGACTCGAGTATAAAGTGGTGTAACTGTAGCTACACTCTTGGGAGGCGACGGTAAATTCCGGCGCGGTCACCCCGCTATTCCTGCTAACTATGGTGGGGCAGATGGCGGCAACACACGCAAATAAATTTTGAATTACAAATTCATCGCGAGTGAGTTCGAACCGAACACGCATCTGCACCGAAGACACCACAACTGCCCACGCTCACTCATCTGCGACCTCCTCTATTTGCTCCACCGGTAGGTATTATCAATCCTTAAATCCACTCGAATATTGCTTGAGTACTAAAGTTACTAGCACTTTCTCTCCCAGCAGAACCCGAACCCTCCTCGGCCACACCGAAACTATACACCACATACACACATCCGCAATGGCCGCCCCAACAGCGACAAATCCCACCGTCGAAGACGAGCACGATGACGACAACACCCTGGACATGAACGAGATCGAGGAGATAATCGCGGACGACAGTGACCACGACCACGCCATGGACGAGGACTCCGACGACGATGCGCCCATGGACGAGGACAACGACGACGACATGCAGCTCGAAGTCGTCAATGACTCCAAAGCCTATTTCGACGGGCACAGCAGCAGCAGTATTTTCAGCATCGCCGTCCACCCCACCGACAGCTCACTGTTCCTCACCGGCGGAGGCGACGACGTAGCGCACATCTGGACGTCCGCGCCGTCGTCGGCCGCCGATGCCGCCGTCACCCCGCGGGAATGCAAGAGCATCCGGAAACTCGAAGCACACAAGGACTCGGTCATCGCGACAGCGTTTACCGCGCCCGACGGCGCCTACGCGGTCACGGGAGGCCTCGACGGCCAGCTCCAACTTTTTTCCGCCGCCGTTGGCTGGAAGAAGGTCGACTCTGCGCAAGAGGTGGAGGAGATCGTGTGGATCGCCTCACACCCTAGCGACCCACTGGTGGCGGTGGGAACGAACGAGGGTTCCGTGTGGCTATACGATGTGGACAGCGATGCGCTCAACATCCGACATGTGCTGTACTCGCACACCACTTCATGCACCGCAGGAACTTTCACGAAATCCGGCACGCTGCTGTGTACCGTCTCTGAAGACGGGAGCTTCATTGCCTGGGACACGTCCTCTGGCCAGGCGATCGTGGCTCTCACATCGAACGACCAGCGGTTCGCAATCGAGGGTGGACTCTACTCCGTCGCCACCTCGCCGAGCGGCAGCGTCGCGGCCGTCGGCGGTGCGAGCGGTGAAATCCGTATCGTTGGACTCCCCATGGGCGCCGCTCCTGCCACGGGAGGAAAGCGCACTGCTGGTCGCCCGCAGGCTGGCGGCGGTGGATCCACCGGAGGAGGCCAGGCGGGTCAGATCCTTGCGGCGCTGAACACCCATTCCGAGTCCGTCGAGAGTCTTGCATTCCACCCGACTGTTCCTCTCCTCGCCTCGGGCTCCGTCGATGGCAAGATTGGACTCTACGATGTGGCTCGTGGGTTTGCGCTCAGGAAGATGCTGGATGCACATGTTGATGCCGTCGTCAAGGTAGAGTTCGCTCCTACCGATGCGTGGGTGTTGACTAGCTGTGGTATCGATGGCACAGTGAAGAGGTGGGATGCTAGAGCGGGCGTGGAGATTGCGAACTTGAAGGGACATCTGGGTGGTAATGGGAATGAGGGTGAGGGTGGTGTGCTCGGCTTTGTACAGACAAGGGACCGTATCATCACGGCGGGTGATGATGGTGTTGCGCTGGTATTTGAGCTTGAGGGAGAGGCGGTCACAGGTATTTCCATTGGTGCGAGGTAAAAGTAGAGGTGTTTTAAAGGTTTCATAGAAGGGTTTCTGCGCGAGTGATGCGTTATGGTGGATTTTTTTATATATATACCGGGGATTATCAATTGCAAACTTGCTGGAATAAAAGTTGAATCGAAAGTCTTTGGTTTGTTCAATTCTAAAAATCTATTCTTGCCCCCATAAGAAAGCTTCGAGGCCTCTCTGCATCATAGCAAAAAAAAAAGCGATATTCAGCCCATTAATATAATGCACCGTAAACTCCGTTCCTAGAAACTTTTCCCCGCCGAGAAGTAAACCCTCTTCATTTACTAGTCAGACCCTTCCTCTGCATGGCGCCGCTGAGCCAATCCATATACTCGCTCTTCGAAGTACTGCACTTCAGCTTCTTCGCGAGCTCAGGATCCTTGAGGCAGAGCATCTCGTACTGGTCCCATGCTGCATCCTCGTCTTGATCTATCCAGTGCAGCTTCTTCCATTCCTCCTCTTCGGCGAGACGCAATGCCTTCATAGTCGAGCTCATCTGGGACACTTCCTGGTTGACTGTCATGTGCACCGCGCGGGCCTGCGCTGGTTTCTCAGGCTCCTCGGCGTCGCGGAGAGACCTGCTTTGCGCCCTCTCTGCAGCATGTTGCGCGTCGACGTGATAGAACTGAGGTCGTAGTTGAAGGGTGGAGCGAACCGGAGTGACGTGTAGTTGGTCTGCGACAGAGGTTTAGATATGTGCAAAACAAAGATGGAGGCGTGCAGGTAGATAACGTACCGCCCGTAAAGACCCCAACCATATACTTGGCTTCATCGGCCTGTATCTTACTTCCCAGTGTCTGTTTACTCAATATCCTCCCCTTCTTGACCGCCTCCTGGAAGTCCACGAACATAATATCGTCCTCTTCCTCATCATCATCCTCTCCCTTAACCTTCCTCCTCTTCCCCGCCCTCGGACCGATCGCCTTCCCTGGCAACCCGCTCTCCTTCGCCTGTTGATTCTTCCTCAGCACATCACCCCAGATCCTGCCCTTTTCTTGATCGAAGTTGATCGCGGTATTAACGGGCACATCAACTTCCACCAGTCCTGCCTTCGGTTTCCACCTCGCGTCGACGGGACACGAGCTCTGCGCCTTGTTGTACGGCTTCGTCTTTGAGCGCACCGGGTACTGGAATAGATATAGGCTCTCAGCGAGTTCCTCGGTCATGAAGATGTCATACTCGCGGACTACGGGATCCTCGTCGGATTCGTAGTCGTCGTCGTCCTCGCTGGGTGAGGCTGGCTCGGAGTCGCTGGCGTCATCGCTGATGTCGACATTGAGCCTCGGGGGTGCCGGAGCTTTGCATGTGGTAGTTGTCTCGTTGTCCTCTGAGTCGGAATAATTCGTACCTGAAGGGCCGGGACCGAACAGCGGGGTGTCTTCTGTAATTTCGGTGGCGATGGGTACTGGCGGTGAGGTCGCTGATTGCAATGTGGATTGCTTGCCGGCACGGGCGACCTTTGGTGCTGGAGGCATGGTGGGGGTTGAGTTGAGTGGTGAATGGTAGGTTACTCAGAGATGCGACTTGGATACTCTAGATGCCTTTCGAGAAGCTTGGCACGGGATTCTCCGTCAATTTCAGCCTAGTAAAGTACAAGGGTGAAAGGGTAAGTCGTGACCACCTCAAATTCGTCGTAAGTGTGATATATAGACTCTCAGAGTCCCGACTCCATGATTTGAATGGCAACTGCACTATTTGCTTTCTCAGTGCTGCCGAGTCAATGTTGACTCCCCACATCCGAGTTGCGCGGGATAGTTAAAATAGTCTATTTTACACCAACCAAGTTCCAACATCCATCCCCACTACATACAAGGCGATCTCCAGCATGAGGCCTAGTATCTAGTTGATCTCCACACAAAATCTCACTTATTTCGCTGCAACCGGCCAGTGTATGGCCCTTTTAGGGCTGGCCTCCCGTACAACTGCAATGGAGACGGTCACGACTTAAGGCTTCCTCCTTCTACACACCCTTAACACAAGTAACAGGACCCAACTTTTTGATACCCAGCCAAACTGAAAACACGATTCATCATCAACGCAAATCCATATCCGCCCAATTCCGCTTCTCGTAGGGTAACAAAGCAGGAGTTTTCTCAATTCGTGTCAATCGGAACTGTGGTATTCTATACCATCACATGGCTGAACAAGAACGACACACTCTCACCGTTGTGTGTCCGCCTACACGCCTCCGCAATCTGCATCACACATCAGCACTCGCGCCTTTCATCGTTCACCGCGGGGAACAAACCGTAGGAGCAACGTCAATCGTATCGATTTTAGGACATCTCTTCTTCTTGTCCTCATGCGGAACAGTATCCGTAACCACCAATCTACTCAGCCTGCTGTTTGACACCTTCTCGCAGGCATCACCCGAGAGGATACCGTGTGTTACGATGGCAACCACCTCCTTCGCTCCGTTGCTCATCAGCACGTCGGCAGCTTTGCAGAGGGTTCCGCAGGTATCTGCCATGTCGTCCACCAGGATTGCGATCTTCCCGGTCACGTCTCCGACCAGCGTCATTCGGGACACCTCGTTAGGCCGTGAGCGCTCCTTGTGAATGAGGGCGAAGTTCAGGTCCAGTCGGTCGGCGAGAGCGGTGGCACGCTTTGCTCCGCCGGCGTCGGGAGAGACGATCACGGCGTTCTTGTAGTCGAAGTGTTCGCGGATGTAGCGGAGGGTGAGGGGTTCGGCGTACAGGCTATTTACTCTACTATCAGTCCTCTTGCGTCCTTATTGAGTGCGCGTGGTGAATCAGACTCACTTATCGACTGGTACATCAAAGAAGCCCTGTATCTGCGACGCATGGAGGTCCATCGTGATGACATGGTCGCACCCGGAGCGCTGAATCATATTCGCAATGAGTTTCGCTGAGATCGGTGCACGGGATTTGTCCTTCTTGTCCTGACGGGCGTATGGGAAGTTTGGCATAATGGCGGTGATGCGACGAGCAGACGCGGTCTTGCAAGCTTTGGCGATGATCAGAAGCTCCATCAGGTGGTCGTTCAAATCCTCGCCGGGACATGTTGTCTGCAGGATGAATACATCCTCGTCGCGGACCGACTCTCGCATTATGACCGAGGTCTCTTGGTTCGAGTATTTGAATACGCTCATGTCTAGAAGCTCAACTCCCAGTCTCGTAGATGTCAGCGCATGCTTTGAACCACCGCGCTCACCGCCATCGCCACCCACCACCACCGCGCCCACCGCTAGAATATTGTGATTGCATACCGGTCTGCTACTCGCTTCGCTAACTCGGGGTGGGAGTTTCCGGTGAGAAGTTTGATTGAGTTGGAAGCCATGTCTGCTTGTTGTTTGCGTTTTGCAGCAAGTGATCGCAGGTATGGACTGGCAAGAGCTTCCGAACTTTTCTTTTCTTCGACTTCCAAACGGCTTGGAACGGTTGAATTAAAGCTTCTGGTCGTGTCAGCGTTCCGCGACAATAGAACTTCTCAAGACGACCCCACAAGAGCACTCCGAACACGCACAGTAGAAAAGCACAAGCAAACAAAAAAAAAGTTATATTGGTTGGCGGGGATACGAGCTGTGGGGGGATGGAGGGGCATTCCACAAGCGGGCACGCCAGGGACTCCTCAAACCGACTAGCCGGGTAAAGAACATCACTACCCGCGCTAATCCCGTTACGCCATTCTCTTTGCGAACACGGAGAAGAGAGCTGTGGCTGTTGCTCTAAGCCATCATCGATCTGAATCTAACAAGCTGTCCTTCCTGGAGAAACAACTTTCCAACACCACCACATACCAACCACACGCACTATCACGACGTCACGAACGAGAAATAGAATCTTGCCATCATGGTAAGCTTTTACTCAGGCAGTAGGGGGAAAAAAAGTGCAGGGTTGACTGACCAAATGTGGTATATAGACGCACACCCAAATGTCGAACCTCCACGAGGACATGATCGTGAGCGCCCCAATCCCGGATCCACACAAACAATACCAGTATTGACTCGTATGGCCCTTTAGCATGATGCCGCTCTGGATTACTACGGCAAGCGCCTCGCAGTATGCACAATGCCCCTCCTAACCAACTGGCCAGCAAACCTTATTAAGACATCTATACACAGACCTGCTCCTCCGACAAGACCATCAAGATCTTCGAAGTCGACCGCGAGAACCACCGCCTGCTCGAGACACTACGAGGGTACACGCCGTCACCCCCTCATACTCCCATACCCACGGCTGACATGCTGTGCTCTACAGCCACAACGGCCCCGTCTGGCAGGTCTCCTGGGCGCACCCCAAATTTGGCAACATCCTCGCGAGCGCCTCCTACGACGGCAAGGTGATAATCTGGCAGGAGCGACAAGGCCAATGGTCGAAGCTGATTGAGCACGCGAACCACCACGCCTCTGGTGCGTTTCCCCCCTCCCTCCCCTCCCTCTCTTCCCAATCCAGCTAAACATGCCATAGTCAACGCGGTACAGTGGGGCCCGCATGAGCTCGGCGCGATCCTCGCCTGCGCCTCCAGCGACGGAAAAGTCTCAGTCCTCGAGTTCAAAGACGATGGCTCGTGGGATACCAAGACCTTCAGCGCGCACGCAATCGGCTGCAACAGTGTCTCCTGGGCACCTGCCACCACCCCCGGAAGCCTCGTGCAGACCTCGCAGCCGTCTGCGCCCGCCACTCAGCGAAAGTTCGTTACCGGTGGTAGCGACAACCTCGTCAAGATCTGGAGCTTCAAGTTTGTCCCCCCCTCCCGGACGAAGGAACTATGGAAGGATAGTTGCTGATTGATTTAGTGCCGAGGTCGGAACTTACACCGAAGAAACCACGCTCGAGGGCCACCAGGACTGGGTCCGTGATGTTGCCTGGGCGCCCAGCATCCTCCCCAAATCCTACATCGCGTCGGCGAGCCAGGACAAGAGCGTGATCATCTGGACTGCCGAGAGCGCCGAGGGCCCCTGGACGAAGAAGGTGCTCCCCATGGACTCGGTCATGTGGCGGGTCTCTTGGAGTCTTAGCGGAAACGTGCTGGCGGCCAGCGGAGGAGATAATAAGGTTACCCTGTGGAAGGAGACATTGAAGGGTGAATGGGAGAAGGTCAGTAGTGTCGAGGAGTAAATTTGCGGGTTTCTTGTGTAGCATTGTCGATTTTACTTGCTTGCTTCGATAACCCTCACGAAAAACTTTGGTACCTTTTTGCAGCGAAGTTGGATGGCGGGATAATGATGGGTTGGAAAGTCTTATACTTCTTTACTACCGATAGACAATTGTAGGCGGCGCAGCGAATATCAAAATTTGTGGGGGTTGGTTAGGTTTTTTTACGAGCTGCTTGAACCCCCTATGTGATCAAAACAGACACCGATTCACGTACGCGCATTTGCAAGTAATGTCTTTATGTTTCGACTGCCCACGATCAATAAATCCCGCTTTTCCATCTAACATCCCCCCATCCCACCGACCACTACACTACTGAAGCACCCCATCCACAAGCCAAGCAAGGTATCTCAGACATTTCCCATAAAAGGAAGAATAATTACGTGCCAGGCCCACCCAAGAGGGCAAACCGCCTCACGATGCTAGGACCAATCTCATCGTACTCGGCCTTGGTGTGGCAGTAACTCCTGAACTCGGGAGTCTGACCCAACAAACTTCCTCCGAACCATGGTCCGTGACGTTGTCGCTTGTGTGTGATGACCTGGACCTCAAGGCCGCCGGACTTGGCGCCACCGGAGCGGGCCTCTGATGCGCGGAGGCGGTCGTCGACTAGGTGGCGGATGTCGCGCTGGAGACGACGACCAAAGTCTTTGTAGAGTGTTGAACCACCCGAGAGGACAATGTTCTACCCATGCGGCTTAGCCATAGGTTGTGGGAGTGGGGAGGGAGTGAACATACCTTGTAAAGGCCTCTCCTAACATCAATAGGAGAGGACTGAATGACATTGTCGACGACATTGGGTAGCGGCGTCAAGAAATCACTGGAGTAGATCTCGGGATTGAAGAAGATCTCCGGCGCCAAAAAGCGCTCGTAACCCACGTCAACGGTTACCTTCTTTCCGCCGAGCTGCTCGACAACGTACTTCTGGAAGCGCTCGGGCTCGCGGTCGAAGCGCGTGAATTCCTTCACGATGTCGGGACAAACGTAGCAAAGCTCCTCCTTGATCTGCTCAGCGGTCTTGAGCGACGAGTCGGGCTCGCCACGGTCTCGTAGTAGCGATTGAACGAAGTACGTGATGTCTCGTCCGGCAATGGGGATCGATTTGATAGATGAACCAATGACGTATCCTTCGGCCTGTGAGAGAAGTCCGGTTTAGTTCGGAGTAGCCTGTGGGAGTGTGTGCGGAGGGAAGCTTACGACTGGGATAACGTGGGTGACACCGTCTCCAGAGTCAATCACGGTTCCTGTCAAGCTCCGGTCCTGAACCTTGTTGCTGGTCCAGCTTGCGGCGAGAGCGAGCACAGCTTGGACGGCGATGTAGAGACCGGCACAGTTAAAGGATTCGAACATGATCTCGGCAGTGTTTTCTCGGGATTCCGGAGGATTGAGTGGCTAAATTGTGGATGCATTTAGCTTTGCTGCTATGTCTATCCAACTTCAAGAAGTCCAGAACATACCGGCTCGGTGAGGAGGAAGTAGTGGTCCTCGGGTTCAACGCGTAGGTACTTGAAGATGGAATTCTGCCAAAAGCGCTCCATGTGATCCTGCGATACACGTCAGCTACCAAAGAGCATACGCAAAACATCCTCCGTATCACATACCCAGTTGTCAACCTGTCCATGCCTTATGGGGTAATTGATGCTGTATCCTGCAGTGCTTCTCCATCAGTCGTTGAGCCAACTATAGCTCCCGGGACGGGAAACCGAGCTAGCGTACCGGGACCCGCAGCTTGAGCAAGAGCTTCATCTCCAATGAAATAGTCCAAATCCTCAGTTCCTCTCTTTGCGCTCAGATGACCGGAAGGTCCTCCTCCTCCAGTGAGATATGATGGCTTCTGAGCCACAGCTGGACGTCCCGGACCTCCGGCGCCGCCGCCGGCCGGACCCTTTGTCGCGATCGCCGTGGGGAAAACGAAGGAAGGAGAATCATTGCCGGCGAATCCTGTATACTCTTAGCTCGAGAGAAGACCGAATTGGGCTGAGGCGATGCGACGAACCCAATTTCGAATACCCTGTGCCGCTGTTTGGAAGCTGTGTCAGTAAACGTTGATTCTGGGGATGCGTGGCCGGCGAAGCTGGAGGTGCGCGGGAGCTTACTTGTCCATGACAACGGCTGGAGTCTGAGAAGCCATAGCGGAGGATGGTATCTACACGTCGATATTGGAAAGCTGCAGATGACAGTTGAATGGAATCTAAGCGTGTTCGTGGTGAGCTGTTTGGAGTGTTAGGGGAGAGGCGGGGGGATGAACGTTTACGTTAGGCTGTTGCGTCGGAGGCTCCCAAAATGTCTCGGCACTGGATTGCTCCGCCTATCACTCGCACCGGCATCACCGGACTAAGCCCAAAGAGCTTTACACACATAACCCTGCGAAAGCCCCAAAGCGGGTCGTAGCACGGGAAGCGCTGGTGGAGCATGGCTGAGCTGTTTGCTGATGCGAGATGCAACCCAGCAAGTAGATATTCAATTGGCTCTGAAAGGGGTTTTCGATAAATGACCAGAGTAGCGTATTTGCATTTTAAGCTCAAGCTTAAGGCCATACCACTGGGACAAAAAACTAGCAGCATCAGGCGAAGCTCTTCACATAAAATGACTCGGATATTTCCGAACTCGAAAGTTGAAACTAAGAGAAGAACTTGACTTGATTGATGTAATGATACGAGAAAGATGAGAAAGACGAGGAAGAAGACTGCTTATAATGGAAGACGGAGATGAAGCCGGAGACAGAAAATGCGACGATAGCCGTCGCCGGACTGGGCTGAGGGCTGAGGGCTTAAAGAGGCTGATTCTGGTGAGAAGCCAGGGACAATGCTAAGAAGCCACGAAGGCCATGAAGGCTGTATGCGATGCAAAGGGACAGAGAAAAGTGCCAGTGACACCGGAATAGGTAGGCAATAAGACGCACAATGTCAACAATCGGAACAGCACTTTGGGCGTGCTAACAACCAGCCCGTAAGGATGGATGAGTATGATGTCTTCGTGAGTCGTTTGTCCCGGCAACTGTCCGCTTAGGGGTTGAGGAAGAAAGGTGTATCAACGTCGGGAACAAGATTGTCGATGGAGTGTAGGAGGAAATTGGTGATGGTTTATTCCTAGTCTAGGGAAGACGAGGCGATAGGACAAGAACAAACTCGTCCCATAGGCCTACCAGTATGTTCAATTAAGAGGCTGTGATGGTTATATTCACGAGAGTCCGCAGGAAAGTGATCCATTGGCCTCAGGCTGGGGACGTAAAAGTGCTCAGGGACCAGATCTACTTGAATCTCATTGACGTACCACTATTCGCCTATCCATCCTCCCAAGCAATTGCTAACCCGACAGCATTTACGCATGCGAGTTTGTCTTCATGATCTCCTCCTCCACTATCCTAAATCCCTTCATGACACTGCCATACTCCTCCCAAACACCCTCCTTATACGCATCCCCGATCCTAACCGCGTGCGTCTCTTCCTCCCAATATCTATCCACATAATCCTCGAACGCCTCACTCCCCTTCCTCTCCAGCGCCCACGCAGCATAGTAAGACGCACCTAGCGCACACGCATTGCTGCCGATATCCAACTTATATGCACCCTCGAAGCCGCCGAGGACCTCGGCTGTAATACTCATGATAGCCGCGTTCCTGCTCCCACCACCAACAAAGTACAGTCTGCGCGGTTGGGCCTTGTGTCCGTTGTGCGCGTCGGGAGAGAGCAGTGCTTCTGAGCGCATACGCATGGATAGTGCTTGGGACTCGATAATGGCGCGGACGTCATCGTGCGGGAGGTTCCAGCCCTCTTGCGTCTCCTTGATCGTTCCGTCCGTGGCAGAGTAATTGTATCGCCAGGTGCCTTTGTTCGCGCTGGGAATGTTTTCTGGAAGCGGGAAGTAGACGCCGATTTTGGCCGGGTCTGAGGAGGTGGACCGTCCAGCGACTTGCGTCGAGTCCACGGCTTTGCCAAATTCGGCCCAGGACTTGTCAGTGACCCCTTTGGACTTGTTTATTTCGTCTCGTACGCCTTCACGAGCAAGGGCACCGTTGCAGTAGCAGAGCATGAACATGTACAGCCCCTTGGTGGTCGGGTGGTTGAAGAGGTGGTATTCGGTTGAGGGATAGTAGGTGGGAGTGGACATCAGGAGGGTTGTTGATGTGCCCAAGGAGACGATTGCATCCAGAGGCCTCAAAGGAAGTGCAAGAATTGTGGAGGGGTTGTCACCAGTGAAAGGCAGAATTGCACAGTCTGTAAAGTGGATATGTCAGCCTCCAGGTCGTACGTGGCCGTAAGGGAAGAACCCACCAGAACTGAACCCAAAGCGCTCAACAAACCACTTCGAGATACCCCCCAGAATACTGCCCATGTTATGCGCGACATTCCCAAGCTTTGCAGATAATCCCGCCACACCACTTTTGGAGTCTTCGGCGGTGAGGGCAAGCAGTTTCTTGTCCCAACAGTCGCCTTGGATGTCCCAGAGGTTCATTCCGCATACATCGCTGATATCAAGCGGTGCAATGCGTCCAAGGAATAGTGAACACAGGAATGAGGAGACGAGAGAGATGCGTGCAGTCTTTTCGTATACCTCAGGGTTCTGACGGTGGAATTTCTTGATCTGCGGCCCGGTGAAACGCTGCACAACCACAAGTCAGCCGGAAACTGGCCGGGAACGCTGGAGAAACGTGACTGACATGATGCGCCTTCGAGCCCGTAATCCGTGCTAGTGCTTCACCGCCACCAGTGGCTTCCTCAAATTGCTCACACTCCTTCTGCGTGCTGTGATCTTGCCAGTTCGGACTCCAAGGGTGTGTGAAAGCTCCATCCTTCAGTTGGTCGACGAGGGACGCCTTGGGATCGAGCGACGCAAGAATCTCCTCCGCTTTTTCTGACCAGTATCTGTCCCGCTTTTAGCAAGGGTCGTATGACGGGGTAGATTCGCCATACACACTGCCATGCTGTTGTCCAGCACCAGAAATACCCTTAACGGAAGAAAAGTCGAAGCCGCTCGCCTTCATCTGAGTGAGGAGGATATCGAGCGCCTCAATCCACATGGCAACTGGTGCGTAAACCTCGTGGTCTACCTCGTTCTTGTGGACCCCGCCATGAACGCCATAGTGGGGCGTGTCTTTGTCAAAGAGGATAGCTTCCTCGTGGACTGGCTTGAGGTCGGCGGTCACAGCAAGACCTGTTCGGGACGTCAGAACAAGACTCAACTTACTCCGATGCGGGGTTCGTACACTTCAAACCAGAGGAGGAGAGGTCGAATCCGATGTATGTTGCGGGCATAGCTGGAGCTTGGACAATCAGGGACAATGGAAGAGATTTATTTGGTGAAAATTGTGCAACGGTATGAGCGACAGAGATCCTGGAAGAATAGATAGACAGACGGATGGTAGAAACATCGCAGTCGTGATGCACCTTTTGTACCTGCTTCTGCTGCCGTTTGATTTTCGATGGCGGTGGGAGTGCTCTAGTTTGGCTATTGTGAAAGCTCCCACTTTATCCGCGCATTTATCCGTCGCGTATCTACGGTTGTCTAGATGGGTGCTCCGCCAACTCGGGGAAAGACACGGCTGGATAGCTGGATGAATTGGATTGCTATACCAAAGAATTTGGCTGCAGATTTTCTTCGGGCATTTGTGGGCCGTGGCTCCAGTGCGGAGTAGATTAAAAACTCGGAAATCTGGAGGATATCCGGATCCACGGACGTATGGGTACCCTGTGGACTGTGAGTGAATTGAGGCCTGGTAGATGCTGTGCAAAGGCCTCATCATCACTGTGAGCTCACATGTAGACTCCTAGGGTATTTGGGCAGTGTCTTTAAGCAGCGGGGAGACATCTCTGGAGTTGCATGGCACAAAGGTTGCATGTAACTGTTGTTGAGGATTGGCTCTGAGTCCTCGCTTGAGTCGAGGCTTATTGCGGCTCATTGCTACGAGACGTCACCACCTCACGACGCAAGACACAACAACACTCCAATCCCCGTGACCTCCAGCTCGACAAGTCGGAGCTCACCCGTGTGCAACAACCCACCCTCGGAGACGGAGAGATTCACTACTTCAATTATCGATTGATTCTACTTCTCAGGCTGAATGGCTTTCGATCCGGCGTCCTTCAACCCAGCTGCGGGGTTTCCCGACTTCGCCGACTTGTCGCCCATATTCCATGTCGAACAGGTCCAATTGCAGTTCCAAGTGGCTGCTGATTTTGCTGCTGTTCAGGTCGCGAACAATGTCATCATTCTAGCTCTTGTTTCCGGAAGGCTTCTGCGCATCGATCTGGCAAATCCGCAAGACGTAGATGGTAGGGAGCATACCTCTCGGAGCTCTGTGAGGTTGTCGCGACTGACGGTTCGTTGTCAGACATCGACCTCCCAAAGAAAGCATCCGAAGTCGGCACCATTCGAAAGGTCTTTCTCGATCCTACAGCCTCACACCTCATAATATCCACGAGCCACGGCGAAAACTTCTATCTACACTCACGCTCAACGAAGCCGCGCCATCTCTCGCGATTAAAGTCGGTACATATCGAGTGCATTGCATGGTCACCGGCGCTTCCTTCAACGTCCACGCGCGAGATCTTGGTCGGTGCACAAGATGGAAGTGTGTATGAAACCTACATCGAGGGAGTGGAAGAAAGCTTTATGCGGCGGGAAGAGAAATACTCCAAGCTCGTGTACAAGACGGCGGATGGGTCGCCTGTGACTGGACTGTGGGTGGATATGCTACCAGGCAAGCCGGACCTACGCAGGGTGATTCTCACAACACCGAGCTCCATCATGCATTGGGTTGGCCGGATACAACGGTACGGACATGCGGACATCGCGTCTATCTTTGCAAAGTTCTTTGATTCCGAGGGTCCTAGTAAGCTCCAACAAGCTTCATTTTAAGTCAAAATATCTTGGGGGCTGAACGATGGTTAGGTGTCGAGGATTTCAGGGATAGTTCTTCGCCATACAGCATGCTTTCGATATCGCCCGAGTCCACGGACGAAGACGATCCTGCGCGTATATACGCTTGGCTGACTGCCGCTGGTGTTTACCATGGGAAGCTCCTTACCCAGCCTAGTAGCCCTGAACTTGGTACACATGTGTTTTCCACCTCAAAACTATTCTCGAAGGCGGCAATACCCACCATGAAATCACCCATAACTTCGATAGCTCTGACGGAATACCATGTGCTTATTCTCTGCGGAACGGATATATATGCGGTCAACCGACTGGACGACTCCATTGCCTTCCAGGAAGCAATTGTGGATCCTGGTACCAAAGTACTCGGTCTTTGCTCAGACGTCAAAAAGTCCACGTTCTGGGTCTTCACCACGGCAGAGATCTTTGAAGTGGTTGTGTCGGATGAAGACAGAGACGTGTGGAAAATATACCTGGCAGAAAAATCTTTCGATGCTGCGATGAGATTTGCTAGATTGCCGACTCAGAAGGACCAGGTCGCCGTGGCTCATGGAGACCACCTCGTCGCCCATGGAAAGTATGTGGAGGCAGCCGGTGTGTATGGGAGGAGTAGCAAGAGTTTCGAAGAAGTTGCTCTTACGTTCTTGGAGAACGGGGAGCAGGACGCTCTGAGGACGTATCTATTGGAGAAACTCGTGACCTTAAAGCCATCTGTGAGTCCATCTGGTAAGATCTCCTCGTTGAAAATTCTAATACTATTGCAGTCTTCAATGCAGCGGATCATGGTGGCCAGTTGGCTTGTTGAGGTGTTTATGTCCCGGCTCAATTCACTTGAGGACCAGCTCTCTACTATCACCTCACATGCCCACGCGTCACAGACATCATCAGACGCCATCGCAGCTCAGCTCGCAAATGTCAAGGAGGAATACCGGCAGTTTGTGAATAAGTACAAAGGCGATCTGGACCGCAAGACCACATATGAGATCATATCTTCGCACGGGCGACAGCACGAGTTGCTCCACTATGCGAATAGCATCAACGATTACAGCTACGTGCTAGCTTACTGGGTGCAAAGAGAGAAGTGGCTCGAGGGATTGGATGTGCTGAAACGCCAGACCGATCCTGAGATGTTTTACAAGTATTCGAGCGTCTTGATGGCCAATGTTCCCATGGAGACTGTGGACATCCTGATGCGGCAATCCAACCTGAAGCCAAGAAATCTGATACCCGCACTGCTGAACTACAACAAGTTCACGAATGTTCCCCTAAACCAGGTATGTTGCGTATGAAATTCTTGGTGTAATGATGGGTGTTGACAGTATGAAGAACCAAGCAGTCCGTTACCTCCTCTACGTAATCCACCAGCTGGGTAGCGAGGATGCCGCCGTACATAATACCCTCATCAGCATCTACGCGTCACATCTTTCGCAGGACGAGCAGCAACTGTTGCAATACCTCGAGGCACACACCGGCGACTCGCAGTACGACTCAGACTTCGCGTTGAGATTGTGCATCCAACACGGCCATGTGCAAAGCTGCGTGCACATCTACTCGAGCATGGGGCAATACGCCGACGCGGTCGAACTGGCACTGAAGCACGGAAATGTCGAGCTAGCGAGCATCGTTGCAGATAGACCAGAAGATGATCCTGTGTTGCGCAAGAAGCTGTGGTTGTCAGTGGCAAAGAAGGTCATTGCGAAGTCGGACAGCACCAAGAAGTTTGTGTGCCCTTCTATCTTTTTACAGCGATTACTAACCGAAGGCTACCTGCAGCGCCATTGAGTTCTTACGGCGATGCGAGCTTCTCAAGATTGAAGATCTGATACCCTTTTTCCCAGATTTTGTAGTGATCGATGATTTCAAGGAAGAAATTTGCACCGCTTTGGAGGACTATAGCCACAACATAGACCAACTAAAGAAGGAAATGGACGAATCTGCTCGGACGGCGGAACATATTCGGGGTGACATCGCGTCGCTCGACCGAAGGTATGCGATTGTCGAGCCGGGCGAGCGGTGTTATGTCTGTCAATACCCGTTGTTGTCGCGTCAGTTCTTCGTCTTCCCCTGTCAACATGCATTCCATGGCGACTGCTTGACGACGGAGGTTGTTAGACACTCTGGCGTCGGCAAAAGCCGAAGGATCGAAGACCTGCAGAACGGCATTCAACGCGGACTGGTCACAGGGAGGAAGAGGGAAAAAGCAGTAGAAGATCTTGACAATCTTGTTGCATCCGAATGGTGAGTCCTTCCTATTGCTGATGGAGCGGGGAACCTAAAGGCTAACTATATACGCTACCTGCAGCATCCTGTGCAGTGAGTTTGCTATCAAGAGGATCGATGAGCCGTTTGTCCTTCCTACAGATGATCTCGCAGAGTGGGCAGTTTGAGCGGTGACGGAATTTATGTTGTTGTACGCTGTACGTAGTCAGGATATCCATGGAGCATAGTGATGATTTAGGCATTGGCGGGCGTTATGAGAGCTTGGATTTACTCTTGATTGAGGTTGCCGACGCTACTCCAAGTCCTGCAAGCGAGTGACGGTGATGTGTATGGCTCGTCTCTTATCGTGCATGTGTCCGGCGTCCTCAATTAGTGCTTCGCTCGCGTCCCAGCCACACAGAGCGGGAAGAGTCCGCGTTTGGTCCCCTGCCTGACCACAGGTGCACGAACTCGACGAATTGGAAAGCTGGCTGAGAGCAGGGTCTCTTTTTCGAGGAGATCCCTTGGACAGCACGCAATCCAACTTGCCAAGATTTCCCTTGCTTAGATTTTTTTCCATGCACACTACCCCGCCAGTCCCCCCGCCGCCCCTTTATCTTTGTCTCCCACCCGCCATTCTCTCCCTCCGTCCTCCATCTCTCCCTCCCATCCCTTAGACATCTTCTCATTTCCACCTACGAGTCGAGTTCTAAGCAAAATGGTTCAATCGTAAGTCAATTGAGCCCCACTGTGATGATTGAGTTGGATTCGCTGACAGTTTGAACAGATCAGTCCTCGGGTTCCCCCGCATGGGAGGTCAGTTTACCGTTTACCGGAGTGCAATGTTTGCTGGGGATGTCGGAGGATGAAGTTGCTAACTCAATTCCTTTTCCACAGCCAACCGTGAGCTCAAGAAGGCCACTGAAGCTTACTGGTCCGGAAAGATCTCTCAGGAGTCTTTGATCGAGACCGGAAAGACCCTCCGTGCTGCTCACTGGAAGCTCCAGAAGGATGCCGGTGCCGACATCATTGCCAGCAACGACTTTTCGTTCTACGACCAGGTCCTTGACCACATCCAGATGTTCAACGTAAGCCCTTCACCGCTCAATTGACCTCCTTGACTCAATTCGCTGACTGGGTGGATGATAGGCTGTCCCCGAGAGGTACCGCAAGTACGACCTCAACGCTCTTGACGAGTTCTTCGCCATGGGTCGTGGTCTGCAGCGTGCTGCCACTGAGACGACTGCTGCTGTCGATGTTACTGCTTTGGTAAGTTGCTTCCGGGGTTTGTGCAGCTGTGTTGGACTCAATGAGTTACCCCACCGGCTGGTCTTGCCACAAACAGAAATATTAATGGCGCTGTTCTGTACTATAGGAGATGGTGAAATGGTTTGACAGCAACTACCACTACGTCCGTCCTACTCTCCTGGACGGTCAGACTTTCACCCTGTCTGCCGACCCCAAGCCCGTCCGCGACTTCCTTGAGGCCAAGGCCCAGGGTATCGTCACACGCCCCGTCATCCTCGGACCCGTCTCTTTCCTCCACCTCGGAAAGCCTGACCGTGGTGCCTCTGTCGACCCCATCACCCTCCTCGACGCTCTCCTGCCCGTCTACGAGCAGCTCTTGATCAAGTTGGCCGAGGCTGGTGCCGAGACTGTCCAGATCGACGAGCCTGTCCTGGTTCTCGACCTTCCCCAGAAGAGCAAGGATGCTTTTGGCCCCGCCTACGAGAAGTTCGCTGCTCTCGGAAGCAAGATCCCCAAGCTCGTCTTGGCCACCTACTTCGGTGACATCGTCCACAACCTAGACGTTCTCCCCAAGACCACTGCCGGTGTCCACGTCGACCTTGTTCGTGCTCCCGCGCAGCTCGAGGAGGTCATCAAGACCCTCGGATCTAGCCAGGTCCTCTCCGTTGGTGTTGTTGATGGACGTAACATCTGGAAGACCAACTTCCAGACCGCCATTGCCACTGTCCAGAAGGCCGTCCAGGCCCTCGGCGCTGAGCGTGTCATCGTTGCCACCTCTTCTTCCCTCCTCCACACTCCCCACACCCTCTCTTCCGAGAAGAACCTTCCCACCGAGGTTGCCGACTGGTTCTCTTTCGCCGCCGAGAAGGCCAAGGAGGTCACCACCATTGCCAAGGCTGTCACCGCTGGCCCCGCTGAGCTCAAGGCTGAGCTCGAGGCCAACGCTGCCTCCATGAAGGCCCGTGCCACATCCAGCCGCACCAACGACCCCGCCGTCAAGGAGCGTCAGTCCAAGATCACCCCCGAGATGTACAACCGCAAGTCTGCTTTCCCCGAGCGTATCGCCTCCCAGCAGGCTCACCTCAACCTCCCCCTCTTTCCCACCACCACCATCGGTTCTTTCCCCCAGACTAAGGAAATCCGTATCAACCGTCAGAAGTTCACCAAGGGTGACATCACTGCCGAGCAGTACGAGAAGTTCATCGAGCAGGAGATCGAGCTCGTCGTCCGCGAGCAGGAGGCTCTTGGCCTCGATGTTCTCGTCCACGGAGAGCCCGAGCGTAACGACATGGTTCAGTACTTCGGTGAGCGCCTGAACGGTTACGTCTTCACTACCCACGCCTGGGTCCAGTCCTACGGATCCCGTTGCGTGCGTCCCCCGATCGTTGTCGGTGACATCTCGCGCCCTGCTCCCATGACCGTCAAGGAGTCCAAGTACGCCGCCTCGATCACCGACCGCCCCATGAAGGGTATGCTCACTGGTCCCATCACCTGTCTGCGGTGGTCGTTCCCCCGTGACGACGTTCACCAGTCCGTCCAGGCCGAGCAGCTCGCTCTTGCCCTCCGTGACGAGGTTGTTGACCTCGAGGCTGCTGGTGTCAAGGTCATCCAGGTTGACGAGCCTGCTCTCCGTGAGGGACTTCCCCTGAGGAAGGGTGCCGAGCGTGAGGCGTACCTCGACTGGGCCGTCAAGTCGTTCCGTCTTGCCACCACCGGTGTCGAGAACAACACTCAGATCCACTCGCACTTCTGCTACTCTGAGTTCCAGGACTTCTTCCACGCCATCACTGCGCTCGACGCCGATGTTCTCTCGATTGAGAACTCCAAGTCGGACGCTAAGCTCCTCAAGGTCTTCGAGGACGAGGCTTACCCCCGTCACATCGGCCCCGGTGTCTACGACATCCACTCTCCCCGTGTTCCCTCAGAGGAGGAGATCAAGACCCGCATCGAGGAGATGTTAACCTACCTCAAGCCTGAGCAGCTGTGGATCGACCCCGACTGTGGTCTTAAAACCCGTCAATGGGCCGAGACCCGTGCCGCTCTGAAGAACATGGTCTCTGCTGCCAAGTTCTTCCGTGAGAAGCACTCCAAGGCTTAATTTGTCGGTTCCTTGTGTTTTTCACGATTTTAATTTGTAGCATCTCTAGGATAGGGGTTGTGAGGTAGGAAGGATTCAACATCGGCGTTTTGTGGTGCAAAAAGTCCAACTTTTATTGCGGATTTCGATTTCTTTTCATTTTCATTTCAGGGTATGGGTTGGAAAAGGGTTTTCTCGTCTGGGTGCATTTCGATCTCTTCGGTTCAGCCATTGTTACCATCAACTGGTAAACACTCTGATAACTTGTAATAGTTATCCTGAAGAATAATACAACAATTGTTCTTCCTTCGTACGCTCGTGCTGCATGTCTAGCATGCTCGTGTTTGTGCTGTGATGTGTCTCCCTTCTGACCTTGACCTCCTTCACCCCAGATTTGGCCAGTCGTTCAACAGCTTGACCACCTGCGGCACCTCCAAATGATCCCGAGTATTCGCCATCCGATGGCACCACTCCAGTTTCTGATCCACCCACAGGAACTCCCCACCATTCTATGCAAGTGTATATCGCATCAGCACCCATCCCACCCATGCCACCCACTCCCTCCCTCCCTATGTATATAGGTTCTCATCAACCACTCACCCTGGCAAAGTTCCCGCCACTAAACACGCCGCCTTTCAGGCCACCGACAACACCGTTCCAGATCCCGGTCAACACGGGTGTGGTGATGTACTCTGGCTTCTTTGCGCCGAGCCCGAACGACTTGTGCATCCCCAGCGCGCTGTACACCGCCCCGCTCGGGTCGCTGTAGATGTCCCATGGCGCCCCCAGATCGGCTTTGTACCCGGCGATCTGCGACGGCGAGCCGCACCCGATTATTATCAGCTTCTTGCCATGCGCGGCCAGTGCAGAGGGGGATAGTAAGGGCGCGGAGATGAGGGTGCGGATGTAGCTGTGGGGTGTTAGTCCAAGGGGAGAGTGGTGGGGGAGGGGAGGCGGGGGGGAGAGGGAGGGGGAGGGGGACTCTTGACAGTTGCCGCAGTAGAAGTGTCGGATGAAGATGGTCAGTATGTAGTCTGGCTGGCCTGTGGTCAGCAGCTGCGGCAAAGTTGTGGCCGCCCCCGTGTGGTCGTAGACGTTCAGCTTGGAGAGCTTTTGGAGCGCTGTGGCGGGTGGTAGGGCGTCGGAGGTCAGTGTGGTGGACATTTTGTGCGCGCGGAGGCAGGTTTGCGTGTGGTGACGAGGGGGAGGTGGACGAAGTTCTTGTGTTATCGTCGGCGACGGACGGTGACGCTGACGCTGACCGAGACGCTGGCCGAGACGGGGCCGCGGTTGTTTCATCTTCGATGGTGGTACATACAAAGGTGGGTATGTCAGCGCTGACGTGAAGCAGCCCCTCAGGGCCTCAGCTGGATCTGAGACTGGGGAACTGGGGATCCGCGATTCACGTGGGATAGGTGCCATGGCATAGATATCTGGAGAATTATATTGCCGGAATGTCGGGTGCCGCCGATGTCAGAGGCCGGCACGGTACGCAAGCAGCCGTGCTATCTATCTAGCGATTCTAGCCTGCTTCGATTCACGTGTAGTTATAGTAGAGTGTCGGATCCTCTGCCCAGTGCCCAGTGCCATAGCCTCACTCCCTGCTGCCCATCCATCCTCCGCGCGATCTTCCCCGCCACAAAGCTTCGCCATCTCGCCATCGCATCAGCTCTACTCGGGCCGGCGGGGTTCCGAAGCATACTCTGGAGGAAGGAGACATTGGGCAGGCGGAGCAGCGTTCCGGTACCGGGCAAAGCCCCAGAAACCAGAATACCTACTGTAGGAGCCCATGGGTTCGGGAGCAGGATGAAGTATGGAACTCATTATTTCCAAGGAGGAGGAGCAGGGAACCTTCCACGACGCCTAACAGAATTAGATATCGGAATCCGCAATTCTCCATGCTCCGTTCTCGAAGACCGCGCAATCGCACGTCTCCCGAGTCCTTACACGTGCTTGGCGCCACTATCCAATCCAAGTCTCCCACTTCACCGCGTCACTGGCATTCCATTCGTGACAGGGGTGGCTGGCTGGCTGGCTGGCTGGATAATCGAAGACACCTGTTTTCGATCGCTCTGTCTGAGAAAAACCTTGGACGGAACGGAAACGAGAAATAGAGTATCTAACTACTTGCTGCGGCCTGCCTGCTTGCTGTTCTCTTCTCCTCCTTCTCTCCCGTACCTCTCATCGCCCGCGCGAAATCCTCACAAACCCCCCTCCCACCACCGCCAGCAAGCCCGCGCAAGCGACACGCACGAATCGAAACAAGCCTAAACGTAGCTCGCCACCTAGCCTCCACCTCCACCCCTACATATGTCCACCGCGCCGTTTGCCTCTCCGTCATCACCGGCTGCGGCCTTCGCCGGGCAAGCCCGCGGAGCGCGGCCGCGCCGCCCATCGTTTACAGAGTCGTACATGAACTCGCGGGCGCCGCTGGGGGCGCTCGCGGCAACGGGCGACGCAATCGGCAGTGCGCCGTCGCTGGCAGACCTGCGGCGGCACAGTGTTGAGCGTCGGAGGAGCTCGGGCGCCGCGAGGCGCGCAAGCTCCGTTAGTGCCCTTGGGACGTCCGCGAGTCCGCCTATTGCTGAGAGGAGGAGTGAAGATACTCGTGGGGTGGGTGGGCTTGTTGTTGTTGCTGCGGTGGAGGGGGGTGGGGTGCAGCTGGGGGAGGGTGTGGAGAAGCGTAATGGTGTCGGGAATGGGGAGGTGGAGAGTGGTGATGATGACGATGACGAAAAACCCGGCTGGTGGGCGGTCACAGTCAGCGGCCTCAAGGCGTTCTGGAAGTTTTTCAAAACGTGGACGGGATTCTTCGTGACGATTTACATGCTCAACGGTACGTACATCCCCCCCCCCATCCCCCCCCCAGCACTAACGCAGCAACACAGTAATCGCCTGGGGCGGCATGCTCTTCCTCCTTCTCTGCAACGCCTCACCCGCAATGTGCCACCCAACCTGCAACGACCTGCAGTCACCACGGCGGATCTGGATCGAAATCACCTCTCAAATCCTGAACACGCTGTTCTGCCTGACGGGGTTCGGGCTGATCCCGTGGCGCTTCCGCGACCTGTTCCACCTGCTCAACTGGCGCCTCAAGGGTAACAAGATGGGCTACATCAAGCTGCAGGAGATAAACCAGGACTGGTACCGGCCCAAGGCTTCCACTGCCTCTGCCGCCGCGCAGGACGAGGAGGGGGCCGCGCAGGACGGGGAGGAGGAAGAGGAGGAAACCCTGACCGGCCAACATGCGCCCCCCACCGGCAGCTGGAAGCTCGACTACGTCATCTGGCTGTACGTCTGGAATACGTTCTTCCAGGCGTGTCTGAGCGGGTTCATGTGGGGGATGAACCGGTATGACCGCCCGAGCTGGAGCACGGGGTTGTTTGTCGCGCTGTCGTTTATTGTGGCCGGGTTGGCGGGCGGACAGGTGTGGTGGGAGACCAGGAAGGTCAAGAAGATTGAGGGAGACCGGAAGAAGGAGGAGAAGAAGAAGGCGTTGAAGGAGGAGAAGAGGGAGAAGGAGAAGGCGAGGGCTAGGGCTGAGTAGATGATTTGATACCCACCTGGGAAGTACACATGCGTTTTTGGTGTTTTTGGTTGGCATGGTGGCATTGTGGCATTGTGGCATGGCATGGCATGTGGGATGCAACAGCGATGATACCGATTGTAATTCTAGTTTTCCTATTCTTCTGTGTCTTTTCTATGTCTTTTTTGTGTCTTTTTTTTGTTCTGCGGGTGTTGGGATGGTACATACATATGGGGTTCAAGAGAGATGGGTTTTTGGTCCGGATACCGAGTTCGTTCTCCGTATATCACTCGTGCATACACGTAAAATCACGATACTGCGCGCGTTGGGAGCTCAGGAAACGGGAATAAAGGAGGAGGGCGCTGAAGTCGGGGAGCCGGGATCACTCCCGCTGTTCCTCGCCACACTATGTACGGTATCTTTCATGGCATCTCCTGATGGAGAGGCAGGAGCGGAATGTATCTTTTCCCAGCATTATTTCCCTAGTGCGTTCTACATATACACGTATCGATGCCAGATGAGGCAGGCCATGGCGGAGGATAAGTAGCTGGGGGAAGCTAAATCGGCCCGCTTGACGAAAGTTGAGCTGGAGTCTGGACAGTGGACATGGAAACCGAAACGGAGTGTGTATATTGCCATGATCTAGCCACATCTCAGGCCGCATGCGATCAATGATTAAACAAACCCCCCCAAAAAGGCCCACTGCTTGCGGCGTAGATGGCAGGACATCATTAACGGAGTCCAAGTGCCTGCGTTCGATGCTCCAATCTCAATCCCGATATCTCACTCGTGCCCCAGTCCCAATCTCAGTCCAATCCCAGTCTCAGTCCCGTCCAGTCAATCATTTCCAGCGTTCATTCCATACTTAGGTGTTACTTAGGTATTACTTAGGTGCTACTTAGGTGCTACTTTACTTTACTTTACTTACAAAAAAATCCACGGCATGAGCTGAGCAGGTATCAATATCAATCAATCAACAATCAATCAATCAATCAATCAATCAATCAATCAATCAATCAATAAAACACACCATTCGCATAAAAGAACCGACTTTAGAAATCAAATACAACACAAAGAATTATATCCCTATTTACGCCAACGGGGACAGAAAGAAAAGAAGAAAAAAAAAGAAAAAAGCGCACACCGTCGTCCAATCTTCTTACAACCCCCCACCCTAATCACCACTCCACGCATCCACGCATCTAAAACATACCAAACTTCTTCTTCTTCTTCTTCTTGTCCTCCTCGTAGTACGGACGGTTAGGCTTATGATGCACGGTGAGCCCGCCCATCTCCTTTACTGGGGGCGCATGGGCTTGCGGTGCCGGTGTCGCTGGTGCAGCAGGTCTATGGACAGGCTGTGGTGGCGGTGGTGGCGCAGGCTTTGGGATTACCGGATCGGGGTCCGTGAGATGCTTCGGTACCGTCTTTACCGGGACATCGGCCGGCATCTTGAGTTTGTCCCGCGATTCGGATAAGCCCTGGAGTTGCGAGAGGAAGGAATTGGGTGATATCATGTGGCTGGTGCCGAGGAATACGTCACGGAGAGAGGCGCGGGACATTTCGTAGCAGACGCGCGCTTCCGAGAAGGTTGCGCCGCCGGCCATGAATACAATCACACGTTGGCGGGGCTCGATGATGGAGTTGCGGGATTTGGCGGCCCAGGTGGGTTTGGCGGAGCGGAGGGATTGGGAACCCGAGTCGGTGGAGCTTCCGGTACTCATAGATACTAGTTCGGGCTTGATGTAGGGGAAGATCAAGGGGTCCAGAACGCCAGATTTGTGGTCCTCGAGCATCTGCTTCATCGCGGTTGCGTACCGTGAGAAGTCGTTGGGCTCTTCGTCGGCTCCGGGTAGAGGCCGGGGTTTCCGGAACCTGTTGCGGTTGGGTGTGGGATCTTTCAGAGGTTTGGTGATGCGGGCGCCGAGGAGGTGGAGGGAGCGGACCACGCGCTCGTCAATGCGCCGTAGGACCGAGTGGAAGATCAGCTTCTGAAGGTCGCCTTCCAGCAGGCCGTCTTTGAAGAGTAAGTAGAGTATTATCAAACGTAATCGCTCAGGAGGTCTTAGATGCAGTTAGCAAGTGAGCATTGCTGCGATCGCAACAGAGAGCTTACCCTAGAGCCGGATCATCCAGGAGTCGGACAAGAGTATCGGCAGCATTTCGTGGTGGACGACCGGTTTCATCCAGTCCAGTCGAGAGTGACTATTCACAACGTAAGTGACAGACCATGATGGAGACACTCGATTATCAAGAAGATACCTGTTCTAAAAGCGCAACCTCCGGCAACTTCTTCGTTTCAAACTGACCCATACATTCCTGGGCCATAGTCAAATGTAACGAGTACATATCCTTCTGACCCTGGTATTGCGGCAAGCTAGCCATCATATCCCTGATGGCGTACAGACTTGTCGACGACTGGCTGTCGACGAAGTTCTTGTTGTCTCCCAAAAACTTATCAAAGTCGGCCATCAGCTGGTCGATGGTATCCTTCATGTGTTGATGCCTGTTGGCAACCCAGACCTGGTCCTCGTCGCTGATGGTCATCTCCTTCTCCTCCGACTCCCCCGTCGAGGTCGTTATGTCCACCTTGTACGTGATCGTATCCCCTTCCTTGATGTCGAGAAGATCCTGTGCCATGGCCTGATACGTAAACTCGTGCAGGAATGGCGCATACAGGTCCATGGATCTGTCTACGATGAACAACACACCACGTGGGCGATTTCCCGCGGGTGGCGGGAACTCCGGGTGTCTCTTTGTGTATTCGTCCAGCTCTTCCTGGACATTCTTTGCCAAAATCTCCGACAGTACGCGTGCCTCGTGCAACATAAACCCCGGAGGTCGGTAGTATCGGATTGTGGGATACTCTCCGAGCGATACACACGCACACACGATCTTACGCGCCATGTCGGCGAGATGCTGCGACACCAAGCCCCGACACTCCGGGTGGTATAGGTTGAAGAATGAGGTGGACTCGCGCATGGTAAAGAGATGGGACTCGCGGGGGAAGAAATCGATCGAGAGGACACGTTCGCCGCGTATGAAACCACGAGCTGGGGAATTGAGGATTTGCTGCCGCAACTGATTATCGAGCTCTGTGTCGTGCCATTAGCACTAACCTCGAGCTCCCCCTCCCCTCAAATCCCGTATGCATACCAGAAGTCCACAACAGATGCGCAGCAGTGTACCGTGGCCGTTCCCGCGCAAAGTCGGAGATCAGGCACTTCACCGAGAAATCGTCTGGCGTGAGGATATAGATACATTCCATGGGCTGTGGCACGCGCTTCTCCTCGATCTTCCTCACCTCTGTTGATCCCGCCCGACATCCATCAGCACTCTTTGCCAACACTCGACGACAGTAGCGGCGGCGTACGTACCCGACACTTTCTCGTCCAAAATATGGTGCTCCTCCATCACATTCGTCAACAGCCTGTAGCTCTTTTCGTCGGTGACGACACATCGCCACTATCCACACTCGTTAGTATGGCAAGGAGAATGTCGAGGGCAGGTTGGGTAGGTAATGCGGACCGTATTCGGGGGGTTTGTAGTCCGTATGGCCTCAATGACAGCTGAGGAAAGGCACCATTAGTTTGACAGATTCCCAGGGGAGGGTGGGGGATCTTCAAGGTATGTCGTACCGTTCTTCTGGATCTCTAATAGAGAGACCATGGTTTCGGAATCTTGTGCTCTCTCTTGCCGACGAGGAAGGGGAGGAGAGCTTCTCTAGCGAACAAAGAGCTTGTGAGGGGGCGGTAAGAGTTCGTGGATCTGTCGTTGGGGAAAGCAGCTCCACTGAGGGGTTCCGAGGTTCTGGGCGAGAGGAAGGGTAGGAGGGGGTCGTAAAAGGATACGGGATGGGATTATCGTTACAGGAGCAGGCAGACAAGGTGAGTAAGGAATAGGACACTAGTAGTGTAGAGTAGAGTGCTCCAGCCAATTAGAGTAGGTCACAAGCAGATCTCCGTTGAGTTGACGCCAAGATTATTCTGAGAGCCGCTGGGATGAAACGGAGGAACCCAGTAATAGAGAGAGGAATGAGATATTCTATATATCATGTATGATATCAATATTTCATGATTGATTGATCAACCTAAAGCGATTCTAGAGTTCTCTGAAGCGTTCCAAACGTGGAGAACACGCGGAGAGGATAATGTTTCTATTTAGGTTCTGGCCATTGCATTGTTCTCACCTGATACTATGGATCAGCCGCTCGCTGGCATGGCCGCGGAAACGTATCGATTTCAGCCCGCGAATCCACGGCCATTTAAGTGAAACGGCGAATGACGTTTACAACCCATTCCGCATCTCCCCCATACGTGTTAGAGTCCACTCAAAAATACGAATTGGATCAATTGATATCAAACAGCGGAAGAGAGTACCGAGTCGGCGATACCCAGTGGCCAATGGCCATCTTGCCAGTGGGGACCGCTGAGAATGTCTTGGGCCGACGAGTTCCGATCATTTCAAGAGCACAGCAGTTTCAGATGCTATCCACACGTTTGTATCTAACAGTTCAAGCTAATTGACATAGCGAAACGGTAGAAGCCCAGCCCACTTCTCCATTATTTTTTGTTGCTAAGAACAAAAAGAAAAGCCCTTCATCGCCCATCATCATTAACGCTACACTTAAAGGCCGTATTACATCCTAATGTAGTTCTCCACACCCATTTTCCTATGAAACTCCCCAAATTCCGCTCGCTCACTCGCGATTCTATGCGAAGGGTTGATCCGCCGCGCAAAGGATTTTCATGCTTTAAGCAGTCAAGACACGAAGCCTATGTTAATCTATCAGTTCATCTGGAAATCAAAAGCAGCGCGGACGCTTATATCCCTTCATACTGCCAGCCAGCCAAACAGGCGGGGCACGGAAGAGTAGTCGTCTGAGGGATTTGAAACTTACGTGTTGGTGTGGCCCAAACCACCTCTCCAGCCCTGGACGGCAATGACAGTGCTGCCGCCCTCCAAGATACCCAGACCCTTAGCTTTGTCCATGCCCCACTTCAACCGCTTGTCAACATCCTCCTGCCAGATAACATTGTTGAAATCGGGCTTCTGCTCGGGGTAGTGGAAGGGGTACACGCCACGCGACAAGTGCGAGTAGCGGGCAGCAGCGGCGTTGCGAGTGACCATAATGATCGGGCAGGTCGGGCTGTACTTGGAGATAAGACGAGCAGTCATACCACTAGGTGCGCCAGATCATCAGCCATGGAACTCAGTATTTGGGGAGGACAAATGAACTCACGAAGTGGAGAGCACAATGATGGCACCAGCTCTCTGCTCCATACTGGCACTAACAGCAGCGATGGCGCAAGTCTCGGGGGTGCCGGTAGGGCGGGAGACCAGCGAGCGGAGCTCGTTGAACAGAGGGGCGTAGGGAATGGCGGTCTCGGCCAACAAGCAGGTCTCGTGCATCATCGACACGGACTCGATGGGGTAGTTGCCCTTGGCGGTCTCTCCGGACAACATGACACAATCCGCACCATCGAGAACGGCGTTTCCTACGTCAGAAACCTCGGCCCGAGTGGGACGGGGGTTGTAGGTCATCGACTCGAGCATCTGAGTGGCACAGATGATGGGCTTTCCGGCCAAGTTGCACTTCGCGATCATCATCTTCTGCGCAATGAACACCTGCGCCGGGGGAATCTCGATACCGAGATCACCACGGGCAACCATAACACCGTCAGTCTGCTTGAGAATCTCGTCGAAGTTGTTAACACCCTGCTGGTTCTCGATCTTGGCGATGATCTGGATATCCTTTCCGTCCTCACCGAGGACCTCACGGATGGCAGCAATGTCGGATCCCTTGCGGATGAACGAAGCGAAGACCATGTCGACCTTGTTCTTGACACCGAATCGGAGATCGGCCTTGTCCTTCTCGGACAGAGGAGGAAGGTCGACATCGGTCTTGGGAAGGTTAACACCCTTCTTGGAAGAGATCTTTCCGTTGTTCAAGCACTTGACCTTGATGGTCTTCTCATCAACGACCTCCAAGACCTGGAAAGACAGAACACCATCGTCAACGTAGATGATGCGGCCAGCCTCGATGACCTTGGTGATGTTCTTGTAATCGACGTACCTGCGGTCGTCAGCGCGGTACTACAGCGTAGAGGAGAACCAGCAGTATCAAGCTTACATGATCTTGTCGTCGCAAGTGGTGGCATATTGGTCGTCGGTGGAGATAATCATTTCCGTGCCAGCGGAAATGGGAAAATCTTCATCACCCTTGGTGTTTCCAGTACGGATCTCGGGTCCTTTCTGTGCAGCCGTCAGCATACGAGTTCGCCGAATAGCGAACCACGGAATTGGGTAGCACTCACAGTGTCCAGAGCAATGGCAACGGGACGTCCTTGGTACTCCTTCTCGGCCTGGTGAGTGTTGTCGATAACGCTTTGGTGGTACTAGACGATCGGAGCTCTCGTCAGCCACAACATCCAGGAGGTATGACGCAGGGTGGGAAGTAGCGGCAAGCTAGGCGTAAAGGGGAATATCGAGATGCATCCCCCACCATAAGCTCACTACTACCCCGCAGCCCTCAAAACCACGACAAAGCAGAGCAGAACATTGCAATGAAGGAGGATCAAGTAAATACCTCGTAAGAACCGTGAGAAAAGTTCATACGGACGATGTTCAGTCCAGCTATTGCATAACATGATGAGCGAACCGGATCCAAATCGTGCGCCAGCTACTACCAGGAGTCTGCGAGCTGATGGATACCTTGACGGAGCTTGTTAATCATCTCCACGGAGTTAGTCTTGGGACCTATTCACGATGCGCTGTCAGCAAATGGATACACAAACACATATATCCAACGGTGCACGGAGAACGGCGCAGGTATGAGCCCGGAAGAAGGGAAAGCGGGGTGGGTGGTAGCATACCAATCGTGCAGATGATGGACGTCCGCCTGTAGTTGTTCTTAGGGCGGTTGTCGACATTGAGCCTGCTCAACCACTCGTAGTGGGTGCTAACGTTCTCGTTGGCGTAGGACATGATGGCGGTGGTAGGAGGGATGTAGGAGGGCGAAGAGGATGTGTGAGGAGGGTGAAGAGAAGGAGAAGGAAGAGGAAGAGAGAGAAGTTGGGGATGGAGGGTGGCGGAGGAGGAGGAGGTGATGGTGGGAGAGATTGACTTTTTTTCTTTGGCGGGCGATATGAGGGGTTCCTTTTAGCTCCCAAGATGGTGCTATGGTCATGTTTGTTGTTTTGAGAAATATATGCGCTAGTTGTCATGGCGGCTTCATCTGTGTCTTCTCCCGCAGCAACGAGGGCTCGATAACTACGGCTGACGTCGTGTCCGGCCATCTGGCCTAGTTTCGTTTCCTCTCGCCTCATGGCCACACACAGCTTCTATCCAGTCCGTCGACAAATCGGCATGCTTACCCCCACCACGGTGAGGAGAGTATAAGACATTCTATTCCACCGTGTAGATCTCATGCCTCTATCTGCCGAGTCTTGCGGTGCGTATTTTGTAACAGATACCAAACGCCAGACCAGACCAGCGCGAAGAAATAAAACACCATCAAGGATATCTAATTCCTAAAAGCAGTGTGTAAGCCGCAGGCGGCGCCCTATCCAACTAGTCCTGATGCATCATCGGCGAGCTCCATCAGCTAGACCGTGGGACATCTAAAAAATCCCCAAGAACGGCGAGAAAGAAAAAAAAAATCCAAGGTGCAGAAAATTTACGTACATTTTCCGAAAAAGAAGGAAAGGTGTGGGGACAACATCTTGTTGAGGAAAACCCAGTCTTCAGTTACACACGGGCTCACAGGACTGGCTGTTTGACAACGACCGTCTCATGGCCGACCTAATTAGCGACAGATAAGGAACCCCTCCCCGGCCGCCACGGCTCTCGCGCCACCCGCGGATGCAACTCCGAGTTTGAAACTTCAAGTTCATCCCCGCCTCGGCGAGCACCACCAATCCCCGACCCCCGACCCCGCCGTACGCGTGTCCGATGTCTCGGGCTTTCAAGATAGTTCCTGCATGATGGGGGTGATGAGTATGTAAAGTCATCGCGGCCAGCGGACCAGCATCCGGAAAAAAATCCTCGCAGAACGGGCAGCAAATGGCCGGAGAGTGTGTAACCGCAGAGCACTGGACAGAAGGTTGACGACACTTGGCACGGCCGGTCACTCTACCTACGGAAGGCTCGAGCGGTGTTAGCCCAAAGGGTTGACCTCGGAACTCAAATACATCTATTCCCAGTAGTAATGGCTCCTCTAAGAGGGGGTGGAAAGGTCTTGAGATGCATGTGTGATGCCCAGTGAGGTCACAACACAATTTTTGCAATGATACGAGTGATCATACGTGACTGTCGGTCGTCGGCTTCAGCATCCGCTGTAGATCCTCAACTCTACACAGGCCGTTGACATGAACAAGTCCAAAAGTATAGCAAAACCACTGATTATCATGCAAGCCTCACCCACTACCGTGGTCCCTTCATACGGCCAGCCCTACATAGAGTAGGTCGGTGGAGTGTCTCGGTCCCCATCACTCCGAAGCCTAAGCCGACGTCAACTCAGCCCTACGATCTACCGCCAGGTAAGATACGCCAGGTACGGTCGATCCGCCTCAGGGTATCCGGACAACTAGGAAAGCTTATTTGTTTGTGGGGAAAGTTTCTGTTTGGCTGTTCATGGGGCCAGGCGAACGTTAACAGTTTCGGAAATCGGGCATCGGGATCCTCGGGAACGTTCGGCTGACGATGGCCTGCTATCCGTCGAACCGGGAAAACTATACCACTCGCTTGCGGCCGCTAGATTGGCGATTCTCGGATCTCTTGTGCCTGTTCGCCATACGTGATGACGGGAAAGCTGTTTTACATGTGTTTATCATATGCCCTAGTGGCCACTGGTGCTGATACTTGATCCGCCTTTGCTGCAGATGACGGCCTGCCCAGTGAAGAATCAAGATGTGTGCATGCTCCAGATTCAAGTTACGACCCTCTTCGTGATTACCCAGCTATAATATACACATCTCCTTCCAATCTCCAATGAGAAGCCGTCGGCCAGTCCAATTCGCTCCAAACCCCGTAAGTAAAAAAACATGTCAAGTACTTTAGCGGAAAAAATTCAGTCTATCACCTCCGTTCATTCCAGCTCTTTAACAACCGCATGCAATATTTCCTCCGAGTTCTTGAATCTTGCACGCGGATCCTTCGCAACCCTCTGCCACACCTCACCATGCCGTGGCTCGGTGATCGAGAGTTTAACCAGCACATCCGCGCGCTTCTCCTCACTGCCGTGTTGGGCCAAGAACTTCCAGTACCACGCCCAGGTGTCGCCATAGTCCGGGTCCACGAGGATTGCCTTCTCAAACCAGTTCATAGCCTTGGGAAGCTTTCGTTCCGCCCAGAAGTTGCGGGCAACGGCGACATAGAGGATGGGATCGTTGCCAACTTTCTCGATAGCTTCGACTAGTCGTGGGCGACGGTGGGTGCGCGCTTCAAGATACCATACACTCTCCGCCCATAGAAGTCCGCTGTGCGGGCACTCTTGCAGAGCCTTTGCCATGAGCGTCTTTGCTTGTGTGGGGTTGTTGCCGCGGCGCTCGATGCGGACGGATTCGCACCAGAGCTCGGGGCATTTGGGCACGGCGAGGCGAGCGCGGTCGAGGATGGAACGGGCGCGGACTAAAACACCGGCTTTTTCTTCGAGACGCGCAAGGAGGAGCCATAGTGGTGCCGACTTGGGACAGGTTTTGGTACCGGCGTTGTAGGCTTCTCGAGCAGGTGGGAGTTTGTTCTCGGATTCATATATTTGGCCTTTCATCATCCATAGCTTGTCAGCTTTGGGATAGAGTTGTAGACCCTCGTTGACAAGTTCGAGGGCGGCGTCGGTGTTGCCCTGTTGTCGTTCGAACGCCACGCTCTTGATCCATACTCTGTCGGTACCTGCTTCCCGTCGTGCCGTGGCGAGGAGTGTTCGTGCAGCCTCATGTTGTTGGTTCTCCGCCTCGAGTTTGACGGCGGCAAGCCAGATGTCTTCGTTGTTGGGGTTCTGGCTGAATGCCTTCCCGAGGACGACACGGGCGCCGTCGATTTCACCGGCTTGCCACTTCTCCTTAGCGAGCATCATCCACAGGATCTCGCTCTGTGGACACGCCTCGACTGCTTTTTCGAGAAGACTCCACAGCGCTTCCTTCGTACCGTGGTTCTTCTCCAATTCTGCGGCGGCGCGCCAGATGCTCTTTTTGGTGTAGAAGACTCGCAGAGCATAGGCGTAGATTGCTCGTGCAGTTTCGTATCTGCCGCGGGAGATGCTGGCTTCGGCGTCATCCATCCAGATCTTTTTACGGCCGTCGTCTTCTTCCAATTGCCAGCCAAGGGTTTCACGGATGATGGAATGACAGGTTTCCACCGCTCCCTCTTCTTCGCATTTCTCAGCTTCCTTAATCCAGTCCTCACGGGACAACATGGCTTCCACACGCGCGAGTGCTTGGACGGCACGTTTCATAACGTTGATCTTGTTCGCATTGCCTTGCTGCTCCTGGAGTCTTGCGGCGGCCAACCAAATCTCATGGCTTGTTGGGATGGCTTTGCGGGCTTTGTTGAGGACGGCCTGCGCATTCTCAAATGTCTCCAAACGGGCCAATGCCAGCCACAACTCCACACTCAGAGGGATAAGTTCCACCGCACGAGCCAGCAGGATCTTAGCATCATTCGGATCTGCCTCCAGTTTGACTGCCTCCTTCCACAGCATTACCGACTGCGGAATGATATCCAGCGCCTTTCTGATGACCTTCTTTTTCGCTCTGGGATCAGTTTCCAGCTTCATAGCTTCCACCCACAATCGCACCGCCTTCGGGTTGTGTTTCACCGCATTTGCTGCAATGATTTTGGCGTTATGGACTTCATTCAATCGCATCGCTTCTAGCCACACATCCTCATTCTTGGGACAATGTTCGCAACCACGCTGCATGATCGTCCGCGCAGCCACCATCTTTCCCGCCACCTCCTCCAATCTCGCAGCGGCAATCCAGCCCGGTCCATGCTTGGGGTTGGTACGGATAACACTCTCCAACAGTTCGCGTACACGTTTGATGTCGCCGATCTGCTCAGCGCTCTGCGTAGTATTCCGTGACAAGCTGGTGAGATATCCCTTGGGGTCGATATTGGTCGAGCCTGATGCTGAATCGCTCGTGCTCGTCCCAGATATACTCCGATCCAGCCTCGCCTCGAGCACCTTCGTCTTCGCCTTTCCAATGTTGACGAAATTCGTCATCGTACCATCGACCTGATCTTGACTCGCCGAGGAAGGCGCTCCATCCTCTTGTACGGATGTCTCGAACTCCGATCCACTGACTGCACCGGCAAGCACCGAGTCTGGTGTAGGATAGAATTTCTGTCGCATGGCTTGCCTTGCGCGGCGATTCCGACCAGTCAAATCTCCAACCTCCGGTAGATTCGCCCACTCGTCGTCGCTGACGGTGGACAGCGCTCGCTTCAAGTCGGCAAACTGCTGCTGAATCTTCGGGTTCATCGCTTCGTATTCCTCTCGCTCGGCCTTTTCTCTCAGCTCCCTAACGCGCCGCAAAAAATCTCGTCGGTAAACGTATTCCATCTAAAGTAAAGATCACACACAGACGGGATAAACAAAGTACCGTAGAAATGGTATAGTGGGGGAGGTAGTACCTTTGAGTTTTCCGCCGCTTCTCCATTTTCTCGTCGACCGTTTGGTATATCCTATCGGCCTCGTCGTCGTCTTCATCGTACGCGCCGCCGGCAAACAGCCCGACTTCATTCTCAGGATCTTGGAAGCGGGGGTCGTCGTCGTCGTCATCGTCCTTTTTCTTGTCGGCGCCGTAGGCAGTGGGAGGCGCGAGACCTTGAGCTTCCGCCCGCCGTGCGAGAGCTGCCTTGATTGCCTCTTCCGACGGTCCTTCCCGTGCAGGGCCGATATCGGATCGGGTGGTGAAGCCGGTGGCACCACGGCCCAATCCGGCGACGTAGTTTGCCGGCGCTTCTTGCTCGAGGAAGTTGCGTTTCGACATTGATGGGTGTTTCGGGGGTGTTGTTGGATCTTTCACGCGAAGAGCTGGAAACTGGTGACACGCGGAGATGGCGGGTTCAAGAGGGTTCTCAATGCCAGTCGCTTACCCTGTGTAATGGTGTAGCTTAAGCCTGGGCACTGACAGGGAACCGCATTAGCTTTGCTCCGAGTTTCACTTTTTTTTTTGAAGAAACACCTCGAAACGGCGATATTCGATTAGACAGCCCAAACAGCCATGGTCAAGTCATATCTGTATGCCAAACCCTTTCCTCACCCTCCGAACTGCCCGTTAACAAAATTTTGTGAAATTACAGCCGGTGGGAACACCTAAAAACCTTCGGTGTTGTCGCCTCTGGCACCGCGAACGCCGTCTGGACACCCGAACCCTCTACCACGGCCGCCACAACGCGTACCACGGCCGCAGGTCGCGCAGTTGTCCCCGCAAACGAAGAAGTGCTCACCTGGGATATCAAGAAGGGCGAGCTTCTCTCCCGCTGGAACGACCCCAAGAACAAGTCGGAGGTGTCGGTGATCTCGCAGAGCAGGACGGACAGCGATATATTTGCGGTCGGTTACGTCGATGGGTCTATTCGCCTGTGGGATTCGAAGACGGGAACGGTTGTGATCTCGTTCAATGGGCACAAATCTGCGGTTTCGGCACTAGCGTGGGACGAGAGCGGCACCAGACTGGCGAGTGGTGGGCGCGATGCACATATCATTGTGTGGGACTTGATTGCGGAAGTGGGGTTATACCGTCTTCGTGGACATAAGGATCAGATTACCGGACTACAATTCCTGCGGCATTCGGAGGACGATGGGGACCATAAGATGCGGGATGCGGCGGACGGCGGCGGCTGGATTCTCAGTACTGGAAAGGACACTCTGATCAAGTTGTGGGATCTGTCTACGCAACATTGCGTGGAGACACATGTGGCACACCACGGAGAGTGCTGGACCATGGCGCTCATGCCGGACCACCGGGGGTGTATCACTGCAGGCCAAGACGGAGAGATGAAGGTATGGTCAATCGACACGGAGAATCTCGAATCGCGCGCGAGTAGTGGCATGGATTGTCTGGTCGACCGGGGAACACTATATCGGCAGATCAGAGACCGAACAGCATCAATAAATTTCCATCCGGATGGAAACTTCTTTGCGGTGCATGGCATCGACAAGAATGTGGAGGTCTGGCGGATACGAAATGCAGATGAGGTACAGAAAGCGATGAAGCGGAAACGGAAGCGCAAGGAGCAAAAGGGCGAGAAGTTGGAAGATGAGGGAATAATGGCGGCAAGCATAGGGGATATATTTGTCTCTTATGTGGTGGTACGGTCTGGTGGGAAAGTGAAGAGCGTAGATTGGGCGGTGAAGCCTCGGAGCAAGAGCTCTGATCTGGAACTGCTCATATCTTGCACTAACAACTCGTTGGAATTCTACACTATCCAGAAGCAAGGAGAAAAGAAAACCGCGGAGTTACCTGAGTACAATAAGCTATATTCCGTTGAGCTCCCAGGACACAGAACAGATATCCGGTCGGTGTCATTGAGCACAGATGATCGAATGTTGGCATCCGCGTCAAATGGCTCTTTGAAGATATGGAACGTAAGGACGGGGATATGTATTAGGACATTCGAATGCGGTTACGCTCTATGCTGTTCCTTCCTGCCCGGTGACAAGATTGTGAGCCCTTCCTTGAACCCTTCTTACGGTGTCTCGAGTTGCTAACCAGACGAAATAGGTCGTAGTGGGAACCAAGACCGGAGAAATTGAGATGTTTGATGTGGCATCGTCACAACTGATCGAGACCATCAATGCCCATGAGGGTGCAGTGTGGGCCTTGCAAGTCCACCCGGATGGAAAGAGCATGGTGACCAGCAGCGCCGACAAGTCTGCAAAATTCTGGGATTTCCAAGTTGTAGAGGAAGAGATCCCAGGAACAAAGGTCAGCGAGAATCACCTATATGGATACATCTAGATTTGCTAACAGCTCTCCAGAGAACTACGCCACGGCTGAGACTCAAGCAGACCCGCGTCCTGAAAGTCACCGATGACGTTCTGAGTGTCTGCTACTCTCCCAATGGAAAGCTCCTTGCCCTGGCGCTGCTCGACAACACCGTCAAAGTCTTCTTCACCGACACCCTAAAACATCTCCTCAACTTGTACGGACACAAGCTGCCCGTGCTGAACATGGACATCTCTCACGACTCGAAGCTGATCGCCACATGTTCCGCAGACAAGAACGTCAAAATCTGGGGTCTTGACTTCGGTGATTGCCACAAAAGTTTCTTTGCTCACCAGGACTCAATCATGCAGGTCAAGTTCGAGAAGAACTCGCACAACTTTTTCTCCGCTAGTAAAGATAAGTTGATCAAGTACTGGGATGGTGATAAGTTTGAGCATATCATGAAGCTTGAAGGCCATTTCGGAGAGGTGCTTGCGCTTGCGGCTGGTAAGTCCAGTGATATCATTGTCAGTGCGAGTCACGACAAGAGTATCCGAGTATGGGAGCAAACCGACGAGCCTGTAAGTTGACTGCATAGCAAATGCTAGAATGCTCACTAACAGTGTCACCAGATATTCCTCGAGGAAGAGCGGGAGAAAGAACTCGAAGAACTCTATGAGACCACTCTTACCACATCCCTTGAGGGCGAAGGTGAGGATGGTGAAGCAACCTCCGCCGGAAAGCAGACCTTGGAGACTCTCACGGCGGGAGAGAACATCATGGAAGCGCTTGAACTGGGTATCAACGATCTTGCTTTGATGAAGGAGTACTACGCCGCGAAGGAGTCAACACCAAACCTTGCCATGCCACCAAGAAATGCGCTGTACATCGCACTCGGCGGGATAAGTGCGGAGAGGCATGTGCTCGATGTTGTCAGGAAGATCAAGGCAGCAAGCTTGCAGGATGCTTTGCTAGTTTTGCCGTTCGATAAGGCTGTGGATATGCTCACTTTCCTTGACATCTTTGCTGAAAGAGTATAGGCTTCTTCGTAAAATGCATTCGCTTCATTACTGACGCGGTTTCTAGGAATGGAATATCCCTCTCGCCTGTCGCGTCCTCTTCTTCCTCCTCAAGACACATCACAAACAGATCGTGGCGAGCAAGACGATGAGGAACATGCTGGATAGTATACGCGGTCATCTGCGGGCAGCGCTGAAACACCAAAAGGATGAAATGGGCTTCAACCTTGCGGCAGTGCGATACATCAAGGGTGGTGTCGACGCGAAGAAATCCAAGAACTTTATAGACGAGGAGGAGTTCAAGGACATGGAGGAGCGCAACAAGAAGAAGCGTGGATTTGCAACTTTGGCATAAGAAAGGAAGCGGACGGAACCATATTTCGGTGTAATATAGATGTAGTCCGGTGCGTTATTACAAAAGTTCAAACATTTCCACCACTGTCATCATTGTCATTGTCGCAAGAACAGAACACCAGACGCCGATGCCACCACTATTAAATACACATCCCCTAACCAGGTATCCCTTCATGCCCGCACAAGATTGTAGAATAGCGTCCATGTCAACACGAAAGAGAAGAATGAATTCGTTCCGAACACCTCATGCGCCCAGATGTCGAATTGGCTTTGGAAGTAGCTTTTTGGCGCGCGGTCGGCGATGAGGAGGAGCATGAGTACTCCGACAAATAAGCTGCCCACGAGGTAGAAGATAAACCCCACGAGCGACTCGAGGCCGAGGATACCCGCTGCGACACCGAGGACGGAGGATGTGAGGGAGCGAATGTCGGTTATCGTCTGGCGCCGAGTTAGCTAACTGGGAGCTGTCTCGGTCTCCGGTATGTTACCTTGGTGTTGTGCATGACATTTTCCACGACCAGCGGGGTGATTTGGAGCTCCCGTTCTTCAGTAAGCGACATTTTGAATGGTGTGGTTGAAGGGTTGAAGGATTGAAAGCGGCGGGTTGAAGGTGTTGCTGTGATGAGGTTGATGGTTTCGTGGAGTTGAATGGCTGCTGCAGGTTAACTCGGTGGAACAGAGGCAAGCGTGACGTTGTTTGACGTTGATTGGCTAGAGTACAAGATCACGTGAGGACAATCACCAAAAACGCGCGCTAGCACTACGCAATAGTCTTGGCACATTTTGTGGGCGGCAACTCGACGACAGCTTCAATATCTCCTCCGAAACTCTCCCAATTCAGCAACACGACACACACTACGACACACACAACCTCAATCGACACGACACACACTGCGACCACACAACCCCAATCGACCCCAATCCACACGAGACGAGCGCGCGACGATGGCGAACAAGGAGCAAAATCCTCCCGCCGAGGACGAAATGGACGAAGATGATGCGCTCATTTCCTCATTTCTGAACAACCAGGGAATGGATGCGGCCGGTGGAACTTTTGATTTCGGCGACACTGTCGGAAAAGTCGACGACGCGGTTGACTACGAAGATATCTCCGACGACGATTTACCCCCCGAAGAAGACGCGTCTCCGAAACCCGCCGGCGACGATGTCACTATGGATTTAGACGACGACCTACTAGGAGAGCTGGCGCAAGAGGGGGAAGAGGTGGGGGGAGAGGTGGATTTCTCAGAACTGTTTGGCGATATGGAGGATCAGAATATGTTGAGCGATCCTGTGGTGCCGCGCGCAGACGACGAGTTGGGGGTTCTGGATGGCGATATGGACTTGGGTTTCAGAGCCTCGGATGAGGCCGCGCAGCCGCCTTCGGGTGCTGGTTCGGTGGACGATCTGTTTCACTATGGCATGCAGGACATGGCGATGCGACGCGTGACGGCGGTGCAAGACCCTGTAGAGCTGGCGAAGCAGTACTATGCCGACTTCACTCCGCACTCGGTCCTGAGTTTTTCCACGCTGTTTAAGGCGAAGCCCGGAACGTTACAGACTGGTCCCCAGAAGGTTCCCAAGGTCTGCGTGCCGACTAAGATCAACATCGAGATGGCATCCGACGAGGCCAATCTATTCAACAAGGCTACTAGTGCAACCCACAAGGGCACTGTGGCAAGCCGCAGCAGAGGCGTAGTGTTCATCGAACCCGCGGTTGAGGAAGTGAGCGATGAAGATGAGGAGATGGAGGATGTAGAGGACATGAGGGATGAAATCTTTGATCGCGACCTGGAGATCGCCTGTGATGATTGGGATAGTAAACTTGAAGCGGCGATGTTGACGCCACCCCCATCGCCACCGAGGGAGCTTCAGGACTTGGACGATGTCATTGAGCTTGGACGTCCCGTCAAAGTATGTCTTCCTGACTTTTGCAATGATTCACTCAACTAATTATTCCTAGCGCCGACGACTAGAGCCTATGTATCTCGATGTGATCGATTCATGGATTGATGAGGAGGCTATCTTTGAGGGCGACCTTTCGATGATCTCTTCCAAGGTTGTACTCGATCTGAATGACCCTCATCTCCTGGTCGATATCCGACAACCCGATCAGATCCGACGGACAAGACGAATTGGTGGAGAGTTCAAACGACGTCTTAATAAGGACATCACACACAAGTACAACATCAGCAACGATGAGGCGTACGACCTCTTGAAGGAGAACCACCAGAACCGGGTCAGGAGCACAATCGGCCAACTGAACATCGAGCACACCTTGCCTGCTTTGAGAATGCAATCACCCTACTACAAGACGAAGCTTTCCGTTAAGGAAGCTCGTGCTTTCCATCGACCCAATATGCACTTTACCACAGAGCACGAAATCCGTTTTGATAAGATCAAGAGTCGGAAGAGGAAGACGTGGAAGGGCAAGGAAATCCAGGAGATCTTTGCCAGTACAAAAGACATCTCGCTCTCGGATGGCTCGACGTTTGTTCTCCTCGAATACTCGGAAGAATACCCTACTGTCTTGTCCAACTTCGGTATGGGAAGTCGACTCATAAATTACTACCGACGAAAGAGCCCAGAGGATGAGTCTCGGCCAAAGATTGAAGTCGGCGAGACGCATGTGCTCATGCCGCAGGATAGGTCGCCGTTCTGGAATTTCGGAACCGTCGATCCAGGCGAGACGGTACCTACATTGTACAATAAGATGGTGCGCGCACCGATCTTCAGACATGAACCGAAGAATACAGATTTCTTGGTTGTGAGAAGCAGTTACGACAACGCCAGCAGGTACTACATGAGAAACATCCCATATTTGTTTGTAGTTGGGCAGCTGTTTCCTGTTACCGAAGTCCCCGGACCGCACTCGCGAAAGGTCACAACGGCAGCTAAAAACAGGCTCAAGATGATTGCTTACCGGGTGGTGAAACGCAAGGAGCAGAAAGCCATCGCTGTGAAGGACATTTCAAAGCATTTCCCCGAGAATAACGATATGCAAAACCGCCAGAAGATGAAGGAATTCATGCACTATCAGAAACATAGTGGCTTGTGGGAGATCAGGCCGGGTGAGGGAGTCATGGACGAGCGACACATCCGGAGCATGATTAAACCTGAGGATATATGCCTGCTCGAGGCCATGCAAGTCGGTGTTCGCAACCTGGAAGATTCTGGATATTCGAAGACGGTGGAAGACACAGATGATGATGGCAAGGACATCATGAGTTTAGAGCAGCAACTTACTCCGTGGGTTTCGACGAAGAACTTCATCAACGCCACCCAGGGCAAAGCCATGCTGCAACTCCATGGCGAGGGTGACCCTAGTGGCCGCGGAGAAGCGTTTAGTTTCGTGAGGACAAGCATGAAGGGAGGCTTTAAGGATGTTGGGGAGAGTATCGATGAGAAGATGGACAAGCAGCGCTTGAAGGAGCTCGGCGGCCATAGTTACAACGTCGCACGACAGCAGAAACAGTACGAAGAAGCCATCGATCGCATCTGGCGTGCACAGCACAAGTCTCTCGCCTCGAATGAGGAGCCCCTGGATATCGACATGGATGGCGAAAACGGCGGCGGTGACGAAGACGACGACTTATTCGAAGAGGGACGTACACCACGGTCAGAGAGCACCTGGATGCACCGCGATGACGAGACTACGAGTCAGTTCTCCCGCATGAGTGCAAAGACCCAGAGTCGGAAAGTCCTTCGCATCACCAGGAAGGTCATCAATAAGGATACAGGCGAGCCTGAAACCGCGGTGGAAGTCGTCCGAGATCCCAAGGTGATCCGACAGTACCTCCAACGGCGCCGGGAAATCGACGCCGAGAAGACACAAGTGGAGACGTTACTACCAACTGGTAACCCCGAGGAAGATAGACTCGCTAGGAGGAGGTAACATTTACCTACCGTTTCTATCCTCTTTTTGTGTGTAATTTACTAACTCCACTTCCGTTTCAGACTACAAATCGAACTCGCCCGTCTCCACCGCAACCGCGAGCGCCGCGAAGCCCGCGAGCGCCAATCCGGCAAGAGACCAGCCGCTGATGCCATGTCGCCAGACGCGCTGATGAGCCCCGGCTCGCCTATGGTGGCCACTCCTAATGTTGGCAAAGCAGCCACCACTAGGAAGTGCGCCACCTGTGGTCAAGCCGGGCACATCCGTGAGTCCACCCCCATTCCTCATTTCACCTCTGCAGACCACTGACCCCTGTGTGTGTAGGTACAAACAAGAAGCTGTGCCCGAAGCTGAATGGCCAGTGGAAAGAGCTCGGGATGAGCCCACCGGAATGAGCTCTCCATAACGGGGGGTTCTCAGTGACACTTTAATACTTTTTTTTTGTACTTTTACTTCAACTTTTTTCTTTTACTTTTTTCTTTTTTTCGTCTTTGCAATGATGGGTTAGGAGAACATGGCGTAATTGCTTGGGATCTGTTTTTGCTGGAATTCAGTGTTGGCTTAGTATTGGAGTAGCGGACAGTTGTACGTAAGATGGGAGATATCATGGGTGTTGTTGAAGCCATGATTGTATTTTGGGATAGAGAGCGGGGGTGAAGAGACCATGGACAATCATACGAGATCACCCACCGAGTCGTGCCAGAGGGATGAATTCGTGGCCACAACATGGACTTGAGCCCAAACACTTGTAGATACAAAGTACTTGACTTCAGCAGGCAATAGCAAAAGCACAAGGTATTTATTCAAAATCAAAAGTTCAGAGCCTACAACACGAGTCCGCAACCCGCCAGAAGTAGCTGTCAAAGAACAAAATCAGACATGAAAATAACGTTAGAACTCAATAACCATCAACCCCCAGCCCAATCCTACGGCTCCACCCCCGAGAAACGCCCATTCCATCTCCACCCCTCTCTCCCACCTAGAAATCACCAACCCACCCCAAAACTATCCCCACAACCGCTGTGGCGACAACCCAAACCCCACTCAGCCCCGCCGCACCTACCAAGTCACCGCCCTTAACTGTCGCCGCAACACCTGCAGTCGCGCCCGCAGATTGATACGCCGCAACCAGTGCCGTCCTCTTAATAATCTTCCTCGTCTTCGGGCTCAAATTCTCCATCCACATCTTGGCAACCCAGTTCAGCAGGCCCCCGGCATCCTCCTCAATCCCTTCTTCCTTAATTTGCTTGTTCTCCCCGCCACTGAACACCTCCGTGACTGCCCACCCAACCGGCAGCATCATGACCGCACGCGTCAACATCAGCGCCTCGGTGACCAAGTGCACGCTCGCAACGCTCTCCAGCTCCCAGCCAGAAGTGAGGAGCCATGAGGTGAGGAACTTCTTGGAAGCAACTTGCAGGATCAATTGGTAGATCACGGAGGTGAGGAGTGCGGCCGTGATGCGTGCCGAGTCGGCCGCAGAGGACCGTGCGTTGTTGTCGGGGCGCAGGAAACGCATCGGGAGATACACGGAGAGGACGTCGATCAACGTGCTGACGGCGAGGGTCGGAACCAGCGGCGAGTGCGTGGGGTGGTAGGTGTGGAAGTAGTGGAGTCCGGGTGCGAGAGAGAGCATGCTCAGGGACGCGGCTTGAGTCGCTGTTCAATTCGTCAGTCCACGGTTCTGCGTCGCGCGGGGGGAGAGGGGAAACTACCATCCCATCCGCCAATCCAATACCCAAGGATCTCCACGATGCGCCATGACACCAGGCTCGAGTAATCGGCCAGCGTCTTGATGGGCCTATCCACGGCCGCGAGATCGCCGCTGATCCATGGCGACGCGAGATATCCGAGCAGCGTGGAGAGGCCCAAGTTCAGCACGACCGCCAGTACAGGCTTCAGCTTTGTAGGAATTTTGCGCGAGGCGCGTCGTAGGGGCGATGTGGATGACATTGCGCAGTGGCCAGTGGTGAAATGTTGTGTGGATGTGTGTATGTGGGATGCAGGTGATGTGGAGGGATGGTGGAAGGTTGGGGGAGGATAGAGTAGGTAGCAGCCTGGTCGGGGTTGGCTATGGTGTGACGTAGCGAGAGTTGGTGACGGCTTGGAATTCACCGCACTTTAGTTACTTGGCCACGACATAGTGAAGGCTACCGAGAAACCGGTACATTGTACTCAATTATGTACACGCAAAGAAAATTTCTAGATGGATCACACGCACTTCAACGATGAAGCCCCCCCCCCCCCCCCCAAAAAAAAAAAAAAAAAAAAAAGAAAAGAAAAGAAAAGAAAATACAGAGAATAATGACCAGATACGATCGAGTCCAGAATGATGGTTTCAAACAAAAAACAAACAAAGAGTTCTTCACCCACCATGAAATGGAAGCGAGTCGAGCAATGGGAAACGCAAATACAGCATGAATGAATACTAGTATGTAGAATGAAGTCGTAGATACATGTTATGTACCAATACATAAAACGCTGGCTCGCACTGACACACAGGACGTGTCAAGGACACGCGACCAATCCATGGGCGACAGATAAGCTTTCATTTTCCACTTTTACATATCCTTCAGCAATATTGATACCCGCCGTGCGATCTGCTCTGTGCCAATTGGTGCCGATCCTTCCTACCCAATTGGCTCGACAAGAATTTAAGTCAGTCATAGTTTCCATAAAAGTCCCAGAACATCTCGAACTCCAATTCAGGTCTTGTCCATTCCTGCTAATTCCATTCGAATGCTTCCCCATACGTTGAATCAACTCTTATGAATACTTACAGCACACGATGCCCATGATATACTCGCTAGATCTGGAGATATTTGGGTATGTGGTTCATGGTTGGCAGTTACATTCACCCATTATCACCATATGGATACCCTATTGTCCACTCAGACAATTATGTCCTGCCGCTGCTGTGTACGCAACCACATTCCCCCCAGGTCTGAAGTTGAACCGGAGATCTTGCAGTAAATAAACCACCCATTCATGATTTCATATCATAGACTATTCTGGGCAGATGCCAGCTTGTGAGTGCTACCTTGTGAAGGAGAGTTCGGCCCCACGACATATGTAAACCCGCAAGCGCTAGAGAATAGACTCTCGCCTTAAGGTTCTACACCGAACGCAATGGGAAGATGGAAGTAGACAATTGCGTAATCGAGTCGTGAATGGAGCCAAAATTGATAGGTAGCGGACTACACTGGACTGCATGTTCACCCCGCAATTCAGTGGAAACTCTCGCCGTTGGTTGGTTGAATATCCCAGACTCCATTGTTTACGCCAGTTCCCCAGTATGTAGGACAAATGCACTACACCGCATGACTTGTGTGATTCAGGTCGTCATTTTACCGTGACGTATTTTGGCCCCTTTCTACAAAAAAAACCCAGTGCGAAATTCGAAAACAGATTACCATTCAACAGCGGCCTCAGCAGCGGGCTGCTCCTCCTGAACGTAGCCCTCGTTTCCGGTCTCGACCTTGTCTTCCTGGGCAGCCTCCTGGGAAGCCTGCTGGGCGGCAGCGGCAGCAGCAGCAGCCTTGGCACCCTGTAAAGACGGATTAGCTCTCTGTTGCCCATGATACCGAGATTGAGTGATTCATACGTAGTCCTGAGATGAGGGAGTGGTGATGGGCATCTCCTCCTTGGGCTCAATGACGGTGACGGTGTCGGGAAGCGACTTGTTGTTTCCGGCCTTGGAGTCAGGGTCGGTTCCACGCATGATCTTGACCTTGATACCGAGGACACCCTGGCGGAGGAGAACGTGACGTGTGGCAGAGTCGATAAAGTCGCGGACGGGCTGACCGGAGTGGATCATGAAACCGTCCTACATAGATATCAGCATAGTTTCCTCCATATCTACGAGCAGGTAACGTACGGTGAACTTCATCGACTTGGCACGGGCAGCACGCAGCTTTCCGGACACAACAACCTCACAACCCTTGGCTCCCGACTCCATGATGAAACGGAGGACACCGTAGCACGCTCTTCGGACAGCAAGACCGTTGAGGAGCTTGTATCGCAGGGACTCGCACTGGGCGACAGCGCAAAGACCACGGTTCTGGACCTTGGCGGCGTACAGGGTGACCGAGTTCTCGGGGAACTTGAATCGCTTCTGGACGAGCGAGGTGAGCTCACGGATGCGGCGTCCCTGGTCACCGAGAACCTCCTGGGTGTGTGTGGCGGAGATAACTGGGAGCTACAGTTAGCGATCGACCTCTATGCAGCCTCGACGAGCATCGTTTGTCGATGCAATGCCCCTCGGTTGTGTGTATGACGTACTGATGGCGGTGACAGTGGGCGTAACGCGGACCTCAACACCGGAGTATCCCTCCTCAGCCAACTCACGAGTGAAGAACTCGTTCAACTCGGCGTAGAAAACACCATCGGCAACAAACTTGCGACGCTTGGAGATGGTAGTGGATTGAGCAGCACTATACGGCGCAACTTCCGTCAGCCCAATTTGCGTCTGCCAAAACCTCCACTAATCCATATCCACCACCCCGCCCCAGCTTTCCACATTCGTTTCCATTCTCCCATTCCCACACAGCCGCGCTCTTTTGTGGCTGAACAAATTGCCGTCGAGAGGGGAAGCTTACGCCATGGTTGTAGATTTGCTGGGTATTCGAGACCGGGGTTGTCGAGTTGGCTGGTTGTGGAGGGCGGGCGGTGTATCGTCGTTCGTTCAGTCGTCGTAGTCTCGTTGCACTCAAGCTACATTTCGTGGGGTTCGAAATGTTCGTGTGTGAACAGCCGGACAGTGCGTTCACTAGGGGTATAGCCCTAAGCGCTAAAAACGGGGTCACAACGAATAGCACGTGACAAGAGCCCCACTTTAGCCACAAGTTGGCGATGCAGTGTGCGACATGTTGATCTTGAGCCCTTGGCCCTCTCATGTATACAGAGCACGCCGAAGTTCATCTGCCCATCACTCGCCTGTGATCCATAAACTTCAATGCCAGCGTGACACGTAGCGCCATTGTAACAGTTGCGGTACGACATTTCAAGAGGGGAGAAATGAAGCTGAAGTAAAATTTGCGATGTTGCTCTGCGATCGTCTCGAGTACCTGGCTCACCAGTGCACCGCCTTCCCTCCACCGCTCTCTGAGCCAATGGAGGAAGATGACCGTTCCGTCCTTGGTTACCACGGATCTGTCACGTCGCCCACCATTGCCAAAAACATCCACCTACTGTACGAAAAGCTTCAGATGATTTTCCGCGGCCGAAACGGAAACGGACGGGGCCGTCAACCCCGCACCAACCGAAGAAGCTGGCGAGATCCACCTCTCCCATCCCGACGCCTGAGTAATCTGAGCATAGGGAATTGGGGACCGACTCCGTAAAATCCGAACCATTAACATCTAACATGTCCGCGGTGCCTACACCTCGCTACACTGAGACGGATGAGGGATGGAAGAAGGTTGAAAAGAAGCGGAAACGGAAAGCGGAGAAGAGAGGGGCGGGATTTGGAAGAGAGGGAAGCGTCCCATCGCGGGCTGATAAAGCTCGCAGCAGGGGCAGCATTCGCACAGGTAACCGTCTTCATTGGTGGGAACAAGGACTCCAGGCCGCAAAAGGCACGCAAATCCCACAAACCAGCAGAGCCGGGAAAACCTCCAATGGAGGTACAGATAGGAGGCGATAGAACCCTCAATCAGAAGGGCAGAAGGTTGGTGGGGAGAGCCAGCGTATCGGCCCGTAGGGGAGAGGGGAGAGAGGAGAGGTGGGAAGGAGCGGGCATGCAGACCCATATCAGTCTTTACCGTGGATCTACTTTGCTGGGACAGGCCGGAGGGCAGGGAAAGCCACATCGGGCCGCTTGATGAAAGTCGGGTTGGACAGTGGCGTGGAAACGGGCGGGGGGGGGGGGGGGGGTGAACGGGTAGATATTGCCATGATCTAAGGGCCTGTTCTTCTCCCGGTATGTCATTCTGTTACCACACAAATTTGACACATCGTTTTTCACGCATAATTTGACTTCATAAGCGTTCGGCTCGGCGCAGTATCTCATTAATATGTCAAGTTAGGCTGCCCAGTTCCGCAACCTCAGCGCCCCCTCCTCCTCTCGCCTCCTCTCCGCCTGTCTCTCTTCCCGCTCCCTGAACCCCCCCCACTCGATTATATTGCCGGCGAGTGAGTACGAGATTGTCAAGCGAGTGATGGTCTATGATTAATAACCTTGCTCGTTGACAGGTCGTATGTACACACAAGGAAGTCCGAGTCGCAATAGTATGTACAAACCTAGTGAAAGTACTCGAGTGTTTCGCTGCAGTTACCTGTGTGAGTTTCCATGGAATCGGTCGAAATTCGGCCTCAAGCGGTAGTTAAAATTCACTCTGCTGGACGAAGATATGCATTCACGGAGTAGAGTGCTCTACACGCCCTACAGGGTGACTGCTGTAAAGAATGGTTATCCTCCAGTGATTCTGCTCTTGTGGATTTCAATCCGGAGCCCGGCGTAACTTCGCTCCGGGCCGGAAATCGCATTCTATGCATCAAGTGACCAACAAGAATTATAATGCACGCCATCTTAACATTTTTATTGGGATTGAATCGACTTGGTAGGTAAAGGGCTCTTCTGGGGCCATTCCACATCATCTTTGTAATTGAAGCCCTCCGAAACTGCCTGTCAGAGCTAGAGGTGGAGTGACCTGAAGGCTGGGTTACGTAACCATTTGCGGCTCCGCGATGATGCATGCGATAGCGGGGGGAGCTCTGGTCAACTATAAGCCAGCCATTCACAACAACCGGACACCTTGACACTATCGACACACTTCGCCTGGTGTCATTACCACCCTCGGCATACGATCCTACGGCTCTGCATTCTCGGAAACCTCCTACCCTCTAACGCACGATCAGGTCGAAACCGTCTGGAGGGTTCGGCCTGCTCCAGAAGAGGCGGACAATTTGTCATGGAGCATATTAAAGTCGCGAAAGTGAGTGCCGCACCAGCTCCGCCGGCTCGCTGCTGAACGATAGAAACTGACACGGCGGGCCCCCCGAAGGTAGACAACGTCGCTATCCTCCATCACGGATCCGAGCAGCGGGGAACCCTACACCTAACCGCCCATCATCTGATCTTCAGACGTGTCGCTTCCGAAGCCGAACAAGAAGAGCTATCGACATTGTCCACCCCCCAACCCCCAACCGAGATATGGATTGCCTATCCCATCATTGCGACGGCATTCAGGTATCCGTCGTGCGCGTCGGCTCCTGCCCATGTCAGACTACGGAACAGGGATTTCTCGTTCCTGCAGTTCCGCTTTGACACAGATCGTGAATGTCGAGACGTGTTTGATTCGATCAAGGCTTTGACAGTAGTGAGAGGTGGTCTTGAGAAGCTCTACGCCTTCTACTACCAGCCGAAGTCAAGCGAGCGGAGGTGCAACGGCTGGTTGCTTTACAACCCTGTAAAAGAGTTTGAGCGCATGGGTGTCGGAACTGACAGGAGTAAGGGATGGAGAATCACAAATCTCAACCACGATTACTCGGTGCGGTTTTTACCGATGCGTTGATATCGTGAGTATGCACGCTGATGGATGGGTGTAGTTTTCTCCCACATATCCTGCGACACTGGCTGTTCCAGCAACAATAAGTGATACGACGTTGACCCATGCCAAATCTTATCGTTCCCGAGCTCGAATCCCCGCTTTAACGTCTGTTTCCGATCCATCTAGATCACCAACGTACTTGTCAACTGACTCAGCCTTGTGATACAGCTATTTGCATCCCCTCAATAACTGCACGATTACGCGGTGCGCGCAGCCTCTCACTGGAGTGCGCGGGAATCGTAGCATTCAGGATGAAAAGCTTGTGGCAGCGATATTTGCCTCTTCGCAACCACCAGGATCTTCTCAAACTCCCGCGTATCTGCGGAACACGACACCGTCGCCGCTAGGGTCATCCTCGGATCTACCAGCGTTGGAGACGGCGGCGACGCCAACTTCAGATCCCGATTCCCCGGTTGGCCGGGTGTACGGTGCGCAACAGCGCAACCTCATTGTCGATGCCCGTCCAACGGTCAATGCATACGCCATGCAAGTAGTAGGCATGGGAAGTGAAGACATGGACAACTATCGACACTGCTCGTCGCCGCCATGCACAAAGATATACCTCGGAATCGATAACATCCACGTCATGCGTGACTCCCTGAACAAAGTGATAGAAGCGATCAAGGACTCGGATATCACCCCGCTTCCGCCAAACCGAGAGCTTCTGGCCAAGTCGGGATGGTTGAAACACATCGGCCTCATGATGGATGGCACGAGTGCGATTGTACGACAGGTCGCCGTGGAACACGCCCATGTTCTGGTGCACTGTTCGGACGGCTGGGACCGAACCAGTCAACTCTCGTCGCTTGCGCAGATCTGTCTGGATCCATACTTCAGGACCATCGACGGTTTCATCACCCTCGTAGAGAAGGACTGGGTGTCGTTCGGTCATCGCTTCCGGGAGCGTTCAGGCTATCTCGGCCATGAGAAGTGGTTCGTCGAGAAGAGTAGTTATGGACAACCGGCAGCCGCTCCAGAGGAGGGTATTATTGGTGAAGACGAGGACGAGTCAGCGCAGTCGGCTCCATCGGCGCCCGGCAGAGCAGCCGCGGCGTTTGGCGAAGCGATGTTCGGCCAGGCGAAGAACTTCTTCAGCACGGTTTCAAATGCCAACAACGGACGCGCAACGTCTCCAGTTCCAGACATGGATTCGGACGATCTCTACGACCGGCGCACCAAGGTAGCTCGCGTAGTCGAAGCTCCGATGGTGACGAAACCGAAAGAAGTGTCTCCAATGTTCCAGCAGTTCCTCGACGGCACGTACCAGCTGATGGCGCAGTACCCGACGCGCTTCGAGTACAACGAACGGTTCCTGCGTAGGCTGCTGTTCCACCTGTATTCGTGTCAGTACGGGACGTTCCTGCACAACAATGACAAAGAGCGGCTGGACTCGCGTGTCAAGGAGCGCACCCGCAGCGTGTGGGATTATTTCCTGGCAAGAAGGAAGATGTGGCTCAACGACCAGTACAACCCCGCGTTCGACGGCCAGGAGCACGAGCGCGAGGTCGAGGGCGGCCGTGTGCTCTTTCCCAGAACCGGCCCCGGCGCTATCAAGTGGTGGGCGCAGTGCTGGGGCCGCGAGGACCACGAGATGAACGGGGCCCCGCCGATCATTGCTGCTGGTGTTACGGTGGCAGACACAGCAACTCAATCCAGTAGTTCGTCCGCTGCTGCTGCTGCTGGGCCTGCACTTCCGGGAGGAGCAGGAGTCACGGCCATGGTCGACAGCGTCAAGGGGTTGACGACGCTGGCCGTTGGCTCAAAGACCCCCCCGGCGCGCAAGGCGAGTGGCGAGGACTTGGGAGTCGAGATGATGTGATGATATGTTGTTGGGATGGTTGGCTGGCTGGGAAGGCGTTGGTTGGGGGGGGGGGGGTGCGAAGAATTTCTCTTTTCAGGGTTGCTGGCTTGCTGGCTTGCATGTTATCATGAATGCTCTAGGTATGATTGATATTCAGGAGAAGTGGTTCGATACATATGCCCGCAGCAGCAGCAGCAGCGAGAGAGAGAGATCATCAAGGGAGAGAGCGAGGGAGCGAGTGTTCAGGAGATGGGATGGATGCATGCATGCATGAGGAGTTTCTAGTACTCTGTTTGGTTCGTTCGTCGAGTTCGTCGGGTTCGTCGGGTTGGGATACTATACTGCTTGCTGGCTGTTGTTTTTCTCTTTCGTTCGATTCGATCAATGCATTTGCAGCGGTTTTTTTCCCCTGGTCTGGTCTGGTCTGGTCATTGGTCCACTGCCATTTCCCATGGGATCCCATGGGCCATGGGAAGATGCGGTGGACTAGGTACTACAGGTATGATGCTTCGGTTTCATCGCGGCGATCACATTGGATGTATGGCTGTATGTAGGTCGGCTTTTTTTTGCGGGGCTGGGGGGGGGCAAACACATGTTTCAACTTTCGTCCCTACAAGGCCACCGCGGCAAGGCCAATGCAAGGCCAAGGGCGATACCCGGGTAGGTACCGTATGTACCGTTCATCCCGTTCATCCCGTTGTGGACCGTGGTAGTTATGCGTGTGTACGTGTGTATGCGTGTGTGTATATATCCATCGAAAAGCGCAATCCCGCTGCGGATGCTCGAGCCTTGAGGTGGGAGCGAAGGTAGGGCACCGCCGAAACTCTATCCCAACGTCCGGCCCACCCACCTCGCCACAGGACTACAGGCCCACAGCACGGCATTTGCCCCCCTCCCTCCTCTCCCCTCGCACTCCCACGCCTCCCCTTCAATCAAACGCCCTCCGATGCGCGATGAATGCTGGGAGATGTGGGAGATGTGGGAGATGTGGGAGATGTGGGAGATGTGGGAGATGTGGGAGATGTGGGAGATGTGGGAGATGTGGGAGATGTGGGAGATGTGGGAGATGTGGGAGATGTGGGAGATGTGGGAGATGTGGGAGATAGGAGATGGAGGGGGAGATGCGCTTCATGTCTATGCAATGCACGAACGAACACGAGCGAACGATAACCGTCATCATCATCATCATCAAAGATGTATCCACACACATATCCACATCCACACATATCTACACTCCACGCTCCACACCTCCCTTTTCCATGCATCCCTCTGATTCGCATCTCATCCCATCCCACACTGCTCGCGGGTATTCAATCCGGCGACGCTCTACAATGACGCTCTACGACGACGACGACGCCCGACGCCGCTGTGGCCAAAGCCACAGCCACAGAAAAACCCAAACCCAAACCCAAGCCCTCGTCGGCCGAACCGCTCACGATCAACGATCTAGAGCAGAGTGCGCCGGTTGATCGGACTATCATACTCTACTCTATGTATCGGCGGCGCGGGCAGAAATAGAAACGGACGCGACAACACGGCCGCGCTGATCATTCACCATTCACCACGCATACGGTTATGCAAGCCCACCCCCATGCCGATGCGCATGCTTACATCGCCACGCCGGGCCACGCAACGCAACGCAGCGCAACAACGGCGGCGGCGGTGGCGGCGGCGGGATTGCGGCGATCTATCTGCGCTGCTGCGCGGCCATTGATGCGATCGATTCTCGATCCTCCATGATGGCGAAAACAAACTGGTGTGTAAGAACAACAGTAGTACATATTGACAGTTCTCGTGGCCTGTGGCTTGTGTATGTGTGCGCGTGTAATGATTAATGGCCACCATGGACATGGACAGCCAATGGTATGTAGAGTACCTGGTGCTGGCCGGACCTGCAGCAAGTTGCAACCGGGAGGCGAACTGAACTGGACGCATGTACCGTGTGTAGGGTGCTCTTTCTGTGGTACGGATAAACACCCCAGCACAGCACAGCGAGGTCAGATGGGCTTTGGCTTTGGCTTTGTCTGTTGCTGCTGCTGCAGTTGCAGTAGTTACCGAACCCCCCCCCCCCCAATGGATGTGGATTTACCGTTTATACCTAGTATGGTGATGGTGGTTCTTCACGTCAAGTTCGAGTTCCAGTCAAGTCAAGTCCGAAAAAAAAGGCGAGTGTATGATATGTACCGGTGTTAAGCAAGCCTTGCGGCCCTGAGGACTCGAGGGGGACAGCCCTACCATACTATATTTGCCACTGCGCCGGCGGGGGATATGGCGGATCCAGTCGGATCCGGGGCTGTCAAGGTTCCGTGCAAGAGTAGATGTGTAGAGGATGTAGATAAAGTGTGAATCTCCGAGCGAATATGTACCGCCTTCCGAGACATATCCGCATGTAATCTACTCTACCGTGTGCGTATGTGGGTAGGTAGGTGCTCTACAAACTTGTGTATGTAGAGTACTCGTGTATGTACGGTATGTACTCGTGTAGATATGTAATGTACCGTATGTACGTGTGCTGATGAGCCTGTGCACTGGATGAATTGGGTGCAGAAATATGAGTGTAGGAAGGGGACAAGGCTCTGGGATGTTTCCCCCTCCCCCATCCCCGTTCGAACTTCGTATCCGTGCAGAGTGAGAGTGCGTATGTGTGTGTTCTATGGACGTTGCCGGAAATTTTGCTTCTTTCTTGCACATCCCAAGTACTCAGCTCCTGGTACTCTACATAGTACATAAAGTGCATATCATAGGTACTCGATAGTTCAACTTACGGTACCCTGGTTGGTTTCCTTCCTGCCTGACTTCCTTCCTGACCGACTGCCTAGCCTCCCCCGGGGTCCGGGGAGCACTTGCCGCATGGGGCGTCTCGTCGAGTCGAGTCTGTTCGAGTGCTCGCCGGTGATACGATTTTACAATTTCCGAGCGCGCTGCTGCTGCTGCAGGAAGCGGTCAAATCGAGGGAACGATGCAGGAAAAAAACAAATAAACAAGCCTTTTGCTGCTGGGCCCCTACGGTACTTGGGGGAGGAGGGTGCTGGTGCGGGATAAAAGAAAATAAATAAAATGGTAGGTAAAAAGGAATAAAAAGGAAAAGAAAAAGAAAACTCGGTCCGAATACCGAGCACCGCGTTACTATACTCTTCAAGGCATGCTCGTCCGAAGTTCGAACTGCCATCTCTCCCTGGGTTCGGCAATTGGTTATGTCGGGGCTTGGGCCTTGGTGGTCCATGACCATGACCTCGGTTGATATCTATGGCTTCTTCCGTTTGTCATCGGCTGTCGGCGCGCGCCTTCAACCTTGTACCACCGCCGCTAACTACAGTAGCGAAACCGGTGGGCTCCTCAGTCCTGGCCAGGGTTGGGGTTGGCCCAGAGGTGTTTGCGAGGATTTGATTGGTAAGTTCGTAGAGTGGTTAAGTACTGGCCTGGCGCTGGCGGGGGTTGGTCCGTCCGGGGGAGGGGAAGGTTTGCGGAGGCTTTGCGGAGGCTGGCTTGCTTGGTCCGACCGTCGGAGAGGGCTGAGAGCGATGGATCGATGGGGGGATGGGGTGGATGGATGGGGGATGGGGAGGGATGGGGAGGGATGGGGAGGGATGGGGTGGGATGGATGGATGGATGTCTGTGCGGAAAATGTTCGCGGGCTTTTTCAGCTTACCGTCGCCGGTCTTGTAGAGTAACTAGAAGTAGAGTACTCCCAGCCCTCCAAGACCTGGAGAAGGGGGAGGGGGAGGAGGCCCGAGATGAAGAAACCCGCACACAGCAGCTGACTGCTCGTAAATCGGAGGGTGGTAGTTATACATATGGAGTTCCTCAGGGAGTGATGTACAATACACACTACCGTAGTACCGGTAGATGGAGTTAGTTAGTACACCCGCGTCGACCGACCATCGTGCCTCCACGGGACCCTTCACCGTCCTTCATCCTCCACCACCACCGCGACGCGTGCTTCTTCCCAACTGCAGAAGGGCTTCTTGCATACACACGGTAGGCTCATTGCGCGGACGGACAAGGATGTCATGATCCCTCGCACGTGGAGCGGCACCGTTATTAATTTGCTTTTGGCGTAGAGTTATCAACTCTAAAGCGTCCGTTTCGTTCTCTGGAGGGAAGGGACGATGCGCATTGTGAATAGATGCCAATCCCATGAAGATGTGTATTGATGTACCTATGTACACCGGGAATAGCAGGGTGTCCGCAGCCGCAGCGCAAGCAAGACATCAGCCAGTCAGACCAACATCACCGATGCTGAGTACGTATACGAAGTGGTTACATAACTGTCTACGCAAGAGTACGTACAAAGTAAGTGCATTCTTGCATAGTCGTGACGGGAGGGCGTAATGAGACATCGCATGCCCCCCTTCCACAATCCTATTGTGTGCAATATACCCTACACGGTAGTGTCATTATTATTGCCCACAAGGGATGTGCATGCTCATGTCCTGTAGTCTGGGGGCGGGCCTGCCTAAGCCTGCAAAGAGGATGGTTGGTGATTGTCCTCTAAAGCAAACTAAACCCGTGCGCTTGCTCGGGCTCGAGGCTTCTCTCGGTTTCGAAGTTGAGCGCTTTCTTCGACACTCGCCCCTCCCCTTCCGCCGTGCGTGTCGTCCCTTTCGCCGCACCGTCCGCCAGTCAGTCCGCCAGTCAGTCAGCGCCATCGCCAGTTGGTGTTTTCCTCGGCATTCTCGATCACACGTCCTCCCCCCCTCCCCACCCCCGAAAAATCTCTCCGGCGAAGGACCGCTCGCACTCTCGGCCGTCCAGTGTACCACTATATACGACCGGTGGAAGTAGCCCAGCCTTTCCAGTAAACCCCGAACGATCCGTGCCGGCCAGACGCAACCTCCCCCCACTCCCCCGACTCCGACTCCGCCTTCCCAACCAACCAACCTGCCTTCCCCGGATCCCTCGGCCACCTTCTCGCTCGATCGCCTTGCCTCGCTCACAAGCCGTCCGCCAGCCAGCCATACCAACTCAAACGCCTGCCGCCCCCCTTGCGCGTCTACTGGCATCTCTCCACTGAAAGGAACGTACGACAGTCGCGTTTGAAATTCCAGGGCTCCCACCTTTCACACGCGTCGATCTGCAACCCGCTGTATCACCTTGAGTTACCCACACAGAGATCCCCCCCCCCCCACACACACACACATCTGCTCCTGTACTCAATCTGCTTCGCCGCCGCCGTCGCCGCCCACCTCCGCCGCCACCGCCGCCGCCAAAACACACCGGACAGTCGGGCAGTCGGACAGTTGGAAACATCGCCCCCAGGCACTCCAGTAGATGGGTCCGAGTTCTGAGTACATACCGCCAATAACCGCTTCACCGCACACTCTACCTGCAATTCCCTAATCAACTAGTGGAGCTTGCTGGGTGGGTCCCTTCAACTAATCTACGCTTCTCAATCGCATATGTACGTGTATTATAGAGCTGCGAAGCAAGATTCCTCCATTTCACCCCCAAATCTCCGATCATATACCCACATACGCACATACAGCAGCAGCCGCAGCAGCAACAACACCAGCCGCAGCAGCATCGATACCGAACTCGTACATACAGTTTCCCCACGATCCCGGTTATATCGACTTCAGACCTCCCTTTTCCCGGCAAATCTATTTCAAGAAACCTGCCATCATTGCTCAGGATTATCAATTGACACCACCGAGCGGCGAATCCGTTCCTGATCGATTACGTCGCCAGTAGCCAGGCCGGAGGCTGTGCTTTTTTCTTTCCCACTCCACGCGGAGAAATCTAGATCACCCAAGCTTAGTGACTTCCACTCACTCGAAACAGCTCGGACGTCAGGAACCAACCCGACGCATGAAGCGAGGGGCTTCCAGCAGAGGCCTTGAGTTTCGCCGTCAAGAACCACACCTCCCGGGACGTGTCGGTCTCCGAGTGCCTTCTTCGCATCCTTTCTGCGCCCCAGGTTGCGCTCGTTGATCGCTCTTTGAGGCAAGAGGGAAGTGGCCGGAATAGCAATCGTTGCGGAGTGTAATTGGTTTAGACGTTCACAACACCTCAACCTCCACACAGCCTCCATTACCACCACCACCACATCCACTACTACCACCACCACCATTGCCCAAAGCAACAGCAGCCACTAGCCAAGGCGGTGTCACACTTTTCCTCCAGCGAACAGCCTGATTTGTGAGTGTGAGTCTTTTCTCTCGGCTGTCACGGCGGCGTCTCTTTCTTATCTTTTCTATTTTTTCTCTATTTTTTTTTAATCTTTTATCTGCTCTATCCGGGATTTATCTCGCTGGGCGCCTCGCTTTTGCATTTGGGCCCTTCTGTGGAAGCTTCTGTTGCTTCGAAGCGAGATTCGCGGACAGGCGGGCGACCCAACAAGCGAGAATCAAAAAAAAACACAGAGGCGTGCGGGAGGATCTTCGTTCGGGGAAAATTTTATAATTAAACCAACTTGCCCGTGCCCTACGCGCAGAGAAAGGTCTGTCTCCTGTTGGGGAAACCAGAACTTCGCTTTCTGTTGGACCACTGGCCAACGAACTTCGTTCCTCTCTACGTCCTCTCTCTTCGCGGTCTCCGAAATAAGGGCTACTACATACCTCGACAAAAAGCAACGTCTCTCTGTACCGAGGAGAGCTTTGGGCCGTCTGAAACGCGGGGAGCTACTTTGCAGGGGTGGGTTGTGAAGTGGAAGCTTTGTCTGCGACGGAGGCAAAAGGAACGAACGACTACTGCTGTGGGGGGATCTTGTTGGTTGCAGCTCAGTCAGTTACTGGATCCTACCGTTATAAGTACCTGCATCGCTACAAGTATAAGGATGCCTGCCACCCATTCAGCCCGTTCCAGTGCATCGGCCCCGATCACGGCCACCAGTCCTACAACCTCGACGACGACGCCTCGCACCACACGAAGCGGCCGGTCGATACAGCCGCCGCAGTCACAACAGCCTCAGTTTCGGTCTCACGTCGACTCCTCTCACGGCGAGGACTCGCCACGCCACCATTCCTCCTCCTCCTCTCCCTCCTCCGTCGCCCAGAGTCCAGTCAGTCCGGACTTTGTTAGGCGCGCCGTTGCCGAAGAGACAAGCCCGGCGTCGGAAAGCCTGTCACCCCAGCGGAGCTCAAGCACGAAACCAAATATTCCACTAGCAGCAGATGCGGCCAGTGGAGCAACCTATCCTACAGGCCGCATCTCACCAACCCGTGAAATGGCCCAGTCACAGCGACGGATGAGTGAACATGAAGTGGCCATGATGGCCGGCAACAGATCCATAGGCGCACCCACACCGACCTCTACCAGCTCATACGGTGGAATGAAGGACGAGGGCGGTTATGGGGTGAGGCGGGAGAGTGAGTTTGGCGGTACTGACGATGGGTATGGTGGTGGAGGTGGCATGATGGGTGGTGTTGGACTCGGAGAGTTCGGAATGCATGGCGGCCGTATCAGTCCGGGTTATGACATGGATGGTGGAGACTATGACGGCCAGGATGCAATTGGCGATCTCGGCGAGCAGGATGGAGTCGACGACTCGGAGGCCGCGCGCGGTCTCTTCAAGATGAAGTCTGAGGGTGAGGGACAGGATCAAGAGCAATCCGGCACCTGGACCGAGACGAAGACAAAGGTAAGCTATGGCGGACCCGCCAATGGGGCTCTTGAGCCTGTGAAACCTTTGGTAGTGCAGTCTGGAACCGAAAGCTTTCCAAACAAGAGTGGTGAGCTGACTTTCGATAGGCTGGGAAAGAACGGAAACGGTTGCCGTTGGCGTGCATCATGTGTCGAAGAAAGAAGTGAGATGGTCCCAACCTCCATGTGAGGGTTACGGGTCGTTGCTTTACTTTACTGACCGTTCGAACAGAATACGATGTTCGGGAGAAAAGCCGGCCTGCAAACACTGCCTTCGATCACGGATACCCTGCGTTTACAAGCAGACCGCTCGAAAAACGGTGCCTCGGACGGATTACATGACCATGCTGGATCGGCGACTAAAGAGGATGGAAGAACGATTGCTCAAGAGTGTACCGAAGGAAGAAATCAACGCCATCCTTGCCAACACCGGCCGTTCCGTGGTCAGGCCCGCAATAACAGCGGCGGGCAAGAAACGCACGGCTGAAATGGCATTCGAAGACGAAATCAGTTCTTGGAGCCGGACAGGGCCCAGAACGAAGCAACGTGCCATGGATGGAAGCGCACTCGGCGGACCACCATCATCAACAAAGGACGCATCCGTGGACACCGACGATGGTTCCCGCGCTTTGCCGTCGAAGGACATACAGGAACACCTTGCTGAGGTTTTCTTTGATTGTGTTTACGGCCAGCCCTACTTTCTACTACATAAACCATCGTTTATGCGGCGTCTGAGGTGGGGATTCTTCTTTTCCGGTCTCGTTTTGGGAGGGGGGCAGCACGAGTAGCCAGACTAATCGTGTCTTATTGTAGGGCTGGGACAGCACCTCCAATCTTGGTTCTGTCAATATGCGCCGTGTCCGCTCGATTCTCAAAACATCCAGCTGTACGGCATGAGCCGCCCTTCCTCGCCGGTGAAAACTTCGCTTCCGAAGCTCGTCGGCTACTGTTGAAGAATTTCGACACTCCCAACATAACGAACTTGATCGTCTGCATCATCCTGGGCCTGCACGAGTTTGGGACATGCCACGGCGGCAGAAGTTGGGCGCTGGGTGGAATGGCGACCAGAATGGCCCACGCTTTACAATTACACAAGGAGGCGGACCAGGATCCGATGGGAAAGGTGCATCCACTCATGCGGCCGGACTACAACCACGACGGTGGCCACATGGGTGGTTACATGTCATTCACCGACAAAGAGATACGGAGACGGTGCATGTGGGCTTGCTTCGTGATGGATCGCTTCAACTCATCCGGTACGGAGAGGCCGTGCATCATCAACGAAGGCGAGTTGGAGATACAGCTTCCGGTTCATGACAGGAACTTGCAACTCGACGCAGCGGCCATCACCGAGCAGTTGGACGGAGGGGTCAAGGATACATCGGAACTTTCGGAGGAGGAGAAGATGGCAAAGGCCGCAGAGAGTATGGGTATCGGGGCGTATATGGTTCGCGTGGTGGCCATCTATGGTAGGGTCGTCAAGTATCTCAGCCGGGTTCGTTCACCCAATGTCACTCGAGGTATTTTAGTGGGGAAATTTTGCTGATTTTTGACACGGTATAGGGCGGAAAGGATAAGGATGCTTGTGACATATGGGACCAAGAATCCCAATTCTACGAGCTTAGCTCCGAAATCCAGCAGTTCATTGACGATCTCCCGGATACGTTTCAATACACACCAGCCAACATTCAGGCCCAGCATACGGAGAGGACGTTGGGCCAGTTCGTCTTCTTGCATGTGGGATGTCAGCAGATCCGCCTTTTCCTCCATCGGTCAGCTTTGACCATGTCCGGGTCCGCGCCGAGCGATGCAACGTCAGTAATGCCGGCAGACTTTGGGGAAGCGGCCAGAGAGACCACCCTCGATGCAGCTACCAAGATTGCAGAGATCATACAAGACTCACAGGAACGAGGGGTGTTAGTTGTGGCTCCGTTCACTGGATACTGCGCCTTCAATGCCAGTCTGGTGCATCTTGTCAGGATGTTTCACCGGCAGAAGAAGATCCAATTGGTGGCCAAGAAGCACATGGAGACGTGCCTCAAATTTTTGCTACAGCTAAAACAATATTGGGGTCTATTCCACTCCATCACGGACAACTTGAAGTCGATCTACAGGAGATTCTCGGAGAGCTCTGCGCAAGGATTGTTCGTGTCGGGGCACCAAGAGATTTCTCGCATGTTGCAGTATGGCGACTGGTTCTTGAAATATCCTCAAGGTTATTCGGCTGGGGACTTTGATGACGAAGCACGAGGATCTATGCACGGAGATACGCAGTCTCTCGCCGACGATGGTGCACTGAGTCACCGGCCAGATCTGCAAACGGCCGATGAATTCTTCACTCGATTGGGGCCACGTATCGACACACGACAATCGCAATCGCTACCGACCACGATAAAACACCCGCAAACCTTCATGCACGCTTCACCGCCGGATAACCGTAGCTCGCCAGCCTCAGCTGGTCATGGTCAATCACCAATGAATCATCCAGTACCAGGTCCCTCCCCAATGCAGCAGTCGTCGGCACTCCACGCGGCCCCAGCGCCAACGAGTACCCCTTCTTCTTCTTTGAGTTCGAAACCGGGGGATCGACCCCGCAAAATAGATACGCACAAGGCGTCTCATGTGCGACGAGCAAGCATGTCCCAAGCATCGCCACCTCCATACGGAGCAGGCCCAACAGGTTTCGTGCAACGAAATACGACGTCTCAATTGGCATCGCCGTTATCAGCACGATTACCCAGTATTCCAGCCTCGCCGCAACAATTCACCGGCTATTCAGCAGCGGCAATGACACCCCAGAATGCTGTATCATCCACGCCATCACCAAACTACAATCACAATCACCCACAGCAGCAACCGGTAGTGTCTCAAGAGCAGCAGCAGCCAGTATCGCAAGCTCCATACCTCTCCTACGATTCGTATCCGGGCGGCTCAGACTCCAGTTTGATCGCGGCGCTTAGTAGCGGCCTCTGGCAGGGATTCGACCAGCCGATAAACACGGCGGACGTGAGTGCGTTCCAGGAACAGCACCACCACCACCACCAGACGAGCAGCAGCGCGTGGTTCATGCCGTTCAACTCGGTGCCGCCGGGCTTCGAAACGGGTCCTACAGGGCTGGATACGCTTGGGATGTTGGCGGCCAGCGGGGCCGCCGGAGGAGGTGTTACCGAGGCTGGAGCGGACAGGCCGGGGAGTGGAAGTACCTCCAGTGTTCCCCCTGGTGGGATACTGAGTAGCACGGCGGTGTATCATGCCGGTGCCAACGGGGGACATTTACAGCGGCAGCAACAGCAGCAGCAGCAGCAGCAGCAACAACAGCAACAACAGCAACAACAACAGCAACAACCACGGTGACGTTGAGCGGGCCTACATACATACCTTCATTTCTTGTTTCCCCATATTTTCTACGGGAGTTTTTTATTTATCTATTCCTTTGCTTGTTACTCACCTGTTTGACGGCACAATCGTTCGTCAGTCATGATGGCAGTAGCAGGTGGTCACTGGTAGTAGTGGATGGGGGAGGGTCCGCAGCAGCGGCTAGTTAGCGGGCGTTCGAAGGGAAGTCCAGTCCGTAACTTATCTTGTACTATTTATGATAACTATAACCACCATGTGGTGGGGAACTATTTTTATTTTTATTTTCTCTTTCTTTATGTACTCCTGGGGGGGGGGGGGTGTTTCGTTTATCGTATCAAGGATTCATGGAGGGGGATTCGTTTCTATTTTCCTACATACCGGTATGGGCCTACATATTGAATCGAGGAGGGATGGTGGGGGGATGGGTGGATGGGATGGGAATGAACCATTTTTTTTCTGAAGAAAGTTGAAACTTGCTCCGATGATCGATCTTGAGATACTAGATACTGGATACTGGATAGTGTAAACGGAACGGGCTGAATATCCGGGACATGGATGGAGATTATGGAGATTATGGAGATGATACAGAAGAGCCGGAGATGCAGAAGAGATGCGGATAGAGATGCAGGAGGAGGAGGAGGATGCAGGAGGAGAAGGATGAAGCAGGCGGTGTTCGGGAAACGGGAAAACGGGAAAACGCAGGATTCTGCATGTCAAATGACTTTCGCATCGTATCGCATGGCATCGGTACCCTCCATTCATCCTCATCCTCATCCCCATCTCGACCACCATCCACCACTATTCCCGATTTCTTTTCATTTGTTTCCCTGTTTCCTGAGTCCTCTCCAGAGTCCATTGTTTCGCAGTACACCTTGGAATGCTATGGAATGCCGTGCACACCTGCACCACACCGCACTGCTTTCGCGCTCGTGCTCGCCTGTGTACCCGCTTTCGGACGGGATGGGATGGGCGGGATGGGATGGGCGTGTGCTCTCTCGTTTCTCCAGCCTCCAGTCTCGAATCAAATCGGGATGGATGAGAAACACAAGGAACACAAGAAACACAGAAACCACGGAGCACGCAGCGCAAACAAGGAGAACAGAGCAGACAAGGAGCACAAACAAGGAGCACGCCTCCCCCTCCCCCCCTTCTCTCCTCTCCATCCATACACCCGGCTGCCCACGGCCGCTCCGAGCTACTCCCACAGATCCATAGATAGTACAAGGACCATAGATAGTACAGGATAGTTACAGGGACCCGGGCGCTAAGCAGCATGACCCGCATGAGCTTTTGATCACGTGAGTGGTGTGTGGTGGTACCCACCTAGGGTATTCTATATATCCGGCCAGTAATCTACTCTGGTTACTCTAGAGTGGTGGGAGGTGGTGGGAGGGGAGGTGGGAGGGAGGGGTGCTGGGAGGGGTGCTATGGTGTAGGGCGTGCTTGTGCCATCGGGAGGGACTGCGGAGGGGGGGTGTGGAACGTTGTGGTTATTGAGGAGTTTTTGCGGATGGGGGATCTCGTGTGGGGTGCGGATTGGTGGGGGGTAACGATTTACTTCACTATTCACTGTGCACGGGGGATTTTCTTTTTTTTGTTTCGTTTCGGGCTTGGACCCTCGGACTCTTGGAGTTTGCAGTTTGCGGTGTTTTTGTGGATACTCGGTCGGTCGGTGACTCGGTGGATGTACTCTACCTACCTATCGGAGATGTGTTTCGACGGGCGGTCGGGAGCGCGGGGTTTACCAGTCACTCACTGGGGGATAATTGGTGCCGCGCCGCGCGGATTCAGCCGCCCGACAGGCAGGCAGGCAGCGACGGTGGTGGCTGGCTGCTTAACTCCTGCTTACTGCGGGGGAAATTGAGGCTCGAGGCTCGAGGGCACAGACGCTCGCCCGCTCGCTTTGGTTGCGATGCGATGCGGATTATTGTTTAGAGTATGCGGATTATCTATGGTACGTGGGGCTGTGGGGCTGGTGAGGGCTGGTGAGCGCCGAGTGAGTGAATACCCAAGTTGACCTAATATGCAGGCAGGCAGGCAGGCAGGCAGGCAGGCAGCAAGATCTTGATCTGGAGTGTGCAACCCACCCCCTCTCCCCCGCGCGCATCGCATCGCGCCGTTCGTTTTCGCAAGAAGTCGTCGAGGAGGGGGGAGTGGATTTTTTTACTTTTTTTTCTTCTTTTCATCGCTCAATCTTGTTTTTTTGTACGAGTGGGTGTGAGGTATGTATGCGAAGCACGCTCGTGAAGGATAATGCACGCGAACAGTGGCTCGCAAAGGCGAGGGAAGCAGGTGTCGGGAAGCAGGTGTCGGGAAGGAAGAAGGTGTCGGACAGGACAGCCGGACAGTCGGAGGAGGCTCTCAGTGGGAAAAGGTTGTGACCTCGAATTCGAGCTGTGAACTGTGAACTGTGAATCGAAGTGGAGTGCAGTCCATTGCAGTGCAGTGGAGTGGAGAGTGGAGTCACTGGAGTGGGAGGTGAGCCGGATACCCGTGGCGGTGATGGATAATGGATAATGGATAATGGATAATGGATAATGGATAATGGATTGGATTACCTAGAGTAATTGAGCGGGGGTGCTCCAAGTTGCCGTTCTGCAGTGAGCAGTGAGCAGTGAGCAGTGAGCAGTGAGCAGTGAGCAGCGAAAGAGTCGCGTCGAGGGCTCTGCCTATCCGCCTGTCTGTCTGTGTGCCCACCTGCGGGCGGTGCGGCGATGGTAGGTACCACGTGCGCCAGGGAGTGTGCCGGGCAGGCAGGCGGACGGGCGGGGTCAGGGTCGGGGTCTGTTTCTCGAGCGCCCCCTCGCACGCGCGGATATAGAGTATACCCACCTCGTTAACGACATACGCCAGGGCCAGGGCGCGGACCAGGTCTGGCCCTGCCCCGTTCACGTCGTGCGCGAAACATCATCATCGCACATGCCACCCCCGTCGCAGACTCGCAGCGCCGCCGGACATCGTCGGTCCGCTTCCGCTTCCGCTGTCTGTCTGTCTGCCTTTCCCATGGCCATGGGCACTTTTCGTTCCGCGCGCGCTCTAGACCCTCAGTTGCTCCCCCTGCCTGCCTGCCTACCTGCCTGCGGGCCTGCCGCATCGACTCGCCGCGCGCGCGCACGTACATAGAAAAGTATGTAGAGTACTTACGGGCGGGATTCGGGAGCTTGTCGTGCGACTTACACATGTGCTGGATGGGACTTGGATACGACTCGGGTATGCAATGCAGTCGCCAGTGCAGTGTCATGGTCATGGCGATAGAGAATGTCAACTATGGGGGCAAGGGGTAACTAACCTCGATAATTATCTACATGTGATTGCGGCGGAGTGGAGAGTGGAGAGTGGAGAGTGGAGAAGGGCGAAGGGGGAAGGGCAGTTACGGCCTCCAAAGTGCGGGCGGCTCGCGTTCCGGCCGGCAGATCGCCGTGGTAAAGTGCAAGGGATTGGGGAGGGGGGAGGGGGGAGAGGGACGACGACGTCAGACCGCCAGGGTGCGGCGACGTCAGGGCGCTTCTCTCTCTGGCTGGAAGCTGCACGGTGGACCCTCATGACGGAGGAGGCTTACACAGGGCCTAGACCAGCGGGAAGGAATCGGATCATCCGCCGGAACCCCCGATGGAAACTCAATTCCCCTTCGCGCTCGCTCGCTCGGAAGGGGGATGGGAGGGAGGGGTTCGGTCGTCACGTCATCGTATCCCCGTATCTCCGGCCCCGACGACGACGAGGTCTCTTCTTTGCGCAACCAACCAACCAACCAAACCACAACGCGTTCAAGACAATCTCGTGTTTTTTCCCCTCCAGGGTTTCGACTCTCCAACGTACTCTACCGTAGTTACTCTAGAGTACCTAGTGCTGTCTCGTCTCGTTATCCGATTACCATTTTCCAATGAGTAGAAGGAACCACGAATGGGAATTCGAAGCTCGAAACTCCAACAACACAGCACAGCTCGGGAGTTATCGTTTTTTCACTCCCCCCCTCGTACCTGGCCCCAGTCCCCGCCGTCGGCAGTTGTGTGTATTGGTACGTACCTAGTGCTGTGCTTCTCAATCTCCGTCCCATCCAGCATGGCAGCATCCAGCATCCATCCACGGTAACGTGGCGATCCGGATCCGCGTCGACTCGTTCGTTTCAGGAGGTGGAGGTGAAAGTTGGTTCGTTGGTGCCCAGTGCCCATCATAGTGGCGGCGGTGGTGGGATGATTTTTCCCCACCAATATTGCGGAGCTGTCTTCAGGTCCAGTTCAGGACTTGGAGAGGGGGGGCGGGGGCGGGGGCCTAAGGAGGGGGGGGGGCGGACCCACAAACTTTTGCCAATTTATGGAGAGTACCGGGGGGTGGGTGGGCTTGGTGGGAGATTGAGACTCGAGAGTCCAACTGAGAGATGCATCCAACAACTTACATACAAGCGATAAGCGACAACCGAGAAGAACGAGAAGACTCAAGAGCGAGTGCGCAATAGTTATCTAATGGAGAACGTTTTCCAAGTCAGTCCGCAAGGCATGTGTGCTCACTGGTATCCATAATCCATGTGCCGGTACCAGTAGTTTGTTCCAAGGCCCAGGGTGTCATAACCTTGGAAGGGAAACGGCGAAAATGAAAGGATGATAGAAAAGTTGAGATTCTGTTCAATTTCGAAGAGCCATCTCATCTCATGGCTCTCCTCCGTTGCCTACATAGGCACAACGTTCGGTGCCACCCGATCAGACTAGCCCCTCATCATATCTTATCTGATCCCCTGTCCATCGAACATATCGCTCCTCATGGTGGTGGCAGACACCACAAAGCCCAAGTGCCAAAGTGCTAGTAGTTGAAGAGCGGATACATATCGGTATCGGCATCGGCATCGATCCGCCGTGTCCGATTCCGAAGCCCGGTTTTGGTACGCCGCATAGATATCGATATCGACATCGGATCGCATCACTAGTCAATTACTAGTCTCATAGCTGTTTCCCCACCACCATCACCAAACAAAAAAGCAATTATCAACTTGATCTCCGGGACGGGTAACATCGCCATCGGCGGCCCCGGTCCTGGTCCTGGTCCTGGTTCTGCGAGCTCGTTTATCCATCATCCCCATGTATCTATCTAGCGGTCTTTTGTTTGTTTTTTTGTTTTTTTGGCCCTTGCCACCTACCACCTGCCACCTGCCGTATGTATGTGCGGATACATGGAGTTC